GAATAGGTAGTAGGAATAGTTTTAATATAGAAAGATAAGAATTATAAACTTTACCTAATTATATTTAATAAAAGGAAGCTTAGTAGTATAAAAAGAAATTATCTAATATAAGAGAAGAAGCTACTTATAATAAAAGAAGCCCTTTAGAGATAGGATTACTATATTAATAATAAAAAAATAATAATAATAGTAACTAATTATAAGAGTCTTTAATATTTTATAAATATAACTAAGTATTTAAAGTAGCTTACCTAGTAGGTAAAAGAATTCTAAAGTTATAACTTAGAAATCTACTATTAAAAAGATAATAAAGTAATAATACTAGATATAATTAGTTAATATCCTAACTTTATAGAAGAAGAGCTAGGTAATATTACTAAAAGAACTTTATTTAATATACTAAAAGTATAGGAGGTAGTAGAGATAAGATATTTTAAAAGCCTAAATAATCTTATAGAGTATAAATAATATAATACTATAGTAGAATACCTAGAGCTATAGGTCTTACTATAGGATAAAAAGAAGCAGGAGCTTATACTAATAATAGCCCTATCTTTTAAACTAAAAAAAGAGGTACTATACCTCTTACTAAATTAAATTATAGGTAGATAATACCTAGAAGGATAATTTATATATTACTAGAAATTAATTTATATTATAGATATTAGAGATGGCCTATACCTAGAGATTCTATTCTAAAGGGACTTCCTATAAGGAATATATAGAGAATATAGCTATATAGGCTATCTAGTATTACTAAAAGCTATTAGAACTTAAGCTTAGTAGCCTTCTTTATAATATAATATCTAAGCTATAGTTAAGAAATACCTAAATTATTAAATATTATAAGGGTTAAAGAAACATCTTAAATAGGAATAGTAATATCATATAGTAAAGAAAGATATCTAATCTTTTAAATACTAGGGTGTTGACCTTATTAGATGCTTATTAGTAATATTAAATAGTAATAAATAGATTATTACTATTATTAACTATATAATAGGATAGGTTATTATGAAAGCTATTCTATATACTATAGATAAAATAATAGTAAAATTCCTATATAAAGAGATATTCACTTAGTATAGCACCTTTAATAAGATAGTATCTAATAATAGTATAAACCTTCTATCATATATAGTAGAGATCTTTATAAAAATCTTAAAAATAAAATACTATATAATAATACTAAACTATCCCTATATAAATAAAAAGAATAAAAATCTTAATAGACTCCTAGGATAAATACTTATAAAATATTTAATAAGGAAACTAATATAGCTATAGGATAAATATCTTTATTTAGTTATATTTATAATATAGATATATACCTATATAAATACTAGTAAAAGCCCCTTATACCTACTATATAAGATTAAACTAAGATTACTAGGAGATGTAAGAGAACCTATAAAGGAAAATAATTATAATAGGCTTATAAGAGTAATATATATATAAGTATTAGTAAATAAGAAGCTATTAGAATATATAATTAAGAGAGGGATAATCTAAGATTTATAAGTAAAAAAAAGTTATTTTAAGGAGGGCTAGTAGATTCTTATATAAAATAAGAGCCTATAGAAGTTTAAGAGTAAGTAATTTAAACTATATAAGATGATTAAGACCTACCCCCTTAGAATATATATATTATAGGAACTAGGTAGATATACCCTAAAGAATCTTATTAATAAGTAGAGACTAGTAGAAGTAGAGATAGAAGATAATCTATAATATCTATAGATATTAGTAAGTCTTAATACTAGGCTATAAAAAGTAGGTCTATTAATCTTTAATCTAATTAAAATATAAAAGATACTTAATAAGACTAACCCCCTAATACTATTATATAAAGAACTATTATAGTGTATGGCAGAAGGATATAATAAGTAAAAATATTTAGGAGAAAGTTTATAATAAGTAGGGGAGGGATTAGGGATATAGTATAAAATAAATAAATAAAAAACTTAATATACTAGTAAATAAAAATTAGTAAGAAATAGCTATCTTATATAATAATAAATAGAGTTACTAGAGCTATAGAATAGTGAAGACTTAACTATTTTAGATAATAAGGACTAGGAGGGAATTTAAAGTAATAATTTAAAATTAATATCTTAAAAGAATACTAAAAAGATAGATTTTAAAGGATTATTTATAATTATAATATCCTCTTATTAGGAGTAAATAAAGTAGTATAAAAATAATATATTTATATAGATAGATTAGAAAATAGTATTATACTAGAATTACTTTCCCAAGAAGAAGAAAAGAAATTATAGACTAGTAGATTTTACTAATTATAAAAAAAAACTAATTATAATAGGATATTAAGAATTATACTAATTAACTAAAGTAATAAATAATTATTAATTAAAAGTCTAAGTTAAACTTTATATTAAGAACCTTATAAGATAAGGCCTTAGCTAATTAGAATAAATTATTATTATTACTAGGAGAAGGTGCTAATTCCTCTAGGTAAGCCTTAATATAATAAGTAAATATCTAAAGATCCTAAAGAATTATAAAAAAATTATAATAATTACCCTAGTTAATATAACTTACTAGCTAGAGAATATAAACTCTATTAAAAGAATTTTTATAACTAAGTAATAATAAAGAAGAATAATATTTAATAAGGCTCTTTATTAAGACTACTAATAAGATACTTACTAAAGTATAAGAAGGAGTTACTATAGTAGAACTAACCTAAAAAAGAGAAGGAGTTAATCTAACTAAACTACTCTAAGTAAGAGAGAGAGTTACTAAAGAAGAACTAATCTAAGAATAAGATAGAGTTATTATAATAGAATAATATCCCTTAGCTAGACTAATCACTACTACTATAAAATATTTTAAAGAAAGATAATACTTCTTAGCTAGAGCCTTCTTTACTATAGGAGAAGAGTCTTTACTATAAGAAATATTAAATAGACCTATCTCTACTATAGAAGAAGAGCCTTTACTATAAAAAATACTAGAAGGACCTATCTTTATAGTAGGAGAATTAATATTACTTTCTATACTAGACTATATATATTTATTATTATCTAGAGAACCTTTACTAGTACTATTATCTAACTCCTTACTATAATTACTAGTTACTACTACTAGCTTAGCAGGCTAATTATATAACTTATTACTATAATTAGTAAGGAAACTAAGACTACTAGCTTAAATAATAGATTTATAAGAGTAAAAAAAATTAGTAACTATAAATAAGAAATATTTACTAAGGAGAATATATACTTATTAAGAGTATTAGAATCTTATATATAAAAGCCTTATATATAGAATAAATATACTAATCTTTAGTTACTCTAAGTATAGTTAGTATAGGACCCCTAAAAAAATATAAATCTATTATAACTAAGAGTAGAGATACATCCCCTAAAGGGATCCTTACCTAAAGAATAATTACTATAAGCTAATATATAGTTATAAGATATACCTTACTACTAGAGAATAATAGCTAATATATAGCTTAAGTAAGTATATTCCTTTATATCTAGCTTCTTCTTCTTATTAAACTTCTAGATAATTAGATAAATAATATTCATCACCTTTAATATACTTTTATTAGGTCTACTAAGATAAGCTTCTACTATTAGTAAGAGATATTTACTAAAGCTAAGAAGGGTACTTACTAAACTTATTAAAAATAATTATATTCTTTTAATAGATAAAATAGCCTTTATCTTTCTTTTATAGAGTATTTATATTTACTAAGTATAAGAAGAATATAGGAGACTAGTATATAAAGAAAGAGACTTACTAAAAGAAAGATAGTGATTAATATAATAAAAAAGAAGATAATTATAGGAGGAGAAAAGAGAAAGAGAAATATAAGAGATAAAAAGAAAATAAATAAGATAAAAATAGAGTTACTTAAAATTAAAATAAATAATATATAACCTTATCTTACCTCTACTATAATAACTATACTAGTAACCCTACTTACTAAGTAATCTAATACTACCCTCTAAGTAATCTAATATTACTTACTAAGTATAATCTAATATTACTTACTAAGCATGATCTAATACTACTTACTAAATATAATCTAATATTACTTACTAAAAATAAATCTAATCCTACTTACTATATGTAATGTTGCTCCCTTAGACTATAAGGATCTTTTAGTAAGGAGCTAGATAACCTACTAAGGATAGGCTTTACCTTAAGTAGGGGAGGATGTGATATTAGTAAATAAATATTATAAATAGATTAATAATTATTAAGATTAACTCTGAGTTACTAAGGTTAACCTAAGAAATCTCTATAATATCTATGACTTATCTTTTAGATAGATAGCTAGTAGCTAGGTATAAATAGAAGATCTTACCCCAGGTAAGTAAAGAGGCATTAGCCCAGCCTATTTCTCTTCACCCCTAGTAATACTACCTTACCCTTGGTAATTCCATCTATTTAAATCTTTACTAATTTATTATAAATCTTAAAAATACTATCTACTTCTATAAATATCTTATAATAGAAACTTTTTTTAGTTAGGCTCTAATTCTTTAGGGAGGATTATTTCTAATTCCTTTTTAGTCAAGATAACAGCTACTCTTATAAATAAACTAGCTATACTAAGTTTGAAGTTTTAAGATAAAAACTATACTAAATTAGATTAGGTTAAGGGGGGTTCAAGTCCTAAAAGTCTAACTTAAAACTGAATGCAACTGTAGACAAGCCTCAAGAATCAAGATCAGATCACCTAATATGCTCTCTATGCAGATTGAGGAGCATCTATGGCATTGCTTTTCTCCTATGGACAGAGTAATAAGTGAATGAAGTGATTCTAGGAGATCATGTGAGTGATATATCCCTTTGGACAGTAGATACATCCTTCAAATCACTGTCTATATCACTTCTGACCAGGATATAGGATGAATAATCAGTACTTTGACATCGGTTCCATGTCAATCAAGCCAGTTCGGCATATACAGCCTTCTCAAACGTGCTTGTCAACTCCTCGAATCTGGCATCAGCCTGCAAGATCACCTGCGTGAACGTCGTGGCCGCAACCCCCCCTTGGCCCGATCAATCCACCAGAACAAATTCGGCCGTCCAGCCCATTGCAGAGTACCCGCAGACCGCTTGCCAGGGATCGCCTCCATATACAGCGGGCCCCCCAGCGCAATCTCAACCCGCCCAGCATCCATATCGACCGTGGAGCGAAGCGACGCGCGCAGCGGACCCGTCAACAGCTCCTGGAGATCGCCAGAGGCCACATGCTGGGGCTTGAAAATCTCGTCAATGCTCGCAGGTGAGAGGATCGGGATTCCGTCCGCAAGGATCATGGTGAGGAAGCAGGTCCAGTCGCATGGCATGGACCAGATCCCGTGGCCGCCGCAGTCGTGCGTGGCGGGGATGCGCGAGAGCCAGTCCCCGCGCTCGAGGCCCTGGTCGTCGGTGCGCTCGTACAAAGTCACCAGACGGTCCATCATTCCTTCGTGCAGCTCGGGGTGGAAGGTGGTCGAGGTGATGCCCAGCGGCTCCCAGATGTTGGCGCGCATGAAGTCCTCGAGGGTGGTGTTGTTGGTGCGTGCGATGGCCGCGCCGGGCTCGAAGAGGAGGGGGTAGGTCTTCATCACTTCCTGCTGTGGGTTAGAATCCATCCGAGTGGGAAACGGAGGAAAGGAAACGTACAAAGTCGCTATCAAACACGCTGTTCGTCTTGCCATTCTGGCGAGCCCAGCGGGCCAGCGGGGGGCTGGAGTGATATCCACAGCCACTCTGGTGGCTCATCAGTAGACGAAGCGTGATGGTCTTGGTGCGCGGCTTGGTCAGGCATCGGCCCTCGGCATCGACTCCATCGAGCACGGGGAGAGCGCACAAATCTGGTAGGATTGGGGCCACATCGTCATCAAGATTGATCTGGCCGCGCTCAACGCAGATCATGATGGCGACGGTGGTCATGAGCTTGGACAGCGAGGCCATGCCGTAGACCGCGTCAAAGTCGACGGGGACGCTTGACTCTTTAGAGAGCGTTCCCTCGCTGAGAGAGTAAAGCTGATCGCCTGCGAATCATTAGTACGTATTTTGCGCTGGTTGGGTAGTTGCACGTACCATTCTTGTTGACCACAGAGCACACATAGGAGTGCATGACGGGCTTGGGATCGGCAGTAGCTCGACGGACTGCTTGGGAAAACTTCTTCATTTCAGTCTCAGAGACGCCATTGAGGGCATTCACCCCATTTTAGCCATTGACGACATGGCCATTCATGACGTTCGTCTCATGAACCCCATTAGTCCCATTTATCTTATGAACACCATTTGTCTTCCCCGCTGACCCATTGGTAACAGCAGCTGCCGCAGCTTCCGCCGTGGCAGCCTTGCTCCTCATCAGAGTATCCAAGATAGTCCCTGCCAGACTCTTCGGCGTGCAGGAAGGCGCCAGCAGCTGCAAGAACGACATCCCCACGCCAAACTTCTGACTCAACCAATGGATCAGCTCGCTGCCGGACATACTGTCAAGGCCAAAGTGCGAGAACGGCCGGCTGATGTCAATGTCCTCGACGGGGATGAACATAAGCTTAGCCAGCCGCTGCACAACCGCGTCCGCTAGCATAATCACAGCCTTGCCGCGGTCATCCGGGATGTCGGAGAGCTGGAGCTCGTCGCCGCTTGCTTCTGCCGCTGCACCACCGCTGCTCCCGGCCGCCTTGCGGGACTCGAGCTTGCGGTTCAGGGTACCAACGCCCTTGATTGGGCCCAGCGAGATGGTGGCGGCGGGTAGGCCCATGCGGACACGCTGGCGGGCGAGGTTGTCCAGCACCGCGTTGGAGGCGGCGTAGTTGGATTGCGAGATATCTCCTACTATTTATTTAGTATACTCCATGGTGGGAGATATATGACTTGGTCCTTCCTGGTTGGCTGATCTCAGTGCCTTGTAGGCTGACTATATGGATGCTATAATTACAGGATTAATTAATGATTATTATTCTAAGTCGGATGAAAAAATATAAAAAGCTGCAGGAAGCCCTAGGAAAAACACCGGAAGTCGGCCAGGGCTATGCTATCAAAATAAGTATGTACTGATATGGTGTCTTTACTCCGCCCCCATCCAACTACCTAGGTACCTTAGTAAATGCTTGTACTGTACTAAATACTCGGCCCCGCCTTGGCAACATTGACGTGGCCCCCATATAGCATTGGCCCTAATGATATGATACCAGCAAGGCGAATCCATAAATCTATCACTGCCCATGAATCTGCTTGAAATCACCCTTCTACGAACCACCTCCCGCGAGAAAGGCGCAAAGCATCAGTCATGACTGCCATCTTGGGAAAGGTAGCATTCCACATACTCTACGGAGATAGAAAGAAGAAAATCACCCAGTTTCTTCGCACTACCACACCTGGTCAGTCAGTCAACACCTAGTGGCATCGAAGGGTGAATAATGGACCTGACCAAAAAACATCTAGACTCCGTTCTTTCAGACCTGCACACCAGCCTCGTAGGGAAAGGAATCACCTCCATCACACCGCAAGCCGTCTTCTACGCGTCTAGCATTAGGGACTCACCCCAGGAGCAGCCTTGTAAGTGATCCTTACCCCACACGAGAGCTCAAGACTCGAGCGAGCAAGTTGGCTAGCCCATAACAGGAGAGGCTGATGAGATACTGGATACTGTTTCAGACTGGACGAAAAAGAGTTTCCAAAACCACCTTGCCAGAACCCATCCGGACACCACCATCCCAGACACAGCGATTAATGTCCTGTGGACTTGCTTCTACTTCTACGCCTATCACCCGTTCCCACTCCCTGGTGCGGGCGACAGGAAGCTGGAGCTGCCAGCCTTTGAGCGTGGGTTTATCCTGCTGTCTCTCCAAGGCACAAGGCTCCTCGGAATCGTAGAGGATGATTTCGGTCATTGCTGGGGGCGGGTCGAGGATACTTGTAGCTGCCGGTTTAGGATTAATCGAATCTTCCGAAGCCTCAGCCTGGTCAATTGTCAGTCCAGCTCAGATCCACAAGTCGCTGGTTTTGACACATTCATCACCGACGATGTGATAGATGTCATACTTACGATATTCCCTTCCCATCCTAAACTGCATCCATCCCTGGAGCAGCTGAAGCCGCTGGCGGAACGTTTGCTCCAGAGGAGAACAGACCAATATCAGATGAAGGTCAGCGACTTGGCTACTTTACTCTGCCTGATAATGAGGCTAAGGGTCTATCAACCGACCTGGGACCGGGGCTTTCATTACGGCTCCTTCGAGGAATCCAGTCCGGAGAAGGAAGAGTTCGCTAATATCCTGGCCCAATCTTTCTGTCTTGACGACGACGACGAGTACCTGGCCCCCGACTCAGTGCTCCGTGCTTTAGATATCCTGGTAAGGATGAACCCGTTTGTTGACTTTCACCCCTCCTCCCAGCTGTGAATCTAACAATATTGCTGGCACCAGCCAAATCTAGAGCAATGGTTTCATCAGCTATGGGCAACCCTTTTTCAACCTTGCACGTCCACGGGGATACCAAACTTAGAAACCGAATCATCACCAGACACCACTATGGCCGGGATTCTTCGAGCAGTATCATTGTTTATCCCTCCGTTCCAGGCCCATAAAAGAACTGAATTGGCAAGAAAAGTCAAGTTGATTACATTTCAAAAATGCTATGACTCGATATCCCAGAGCTTGACAGACAGCCTTGATCTTGGCCATATACTTGGGCAAATTTTCCACGGCGATCCGGACCGTCGGTCGCACCTTGTTCTTTTCCTGGGACACCAAGCTCAGGACTCGAAAAGGGTAGTTGTGGGGGCATTCTTCCCTATCTGTACGCAGAACCCTGCTGCAAAAGAGGGAAAGGAGCCCGAAAAGATATGTAAATCAAGAATTGCCCTTCCACAACTTCTATTCCAGCTTCAACCAAGCTTCAGTCTTTTTCGATGGAACGGAGAGGGCAGCATGTCTTCGTCTCAAGCATACGACAGTGCTACAGGGTATACCGGCCACCCTAACTGCATAGGGGATCTCAATAGATCGAAGGTGGGAGTGGAGATTGACTCCGTCACAAGACAGGCTACCTTTCTGCGAGGCACAGATACCGCCAATCGGATGCCAGGCGGGTATGAAGAGGTAACTAGGAAGCATGACGGGGCTGAGAACATTCATGAGGATCAGCAAGAGCGAAAAACAGACTTTACAGTGACCCGTATTGCCATATTGAACGTGGAAGGTGGGCCCAATTACGATTATCCTTGGTGATTCGGGCAAGATGATATAACAATATTCAAAGAAAAGAGATAGATAGTATTGCTTTACATCTTGATCTTCTATTTAGATTGGTCTCATAGCAGTTGATGCCAGTGTTTCTCAATGGCATCAATGTCACTCCCCCAGCTGATTTGAGCAGCAGGATGTTCTTTGTTGCCCATTTCTTCCAAATATAGACCGATCTATGCTGACTCGAACACTCTGTTTCCACGACTGTCTCCAAAAGCTTTAATGGGACCAAACAAGTTTGACAGACAAGAACACGGCAGAGGGCCTGAAGCTGCTAGACGAGTTGTGGAGGATGGGATTTAGGGTAGTTGACGAGGACGCGGAGTTGACACATAATACTATCATTAGACAGCAGGGACAATATTCAATTTCGAGCTGCGGCCAGGGAAATGGTTCCCTGAGACTAAGGTGTACCTGCCCGTCCGACACTACTGTGAAAGTGATGTGCAGGTTGCTAGTCGGGTTCTAAGTGTTCTTTGGAAAGCTCAGATGGCACAACCGGGAGAGAGATTATTAGCAAGGATCTAGAAGATTGGTTGGTAGGAAGGAGGAACTATATAAGGATACTTATTTATATTATATCTAGCACTCTTAGTTTTAGTTCCTCATGCGTAATTTTATTATAGTCTACTTAAGTATAAGTTTACTAGTCTAATTTACTACTACTACTATTTACTATTAAGTCTATATATACTTAATAGCCTTACTTCTATCTCTACTATTTAGTTATTCCTATATTACTTCAGAAGTGACCTTCAGATCCTGGGATGGATCATAGTCTTTGCCATTAAATCTTATAAGTATCAGGCACATTATCGGCCTCCAGCGCAATGCTGGCGCGGTTTGCGCCGGAGTCGCTGACTGTGGCCGTGGTCATGGACAGCATGGACTGGTTTGATCCTGGGGAGGCGGCGGTGGCGGCAGCGGTGCAGGTTGGACAGTTGCATCGGGTGCGCAGACGGGGGGCGCGTGTATCGACCGTGTGAATATGTATGCGTCGTGCTGGATTTGTACGAAGGTTAGGACTGAGTAGGGGGGTGGGTATGCAGCAAGTACACATTGGAAATTGGAAAGCTGTAGGTATTTTCTAGAGTGGCACAACCTAACTGCTATACCTTAACCATACCCTCACTATTCATCATATAAGTAGGTTAAAGAATGGCAGTAGACCTGGCACCTGTTCCCAATTGATTGGCACATATGTCCCTTTCTGGTGAGTATTGATGTGATTCTGCATTCCCATCTGAATAACTACTCGTAATTACACAGCCCAACAATAAGAATGAATTCTCCATGTTGGTGATCTGGCCCTGCAAGTAAGTATAGCACCATCGAGGATCTGCCCTCCACCCCCACAAGCCCACCGGAACATTTCTCAATTGACTTGTCCAGTTGTCCTCCACCTTCCCGGATTTTCAATCTCTCTCCGGATCATTTGGTCGATGTTCTAATATAGATTAACTTTGTCAGTCTTCCTACAGCTTCACCACTGCGGAGATCCACAAAATCCTTTTCGTTCAACTCCACCGGCGCAAATGCGGATTCCGAGACAGACACAGAGGTATATAAACCTCCGTCACCCCCAGCACTTGACAAACATCCATTCCTCACTTCCCAACCATCTGATCCAAGATGAAATCGGTTCTTATCTCGTCTCTCGTGACGGGAGTTGCTCTCGCCGGCCCCCTTCAGGCCCGAGATGCCGTCACAGCGCAGGTCAATTTTGCCAATAACACGGGGGCACCGCAGCATCTTGCTTCGGGACTTCTCTACGGTCTCCCAGACACCCCGAACCAGATCCCTGTATGCTGGTTGTCACCCTTCGCACCCGGATCAATGCTGACAGCTTAGGCTCACTTCTATACCGACATTGGGTTTAACTATGAGCGAGCGGGAGGCGCTCAAGTCCCTTCTCCCGGACGCGGTTGGATCTGGGGGGTTACTGAATACCAGGTACTTCTTAAGAGACTTGATAGAGCTAGGAGGGAAGCTGACGGCAAGTAGAACCGCTTTGCGTCGGCCCTGTCTAACTACAGAACAGCTCGCCAGCACGGCGCCACGTTCATCTTCCTCATCCACGATCTCTGGGGTGCGGATGGCGGCCAGAATGCATCTGCCCCGTACCCCGGCGACAACGGCGATTGGACGAGCTGGGATACGTATCTCACACATCTCTTTGAGGATATCCAGAAGAACGACATGACTGATGGACTAGTCATTGATATCTGGAACGAACCCGATCTGAGCATCTTCTGGAAGCGAACCCAGGAGCAGTACCTCCAGATGTGGGGGAGAACCTTCCATCGATTCAGGTATGGCAAGACGATTTTTTTTTCTTTCAAACAAAAGAGAAAAAGTAAAAAAAAAAAATCAACAACCAGCTAAACCAAGTGATAGATCCGAATTCAGCAACAAAGTCCAACTCTCTGGCCCCGCGTCGGCCGCCGAACCACTCGCCAGCAGTACCTGGTGGCAGGCCTGGGCATCCTTCGTCGCCAGAAACAACAGCATCCCCGACCAATACGCCTGGCACATGGAAGGCGGCGGAGGCGATCTGCTCTCCACGCATGCCGGGCTGCTGCACTGGCAGAAGACCTACGGGCTCCCCTCACGACCGATCAACATCAACGAATACGCGATCCTCACCGAGGAAGTACCCGCCGGCTCGGCCTGGTGGATATCCCAGCTGGAGCGGATCAACGCGCACGGCCTGCGCGGCAACTGGCTGGGCGGGTACCAGCTGCATGATTTCATGGCGAGTCTGCTGGGCAAGACCAAGGTCGGAGCCGACTATGATCCCACGGGCACCGGGTACTACCCCAACGGCGACTACCAGGTGTACAAGTACTACAACCAGAAGATGACGGGGCACCGGGTCGGGACTCTGCCCTCGTCGGACCTCAAGCTGGATGCGTATGCGACGGTGGGCGAGGATGGGTACGCGCGCGTGCTGGTCGGGGTGCGCAATACCAAGGGGACCTGGCAGTTGCAGTTGAATAAGCTGTCGGCGCTGGGTCTGCCAGCGAGTGGAACGTTGAATGTTCATACCTGGGGTTTCCCCGTGGGCGCGGATGTGCATTATGGGAGGGTTGATGGGCCGACGGATCTGGGTTGGAATGGACACCAGTACTCGGGCGACAGCGTCACGTTTCCCATTTATCAGACGGACACGACGACGGCGTATGCATTTGAGTTTGCGATCTGAGGTGTCTTGGAGGTATCACCCTATCCTTGTGTCCCTATCATTCGTTGGATAGGGCTATCTGCTGTAGCTTCATACATACATAGGAGAGGCCGTGGCCAAAAGTGAAGGACTCACATTCAACCATGGTTACCTCGGGCTCACCTGTGCCTATTGATTGATATATTGTAGATCCGTTATCACTACAACATAAGGTCTAGTCCACAGCAACTGGACCCTTCCACTGCCAACCCCTATCGCTGAAATCCAGCCCTAAAGATCCCATTCTGATGGCGCCATGGGCCACGACATATGCGCCCCAATGTAGCCATGATGAATAGGCATCGATTTAACATACGTAGGATGAGCGAAAGACGTGTCCAACAACCAACATGAAGTTGGCGTGGCAATTGGATACCGACCTCTTGGTTCTTGACCACGAATCCCCTGCGAGATTCCCCTTCCGGATAACGAGAGTAGATCACAAAGACTAGTTATAATCAAAGTTCAAATAGATTTTACTACCCCAGATAGTCATAGAAATGACATAGCAGGGATCCATACACATCAGAAGCTTTGCAGAGGTGAGAGCGTTGCACCCAAATGCTTCAATAGCTTGCGGGCCTTTTTGGATGGCATTGCCGCCGAACCAAAATAGGCTCGTGCGAGTCAGACAGGACACCGAATCTGGGAAAGTACCTTATCACTGAGGGGGGCTTTGAGAATTATGATCATCGTCCTGCATCGATTGTCTGTTTGATAGGTTTTGGGGAGTTGACTGCACCGCATATCCTACGAATCCCTCCAGCTTTCTAGCCAATCGAGAGTGCAGACAGGATCTGCAAGGCTGAACAGAGATGCGTTGCCAGAGGCCTAGTACTCTAGCCCTCTCTCGATGGCTCCCCCATGTTGTTGAGGTCATAATGTGTTCGTATCTTATATCCCCTGATCTTAACCCCCCTATATACAGGAGCGCGATCACCAGCTTTGACAAGAACTACAAATCCCAGAGGACTAGACTTCGATCATTTCGCTGTGCCATAGTAATCTGGACAGCAGGAAAGGTCCATGACTCAGGCGCAAGCTTCCAGCTGAACCACGTGGTCTCAGTCTGTGAGTTGGCCTTTAGGATATACTTGCTACCCATGCAGCAGGGCTACATGCGTCGAATGAAATCAAATCGTTGACATATTTGTTTTTCTCTGTCGCTTGCTGAGTGGCTCTCCAGATCCCCTCCCTCTCTACCTTCTCCTCATCATCTCATTCCAATCACTTCATTATAAGAAGCAGCTTCTCTTTCCCCTCGTGGCCATGGCCTCTCGCACAGTTTGAAAGATTTTATCTCCCACTACCGTTCTAATTTTATCGACATCTTCACCGGTCATAATTCTCCACTCTAGCCATCATGCCATCTCGCAAACCAAAGCCGCAGAAGAGCTGGTCGATGCACCCATCCCTGCACGATGATGTCGCCCGCCTGCTCGCAACAGAGAACCTCTCATTCTCCTTCCACACGGTGGACGACGACAGAGACTGTACAGAGGACTACGACACAAACATCATGGGCCGGTTCATCTGTCGCAACCGCGCCTGCAGCTCGAAAGGTTGGGGGAGCAAAAAGATCGCCATCACGATCCGGATGTACCCCGGAGAAAAATACAACGCAAGAGTATACCACCAGCGGTGCAAGGACTGCAACTGGCTCAGTCGACCGATTCTGGATGCATCGTATGCCGACAGAGTGGCGTATCGCATCAAGAAATGGCAAGGGATCCAGATGGAGACGCCCTACTTCTCGGGTGAAAGCAAAGGCCCCCACAATCGGGATCTGTGCGAGGGGTGCAGACATGGGCATTGCGAGATGAGAGACATGGCGTGGTTTTCAAGGATGAGGATATGAGTCCATCAGTGCGCGCGCATGAGCTTGTTGTTTGAGGGAATTGCAGCAGCTACAGATACGCGGCGATGTTGAAATGCCCATAAGATGATAGTGGAAGCTTGCAGAGTTTGGTTAAAGAGTAAGCATGAACTTAGCCCTTTTTGTCAGGAAATAATATCAATCGTCTGTTTTCTCGGAATGGAACGTTGGGTGATGGCCTGGCTTGCCTAGCAGCCGAGTTGGCTCCAATTCCTTTCCCACAGCAGCCAAGAATAGGAGCCATAGGCCGAATCAAAAGCGTTATGCGAGATGTGGCAGCCGCAACTGGCTGATGAATAGAATTGAAAGTCGCCTGAAAGTTTGATCTGGTTTTTGGATTTGTGGTGTGCACCGAGGACGTCTAACTGTAATCAAATCCTGCATCAATCCTGCAGCTCGCTATCCTTACCATGCAGTTCATGCGCAGTGTCGTTCTTCTTTAGCTCGTCCTGGTCAGAGGAGAGCTTTAGGAGCTCGGCGGCGGCGGCTTGGGTATATGTATTATCTGGACCCAGAGCCTTCTCAAAGCCAGCAACTGCTTGCTGGAGAATCTCCTGGGCCTCCTCAAATCTACCCTGGTCCCGATAGACTGATCCAAGGTTTCGAAGAGCACCAAAGGTAGACGGATGGTCTCCTAGCAGCTTTGCAAACCCCTCATAGGCCTGGCGAAACAAGTTCTCGGCCTCTGCTAACCGTCTCTGGTCCTGGTAGACTGCTCCAAGGTTATTAATGGCACCCATTGTATGGAAATGATCCAAGCCATGGGTCTGTGCCTTGCTGTGATATATATATCGAAATATCTCCTCAGCCTCCGCCAGTTTTCCTTGATCTTTATAGAGACTGCCAAGGCTATTGAGAACAGATAGCGTGAAAGCGAGATCTGGGATAGGGCTCTGTTGGGTATCCAGTAGCTTCCAAAACATTGCCTCGGCTTCTTCCAGATTTCCTTGCTGATATGTCACAGTGGCAAGATTCTGGAGAAAGCCTAGAGTGGATGAATGATTTGGCCCAAGTGCTTGTTCACATGTAACCACAGCACGATGGTACATTTCCCCGGCCTCCTTCAATCTTCCCTGGGTCCTGTAGAGACGGGCAAGATTATGAACAGCACCCAGAGTTGAGTGATGATGCAGACTTAAAACCTTTTCATACCCCGCCAGAGCTTGCTGAAACATGTGCTCAGCCTGCCTGAACTTGCCCTGGTGTTGGTAGACAGCACCGAGGTTATTGATAGCCCCAAGAGTAGAAGGATGGTCCAAGCCAAGGGTCTGTTTCCACCCATGATACGCCTGCTGGAACATATCTGTAGCCTCATCTAGCCTTCTCTGGCTCCAGTAAAGACTTCCGAGGTTGTTTACGACAGCAAGTATGCTGTTGCTGTTGAGACCAGAAGTCTCTTGATAGCCAATCAGTGCATGCTGGTACATCTTCTCAGCCTCCATCCATTGTTGCTGATCCTTGAAGAGATCCCCAAGACTGTGGACAGTGCTCAGAGTAGAGGGGTGATGGGGGCCCAGTAGTTTCAGACACCCCTCGAGTGCTCGCTGGAGCATGATCCCAGCCTCGTCGAGTCTGCTCTGGTCGTGATACAGGATTCCAATATTATGCACGGTATCAAGAGTGGAGATATCATCCCGCCCAAGGAGCTTTTCACGTTGGATAAGTGCCAGCTGATAAACCTCTTCGGCTGCCTTGAGCCTTCCTTCGGACCAGAAGAGACGCCCAAGATTGTGGAGCGCAGCAAGTAGTTCCCGGTTCTGTAAGGATCCTGACTCAAGGCTGAGGGACTGGCGAATTCGATTTGCGTGGGGGAGAAGACGGCGTTGCAGATTCCAAGAATCCGTATTCTCGGGTGATTTTGGCACACTATAGCCTATAGCAACTGCAGCAATGGCCCAATTGTCTTCCTCTGTCCCCTTCAATTCGGTATCGATCTTCGGAAGCTCATGTTGGCACCAATTCTGAACTACCGGGTGCAAAGAGTAACCGCCGGTATTTGACTGTTGCTGCAGTAGAGAGAGAGCCAGAAGTACTTCGACAGCCTTGGAAAACTGGATTTCAGAAGCGGCTACACCAGAGAACCACAGTGGTGGCGCGTGTACCCTGAGGCCACCGTGAACTAGTTCATACCAGATATCTCCTTGGGAAAAAAACGAAAAAAGATAGAGCAGTCTGGCAGCGTCTGGAGAACGGTTCTTAATCTCATTGTAGGAGATGTTCCACACGGTAAGCATATTGCCATTGGAATATTCGCGATGACGTGGCGCTACTGCTTGGAGGTCACACCACGCTTGGTCGTAATGATTCAGATACTTCTCATAGCTCATTCCTGTGCGGCCGATATATGAGCCAGCAAGTACAATTGCGAGAGGGAGGCCGTCGAGGCGATATGCCAACTTTTCGAGTCCAGAATCAAGCATGGTACTGGCAGAGGTCTGGCTGCTGCTGTGGCAAGAATGGCTCCTCAGGAGTTCCAACCCGTCATGAAAATCCAATCGTTCCAACGAATATGAAGATGTGGCAACCTCTATCAGCTGCTGTAGTCGTGTGGTGATGACAATCGATCCTTGGTCGGCCGATGGGAAGTAGTCATTGATATCGTATGCTCCTTGCGGTTCTTTGTCACTCCAACCAGGCGCGTACTGATCCACATTGTCATAGATCAACAGCCAATTACAGTTTTTTCCTTGGGACAACCATTTGAGGACCTGTAGCGCGCTCTGCCTCAGCTCTTCCTTGCTCCGTACGCCATGGCCGGTATCCCGCTTGTCTGGGCCGTCTCGAAGCCGTGGAGCGAGGCCTGCCAGCGAGGCAATCAGAGTATTTTCGTCCTCCCCGTTGACCCAGAATACAGCAGTAAATGCATCTTTGTGTAATCGCGCAAAATGAATGGCCAACTGTGTCTTGCCCATACCACCCATGCCGTGAAGGACTACAACCTTACGCAGCTTCGAGGCGTTGGGTTGAAGCATGTCCCACATATACTCCAGCTCTGTTGCGCGGCCAATAAACTTGTTCACCACAGGTACACTCCCGAGTTCGAAAGGGACATGGAAAGCTTCTGTCATGCCAGCGTTAGCTATAGGAGCTTTTGCAATTTTCGATCCATTTACCGGTGATTTGAGATCCTTGGGTAGAAGAAGTCACACTGGCCTCCATCACCGGGATCACCGAGAGTAGTTGCTTGGTATATGCGGCAGCAGTCATGGCTGCAAATCCTTGCCAGCGGCTGTTCTTGTGGGAGTCTGCGTAATCACAAATGCCTCGTACAACAAGACATGGGAAATGGTCCATCAGCCCTGCTGCCTCCATCTCGAAACACAGTACACCCATCTCTTGCCGAAGTCGCTCTCGCATCGCGCCATCCCTCATGACCTGGTTCCCAGAGGCAATCAGGCCATAGTGCACCCGGGGCATATCGGGATTTCTTGCAGCTCGTTGAAGAATGAGGTCTTGATCACAGTTTGTACAATCCAGGAGATCGCCTTGGTGATTATAGGAGGCCGGAAATAGCTGATCTCGTATGGAACCCGGAGAACTAAACAAGTTCTGCGCATCGGGACTGATCTGAAGAGCATTAGAGATGATTGCCGGTATTGAATTCTTCCCAACGTGATGGTCCGATTCGAGATTGGCCATGGCCGTTAGAAGTGACTGGGGCGCCTTGTTCAATAATCCAGTGCGATGAAAGCGCCCATCGGCCATGCTTTTCCCGTAGTCGTATTGAATCACGCCGCCGTACTGCTCCGTTGGTTTGCTAACCACGATGTCTCCCAAACGGATGTCGTTCGATGGGCTGGGGACTCCCCCACCGATGCCCACCATCAGACGGAACCGGATGTTTGTAAAGCTCATCAGCATCTGCTGGGCCACGACAGCAGCAGAGGTGGTGCCATAGACTCCTTCAGGCAGACATGCAATCACTACGTTGTGACCAGCCATTTCCCCAAGAGTATAGGTGTTGTGGTCACCGTGCTGGCGCCGGAGCAGTCTGGGATGAGTCCGATCCAGCATCAATTTGGCAGCTGCCATCTCTATTGACAGAGCACATATCCACCCTACCGTGTAGCTATCATGGGTCAACAGTTCCATTGCTCGCCCGAAGCCTTCAAAAGGTATGTTTATCGTGCTTGGAAGTTATAAAGGAAGTCGAGATGAAGCCACCGGCAAAGAGGACGCCCGTGAAGGCTAAGCGCTGCCTCGCCAGGGTAGTAGTCCTGTCCAGTCCGCGGCTGCAGTTGCACTCAACTTTCAAGTCTCTTGGTCCAGAGTGATCCATGGAATTCTTGCATTATGGTAGCGCTAATGCAACTAATCCATCACGGCCAATCGCAAATGGACACACCTTTATGGATGTCCAGCCCCGCAGTTGCAGTTCCGCAGTATTATGAGGTATGATGCTGTGCTGAATACAGGGCAACGTTCCCATATCTCTATCAGACCGGATACTACCCATGGCCCCCTATATAACCATCAGGGATAGTCCGCAGTTTCTCTGAAATCTGCTGACAACCCCAGAAAAGATTGTATCGAGAAGGGTAGTCTCGTCTGTGGCTCTACCATTTCGCCGCTCTCTACATCACATTCCCTAATCGAAGTTACATATAATGAACTCTGATTCGGCCCAGTGCGCCTCTTCTGTGAAGCAGACTACACCTGAACGTCCTGCGGATCGTCGGGAATCTCTACAATTCAGACAGTCCATGTTGGCTGTTTGACTGCTTATCAGGGGGGTTTTTCGGTCTGCTTGGAAGTCGCCATCTCGTGTATATTGACCCTGGAACGGCTGGAGATATATGGATGAACACGATCACCGAGTCGATTTCTTCACCTAAATTTAACCTTTTTTTATTTTCGGCTAAGCAGGGCCCTGTTGTAGATTCTTTTTCCGTACCCCCATCAACGCCCTCATATCCATCCACAGTCCTCCTGAGATGTTGCCGAGTGCCCCAGCACTCTCCACTACCGGCCACACCACGCAGATGATCACACTGGCCCAGATCCAGACGAGCGAGACAACCACCCAGCCGGTGAAAAAACGCTCGCTGTACACATAACTTGACCCGAAGAGAGTGAAGGGCACCAGGACCACGGCGACGAGGATGAAGACGAGATTCGCCCCCTGCGCCAAGCGCTCCGCCTTGCGCACCACCTTAGGATCCATGAGCTCGATGTTGCCAGACTCGGCGGCCTGCGTCGCCTCGTGCGCTGCAGGATGCGGTACCTCTTTCTGGTCCTCGTCGTCCTTCCGCGACGACGTCTCGCTCTCCGGCGGGTTCACCACCACCACCACCGCCCCGTCCACCCGTGGAAACACCTCGGCCGCCTCGGCCGACGGGGACTTCTTCGGGAAGATCAGGCTCAGCACCACAGCGGAGATGGCACCGGTACCGAACGAGGCCAGATTCCCCGCCATCGCATTCGTCACGTCCCCCGTCGTCTCGACGTTAATCGCCCCCGAGCGCAAAGACGACGTGACGAACCACACCACTACGCCACAGACAAACCCGATCCACGGCGCCACGACCGCAGCAACTGTCGACATCCGGCCCCAGAGCAGGACCAGACCCGCCGGCATCGCTGCCCCGCCGACGATCACCCCGAGCACGGTCAGTACCCACGTCAGACTGAGTCCCACGGCGTTGAGCACGCTGCAGAAAGCCGCGAGGAGCACGGCGTACAGCACGATAGCCCAGTGGCTGACGCGCACGAGAGTGGCTGAGTCCGTGTGCGGGCGGAAATACGTCTTGTAGACGTCGAAGGTGAGCAGGGAGGACACGGCGATGAGCTCGGCGGAGGTGGAGCTCGTGACGGCCATGAAGAGAAGGATGAGCATGAGAACGGCGCCGCCTTTCCCAAGCAGCGTGATGGCCGTGGCGGGCGCCGACAGACCGGCTGCGACTTGTTCCGGGGATAGCGGGTGCGGGTATGTCGGAAAGGCTGGGTTGTTGGTGAGTGCTGCGCAGCCGAGGCCCATGGCTGTTGCGAAGCCGAAGGGGATTCCTGTAGTAGTCAGCTTCTATTCTACCATCAATTGAAGGAGACGGAGTAGGTAACGAACTCACCATACCACGCAATACCCCCCAGAAGATACGCCTTAACCGACGTCTCAGGCCGCGAGGCAATGGCCCGCTGCCAGTACGCCTGATCCAGCCAGACCGTTGTAAACCCGGCAACGAAGATATCCACCGCGAAGATCAGCCCCCCAACGGAGCGGAAGGCGAGGTACGACCCCTCCGTGTTGCGCTCAATCGGCATCTCCCGCGACGCCTGCTGCAGCAACTCATACAGCTTCCGCGGACTCCCGACCAAGTCACTCGACGCCGCGACGCTGAGCCCAAACACCAGGATGGCCACGAGCAGAATCACCGTGTGCGTGTAGTCCGCGATGAAGGTCGACCGCAGCCCACCGGCAATCACGTACGCCACCACCACGGCGGGGATCAAGAACGTAGCCGCGTAGACGTTCATGCCCGTCATGGCCGCGACGACCTGCGCTCCGCCGAGCACCAGACACGCGCCGACGAGCATGTTCGTCGCGAGGCCGTTGTAGAGGTACGTCAGGTGTGCGGCGGTGCCGTGGCGGGCGCGCACGATCTCGGGCATGGTGTGTGCGCCGGGGGCATGGGCTTTGATCTTGATGGCGATGAGACTGAACAGGAGGATCTGGAGGGTGCCCACGGCGCCGTACCACATGGGGCCGCAGACGCCGTACGTGTATGCGAAGGTGGAGCTGGTGAGGAGCGTAGCGGACCAGGTCCAGGAGGAGACGATGCCGGCGGAGATCAGGCCAGGTTTGATAGAGCGAGAGGCTGTGTTGAACTCTTCGGACTGGTGGGTAGAGAAGGCTGTGTAACGGTTTTGCAGCCAGGTGAGGCCGAGCATGAAGAGGGCGAAGACGCCGCCGATGCCGATGACGATGCCATAGCCGGCGCCGGGGGGAAGAACTTGTAGTTCTGTCATTGTACTTGCTGGATGGGAAGGGGGATTCAATTGAGCCTGTTCTTATATAGCGGTGTCGATCAAGAGATGCGGGTGACCCCGCATGTTATCAATTGGAGTCAACCTGCTGAGATGATACGGCAGCCAATTGGCTTATGGAGAGACATCAATTGGAGCGTGGCCGGTAGTTAGTAGCTATCTAGACGTTTTTAGTCGAGTTGGGGACTTGGGGTAGATCCTAGCGGCTGCTATCAACGCCTATCACAATGCTTGTTTGTTATCTTGAACCTGCAATGCCGATGATCGAGCCCTGAATCAGGCATGTCTGGTGGAGGTTCTCATGGGCGACCTTGATGAACTTCCCACTGGACCAGCCATCTTGTATTAGATTCGCGTCATGTCAAGCTTCCATGTATCACAAATTCCCCTAGACTCCCTGCTACAACAGAGCTCCTCAGGTGTCATTCAGGTCGTCCCACTATGCCTCGGAATGGATCGGAGCATCATGAGAAAGTCAGGTAAGCTGCAGGAGCTCAGACATCCTTGAGATCCACTGCGACTCCATAGTATCGCTTAGGTCAATGCATTCCATATCCTTGCTGACGGCGGCCCTCCACTCCCCTTCACCGACGGCATCCCAAACCGGATCGTACTTGGGCATTGGAAATTCTAGCTCGCTTGCGGTGAGCTGCCAGCTCGTCCCCCCTGGAATACTGCATTCCACCGTATGTGTGTTGATGTCAGTATTTCGTCTATCCGAGCTCAGAGTCTTGCAAACTTTGTATAGGGCTACACCAAAGCGTTTGACCTCTTCGACGCTCACCCAGACATATGTGACGAGATCATCTGGTTGATACCGCGCAAGAATGTTTGGGTAATGAAACACCCCTAGTCTTCTGCAACTGCCTACCAAGGAGGCAAGAAGAGCGGTCTTACTGGCCGATAGAGACGGTTTGAGATCAAGACCGAGAGAAATGTTGTCTCTGTGCAATAAGGTGAAGATTATATGGAGGAGGATAGCCTGGTACGTTGGGATTGGCCAGGAGCTGATCCTTGATGCGTTCTCTGCAACCGAGGCATCCCACTTGTCCTGCAATTTCCTCATGGTCAGTATACACTGGGATTGTTATTGCTGTGGGAATGCAGGGCAGAAGCTGACTTTTTGTTGATATATAGCTGAATTGAGGGTTTCATGGAGCTCAATGGCTGCGGCCCGGGTGCTCGGCACACCAGTCGCCCACATACCCATGACAATCATTGACTGTACCAGCAAAGGAGCCTCCGTTCTCGGATTGAATGATCCTCGGTGAATGAATGGCCAATGTGGGTGGAACACTTCGAAGTACAGCTTGAGGAATTGTTGAATCTTTCCAGTCGGACTGGGCTGGTCGGCCAACGGTGGACTGGAGTCTTTCCCGGAAGGTCCAAGTTCATCATGTAATGAACAGGAAATACCGCCACGCTGGCATCTGCTGCAGGGAGGGCCCCCTTCACACCGAGCTTTGAGGGCGCGGCAATTCGCACAAGCTTGCCTTAACGGTGGTGCGGGCTCACTCCCTTGGTGGCTCTGTCGGACATGACGACGGAGCGTGTCACTAGATTCAAAATTCCGCGATCAATAAGATACTCCATGACAGGCTAGCAATTGGGGAGATGTGCCTACTTCCTCCCGAAAATACGACTGCAAATCCGACATTGGAACGATCGTCGCGGGACGTGCTGCTCTCGGTGGCGATTAAGGTGCTCCTTCCGCCGATAACTGGCTTTGCAGCCTGGAACATCGCAGCGAAATTCACCTGAGTGCTTCATACGTCGTAGAATGGGAGGTCCACCGACGGGGTGAATGAATATTGAGGGGGGTGGTGTACGAGCAGTTGGTGAAGTCGGATATCCCACAGAGCCGGATATCCCGCCGTGGTTAATAATAAACCACCCTGTTATTTATTAAGCAAGTCAGTCAGTCAGTCAGTCAGTCCAGAGTATAGCAGTGCCATACTAGAAAAAGAGAAAAAAAAATGGATATATAAGTAGACGGCATTTCCTGCCTTTCTCCCACATCTCATCATAACAGTATTCTTCACATTTCCCATCATGGCTCCTACCATCCTCATCGCTGGCGCAACCGGCAACACCGGCCGCAGTGTGACAGAAACGCTGCCCAAGTTGCTCCAAGCAAGCAACACACTGTCCGACCACCGCATCATCGGTCTCACACGCTCACTGGCCAGTCCAGCCGCGCAACAGCTTGCCACAATCCCCGGCGTCGAGATCATCGAGCAGAACTGGGTCGAAACCACCGCCGACTGGCTCCGGGAACACGAGGTTGTCCGGGTGTTTCTGGCACCGCACAACGAGCCGAACCAATTCGCCGAAGAATCGGCCTTCCATCTGGCCGCCCTCCAGGCCGGGGTGAAGTACGTGGTGCGCATCTCGACGACCGCGGCCAATGTTCGCCCGGACTCGGCCGCGTACTACCCTCGCACGCACTGGGCCATCGAGGCGCTCCTCAGCTCCCCGGAGTTCGACCGCTTGCAGTGGACTTCGCTGCAGCCCAATATCTTTCCGGGGGTCTACCTCGCTTCCGCCGCCGAGTTCATCACGCGGTATCGCAAGACGGGAACGCAGGACTCGTCTCTGAAACTGATGGCCGCGGAAGATGCTCCTGTCGGCGTTGTCGACCCCGACGAAGTCGGGGGGTTTGCAGCCCACCTCCTGGCCCAAGACGACCCGGCGGTACATAACAAGGCCAAATATGTGCTGAATGGGCCGGAGGATGTTACGGGAGCCCAGATTGTCGACATGGTTGAGAAGCACATCGGCGCCAAAGTCGAGAGCGTCGTCTACAAAGACAAGTCGTTCGTCGATATGCTTTATCAGTATAAGTTCGCGGCGACGCAGCAATCGAAGAACGTGATCTACTCGGTCCAACACGGTCTGGACACGTCCTGGGAAGGAAAATGCTCGGCTGCTACCACGAGCAAGGAAGTGCTGGAGCTTGCTCCACCCAGGCGTACTCCTGCGGATATGTTGAGGGCCTTGCTGGAGTAGGAAACTGATTTGAGCGGCCAATGGAGCATGGCAACCGATGGATGATAGACAAGTCATGGCTTATGTATTGATCAGATGCATTGTTTTCCTTGTTGGAGGATATCACGCCGTGATTGACTCGTGTGATGTCCACTGCAGGGATCGATTGCCAGAGCAACTGAAAACACAGATGATCAGACGAATATAGCCCTAAGATTATTGAGAACGGAATTCATGCACCCGCGTTGATGGAATCTGCTTGAGCCAGGTGACGAACACCCTAGGAACACCCCGGGAACCCTAGAATCATACTCTCTCTCTCTCTCTTCTCCCAATAGCTTCATCTAGAATACGGATACAAGCTCTAATCTCAAACTTAGCCCACATTCTGACAAGATCTGGGTTCCCCCAGTTCGGTACTAACGATCTATCTACTAGTACTGCCCGCGGTCAAAAAGTGAATATTATTAATAAATCTATATGATTATCTCTATCTATATGACATGTGTGAAGAATGCGATCGAAATTAAGGTAGGGTGGATGGATTAAGCCTTGGTGAAGCGCGCGCGGATCTTCGCCCCGTAGATGTAGAAGCCAAACGGGATGAAGACCATGCCCACGCCCAGGAACGCCAGCAGCCACGAGGCCCACTGCAGGCCCAGCCGGTGGTACATCTGCGTGGTGAAGAGCGGGAAGGCGGCGCCGCCGCCGGACCGCAGGAAGACCTTGGCGGCGAGCGCGGAGGCGGCGTACTTCTGGTACGAGTCGATGATGTAGTTGTTGACGGCGTAGTAGCACAGCACCATGCCGTAGCCGAAGGCGATGCCGGAGGAGGCGGGGCCGACCCAGATGATATGCTTGTAGGAGGTGGCGCCGAGGATGAAGAGGGCGATGGGGATGAAGGGGGCGCCGATGAGGGCGCCGATGAGGCGGTCTTCCGGGGTGGGATCGCGCTTGTGGCAGATGCGGCGGAACTGCTTCTCGACGAGCGGGGTGGTGAGCAGCGAGAAGCCGGCGCCGATGAGGATGGGGATGAACATGAGGCCGATCTGGCCGTCGTTGTAGCCGTACAGCTCGCCGAAGATGACGGGGAAGGCGAAGAAGAAGGCGTACAGCATGGCGTAGATGAGCACGATGTACATGCACATGAGGTCGAGCACGGGCTCGGTGAGGATCATGGTGACGGGGCGGATGAGGCTGGTGCGCACGATCTCCATGAAGCTGAGCTTGACCCGCTCCTGCTCCGTGATGATGTTGGGGTTGCCGGTCTCCTTGCGGAGCTTCTTGGCCCGGCGCTTGAGGATCACCGGCGCGTACGTCTCGGGCACCATCCCCATGAGGATCATCATGACCCCGGAAAAGGCCATGTTGGTCCAGAAGAAGAGGTCGAGCCGGTGCGAGCCGATGTTGATCCAGCCGCAGACGATGGGGCCCACGACGGGGCCACAGTACGGCGCCGCGGCGAAGTAGGCAATGGCCATGCCGCGGTCCTCCAGGTTCCAGATATCGGCAATCGTACCCCCGGCGAGCGACAGGCCGGAGCTGGCAAAGACGCCGCTGAGGAACCGACACACCAGCAGGCCACCGATGTTCGGCGACAGCGCACAGGGGATCTGGAAGATGGTATACAGCGCCAGCGAGATGATGTACACCGGCTGACGGCCGATGATTTCCGACAGCGGACTCCAGAGCAAGGGGCCCACGGCAAACCCACAGACCATGATGGAACAGGTCAGCGTGGCCACCTCCAGCGAGACCCCATACTTCTCCTCGATCAGGCCCAGTCCACCGGTGACGATCGACGAACCATAGGCGATGCACACGACCAGCATCGAGGCAACCATGGTGACGTACCAGCGGTACAGCCGGGACCAGTTGTAGGGGTTCGCGGGGTCATCGATGGTAAACGTGACGAATTCCACGGGCTCGCCTCCCTTCTCCACGTCCGCCGGGGTGAGCGGCCGGCCCGCACTGGTCGTCGACCGGATCTGTTCCAGCGTGCGCGCCGGCACGAGACCGGTCTGGGTTTCGATGTTGAACTCCTCGGGGAAGATGGGGTCGGCGGGACGGCCGACCTCTGGGTATCGGACGCCCAGCGGCGGCGCGACGGGACTGATGCCGGCTTCCTGGAGAGTCTCGCGGGTTTCGGTGCGATAGAGCGACAGGCTGTTCCGGTGGGTGTTTGTCCGTAGCGGATCGATGATGTGGTCATGGTTGGGGGTGCTATTGAGCCTCGAGGGAGGCTCATCTGCGTTTGGAGCGGACATGGCGAGGTGATGAGGTGATTAGGTGAGGATATATGTATATGTATGGATGTATATGTGTATATATAGATAGATATATACCGTCCGAAGCCAGTCTATACAGAAAGAATGAGATCTGACAAAAGCCGGCCAACTATCGGAGAACCCAGCAAATATATAGACTTCTTCTATACCGTCTGATCAGCATCGGGAGCCCTGGCCGACAAAATCCCGACCCGCCGAGCTTCGGCCATGACGAGGATTTACGAATCCCACGCGACAAAAGACAATGGCAGGTCTGCACTAAAAAGGGACAGGAGGAATGCAGGATCTTATTCCGAAAACTAGCTATGCACCGGTGGCTGTTGGCTGTTGGCTGTTGGCGAGAGGTTGCAGAAATGGCGCAGGATGATGATCTCAAGACTCACAGAACAGACTGAGTTTAGAATTTGAGATTATGTGATATCCTTCAATTGATTTGAGCAATGCAGATAAGCTCCTACACGGACTGTTAAATTAATCATGATTAGTCTGAGGAAGTCCGAGTGAAATCCTTTGCGAATTGAAGCCGTCATGGACCATTAATAGTGACCATTAATGTCTTGAAAAAAAGCCACCAAGTACTCCGTAAATCGATTCTAATTTTCTCTCTGTTTCTATTTCTCAGTCATGATGTCATCTTCTCATCTTTCTCTGGCCCAAACTCGGTACCGAGTCTTGTCCGAATGATAACCATTATACATGAAGCCAAAGTGATCTCATTTGATCCACGCCCCCAGTCCGATCACTCCCGGGGCCAGTCTCTGGCTTTATTTTCTTTTCTTTTCTTCTCTATTCTGTTCTGGCGATGCGGCCCACTGTTTCACTAACTCAACCCTTTTGCATGGATGGCCACGAATTCCAGACCCCCTTGGCCCCCCTGGCGATCTCCCTCCGTCCGTCATACAAGGGGTAGACCACCACCGCCGCAAACGCGAAAAACTGCCAGAGAATGGCCACCGTCGTCCATCCGGCGAAGAACGATCGCGAGAAGATATAGTCGCGGTACAGCGGCATGGGCCAGAGCACAAAGGTGACCAGCACTAGCACCCCAAACACCACCCATGCGATGCGCAGCCACCGCCAGAGTTCCTGCAGCGTCTCCGCGCTGAACGGGTGCTGCAGGTCGTCGAGAGCCCGCTGCGATGATGACGGGAGGATCGGGGTGACCTGGGCGGGTGGTTGTTTCTTTTCTGCGTCTCCGTCGCCCGGGAGCACTGGCTGTCCATTGTCGGCGTCGGCGTCGGCGAGCTCGACACGCAGGAATTCCCGCCAGTCGAACCGCGCGGGCCGGAATACCGATAGCACGACCGAGTAGAGCGCCGGGGAGAAGAACGAGCCGATCGCGCCGTACAGCGCCGGGAGCCCCTGGCCCGTCGTGTCCATGGTCACGGCGCCATAGAGTGATTGGGCGCTGACGAGCCAGATGGTCAGTCCCGTGGCGAAGCCGAGGATGGGGGCCAGGATGGCGGCGAGGCGCGTCTGGCCGGACCAGAACAGCGTGAGGCCCAGCGGGATGATGCCCGGGCAGGAGAGGATGGGCCGGAAGTATCCGAGCCAGGTCATGTTGGCGCCGCCGTAGTTCAGGGCGATGGCGATGCCGGTGATGAAGACGGCGTGGACGACGGTGGTGAGGTGGCTGACGTGGAGCAGGCGGCGGTCGCTGGCGCGCGGGTTGATGTACGTCTTGTACAGGTCGAAGGAGAGGATGCTGCTGACGGCGATCATGGACGAGGAGACGGTGCTGGTCAGCGCCATGAAGAGGAGGATGAAGAAAGCGACGATCCCCGCGGGCCCGATCAGGGCTTGGACCAGGTACGGCATGACCAGGCCCGAGTTGATCTCGGCGAGCGTCAGGGTCCCCGGGTAGGTTGGGAAGATCGGTGTGTCGTGGAGGGCGCGCGCGGACAGGCCAATGACGGTCCCGAGACCCCAGGGGATGCCAAAGACCGCGACGGCGGCGAGATTGTACGCGGGGACGGTGGCATGGACCTCGCTGGCGAACGACTTTTGCCAGAACGCCGTGTCCATGATGACCAGGGCGAGATTGCCGAACTTGAGGATCAGGCCCCAGATGATGGCGTCGCGGGACTTCATCGTGAGCAGCGAGCCCGCGAAGTTGCCGGGAATGTAGTTCTCGGCCGCCGTCGCTCGGATCTGGTCGTACAGGCCCCCCAGGCCGCCGACGGCCGGATGGACCAGAACGGTCAAGGTGAAGTAGATGATGAGGATCAGGGCCACCGTCGTGTGCAGGAAGTCGGTCAGGAAGGTGGCTTTGAGGCCTCCAACCGCCGTATACAGCACCACTACACAATCAGCCTCGGGGGATCGACATGTAACCTCCACCAGCGAGATCAGGCATACCTCCCAGCGGCATCAGAATCGTCGCCGCCACGAAATTCATCCCCGACACGCCATAGATCAGCTGCGACCCCGTGAGAATCATACTCGAGCACCCAAACACGTTATTCGTCAGGTTGAGCACGATAAACACCACATGTCCGATGCGCCCGTACCGCAGCCGGATGATCTCCAGCGACGTATGCGCATAGGGCACCCGGATCTTGGCCATGACCCCGAGCGCCGCCATCAGGGCGATCTGGAAACACAGCCCAGAACCCCACCACTACCGTCATCCTTAGCAGAGCGCAGGGGAGGGGGTAAAGCCAACATACCAACGGAACCGCCAGTCCGTACCGGTAGCACATGGCCGCCGACAGAACGGTCTCGTTGATCCACATCCACGAAGAAAACACCGCCGAGGCCGTCAGCCCCGTGCCGACGGAGCGGTTGGCCACCATGAACATCTCCGAGGTGCCCGAGTCTTCGCAGAGATAGGCCTTTTGGATCTTGATGGCGATCAGGATGACCCCGCAGAAGAGCACGCCGAGCCCGATCAGGAGGCCATAGGCCGTGCCCTGGGGGATCAGGTCGACGCTGTGGATGTGTCCCGTGGCGACTGTCATGGTGCGTTGACTGATGGCAGATAGATATCAGGAAGGCGGCCGTATTTAACCTCGCCAAGGGTTCTGGATAGAGTGGCATTGCTTGTGCAGATCTATCGCGTTGGACTTGGCGTTTATGGCGTGCATCGTGATAGACGTGGAGTCATTATTGGCCTGGAGGGATGGGAGTTGGACATGGGCCGATTGCGTGCCATTGCCGCGCTATGGCGACGCAGCACACAATCGTAGTGGGCCAGCAGAACACCTCTATGAATCTGTCATTGGAAATATGGTAAGTATTTCTTTTGAGGTGTCCTTCAAAACCAACTAAACTACGAAACAGTGTGTGCAGTGCAGATTATGTGATATTGTTACTCGTGTATTGCTTCAAACTATATAGTACATGATCATAGCAAAGAATCCCTCCCGCGATCGCTCATTGTCATTTCTCATATCCATTCGATGGCATCATATTCACTCCTCAGGAGCATCGGCGTTGGAGTGAGAGCCACCCTTGCGGCCGGCCTCACGGGCACGAGGGTCACCAGGCTGGAAGCTGCCGCTGGAAGCATGGCCACCCTTGGAAGCGATCTCTTTCTGTGCAGCATTAGCATCATCATCATCATCATAGTAATGCTCGTATGGGTAAAAGAAGACATACCTGCTTCTGGGGATCCATGCTGGCGAAACCACCCTGGTGGCTGGACTGGCCTCCCTTGCGGGCAATGTTCTCAACCTCCTCATGGGGGCGGTTGGCAAAGTTGCCAGGGTTCTGATTGTTGGTAGGCATGTTGACTGGCGTTTCTTTGGGAAATAGAAAAGGGAGGTTGAACCGTTGGACAAGTAGAATTCAAATAGTATGCTCGTGGGATGGATTGCTTGTCTGTCTGACTGACTGATGAAGGATCGCATGGAACAGGGTATTCCAGGGGAGTATTTATGCTTGAGAAAGGAGCTGCTGACTCTACGATGGGTGCTTCCTGTAATGCAATTGGCATCCCACAGACAGGTATCCACTGTGATGATGCCCATTGACCTCATCCAACATCAAAGTGAACAAGAAGCAAGCAATGAACTTGGCAGCTATCCTACTAGACCTCTTAGGATAGTTGCCAGGCTCTGATTGTCTCTGCGGGAGCTTGCGTTGCCCCTGCCACACTCTGGACGGTGTCGATCTACGCCAGTTATCCTGGTGGAACTGGTTGGACTGGTTGAAACCATGAAGGAATCTGGGCCCGGAGATCCTGAGATCTGGGAAAAGTCAATTAATCCGGGGGGAGATCAATGGATTTCCACCGTGAGACCCAGATTATGACAGGGTCTCAACCAGACAGAGCGAAGATGTGGAATGCCGACTTCATCATGACACCTATCCCACACTACCTTGTAGGAAGATTTCAGCTTCAACACTCACACAGTCTGGGATATTTCTGTATATCATCATGATTACCTCAGTTGAAAGCTGCGGTCACTGGATGACGCTATTCTCAAAAATGGTAATATTGGAATATTGCCACTCCCACCTCTTCCTACTGACTACTATACTATACTGTATTCAAAGCCAATTCCTTTTGATATGAGCTAGATTGACAAACCACCCGTACAGGCGTTTGTTCCTCCTACTCTCTATCTCTTCCATCTATTTATTCTCTGCCGTAGATGTTGCTCTTCGCATTATCAGGCACTCGATTGTCGCCTCCATTCGGACAAGCGGGATCAGTGTAGCCAGCGCTTTTTCAACGGTCAATCCATCATCAGCTGGACTAGACTGGCCTAGCCGTATTCTCAAATGTCTCTGGATGGCACGATGGATTGTGTGTTCAGCCATAAATTCACTTCGATCCGTTGTTGCAAGTCAAAAGTAGCAAGTCAGATCGCACTGACCGGCTCTTCGACGTACTGGCATCGCAAGGATTTTCCCCCGTCAGTCTGCCCATTATAGTGTCGCTGCTGGAGCACACATTGCTCCACGACCATTAATTCCTGCGAAGGAATCAGCAATTTTTTTTGGCTGGAGACACTGTCTGTATTCGCCCAGTAGCTGGGGAGGGTGGGACTCTTTACTGTGAGAAGAAAGCAGTGGATAAATAACACTTTATCATCAGTATATGCAAGGTTCGAGAAGCAACGGTGAATTCTCATAGTTTATATAAGGCATGCATAGTCAACCACCAAAGTCTCCATAACCTCTGATAATGCCCCCCTACTACTCATACTACAAATCAACACCACTTGCTAACACATCCACCACCTTCTCCTGAAAGTCCAACGCCAGCGACGGCCCATCCTCGGCCCGGAACTGCCCCCTCAGACACGCCAGAACGGCCTTTGTATACCCCATTCCCATCTCCTTGGGCAATCCCTGCACCGCCAGCCCCAGCAGATCCTCCAGCACCTTCTTCCGCGGCGGCAGGCGCCCACTGCGCTGGGCCTCGCGGATCTTCGGCTCCATCAGCCGCGACAGCGTCACCCACAGCCCGATCTCGAGTAGCACGACCCCCAGCGCGTAAATGTCATGCAGCCGCTGGAACTGATGCGTGGGCTTTCCCTGGCGGTTCGGGTGCCGGTAGAGATTGGGCTCCACCTCGAAGTCACTGCGCATGTCGGTGCCTTGCTGGACGGAGCGCGCGTAGCCCCAGTCACCCAGATACGCGACGATCTGGCCTGATCGTGACTGCGTGGCGGATAGGCGGCGCTCGTAGATGCCGGAGGTCGTGATGCCGGTTTCGCTCTGCAGGAAGAGGAGAATGCCGCGGCTCCAGATGTTTTTGTGCAGCCAGCTGGAGGCGTGCAGGTTTGAGAGGGTGAGGGCAAGGCTGTGAGCCACGCTGAAGCGGTCGTTCAGCGAGGGTTTCTTGAGGGGGCGCTTGGTGTCGCTGTCGATGGCGTTGATGAAGGCGTGTAGGGTTATGGGGCTGGAGTTGCTGGTATCGGAGGGGGGCAGCCGGTAGAGGAAGACGCTACGTTCGTGCTCCGGCTGGTCGATGAAGCCAAGACATTCCAGCGCATAGATTCGAGGTTGATCGAGACTGTCGGCGGTGGCGCTCGGGGCAAAGGTGGTATTCTGGAGCAGCCAAGCGAGGTTGCGGATGGGCTCTTTGTATTCCTTGATCTCATCCGGCTCCAGGTCCTCCTGTTTGAGAATACTCTCGTACTCATGATACTCGATGAGCACTTGCATACTCTCTGCGCTCGAGGTAGACCACTTGCCCAATTGAAACCCTCCTGTCGACTTGCCCTCTTCAACAATCTCCCCACTCAAACTGCAGTAGCTATCCGGCGCCTTGGCTTCCACTAGCATACGGCGCTTCACCACCGGTTCGAGTCCACTACTCTTCAGTCCCTGGCTGTCGCTCTCCGCCAGCTTTGCCAGCGTATCCTGCGACATGTGCTGCATGACGTTCTGCAGATCCTTTGACCATGTGGTGTACGCCTCCAGGATCCGGTTCAGCCTCTTCTTGTCGAAAAGTGACCAGTCATACCCCTTCATCTTCAGGCTCTTGACCTTAGCCTTGGCTCTCTCTAGGAGCGACTCTTTCGCTGTCCACTCGTTCTCCTCTGTGTCTTCTTCCCCCACGAGGCCATATTTTGCGGCGACGAGCTCATATTCGGCGAGGGTCTTGCGCATCTGTACTAACAGTCCCTCCACCGTGTTGACAATGAAGGGTTCCAGCTTGCCTGGGAGCATTAGCCCATGCTCTGGACGGAAGAAGATGCGTTTAAAGAAATGTAGGGTGATCAGTTGGACATTGAGTTTAAGGCGAATCTCAGCACGATCATCATCAAAGGCTTTGATATCGGAGATGACGCCTTGGATGAAGACGGTGACCTTGTAGACTTGGGTGATGGCGGTTGCTGCGGTGCCATAGACGTCCATTTTTATTTTTATTTTCTTGTGATATTTGTGAAGAAGAGTGGAATGAAAGTGAGGAAAGACGAGAAGGCTGAGAGAATAATAAATGGCAAGAGGAATGAGGCTGAATCCCAGCGCCTAAAAGGCGCCAACCATAGTAAACCATAGCCTCGTTTGAAGTTGTCAGCCTTGTTGTTGGTGATATTCGGTCTAGACGCTATTTTTAGGTCTAACAATCTGGTTTAAATGCCCCAAATACCCCACGGCATTGCTCACATCCTCGTATCCTGCAGACCAACAATGCCGGACCTCGAATCCTACGACGCCATCCTGCAATCCCTTTCCGACGAGGATAACTACTACTACAACATCACAAACAGCAACACCAACACCAACAGCGACAGCACCTTCTTGGAATATGAGCAACTTGACCTCAACAGCCTCAATCTGTCCACCTCCTCTTACTCCCTCATCGACCCCCTCGATGCCGCCATCACCGCAACCCGCAATGGCGCCGCCCCGGAACTCAGCACCCTCTCCGACTTCACCACCATCCTCTCCCAAACAGGCATCCATGGGCCCCGTCTCCTCAAAGCCGGAAACCTAGCTTTGCGGGGCACAAAGATTGGCTCCGGCTCCCAATTCACCGTCTTTCGTGACCCAATGTTCGAGAAAGAGGTCGTCAAGCGCCTGAACGTGCCGCTGTCCGCGAAGCCCGAGCGCTTCGCCGCTAGCACGGATTACAGGCAAAGGCTGCGCACGGTAGTCCTCGAGGTCCTCTCGCTGTGTAACCCGATGATGCGCGCGCATCCAAACATCGTCAGCCTGCTAGCGTGGGGGTATGATTTTCCGTATGCGGACATGCCCGTCCCCGTGCTGTTTGTGGAGGCGGCCTTGATGCCGCTGTCGGATTTCTTGAAGAATGGCATGGAGGGAGGGAATGGGGCCAAGTACCAGTTGGCTCTGGATGTTGCGAATGGGCTTGAGGCGCTGCATCATCTGCGCATTGTGCATGGCGACGTCAAGCCGGATAATGTGTTGGTGTTCCCGGGGCCGAGCGACAAGGTGCCGTTTCGCGCGAAGCTGAGTGATTTCGGGGTCTGTATTGATCTTGAGGCGGAGCCGAGTAGGTTCTCATTGAGTGACTATCTCGGCACACCGGCGTGGCTGGCGCCAGAGGTGGTGAAGAAGGACTTGGACAGATTCTGCGCTTTCCAGGCCGATCTGATGTTCAAGTTTGATGCGTATAGTTTCGGGATGGTGCTGCTGTCTGTCTTCGTGGCTGAGGGTGAGCCTCTGGTCCTTCACACAGCTGCTGGCACATTTCCAGAGCAGGTCTCCAAGTTGCTGGATGGCAAGAACCTACCCTCAGATATTCGGATGGACCTGCGCAAAGCCATCCAGCAGCTATTAAGAGAAGACCCGCGTGAAAGACCGGAGATCTCGCCAAATCTTCTCAAGACAGACAGTCCAAAATATGCATCCTGGTAACTTCATTTACCCGGCTACTACTCGCATACACTAACCTGCTAGGCTCTCCTCTGTCCAAACCAACCACACGGAGACTCATGTGGGCATCATCGATCCCATATACAACAAAGGCCCTCTCTTCTGGTACCGCCTTGACGATACTGTGCGCGCCGAGCTAGAAGAACAGTACGCCACCTCGAAGCAGGACGATGGACCTATGATCCCCGGCGACGTCCTCTTTGGAATGGCGCAGACCATAACCGGCGCGAAACCCTCATATCTGGACCGGATGCTCGCTTGGCTAACAGATGCTGCGAGGAGCGGCTATTCGCCGGCTCGAGCTGTCTATGCGCCAATTATGCGCGCACATGGTCAGAAGCCGGAGTTTGAGAAGAAGATACTGGACGAATGGATGCTGCAGGCGGTGGCGGAGGGGTATATGTTTGCACAGCCGGTGGATATCAAACCGGATGATCTGAACAGAGCAAAGGATAAGTTTCGTTCAAATGGAGGCTTCTGTTCGGACCCGTTTTTAGGTAAGAGAGCTGTGCTCGAAGCGGCGAAAGATCCAGACAAGGCTTTTGAGTGGCAGAAGGAGAATGGGCGCATTGTGGACAGAAAAGGCAATACCATCCTCCATGCTGCCGCGTCTCTAGGAAAATTGGAGACTGTCCAGACGCTGCTTGAGACGGAAATACCAGTTGACGTGGAGAACGAGAATGGAGAGACACCGTTGTACAAGGCCTTTCAGGCTGGACATCCCGAGGTCATCAACTATCTCCTTGACCACGGCGCCAGTGCTCTTTGCGGGTCTCGACAGGAAAAAGCCACTCCCCTCCATTGGCTGTTCATGATTCCAGATGAATCTGCCTTGCAGATTGCGCAGCGTATGGTGGAGGCAGGGGCAGACGTCAATGCCACCTTACACCCTGTGGTGAAGCCAAATAGCGGTGGTTACCCCGAAAAGATCCAGATCCTGCACTAGTATGTCTCCCTTCTACGCTGTAATCAAGTCTAACATCACAGTCCGTTTGAACTTCCACACGGTACGGCATTGCACTGGGCATGTCTCTTCCGCAACATACCCGCGATGGATGCCCTGCTTTCTCTAGGGGCGAATATCAACGCGACCTATCACGGCCTGGATGCATCAACCACTCCCCTTGCGCTGACAGCGTATTTTGGTGAGCCGTCGATTGCTCGATATCTGATCTCCAAAGGCGCCGATGGTACCGGGATTGATTCGATGAAACGGAATACGCTACACAATATAACCAAGTACTTCCCGGACCGACATGGCTATCTGCCGCATCATTGGCACTATTGGATTCGACACGGTAGTTGGGAAGATCACCTAACCCAGCTGACCGAATTGGTTCACGTTTTGATCGGAGCCGGCGCTAATCTGAATACCAAAGACAAGAGTTACCCGCCCTTGACCCCCATTGCTGCTGCTGCGGATCCGGGGGTCTGGGATGGGGGGATGATTTGTGCGTTGCTAGACGCAGGTGCCGATCTCAAGGAGTCCATATTGTCCGCGGGGGATACAGGTACTTCTACGGATCAGCTTAGCATGGTGAAAAGAGCTAACCTGTCAGTTCTGCATTCGTGGGTATCGATCATCGGACCTCGCCTGGACTATCCCTGCGCCTACCTATCTACGCTCCAAAAAATATCCAACGCCATGCCCACCATCGACATCCCCAACTCCTACGCACAAGAGATGCCACTGCATTTCCTAGCCACCATCTACCACCCCGAGGACGAGTTCGAAGCCGCCTGCGAGATCTTCCTCGCCCACAACCCCCCAGCAAACATCAACTGCCGCACCCGCCGCGGCGCAACGCCCCTGTCCATCGCCCTGCAAACCCAGCACGACCCCGGTCGTCGCGGCCTCTTCCTCCTCCGCAGAGGCGCCAGCCCCCTGCTGACGGACAGCCAGGGAAGAGACATCTTCTTCTTCCTCGCCAACAACACCGCACTCCCCGACAGCACCACCCACGACCTCATCCGCCAGTTCCTCCTCCAGATCAACCCGAAAGATGCCCCCCAAGCCTATAACCAGCATTACCTCCAAAATCCCGGCAGCACCCAGACCCTCTTCGCCGCCGCAGAGCGCGGAAAGCCACGCACGCTCTCCTTTCTCCTAGACCTCGGCCTTGCCGCGCGCATCAACGAGCCAAATACCAACAAATCCCCGCCACAGACGGCGCTTGACCACGCCCTCAAGGCAAAGGGATATAGTGAGCTGGCTCATGCGCGTGCGCTAGAGCTGTATAAGCCTGGTCCGGCGCGGGAGCACGCCATCGTGGCGAATCTAGTCTATGACGAGGCGCAGGGCCCGCCGGCGCGTGCGGCGGAGGCGCATAGGTGTTTTCCTGAAGTGGTTGAGATTCTGCGCGGGGCGGGGGCGAAGCAGATGGGCGAGCTGAATAGTGGTTTAGTCGGTACGTGTGCCATTTTTGAGGACTTTTGTGGAATGAGGTTAACCAATCGTTATAGGTACGGGCTTACGCATGGTTCGCAATCAGATTGGGAGTGTGTGGAGTTGGGTGGATAGGAGGAAAGCTTGAGATGGAGGGCACTTATCTTATATATGTATGTAGTTCCTCTATAGTATGATACTTCTCGAGTTCTACTTACTGTTTTGCGTGCAATAGATAGATAGTGCTGTGTGACCATACAGAAAATCAAGATATATCAGAGACTGCAAAGCAGCCTATGGTTTGAAGTAGGTCTGTGTATTGATGGGCTGCCTTCTAACCACTGCTTGGATAGCTGTATCGCATACTTCGCAGAAGTTGGGATAACACTGGAGTGTCCTTGAAGGTCCTCACACACTGTATGTATCAGCGACATCGAGTCATTCGGAGAATTGAGACTGGAGACTGGTTCGGAGAGTCCTGAACAAGCTAAGGAAGGATTCAATCTGGTAGACTTGTTGTGTATATCCAGTTTGAGGTTGGTTGATCAATCGACTACTGTAGATTTTCACCACTACTATGAATCACGAAGCTGAAATATATACCACACTCACTAATAATAATGGCAAGAAAAAAAATAATTCGTCATTCTTGGGACTGAAAATGAAGAGAAGACAAAAAGATTCGACAAGGGCAGGATTCGAACCTGCGCTCCCGAGGGAATCAGCTTGCTAGGAGAATCGGACGACTTCCTATTCGAGGCTGACGCGTTAACCACTCCGCCACCTTGCCTGTTGTTGATATTTAGGTTGATATTTTTTGTTACTCAGTGTAACAAAAGTCTACCCTCGAGAAGAGCTCGGTCTTTCGTGAGTTGGAGGTTTCAGTCGACAGTTGGTCGGCGACCATTGTACAGGGCGTTATCAACCTACTTACAATAATCGATCAATTAAATGATGAGACATGGCTATAACCTTGCCAGGAATTAGCGCAGCGCGGTATTGCCAGAGAATATCCACCCATGATGATCCACAAGTAACTCTAGCACTATGCTAAGCATTGCCATCGAGTGTCGCTGGATCATTTGTTTCATTATAGCGACTTGGAACAAGGCTTCCTGGAGGTCGGAAAAGCGATAGGGAAGGCGGTAATTGTTCAGGGCCATCGAAATCATTTGTCTGCTTGACAAGCATATGAACCCATGTGGCACAGGTCTGGATGCTGGCAAACCCCGTTCGGGCGGCTTGGAGTCGACTGAGTTGTCCCCTGTGTTGACTTTGTGTCGACGGAATTGATCGTCTGGCTGGGGAGTATGCTAGTAAATAGTGCCGTTCCCTTGAACATGACACGGTAATTGGGATAGAACCAGCCGACTGCATGGGTTGGGAACATCAATAGGGTATAATGGGTGAAATGGCATGTCAAGTGCGTGGATATGTATTTATATGTTTCCCTGGATAGATACACCAGCATAGGATTTATACCATCAGGTACATAGATTGGCAAAGTAGGTAAGACAATGGACGTGTATACTTAATAGTGTGAGTACTTTCCAACATATTATGTATTATTTGACGATTTATTCGCTTACTACCTCATACTTGCTGTGAGATGTTGACAGAATGTGGTGACATCCGTGATCCATTCCTGCATGATTGCATTACGATCAATTTGTCAAAGTTAGATAGTCTTTCACCAATTAGGGCAAGGTGGCGGAGTGGTTAACGCGTCAGCCTCGAATAGAAAATCGTTTGATTCTCTAGCAAGCTGATTCCTTCGGGAGCGCAGGTTCGAATCCTGCCCTTGTCGAATCTTTTTGTCTTTTTCTTCTGCATTCCACGAATGCTGGCTACCTACCTACCCTTCTTCATTCAGTATTTTTCTTTTAAATTCACACACACTCTCTCCCCGAAGTCCCTCCCCCCCGAGGATGAGGGTAGTAATTGATTAATCCTCCACTCTTCCCCATACCAAGCAATCCCAGTAGCATGCGTTGAGGATAGTATACACACTCGCGGATACCGTCAACCCCATAGTGCCTCGTAATCGCCAAAGACGCGAAAGACGTCCCCGTGGAGGCGGCACTCGACTACGTTGCAGTCTATACAGTCGGCAACGGCTTCTCGTCCCGCAAACTGTAGAGTTTTGAGGTGTTGGCGCGGGCTTCGCGCTGCCGAAGTGGCTGGTGCCCGGGACCCAGATGGATGTGCATATCTCGTAGATCGGGACGTCGAGCAATAATGCCGTGCTGTTGGGTTCGGACGGGTGTCGTTCGGAACGGTCTATACCCCGTATTACGCACCGATATCAGCGGAAAGCAGCGAATTGCCTCGTTCCGGTCAACGTGTTCAAAAATATGGTTGCTTTGCTGTTGCTGTATCTTGCGGTGGAGTTGGGTGCAGAGACAGGGCTATTTGCAAGTCTATCTGGTCATGTTTGCGGCGACTGTCGCTTTAGCGGTGCCTTCGTATTTTTTTCTACCGGAAGAGAGGAGAGACTGGAGTAGAGAACTGAGATTGGAGGCAATAGCTGTGTACTGGCAGTGTACTGGCATGGTTTGTTTGCAAGGATTGGCGAGGGCCAGTCTGTCGATATGGATTGATGGATTCTTCTTCTTATCCATTGGCCAGCCAGATATCTGAACTCTGAAGTAGATGGAGCCGAAGATGTCATCCTGCATATCAACTACTGCAGATCTCTCTCTATTCCCCGACACGCTAATATAAGTCGCATCATCCCACACAGCATCTACTACGTATATCTAACGCCTATCTGCCCATTGATTTCACTATCTTACATACTACACACTGCGTCCATCCATCCATCCATTCCATTCTATTCATTCATCCACCATGTCCTCCAAAATCCACCTCACCCCCAACCCACACTACCACAAATCCGGCCCAAAATCCTACGTCCACCTGCTCCGCAAATACCGCTTCACCACCACAAAACCCGGCCCCTACGTCTTCTCCTCTTTCATCCACCAGACTGGCACGCAGTACACGCGCGGCCCCGTCGGCGGCCGCGCACGGACCCAGCACCGGCTCCGCAAACGGGTCCCAGGGAGCGACCAGCTAGTGGACCTCGACGCCGACGACGCGCAGAACGAGGCTGCGTATCTAGCGCGGGTGAGCATTGGGACGCCGGAGCAGAGGTTTAATGTCGCGGTCGATAGCGCGGTGGGTGGGCTGTGGGTATGGTCGACTAACTTGTCCGCGGAAACGATAGCGGGGCATCGGGCGGGAACAGGGGCGATCTTTGATGGCGAGAAGTCGTCTACTTTCTCCGGGGGAGAAGGGGTGTGGAGGGTCGAGTACGGGGATGGGGCGAGCGCTGGCGGGATCGTCGGGAGGGAAAAGATCGTGCTTGGCGAGATGACGATCCAGAAGCAGGAGTTTGGGCTGGCGGATGTTCTCTCTGCGCAGTTTGCGCGGGGGACAGCGGATGGCGTGCTTGGGCTGGGGTTTGGGAGTCTGGGGCCGGATGGACCGCGCGGTCTCGTCGAGGCGATGTGTCGAACGGGGGATGTGAGCTCGTCGGTGGAGCTGTTTACGGTGAGATTGGGATCCTCCGGCGCTGAGGCAGAAGAGTCGTTCTGCACGTTTGGATTCGTCGATGAGGAGACGGTGAAGATATTCGGTGGGGAGGTATATTATACTCCCATCGACGACAGCCAGGGGTTCTGGATGTTTGATTCCGGGTCTGCGGTTGTCAATGGCAAGACGGTGGCTAGGGAGGGTAACAAGGCGATTGTTGACTCCGGGACGATGCTGACGCTGGTGGACGATGAGACCTGTCAAAGGATCTATGATGCTATTCCTGGGGCGTACTACGATGAGGAGAGTCAGGGCTATCTGTTTCCGTCTGATACGGCTGCGAATGAGCTCCCGGTGGTGTCGCTCGCAGTGGGGGAGAGGCAGTTCGTGGTGCGGAAGGAGGATTTGGGATTTGCAGAGGCCAAACCGGGGTATGCCTATGGGGGGATTCAGAGCCGAGGGAGCATGAAGATGGATGTTCTGGGTGGTACCTTTCTGATGGGACTTTACGCGGTAAGTTTGAAGTGGGAATCGGCAGCATGGACTGATTGGCTAACGAGAATAGATATTCGATGTGGGCAATCTTCGCTTTGGAGCTGTACAGCATCACCTCGGTTAGTCATTCATGCTGAGAGGATGGTTCTGGGGGTCTCTTGACAGAGTACGCAGCGGGTGGACCAAATGAGATATGAGATAGCTGTCACCTGTGAGTGCTTTGTGTGATGTATATAGAGACTGGCATGTCTCATTATGGAGTTCCTGTCTATCAAACCATGGACCAAGACTGAGTCCAGTTAACAAACAATGCCATTGTATGCTGTGTCTTACTACGGAATTAAACAATCCCTTTGTTCAAGTAAGAGACATATACTGTCTCATCGGTGATTCCTTTGTAGCAACAGACGAGGCAGGAGAGACACTGAAATGTTAGATTGAGGGCATTCAAGATATCAATCACATATGGGACCCTACCAACCCTCCAAATTCGAATATAAATACCCTCATCCTTGTAGTAGAGATAATGATGAAACCATTCTCTTTATTACACTCGTCCTCATTTTCTCCAACTCCTACTCAAACAGCCAAACCATCCTACAAGCTCCTCAAACACACTACTGGTGTCTACAATCTCAAACCCTCAAAATGAACACTCTTCCTCCCTTCGACTGGCTCATCGACGACCCCAACAATGAATACATTGACTTCCCCTTTCCCACCGACAACATAATCGACCTCCTCCCCGAAAACCCAACCCGCGAGGAGCTCATCAACCACTGGACCCGTCTACTACAGAGGTACTTCCCCTTCAGCAACTACTCCTCCCCAACCCACGTCCCCCGCTTGTCTAACGATACAGATCAAAAGTACTGTCTCGCCGTAGACCACTACTCCAGCATGTCGCACGCGGTGCTCTCGCTCCGCCCCCGCGGCGGCCCCATCGCCCGGGTGCATTTCCTGCACGTGTACGTGGTCGAGGAACCCCAGGAGAAGGAGGTGGTTGTGATTGACGACGACGGAGAGGACCCGGATAAGGGCGATTTTGGGGAGGCCAAGGTAGAGCTCTTTGAGGATCTACAGGGTCGGTTGGTTTCGCGCCTGCTGCGGAGATTCTACTACAAGACCCTCGAGGGCCGCAATATGACGCTCCATGGGGCGATTTGCGTGGGTCGCCATGTGCGCTTCTTTGCGCTGGAGCCGGACGGGAGCTTCGGCGCGGATTGCTGGTGGGGAGAGGAGGAGCTGGCGGCCGATATGAACGTGCATATGCCTCTGGTGCAGGATCGTTTGATGCAGATCAGCCATGAGATTGAGGCTCAGCGTAACCTTGGACATAGTTAGGCTTGCTATTTTTTGTTGCGGCTTGGTTTGGATGGATTGATTGATTGATTGATTGATTGATTGGTTGAGTATTGGGGGGTTTTTGGGGGCTTGGTTATATCAATGAATGCAAGCGTGACAATCCATTTCTAAGAAATCCTATCCGAGAGTAGCCTTGTAGGCTGTGTAGAGTGTAGACTGGCTCAGTCCGCCTGTGGCGTCTTGGTTAGGCTTGACAGAGCTTAGCCATTCGGCCCGGCTCTCGTAGTGTCCAATTGAAGCTATCCAGCTGGTACAATGACAAGCATGATTAGTGCTGACGGCTGACGGCAACGCAAATGTAGTATTCTGTAGCGAGAGGGTGGATAAGAGGCCGAAGGCGGCTATATATTGTGCTTCTGAATCTCACGAACTATCCATCATCTGTATATCCGTACAATCCACATCTATAGTATCTATCGACACAATGGCCTCCGGACAATATCCCCCTCCCATCCCTCCTAGACCACTTCCTCCACCGGTGCCTTCGAGGCGGCCGGTTCCCACCCCTCCAGCCATCCAAAATGACCCCGAAGTAAGTGCTTGGTATATCCGTAAGGCAGAACGTCTAACCATCTAGGTCATCGCCCTCTGCCCCGGAAACCAACCCCTCTACGCCACCGCATACTGGTATTCACTCCCCTCCATCCCCACCTACGAAGTCTGCTCGCACTGCTTCGCCTCCCACATCCGCTCCACGCCCTGGGCGGCCCAATTCCAAAAACACCTCCGGTCCCCAGACCCATCCCGCAGATGCCGCTTCGACACCCCCCGCATGCTCCAGCTCTGGTCCCATCTCGCGCAGAACCACGATTGGCCCGCCGTGACGGCATACATGGCCCACCGCGCCTCCATCCCCAACTGCACAGGCAAGACGCCCGTCGCCGCCGAGGCGGGCATCAAGTGGTATAGTCCGCGCGGCAACGAGCTCCACAACTTCGGGGTCTGTGCCGCGTGCTACGAGGATCTGCTGCTTGCGACCCCCTTCGCGGCTCACTTCGGTCTGAACCCGCAAAAGCAGCCCCCCGGGGAGCTCTGGAATTGCAAAATGCCGCTGTTTGTGCACCGGGCGATTGAGACGCCGGGAAAATATGCCACCTGGGCGGCGCTGGCCGCGGACATCGGGCGATATATGCAGATTCCGCCGTGCGATGGGCCGACGGGCATAGCTGCGGGGAAACGGGGCTGGTATCGGCCGCGCAGGGCGATTGAGGGATTGGTGGTGTGTGATTCGTGCTACTGGGAATATCTGGCGTCGTCGTTGATGGAGCGGGAGTGGGAGGCGATGCCGGTGGGGTTCCAGCATCAATGGACGACGTGGGCGTGCGATATGTCCCTGCTGCCGATGAAGGTGGCGTATCTCAAGGCGTTGATGGAGAAGGACTACGGGATATGGTGGAATGCGGCGCGGGCGATTATGGCGAGTCCACCGTGTCCGAGTGCGTCGGGGGGTGTGTACCCGGGGACATGGTATAAACTGCCTCGCGCCGAGGTGTATGTGTGCGCGCAATGCTTTGCGGGGATCATTTTCCCGTTCAGGTTTGGAAATCATTTCGTCCAGGCGTATGCGCACAACGGCCCGCGGACCTGCATCTTTAACGCCGCTACGCCGCGCCGCGAACAGTTCCTGAACCGCTTCGACGAGTCCATCAGCCTACGCGACTTCTCGAAATTCGAGAACTACGTCGTCCGCCTCTCGCCGCTCCCGCTCTGCTCCACGTCCACTATGGTGCATAACCGTCGGTGGTACGGTACTAATGACTTCCTGGCCTGCGAATCCTGCTGGGAAGAGTTCGTCAAGGACACGAGCCTCGCCTCGCAACTCTCTCTGAAGGGGGTCGTTGTCCCCGCCGCCTGCTGCGACATGTACTCTGCGCGCATGCGCCGGCTCTGGATGACCGCCTGCTCCAAGAACAATCTCGCCGAATTCACTGCGTTCGCCAAACACCGCTCAGCCGTGTACGCGCAGACCGTACCGCGTATGCAAGAGATCCTGGCTATGGCAAAGATGCGCATGGAGCAGAAGCAGACGCTCATGATGTCGTCAATCATGCTGCAGGGCGCGAGTAATGTCGTGGGGGCTTCGCAGTCCGCCGATTTCAGCCATACATTGTACGGTAATGCGGCGCTGGGATATCATGCCACTCCGGCGGGGGCACAGGGAGCTGCCCAGTTCGATCAGGCGTTGGGGATTAACCCGGTGCAGGGGGGTGAAATGATGCAGGTGGCACAGCTGGAGGCGATGTGGAAGCAGGTGGAGTGAGCTGTCAGCAGGCAGATTCTGCCGGAATCGCGGCCCGGTCATGTATATAGGTTGCAGTCTGATTGCGACGCCTTACTTGAAGCGTGTGGCTCCGTAAACCCCCGTTAGACATTTGGCTGAATTCAGCCAGCAAGCCACCGGGATTGTCAAAACTTATATGCCCATGGGATTAGCTAAACTGTCTGCAGCATTTTGCCGTTCGGCATTATCTCTCCGTCACTTGCCGGGTATCTCCTGTCCGACGGAGTATATCACCATGGATCTATCTTCTGGTTTTGCATGGTAATTGCCGCAGTGTAGAAATCATGATGCTTCTTATTGTCGTTGAACCAGCCCTAGAGGCGCTCTCTGCAGCGCAGAGCAGCTGTGTCTTCGGCCTGGTGAGTCTTTCGATCACGAATGAAGAATTATTTTTAAAGAGAATAGGGGCCAATGCGGTGGGTTTTTCATGTACTGGCGCTACTTGCTGCCAGACAGGATACGCGCAGCCACGGATCTTGGCCACAGAAAGCGGCTGGTGAGAAGGAGTTGGAGACCGTGCCGCTGATGAGGTTCATTTCCCTTGTCATAGCTCGTAGGAAGACAGACTTTCCACTGCCGACAGGACCGGTGATCGCCGTGACTCCTGCGCGCGCGGAATTTTCACCTGGAGATCCCGCAAGACAGGAGGACGGTTGGGTTCGTAATTGATAAACCTGGACAACAGATGCTGATAGGGAGTGCCAATGCTATTGTGGCCCCTGGACTTATCACAAGTGTAACTAACCCATCTCAACCCAGCCAACGCGTGGAAAGAGGGCTTGTTCTATCCTTCAATCTTCTTCGCCTTGATCAGTTCTATCAGACGCTCTGCTATCATTTCTCCCATAAAGTCATAACCCTCCGCCGTCAAATGCAGTCCGTCATCCCAAATCTTCTCCTGCCATTCTTCGCTGGTACCATGGTAGCGGATCTTACTGTGCAAGTCAAACGTGTAGCTACCATCGGAGGTTAGACCCGTTTTTTTTTTCTTTCTTTCCGTCGCATGCCAACTCATGAAAACCACTTACAACCTCTCCGCCTGATGAGCCAGTATGGACGCGTTGACGGCATTGCGTCTTGCATTCAGCGGCTTGCTCACAAGCGCACACTCAGGAATCGTCATGGCGAGCACATTTGCGTCTTTCTCTAGAGGTACCTGCCACGTTGCTTGTAAGGCAGGGTAGATCGTGTCGGGCTGAAACCCATAACCGAGGTCGCTGGATAGCATCAGAATGGGTTTCGTTCGTCAACAGCGAAAAGGGAACAGCTGCTGTAGAGAAAACATACTTTGTACCCCCGAGGACAATCACCCAGTCATAGTTATACTTTGAGACTTGTAAGTAGTATTTGTCAGTTCCCATTTCTTTTTTTTTTGCCTAATCGCTTCGCAGGATGTGCGTACATTTCGTCTGCATGCGAGGTAAGAAAGCGCCGCCGGGGCTAATGACCCGATCTCCTGGGAGTCCTTCCACGTCGACTGTGAATTTGGTGGAAGGAAAGGCCGCCTGGAGCTTTTCTTTCAACTTGCCGGCATAGGGATGATATTCCAGGCCGTAGTGGTAGTATCCCGCTGTCAGGGAGTTGCCGAAGCAGAGGATCGATAGCTTGTCGCTCATGCTGCTAATTCTCGTTCTAAATATCTGATGATTTGATGGCGTACTGAACGAAAGATTGATGAATGGAGTAGAATGGTTCCTGTCAAGTTGAGTGAGGAGAAAAATGGCCTGGCGTGCATAAGACATTCAGGAGCGCATTACCTGCGCCACCCATCTTATAGCCGAGTGCAGTGAGGGGCATTCGAGCATCATTCTTTGTGGCTGATTGACTTATCTATCTATCCGTAAGGATGAGTCCGTCGATTTTCAACCTCAACTTACAACCTCCCAACATAGGTAGAAGTGAAGTTGATGCTGCCCAGATTTTCATAGTCAATATAGCATCGGCCAGGTGGATACCGATTGGAACAAAGAACATACAGACTTCACTGACCCTTCTGGTGAATGAGAAAGGATGATATACTTGCATATTGCACTTGGGCCCTTTTTAGCACAACACGTAGATTGACCTGACATTGAATGCAAGTCGATTTTATTTTATATGTTTATGCAAATATGTATATACAGTACCCCTAGCATCTCCTCTATAGTGCGGTAAATACATGAGTGAGGGGGTCAACCGGAAAGAAATGAAGAGAATGGAAGGGAACGCAATGCAATGAATGAGGACAGTAAAAAGCAAAAGAAAGCCAAATAGTCTATGTGGTATGTCTATATCGGAAGATTGGAAAGGAAGGAGAATGCGAAAAAATTGAATGAGAAAGGGGAAGACGGTGTCTGTCTCCTAGAATGATTGTCGATGGTTCGAACACTGAGATATGTTCCATAGAGAGAGAAAAAGGACATCTACTCAGCCTTTTTGGAAGCCTTGGTCCTCAGCTTCATCAATGCAAAGACCAAGGCGTATCCGCTGATTGCGTAGATGACAGTGATGGCTCCGTCTCTCCATGCATAGTAGTAATGGTTGATGTTGAGGGTGGTCAGGAAATCACTGCCACTGCGGAACTCGCACACTTTGCATTGAGAGGTGGCATCCGGGTTGGTCAGGTTGATGCGCCATCCGCTACCGGCCATGTAGTCGGAAAGATACTCCGAGCAGGTACCGTTCATGGGGTCGAAGATGGCGAACTCGGGCTCGTTGCAAGTGACTTTGGCACCCCACATACCGAAGGTGAGCATGGAGGAGACGACGTAGTTGAATGGGTTAAGCCAGTAGAACCACCATTTCCAGAAGACGTTGAGCTGTGTGAAGGGGACAAAGATTCCGCAGAACAGCACGAGGATACTGATGATCAGGGGGTTGACGAGCGCAGCAAACGTGGGATTCGGGGCGTAAGCCGCAATGAATTGGCCAATACCCTGTTAACCAAGGACATTAGCAAGAGGTTGCATATAAGAGGAGAGATGGGTAGACATACCGTATAGATGAACTCATACCACAGCATCGTCCAGAAAGTGCCTCCAGCTCTGCTCGACTCATGAGGCAGCCTCACACAGTAGTACCAGCAAACGAAATAGAGGACAGCGCAGAAGACAAGGTAAGGGAACTCGGAGAAAATCAGGCCAGTCACGAAGGCGACCCAAGAATACATCTTCGACTTCTTCTCACGGGCATCGTAGATGTCACGACGCTGGATGAAAAGGGGTTGCAGCTGGTTGATAACACCGGGAGCGACGAAGACGAAGTTGAAGATACTGAACATCTTCAGGTTCAGAGCAGTGACACTAGGCCCAACACGCCAGAAAGAGAAACCGTTCAGAAGGGCAGAAATGATGTGGAGGGACGCCTTGTTGTTGACATAGAGGGTATTTCTGAAGAGTGCAACATTCATCCGGTGGGTAACAATCTTGACTTGCTCCCACAGAGGCATCGAGAACTCGTAGCCGTCATCGTGGGTACCAGGGGGTTTGGCGGCAGCATCGGAAACCATGGTATCTAACTCGACCATCATCCGCTCATGCTCGGGGGATTCCAACCAGATCTGGTGCCAGTCCTTGTCTTTGACAGCCGCGATACCGCCAGTAACCACATCAATCATGAATTCAGCAGGATTGGCCTCGACAGGACATTCGGCTCCGTATTTGCCAAAGTAATGTTTGATGGTGGCCGCATTGTCACCGATATCGCCAAAGTACACGGTTTTACCACCACGGGCCAGGAGCAGGAGAGTATCGAACTGGGCAAACAGCTGAGCGGAAGGTTGGTGAATAGTGACCAGCACAGCCTGACCAACATCCGCAAGTTTACGCAGGAATCGAACCGTGTTAAACGCGGACTGGCCATCCAGACCTGAGGTGGGCTCGTCGAGGAAGATCAGGATGCTAGGCTTGGAGACCAATTCAACACCAATAGTCACACGCTTTCTCTGCTCGACGCTGAGACCGTTGCCTACTGTACCAATCAAAGTGTCTGCCAGATCATGCAATTCAAGCAAATCGATGATAGTCTCAACGTATTTGAGCTTCTCTTCCTTTGGTATATCCCGAGACTGACGCAGAAGGGCGGAAAACTCCAAGGCCTCACGGACGGTAGCGTAGGGTTCATGAACATCCAATTGTTCGCAGTATCCAGCCATTCTCTGGAAAGAAACTGGTAGAGGGCGGCCATCAACCAAGACCGATCCCTTAATGGTTCCATCCGTCTTACGCTGGGCAAGCACATCGAGCAAGGTGGTCTTTCCAGCACCGGATGATCCCATCAGCGCACCCAGCATACCAGGTCTGACCCATCCATGAATGTTATCCAAAAGCACTCGATCGCCGCTGGGTGTCTTGACCGTGTATGTGAGGTTTTTCCAGGTAAAGATAGAGGTGTTGCGAGTCAGGTTGTCATCACCTGAGCCGGCTGAATTGCCCGCCTCACGTACGGCATTCTTCTCCCTCTGAGCTTCCTCGTCCTTTCCAAGTCCTTTGGTCTTCTTGAGCTTCTCACGAGGAATCAGCAACTGCGCACCGCCGCCTGCTCCATCGTTCCAGAAAGAAGTGAAGATGATTGTGAGGACGGCAAAGAATCCCCACCATGCCCAGAGGATACCGTAATTTCTCCACATCTGAGAGTGCTTATAATGCAGCGACGACAGATATTGATCGCCAGTCACGAAGTCGGCTCCGGGGAGGGCACCACCCACACCTGTGCAGGCTTTGTGACCAGACGAGACGTTTTCGTAGCCCGGGCCGCTGGGGACAAGATTATTGCCCGCACAGGGGATGTGCTGACCATGGAATTCGTTCGACAGGGCGGCCTGGAAAGCATATGCAAATGGATTGGTGTAGTACAGTTCGAGGAACCAGTTCTTGACCTTCGGTTTGGGAATCATGTAACCCGCATACATGACGATTCCTTTGATTACGGTTCCAGAAACCTTGGATGCGGCCTCGAAAGAGCTAAACATGGAGCCGATACATCTGAAAAGAGCCGTGATACACTGGAGATACCGTTAGCCATAATGCATCAAGCAGAGAAAAAGAACAATGGATGTTATGAGAGATGGAACAGATCATGCAGCGAGGCTGATGGTTTTGAGGACATCGAAAGTGAAGCTCATATGAGAGATGCTCTCTGATTCGTGGAGTTGGGAAGAGATCACGTGAAATCACGTGCCGCTGGGATCAACAAAACAATCAGGAGATGCATTTCGCGACTTACCAAGACCGATGTGAAGAGAATGATCCAAAATGTAAAGAACGCCGCTGCTGTATGCTTCAGTCCAGACATCCAATAGATGACAACCGAGAAAAGAGTGCATTGGACGAGCAAGACTGGAAAATCCGCGGTGATCTGGGCCACACAGAACGCGGCAGGATGGTACATGGCAAAGGACTTGTGCTTGATGAGAACTGGCCGTCCTTTGAACGACTCTGTGACTTCTGCCAGTGCTAGGATACAGGGATATAACATGCTGAAAAAGACGGCTCCACCTTTGGTGAAGAGACCAGCGGAATTTGCTGGGGAGTCATAGAAACAAGAGCCCGCGATCAGAGCCATAACGAGTGACATGACCTGCTTGATGAAGAAAGTTGATTTCTCTCCCCAGAGGATCTGATATTGTCGGATCGTGCAAGCCTTGAGTTGTGCGGCAAAACTGACTGTTAGTGGACTGTTCTTGGGGAGACGATTAGACGTTTCCCAGGCGATGGATTCCTTGAAGTCCGCAGTTCGTTGGCGGGCAATCTCGCTGCTGGGATAGTCGTACGCCGAGATCATATGCTGATAGATGCGTGAGTTTTTATACTCGGCGAGGATAGCATCTGCGTTACGCGGGAATCGGTTCTCAAAGCCTGGCTGGATTCTCCGCTCGGTAGGCACAGTCAGACCGGTTAGAAAGTCACCTTGCGTCACAAATCAGCTTTACCTCACAGCAGAAGAGGAGGGAAATCTAACTCACCGATGTTAGCGCCGTCCGTGTACGCGAACCCAAGCTCTTCCATAAAGGGTTTTGCGGCCGTCGCTGGTCCATAGAAGATCTGCTTTCCTTCGTCCAGCACGAGCACCTTATCGAAGAGATTATAGATGCCGTTACCCGCCTGGTACAAGGTGACGATGGTGGTAAGTCCAAGAACATCGGTCATGGCTCGCAAGGCCTTGGCCCATTCCAATGCTGTACTGGCATCCAGACCCCGAGTACTGTTGTCCCAGGTGAAGATGGAGCCCCGAGTAGCCATGCACTCGATGATTGAAACACGCTTTCTCTCACCACCAGACACACCGCGAACGTACTCATTACCGACCGGAGTGTCTGTGGTATGTGCAATCTTCATTGCCTCCAACAGAAACTGCTTCGTCTCGGCCACATATTCGTTTCGCGACTTCATTCCATTGGGAAGATGGAACGGGACCTTGAGTTGGGTTGCAAAGTCCATGGTCTCACCGACTGTCAACCGGGGGTAGAAGATCTCTTCTTCGGTATTCATGACGATCTGTCCTCGGTATTTCGCCGCTTCGTCGGGTGTCATGTTGCCGAAACGCACGTCTCCGTTGATGGTGTGATACCCACGACGCCGATTGGAGAGTAACTTGAGCAACGTGGTGCATCCTGATCCTGGCCGACCCAGTACCAGCAGCATCTCTCCAGGCTTGACGCAGCCGTGGCTGTCCTGCAGAATGGGCTTGAGGGGCGGTTTCCGTCGAAAATCGCTGATCAGTTGAGGGATGTTGAACTGCGAGAAGAAGTTTTCCTTGACGGCAGCCTCGGCAGCAGGGACCTCGACAGTGAGGTTTTGCCAGGTAACTCCGAGCTCACGAGGCTTGAAGCCCGCGGCTTCTTCCCTTTCCTTGCTCCGGACGACATGCTCGGTCATGCTCCATTCTGTGATTCCAGCAGGTGCAACAATGTCGGGATGTTGCTGGGGGTTGGCAAGCGTCTCTGCACTGGCAGCCTGCCGAATGTTGATCTCAGGCACACCGAGTGTCTCTTTCTTCTCGGAGTGCCCCTCGCCATATTCTGCACAGTCACCATACTCTGTCGGTGCTCTTGAATTCGAGGGATCATCATCGGGATACTCCATCTTGCTTGTTAGGGAACCTCCTGGACGACCACGAACTGAATACTTTGCTCAGGTCCTATGAACCTAGGGGGGCCAAGGGGTATATATTCTACACACTTGACCTTCTAAGAAGAGGCAGGATACGTCCGCGGATCAATCTTACCGATAGAGCGGCTAATGGATCGGCACTATCATGGCGATTGTTGATTACAACACCTGTGAGTACTGGCTACTAGGGCATCTGCTCTCAGCATACTACTTGTTTTGGACTGGCTCGATAACAAGCAAGCGGCACCCCCAGCCACACATCCGCTATTTCCGTGGATGGGGTGGCGGGGGGGCCAGGAACCGAATACATGGCAAATTGCAATCGTTCCTGGCTGCAAATATCGCGCACAACCCCACAGACCCATGGATAGGAGCTGCTTCTGCGGTTCGGGGGTACGATTGGCTCAGGAGCTATTTTCATGGGCCCTGATTGCGCCTGACAGTTGTCACGATTCTGGGCATCCCTTACTAATGTGGAGCGTTCCACTGGATGTTCCGCAAAATAGTAAATCAATAGGATGGTAGGTCATGGGCCTAGAATACTGGGAGAGAATCTCCCCTGATAGAGGGAGAGAGGATGGGCATGAAGCGTTTGCTAAACCGACGGCTAAACTAAAGGCGAGACAGATGGACAAAGGTATCTCCTAGGCAAAAGAAGAGTCATGATTCTGATATCACAATCTGATAACAATCCAGTTCATTGTTGAAACACTCCCATAACCAACTGATACAATCCCGCCACATCCGAAGCCGAACCGATGGACGATCCCGATCTACCCGTGAGACCAGCAGAGTTAAATCCTCAGTCATGGACTCTACAGTCTACTATTAATCGCCACGGATTCGGTTCCGCTCCTTATGCAAAAAACCCACATGCTATTATTAAACCGACTATGAGGACTCGGCACCTCATAAAGAGATTTTGGCCCTGTATAATATCTGCCGGTTTCCCTTCGGCTATGCTTATCTATCTAGCTTCCCTTCCATCTTTCCAGATGCAGTAAGATGCGAGAATCTTGCAGCCTGATAGTACCTGCATTGTTTCAGGTCATGATCGACTCTGGGGGATTGATTGGTGACTGATTACGCTGTCCCTATCGCCGTCGGCTTTGCGTCCACTTCAGGTACTGTCCAGGAATTGTCCAGCGTCCAGACTCTACGATCTCCGCGTCCTAGAAGATGTGAATTGGCGCTGTCCCACTGCGCATTTTCATTGAGGCGAACGAGACAGAGGGATTATTGGTGAGCCTCTCGGTTCTTGAAGTTCTAGATATAACCATAAATCCCGCGATACGTCAGTGTTGTGTTGAACCGTTCTCCCTTTCCATGGGCCATGGATACTTTGGTTGCTCGAACCTACGGTCTATGTCTGATAAAGGGCGGCCCATGAGCACTTTGGCATATCGTTCTAGAACCCCTTATCAAGTTATCATATCATCTATCATTTCCGATCGGATGCTGTACCAAGTGATCTAAACTATGTTGAAGTCCTACGAATCTCCCTCTGGCGAAGCCGATCGGCACTACGCAGCCGTTGCTGTCTTTGCCTTTCTTATCTTGTGCTGCATTATCTCTGCAACTCATTCGATTCGGGTTATCGCCGCGACGTTCATGTGGCTGGAGGAACGCAATGGCTTTCTTTCTCGGCTCAGTATTGTAGAGTGGTGCCGATGGAGCAGATTATTCTCGGCTATATGATATAGTATCTGCTGCTTGCTGATCATCCATCCCGGACTAGGTATGATGGTGCCTCTGAATACCTTCTGGTTAAGTCTCATACAATTAAGCATTCCCCCTTGAACGAACGATCATGCCTATCATGGAATATCTACACCGACAAACGATAACCTAAGGCGCGGGTCCCAGTGACCTCTCGCCGTCTTGTTGGCCGGTTCATCTGAAGGCCATCAGATGCCACCGATACTTCTATTGCTGTTCTGGCTCTGGTGCACAATCGTACTCGTCTTCGAGAAGTATTCCTCATACAGCTCAAAGACAGCTCTCCGGCTGGGTCATAGAGAACACCGTCATGGGCATTCACTCCATTGAGTCACAGATTAAGATGCTGCCCTCAGGGTTCCAGGTATGTAACTACCAGTCGAATTCTGCCTTCGACCAGTTTTCCCTTGACTCCTCGACAAATCAATCTCTAACATTCAAATAGCGTAGACGCTCAAACGGAGCCATGCACACTCCATGCGTAATAAATAAGCTTACCCCGCGTCGTCTGACACATCCCAGAAGTTCAGGCAGTCATCTCTGATTATCAGCATGACTTGATTTTCTGTCAACCTCACTTCCTTCACACAAAAGGACTATCCACTCTTTTCTCAAACATTCCCTCCTACTACTGTTAGCGATCCGCCTATCACGCTATGTCTCTATCGCTAAGGCGCCATCTCCCGCTCCAAGCGCGATTCCACTACAGGATGATCCCCCGTCAGCAACGCATACTCGTATCTCCTCGCCTATTCTCACTCCAGTCGTCAATCCGAAATAGCCAGAGGGTCGATCCCAAAGGACAATCCAACGACCCCAGTTCCGAGAACCCGGAATATCCCCGGTTTAGCCTCGACTCTCTGGGCCTTAGCAAAACCACCAAGACCGTTGTCATCGTTGTCCTCGGGGTCTTTGGCACAATCGAGAGCTGGTTCTGGTGCCAGACGATCTGGCGCTGGTGGAAGGGTGGTTCTGAGGAGAAATAACTTACGGATGAAGGGTCGATTGATATTTTGGAATCTTGTGTATTACCTATAGGGAGCATCGGCTTGTCACATCTCCACTCGCATACAAATGAAATAAACGAGAGTCAATGCTAGTATTCAACTATGACACCGGGATTCCAAGATATCATAGGAGAGAGAGCCCTAGCCATCAAATCGACCTCATCTCTCGTCTCTCTCGTATCAGATACGAGCATCAGTGTTTTCCCCGACGATCCCCTGCACCATACACGATTATGAGTTATGAGTCACCATACTCTCCTCCCCTCCTCTATCACAACCTCAACCACCACTTCATTCATTCTTCACCATCAACCTCCACTCATTCAACTCAACTCTCACACACATACAAAATGACAACCACCCACAAAACCTGGACAAAACCCCCCTACCTCATCTCCACCGACCCCTCGCCAATCCCCCTCTCCACGCTCAACACCTGGTTCGCCTCCGAAGAGCTCTACTGGGCCAAGCCGCTCCCCGAAGAAACCCTCTCGGCCATCCTCCACAACTCCCTCTGCTTCGGCCTCTACAAAACCACCACCACCATCGCCGCCCAACCCGAACCCGAATTCATCGGTCTCGCCCGCTGCATCACAGACCACTACACCTTCGCCTACCTCACCGACGTCTACGTGCTGAGCGCATACCAGGGCCAGGGGCTGGGCACGTGGCTGGTGGAGTGTGTGGGCGCGACGCTGGACGCGATGCCGGATCTGCGGCGGAGCATGCTCCTGACGATGGATTGGGAGCGGTCGGTGCCGTTCTATGAGAAGGTGTTGGGGATGAATGTGGTGGAGAGTCGGCTGGGGGAGGATGGACGGAGGGAAGGGGCGGCGGTGATGTCGCGGAGGGGGAGGGGGAGTACGAGCTGGGTGCCTTGATAGTAGCTTATTTTACTCCGTACTCCGTAGTTAATTGCAGTTGGACTGTTGGTGGTAAATATAAGATAGTAAGTAGTGTTCACAAATGGAAAGAGAAGATAAGAATCACAGTAGTAACAGAAAACGGGGGGAGAAAAAAAAGAAATGACCTACGCAGGGATCGAACCTGCAATCTCTTGATTCGTAGTCAAGCGCCTTGCCATTGGGCCAGCAGGCCTTATTGATTACTATCTCATAACTTTGCATATATAAGCCAGGTTAAAACAAAAAAAACTTGGCTTCTTTTCCAGCGCCCCCATTGTACAGAGCTGATGCAGTTTCCTTGATCCGCTGATGATATGATACTTGACCTCCTTCAGGTACATGCATAAACTGCTATGGGATGATTTCTGCACATCCACTGAGACACCTATTGCTTGTATCAGGACTTCTTGTCTTGCTCGGAGAATACTACCGTTCCTGTCACCCACGATATATATTCCTTGGCAACCCGCATATATGTTATGGCTTGTGGTCAGCCTCACTGCTATACCGTAGTAGCAACTACGAAATTTTGTACATGATGAATAATATAATAAGTATACATATTCCCGCTATCACACAAGAACAAAGGGCTAGTTCCAAGACCCATCTCATCCAAATACTAAGGAAACGCCGGCGACGCCCTAACCTAGCGAGTCTAGTTCTATTATAAAAAAAACAGTAAGGGTGGACAGAACCTTCGAATGAAAAAATCGCCGGATATATTACGAAGAGGGAAATATTTACGGCCGCCGTAGGGACCGTCACCACGGTTTCTGCTTCTTCTGCTGCCGCTGGTATGGTGGCTCCCGCGATGCTCATGGACGATCTCGCCAGCGGGTGGACGCCTTCACACACTCCTCTGATCCTGGGAGGTAGATCTTGCCGGTGGGCGACATTTTTTCCCCGAACGCCTGGACACCCGCATCCCAGATGCTCACGCCGCTCCAGTCGCCACGAGGCATATTGAGACAAGCTGAGCTGACAGCTCACGCGGCTACGGCTGAGAAAGCCCACCGCCTGGTTAGTTAGATAGATGCCGGTATTACTATCATAATGGTTATTTCGCGCCAGCTACAAACAATCAGACCTTGAGGGGTTTAGAAGTTCAGTAACCTCAGTTACTGTGTGTGGATGTTGTATTGTTTCTGCAAGCGTCCCAGTCCGTGTCAGTTGGCCTGTTCAGCCACCGCGCTAAGTATGCAGGGTTGGCAAGCTACTGAGATGCCAGAAGTATACTAGATGAAAATACATTGGCCCCTGGGTACAGACCTTTGAAGACTGTACCAACTTGATAAGGTGGGTTATCTTTGTAATATTGTGTCCGGAGGGCATCATGAACCACCCGAGGCCAAGCCCAGGTCTTTCAACATGAGATCGGAAAGCAATTGGTTTCTTGGTCTCCACGAAGGATTCTCAAACAGCATCCAGATTAGATACAGCCATGAACTGACAAGGCCGACGGTGGTGACATTGTCGCTGAGTGACCTGGGGGCATTGGTCCGCATCTTGGCATACAACTCCTCGTCTGTCCACAGGTTGTAGAGACATTCTGCCACTCGGTCTGTATCGTTCATGTCGACGACAAATCCCGTCTCGCCATCTGTGACCTGGTAGGGTAGTCCTCCCACACGGGTGACTATCACCGGCTTAGCCTTGTGGAGAGCTTCCGAAACTTTGATTTCGAACCCTTCACGGGTGGAGAGTTGAAGAACCACCTTGGATTTGGACAAGATGGCGTTGAGCACCTGATCAGAGGGACTCGCACGTACCACAGCAATTTTGTCCGCAAGTTGCGGCATCTCTTCATGGATGTGGCTCATGGTCGTGTCGAACATAACACTGGCGTCGGGGTCATCCACCGACCCGTGCCCACAGATGACTAGTTTGGGGATCTTGGCCTCGGGCATTGACTTTGTCAGACGGTCATGGAACTTGGCGTAGGAGTCCAGGACGTCGAGGATGCCCTTGGACGGATCGAACCGCGCAATCTGGACAAAGTACTCTTCATCCGGGTAGTTGACCATGGGCACTCCTGTCTTGTGGCACCATTGGTTGAATAACCGGCCATAGTATGCGGTATCGCAATCCTCCATCTGTTTATTCAAACCATCCAGCAAATCCGTCGATGCGGGGGAATAAGCCACCATTTCCTTCGGCACAGTTGGCGGGATGGACTCCGAAATTGGATGACTGACAAACACATCCGCCTGTTTTGCACGCTGCCATAGCCAGTCCCACGATCGAGCCTGGGGTGTACCCGGTGTACAAGTTAGATCAGTCCGGATCTGAATATGGCTGCGGAAGATCACAGGACGACTGGGGGCCTTCTCCTTTGCGATAGGAATCAAATCAGTGAGTTGCGGGTCATCGACTACGACAATATCCGCGCCGCCGTGGGAAGGATGATCGAGCGGTCCCCCAGATGTCGACCAGGACCGTTGACTGTTCACGCTGACCCATTTGCGCAGGGTCTCCTCATCGCTTGCTGAGAGATAATCGTCGGGTTTTGCGACACCTTGGAAGATGTTGTGATTCATCTTGGTAATGCGAAAGACCCCCGAACGTGGTTGCGGAACGTACCATTGGATATCTAGGCCCAGGAGCTGGCTCAGGCGCAGAAAGGCATGTCGCATCAGCGCCACACCCCCTCCTTGCGGCGTTGCGCCGAAGATGGCAATTCGCACTCGTTTTTCGCGGACCCGCGCGGCGAAATGTTCCAAGGCAACCCACGTCTCTTCACTGGAGGTGCGTCGATAGTCTTCGAGTGTTGCAAAATGCATCAGGAATCCTGAATCCACCTCGACCAGACCACGGAATCCCACTTGCAGCAGGGGTATATTATTTGGACCAAACAACCTATCTGGGTCAACTGAACCATATTCTTCTCTCTACCGGGGGGTGCCAACATCATGGATATTACCTCACGCATTTCATCGCCAGATATTCTGCCTGTTCATCCGCCTCTCTGGTCTCCCAGGGAGCCTCTTGCTCGTACCGACCGCCCAATGCATCGCGTTGTGGTATAACCAACGGCATCACGTCAAGCTCCAACCAGAGACGCGGCGCTAGTCGCGGACATTTCTCCGTCAGCTCCGTTGTGAGACAAGCGCCCACAAACTTCTCCGTATGATTTGCACTGTATTTTCGAAGCTGCTCAAGCACGAAATCGGTGATACTGGTATCAAGATTCCGCTCGGGGACATGGAAGTGGTGCTCCAGAAAGTCTAGCGGGTAGACGACGTCTCGGACGGCGATGACGATGGTGAGATTATGCTCGTCGATCTTTTTTGCGGTGATACCGGCATATCGAATCTGATTTGCTCAGCATCGCGCAGTTGTATGTGCGTGGAGGATGAATTGGAGGAAAACGTTCCTCCGACGTGGGACCAAACCAGGCACCCTGCTTTTGGCTCTCCTGCCATTTCTTCTTCTGATGCTGGGAGATCTTACGTTGAAACTGATGTATGCTACTGGCGTAGACTTGCATGGTCATTGGGGGTTAGAGGGGATAGCATTGAATGCTTGTTGTGATTCTCATTGCCTGCTGATCGGGATGAATGCTGTCGCGGAGCAATGTAGTTAGTTCATCTTGACATCATCTCGGTTGGATCGAATCAACCATGTGGGGGAGCCAACCATGATCGATTAATGAGCTTGAAAATGGGAAACAAGATGTGAGTGATGGAGTAGGTGGATGGATAGATCGATATCAGCGACGAGGGAGAGAAAAGAGTTGGTGCATGTGACCCCAGCTCTAACACTGACATTCTTCACTTGACGATGACTATTACATCGCCTTGATAAGATACGTTACCTGCCATGTGTACTTCTCTCCAGGAAAACAGGGTGATTGTCAAATGAGAATCATCTCTGTCCAGGTATCATCTCTCGACTCTCGTGCTGTCTTCAACTGGTTAAGATCCTATATTGACAACGCTACAAAGCAAAAGCCGCAATGGACCATCACAAGCATGAGAGTGATTTGGACCACTGCGTCTCTGAAACAATGCCATCGGGCTGGAAGGGAAGCAGCATACGTCCTATACCACCGTTATCGCTTTTTGGTCCACATCCAACAACCGCGAGACGAATGGCGCATTCTCTACCACTGGCGCTTGTAGATTGGGCCAGACAATCGAGACTTCCTCCACGATATCTCGATTTACATCCAGGCCGTGGAGTTGGATCACCTGGGGTCGAAGCGCTTCCTTCTCACACCGGACACCGGACGTTGAATCCGTGGTTACTCACTCGTCTTCCTGGACCACTGCCTTGAAGAACGCATTGACCCGATCGTCGAGCAAGGGATTCTCACACTGGGTTCGTGCTCAGACAGGTTGAACAAACATCACGCTGGAATTGCCCGAGAACCTTGATCTGGGCTCGATTGACCTCATCTCAGATCCAGAGGATGATTTTCCAATTGTTCTTAAGAGCAATGAAAAAGGAGCAGAGGGCGTGGACACGAATCGGGGCGATCCGAGTGGGAAGACTGCGGGGAGTGAGCTCCGCCTGCCTGAGGTGCTTGGAGCATCCGTTCGGAACACATTAGAGATGAATTGGACAATCGGAGATCAACCTCCTCAAAGGTTCAATGCAGGATGGTCATTCAATAGGGAAAGCGCTGATGGGAAGTTACTGGTTCCTACTGAGGTTAAACAGGCTTGAGTGTCTGTGCTGTAATGCTCAGCAGGAGCGATGGCAGGCACCCTAATGGTTTTTTTTTTTTTTTTTTTTTTTTTTTTTTTTTTTTTACTTGCTGATAGCTAAATTATAGGCACTGGTAGTAGTATCCATGGCTATAATGACGTTGATAATTCGCTCATATAGATGAACTATCCAAAATAGTCCAGATGCTCCGTGCATCTCTACTCGTTGACCTGAGCCGGATAGTTTGGATGGAGCCATCTAGATGTATTCCTATTCTGTGCTCCATGACATCAACCTCAGCCAGCTCCAGTTGAAAAGCGAAAAGTGATCAATTCGAAACCGAACGATTGGCCGAGCATGAATGATCGCCTGGCCATCCCCGCAAAAAAGTGACCCCCATAATCTCCCTCTCCTCAATTCCGGCATGGAGTGATTATATTGAATGATCAGGCCACCACAACGCCACTCCCGAGGTTATTCAACTGGTGATATATACCCGACTTGCTGTCTCTCCCTATTCCCTATCATTGCAGTTTTCTTTCGTCAAACCTATCACAATCTACCACGACCAAGACCATTTCCAATCGCTATTCCCCCAATTCCTTGAATCCAAGAAGATTTGGCAGTATGCAATCCTTTGCTTCCCAACCCACCAACTCGCAGCGCCCATTCTTCAAGCGGCCATTGTACGCGACCTACTTCAAAGTCGGCCGGTTAGGGAAACTGTATGACTTCTCTCCATCCAATATTCGGAAGCATTGTGACTTACATCCAGCGTGCGTGACTTAGATATCTTCCAACCATGGCCCTCATCGCTGTCGGTATGCCTCATCTTCTCCAAACCAAACCAAATCAGATCCCCCCTCCCCTACCCAAACGATCCCAGTCTTAACAAGTCAATTCTAGGATTCGGCATCTCCAACTACATCTCCGAAGCACGAGCCCAACACACCCGCTACCAACTCCAGGAGGAAGAGCGTATCCGGCAGAATCAGAAGCTGATGGACGCGTACGGTGACAAGGACAGTCTGCACGATGTGAAGCATGCGCTGGAGGTGTATGAGGTCCAGTAAACCACGACCACCCCCGTTCTATTATCTGTGACGGGCGGGATCACAACCCTTTTTTTTTTTTTTTCCCCCCCCCCCCCCTTTATGATGATTTATGACTGGCGCCGGCGTTTATGATTTGGTTTTGGGATGACATGGCATTGCATGGAGGGTGTCGGAGGGTTTCTGCTGGCAGAAATGAATGACATGATGAATGGATTCCGTCCATCCTTGGATATGATCAATAATGCTTGAATGTTTGCGCTTATCTTTCCGCATCGTAGTCGTAGAGCTAGCTACCTAGCTACCTAGCTACTAGCTACCTACACGGCCGAGATGTTCCAACTCCAACAATAATCAGTAAACCCCAGCTAATCTGATCAGCGCGCATAATCATTGGAACCCTTACATCCCAATCCATCTTATCATCCACTCACACACGAAAACCCCTCCATCCATCCCATCCTCCCCGATTATCCTCCAAGATAACAAACTCACCTGAGAGTACCTAGTACCTACGACCTCTCTCTCTCTATCTCTCTCTCTATCTATCTATCTATCTGCCTGGACTTACCGCATCCCTATCGCCGTCGTCAACTGGTCCAACTGCCACCACACCTTACATGCCAAGGGCCAAGGCGTGCGTTTGATTCGATCACACGAGCGGTCCTGTCAGGAGATCATGTGCGACGCTCGTTGGATGAGAAAGGATGGGGGGTTGCCTTGTCTCTTGTCTCTTGTCACTTGTTCGGTTGTATCGGATTGGTTGCTAACGCCTCGTTCTTTTTCTTTGGTCTTTTGGTGGTTGGGTTCATGTGGGAAAATGGGGGGTGTTCACACGGGACTATAAATACTGAGAAGATGGGAGAACGGGAGGGGCGGCTGGGGTCTGTCCTCTGTTGATGTTGTTGTTTGCATGGTGGGGGATCTTTTCTCTCATCCTTATTTATTTTTTTTTTCTTTTATTTACTTTTGAATCTGGCGGTATCGAATTGGGGGTTGGTAGCTGCGGCGATGGAAGATGTATTCGACCTATCTATCGGTCTTTGCAGTCGGGTGGCTGCTACGCGGTTGTGCTGGGTATGTAGCCCAGCCGTTGCCTGGGAAGGATGAGCTGCGCTGTACGAAGACGACGGTGGCTATTCTGTATGTTGATTTTCCTTTGCCCTTCATCACATCTAGACGAAGATGTAATCGGCTGGTGCTGACGGTAGTAGAGGAGGAGGCATGGCAGGCGTCACAGCTGCAGTAGGTCCCAACGGATATCAAAGATTTTTTTTTTTTTAAAAAAAAAGCCACAAAAAGAGTAACTGACCGGGTGCAGCAAGCTCTGACTAATGCCTCAATCGATGACTTTATGATCCTCGAGTACACCGATCGACTGGGAGGTCGGCTACGAGAGACAGAGTTCGGGGCCGACGAGAGCGGGAAGCCCTATCGGGTCGAGCTGGGGGCGAATTGGGTCCGTGAGAATCTGTCGAGGTAGTCTCTGCCAGATACTGATGCTGTGGGTGTAGGTCCATGGAGTGGGATCGCGTGTCAGAGGTGCGGTTGCTATTCGCTCCCCCTTGACTGGATGATGCATCGGCTGACGATTCACAGAAAACCCCATATGGAAGCTGGTATGCACTGCATCTACCTGGGCTGTGATGAAAGCACTGACCCCAGCAGGCCAGGAAATACAATCTGACAGCCACCCATTCCAACTACAGCTCCATCCGCACCTACAATGAGACCGGATACACCGACTACCGCCATCTTCTCCGTAAATACAGCAACGTCTACCGGAAGGCCGGCCGCGAAGCCGGCCGCATCCTAACCGAGAATCTGCAAGACCAGACCGCGCGGTCCGGACTCGCGCTGGCCGGCTGGCGGCCGCGCAAGAACGACATGGCGGCGCAAGCAGTGGAATGGTGGAACTGGGGTGCGTCCATCAATCTTCACTTTCACCTCCCCCGCTCCCCTCATCGCCCCTCTGCATAAGATACTGATGACAGTACAGACTGGGAAAACGCCCAAACGCCCGAAACCAGCTCCTTCGTCTTTGGCGTCGCCGGCGAAAACCTCACCTTCCAGCAATTCGGCTTCCGCAACGAACTCGTTGTCGACCCCCGCGGCTACAGCGCCATCATCACCGGCGAGGCTTCCACCTTCCTCTACACCGAGCACGGCGACCCCGCTCTGGACCCGCGCGTCCGCCTCCAGACGCAGGTCACCGCAGTCGAGTACTCCGGCGCGGGCGTCACCGTGCACAGCGCCGACGGGCGCTGCGTGCAAGCCGCGTACGCGATCTGCACGTTCTCGCTCGGCGTGCTGCAGAACGACGCCGTGGTGTTCCGCCCGCCCCTGCCGCCGTGGAAGCAGACCGCCATCCACAAGTTCCACATGGGCACGTACACCAAGATCTTCATGCAGTTCGACGAGCGGTTCTGGCCCGCCGACACGCAGTTCTTCCTGTACGCCCACCCTACCACCCGCGGCTACTACCCAGTCTTCCAGTCGCTGGACGCGGAGGGTTTCCTCCCGGACTCGCGGATTCTCTTCGTCACAGTCGTCGATGCCGAGGCGTACCGTGTCGAGCGCCAGGACGCGGCAGTCACCGAGGCCGAGATCCTCGAGGTGTTGCGGAAGATGTTCCCGCGCGTGCGTGTCCCGCGGCCTACCGCGTTCTTCTACCCGCGCTGGTCGGCGGAGCCCTGGGCATATGGCAGTTACTCGAACTGGCCGGCGGGTACGACGCTGGAGATCCATCAGAATCTGCGGGCGAATGTGGAGCGGCTGTGGTTTGCGGGCGAGGCCACCTCGTCGGCGTATTTTGGGTTTGCGCATGGGGCGTGGTATGAAGGTAGGGAGGTCGGGGAGCATGTGGCGGCGTTGCTGCGGGGGAAGTGTGTGCGGCTGCAAGGGCGCAAGGCGTGTGGGGAGCAGACGCATTATGAGTTGTTGCATGGGACAACGCCGTTGGAGGCGTATAATGTGAACAATGGGTGGCCGCTGAGTAGTGTTGATTTATCGTGAATGGTGCAGGGAGTATGGGTTGGTGTTGGGTTTGGGAGTCCATAGATTAGAATGTCCAGCAACAGATGGCGTTATCCGGTTTCAAATTCGATCATGAATGAATTCCTGAAGGTCCGTTGAGATGTCCAAACATTCTACGATCGCACGCCGATAGACATAACATCAACATCGCGTGTGCTGCAAGGGCTCTGGTGCTAGGCTGACGATCTGACTTGGGTTAGTAGTTCATCTGGAGTCTTCATCACAGCTCAAATAATATATTCTGGTGGTATAGAACTATAGTCAACGTAAGAGAAAGCCATTGCTGAAATTAATGACCCTGGTTCTTCGGGGGAACAGTAGCGGGACCCTCGGGAGTCACATAAGCCTATCGATAATTGTCAGTATCAGTGCCAATAGACTTCCGCTGGTCTCATACCTTGGTCATGCCACCATCAACGACAAAGTCGCTGCCGTTGACGAAGCTGCTCTCATCGCTGGCAAGGAATACCACGGCATGGGCCTGTTCGATGGCCTCGCCGAAGCGTCCCGTGGGGAAGTGCACCTCACGACGGTGACGCTTGGCCTGGTCATCACCCAGCCAGTCTTGCAGAAGGGGAGTGCTAGAACCAATGATTAGCAACCGAGAGTCTACCATGAGACCGAAACATACTTGAGCGGCGCAGGGCACAGGGCATTGAACCGGAAGCCCTCCCGAGCATGCACAATCGCCAGTTCCCGAGTCATCGCGAGAACGGCCCCCTTGCTGGCGGTATAGGCTAGCTGCGGTGTAGCGCTACCCACAAGTGCCACGACGGAGGCCGTGTTGATAATGCTACCCCGGCTCTTCTTGTGGCGCCGCAAGCTCAGGACCGCATGCTTGCAGCCAAACCAGACGCCCTTGACATTGATATTCTGGGTGAGATCCCAGATCTTCTCTGGGGTATCGATCGCATCGGCGTCATCGGCATGCATTATCCCGGCATTGTTGAAGATCACGTCCGTTCCACCCCAGCTGTCCTGGGACTCCACCATGGCCTGCACCTCGGCCTCCTTGGAGACATCGCACTTGATTGTTTCCACTCGGGGGGCGTTGGGAACGACTTCCTTCACTTTGGCGAGGGCCTTCTCGAGTGCGGGGGCGGAGATATCGGCCATCAGGACATTGGCACCTTCGCGGGCGAAGAGGATGCTTGTCTCGAGACCGATGCCTCTGTTCATGTTAGTGTTATTTTTGAATAAAGAGAAGGTGGAGGACCTACCCAGCAGCACCGGTGATGATGGCATTCTTGCCTTGGAGTCTTCCCCGAGGAGCGGCCATTGTGTATGCTAGGATGCTAGGAAGCTTGGATGCTTGGAAGCGGTTAGATAGATCGATGAATTGAATTTACTCCAGAGACACGACGGTCACAGAGGAAAGTAGAGAGTTGAAGAGATCCAACAACTTACTACAACTGAGAGAATGAATGAAGAATGAAGAACAGGAGGACAGGAGGACAGGAGGACAGGAGGACAGGAGGACAACCCAGTGGGACACAGCTGGAGCAACGCGGGGCAGCAGTGGATCAGTCGAATGATCTAATCCGCGCAGATGACAGACACAGTTGCTTATCATTAGATAAATACTGCTCAAGGACCGTAGTATATGACTTGGATGTCTACTACGGATAGGTACTGAGTTTATAATCTATACTATCTAACTATCTGCTGCTTACCTACTCTGAGTATATCTGGAGAACAATAATCATAATATCCCCATGTATTCAAGCACCAGCATCGTCAACCAAGTCACACAACTGAGGTATGTAAACATCCCTTCGATCGGGCCGACCACCCCGACTCCGTTGATAACCTTCGATAGTTGTGCTTGTGCTGCTTATCTTCTATCTATCTCCCAAACACACTTTCCACCCAGCCTGCGCTATTCATGCCAACGTGGGTGCAATCATATATATATATCATATATATATAATATACTAACAAAACAAGCAGACTCGGTATAGCGATAGTCCATCATGTCCTCTACCACAGACACGAAAATCACCGCCAAAGACCTCCCGCGGATCCTGGAACATGACACCAAGGTCAAATTGGCAGGCGTCGATGTCGACGGCCAGCTGCGCGGCAAGCTAGTCTCCAAGAAAAAATTCCTGTCAATTGCAGAGGATGGATTCGGATTCTGCTCGGTTATTTTTGGTTGGGATATGCATGACCGCACCTACTTCAAGGAGCTCGCGATCAGTAACAAGGAGAACGGGTACCGGGATCTGGTCGCAATCCCCGACCTGAACAGCTTTCGTCGCATTCCCTGGGAGAATAATGTGCCTTTCTTCCTGGTGAGCTTTTTTGATCCGGAGACGCGCGAGCCTGTGTCGGCGTGTCCGCGCGGGCTGTTGAAGACAGCGCTCAGCAAAGCGGAGGCTGCGGGGTATCGCGCCATGGCGGGAGGTATGTCTGGATATGATACTTCGCTTTGAATTGCGACTTGAATTCTAACAATCATGGCTTTTTTTTTTGTGTACAGCGGAGTATGAATTCTACCAGTTTCGTGTACCGGGTGATTATCCTACCCCCGAGCGCAGTGCTTCCGCAACCGCGGTTTTCCTAAAAGAGAACCCGGCCGAGGCGTTGCCTCCATTGACCGAGGGGATGTTTGGATACAGTATTACGCGGCCGATCCATAATCAAGATTACTACTACGGGATCTTCGATGCATGCGAACAGTTCAACTGTGAGATCGAAGGGTGGCATACGGAAAGCGGGCCGGGGGTGTTTGAGGCCGTGAGGAGTTCACACAGAAATGCCGTTCGAGCATGGTGCTGACAGATCTTCTAGGCCTTACAGTTTGGCGAGGCGAAACAGATGGCAGACAAGGCTGGGCTGTTCAAGTAAGTTGCAACTGACGTTTCGTATCTATCAAGGTCTAGCGCGACCCTCTGACGTATGTGGCAGATATGTGGTCAAATCCATCGGCGCCAAACACGGCATCACTCCAGCATTCATGGCTAAGCCTCGTGAGGGCTTGCCTGGCAACAGCGGACACATGCACATCTCTCTGGTCACCGAAGATGGCAAGAATGCATTCCTCCGCCCTACGCCTGATCCCTCTCCGCCGTATCCCGATGTCGCCTACCTTTCCGATCTGGGAAGACACTTCCTGGCGGGTATCCTGACCGGTCTGCCGGACATCATGCCTCTGTTCGCGCCGACCATCAATTCCTACAAACGACTGGTGGAGAACTTCTGGGCCCCGGTCACAGTATCCTGGGGTCTGGAGCATCGGGCCGCTTCCATCCGGCTGATCACCCCGCCCACCGCCAGCGCAAAGGCAACTCGATTCGAGGTCCGCGTTCCGGGCGCGGATGCGAACCCACACTTTGTTCTCGCAGCTATGGTCGCATTGGGCTGGCGCGGGGTTGAGAAGAAGCTGGAGATCCCTGTGCCCCCGCTGTCGCGGGGAGAAGACATGGGTGGTGCCCGCGATCAGGGCGTGCAACTGGCCAAGTCGCTGAAGGAGGCCACGGCTACATTTATGCGCAAGGATAGTATCGCCCGCGAGGTGTTTGGGGATGAGTTTGTGGATCACTTTGGTGGCACTCGCGAGCACGAGGTGCGCTTGTGGGAGGAAGCAGTCACAGACTGGTTTGTGTCCCAATCTAACCCATGCACGAGGTGCACGTGCGATGCTAACTCGGATGATAGGGAGGTGAGACGGTACATCGAAACAGTTTAAGCATCAACAACTCCTCACAGTTCAACGGCGGCTTATATTTATGCAACTTCATTTGTTTTCAGCCTGTTTCGCGCAGTGCGTTATTAGGAATACCCTTTTCGTTCCATATTTCCGAGTTTAGTGTTGGGCGAGTTCGGAGCGAAGCCGTGAGGCATGAAGATAGAGACTCGTCCATTGGGATAGCTCATGCTACTAAGATGTGAGATGATTGCTCCTCGAAGCCATGGATCAGCTTGAAACTAGAGCCCGTCTGGTCCCGAGTGTAGAAGAGGAATCGGGATGGATCCGACCTGGAGTTTGGTCTCTCATCTCACAAACTCACAAGCTCAGGCATCACATGCCCGGTTGACAGTCAGTTTCACATGCTAGCTGCCGTCGACAGCAAACGGCGGTCCTTGAATCCCTGGTTCTTCACATAGCAGAAACAAGTTTTCATTTTTTCGTAGAGATCAATGATATTCAGTCTCTCCTTCCCATCTCATGGCAACGTAAACTGGTCGGGTCAATTCGGGCGCACGCAGTCTGAATCTGGGGATTTCTCCGCCCCCGATCTCGCCCTTCCCACAGCGGAAGTGAACAAATAGGTCTCTCGCTAACTGGCCGAGCTTGGCTTGGCATCTGCAGCGCAATCAGAGTTGCAAAACACTAAAAGTAGAAATCCAATCCCTTGACGTCGAACCGCGGCTGTCGATGTCCAGTGGAAGTTTTCGGGCCTGCGGGAGGACTCCCTCGGCTGATTGTGCGTTTGACCTTAGTTGAAGAAGTAGTAGCTTCGTAGTTAGTAGTTAGTAGAGGATCGAGCGTGATGACCTGGGCTGATACTAGGATCCACGAGACTTGTGTGCATATGTTTCTTCTGATCTATCGGTGTTTCCATTGAACTGGTGCATTTTCGCGTGTGATTCTATTCCTCGATCATATATAGTAATGGCGGGCAGAAAGCAGATTAGCAGCGTATCATCCCAGCCGATATCGATCTTCGGTGCGCGGCGGCCCCCGGATGAGGGGAACAAGCCGCGGGCGGTCGGCCGAAAAAACCGTTACGAATACGCGCTAGTGACGCTCCGGTAATTTATCTTTCCTCTTTGGGCTATAATGGGCAAATTTCCCGCGGATAAGTCAGGTGACCGCCCAACTTCCGCTCATCCAGCGCGGGTTGTCCTATCGGTTCAACTCGTTTCCCATCTCTTCTCCTTTCCAGGAGGGGCAAACCCATTCATTCCCCCCATAACTCTAACTTCCATGATCACTGGGAGTCTGAAAATACCTTACCGAATGGGTCTGCAAGCTTGTCCAACGCCATCTCGTGGTTGGTCACTGTTTCCAATGGGCCGCGGTTGTGTTCATCGTTCTGACGTCGACTCCGATGTTCCTCCCGAGCGGGTGTGTCCCTACCAGATGGGAGAGGGATCGCTTGCGATCCCAGGTTATATATCCTCTGGTCTAGACGGCTGTCGTTGTTTATTTCTTCTTTCCCTCCTTTCCTGAACGCTTTCCTGGGTGATTTTCTGATTCTCCCCATCTTTTATTCCAACAAATCCCCCCCTCCCCCGCGCATCAAAACTTATCGAGATAAGATAAGAGAACTGATAGCAACCATGAGCCAAATCGAGGTACAGCTCAAGGATGTCGCCATCCTGGGCGCCGTGAACAACGAGCACCGCAAGATCCTCACCAAGGAAGCCTGCGCTTTCCTCGCCATCCTCCACCGCACCTTCAACTCCACCCGCAAAGTCCTGCTCCAGCGCCGGATCGACCGCCAGGCCGAGATCGATAAGGGCCATCTGCCCGATTTCCTTCCCGAGACCAAGCACATTCGCGAGAATGACGCCTGGAAGGGTGCTCCTCCTGCCCCCGGTCTCGTTGACCGTCGCGTGGAGATCACTGGTCCCACGGACCGCAAGATGGTTGTGAACGCGTTGAATGCGGATGTCTGGACTTACATGGCTGATTTCGAGGGTGTGTATTTCTTTTTTTTCCCCCATTCTGCGCGGACCTGAATCTGCAAAGGGGGTCTTGTACTGATTGAGATAGATTCGAGCGCCCCCACCTGGGAGAACATGATCAACGGCCAGGTCAACCTGTACGATGCCATCCGCCGCCAGATCGACTTCAAGCAAGGAAACAAGGAGTACAAACTCCGCACCGACCGCAACCTCCCCACCCTGATTGCTCGTGCTCGCGGCTGGCATCTGGATGAGAAGCACTTCACCGTCGATGGCGAGCCCATCTCCGGCTCTCTGTTCGACTTTGGTCTCTACTTCTTCCACAACGCCAAGGAGCTCGTCGCCCGCGGCCACGGCCCTTACTTCTACCTGCCCAAGATGGAGTCTCACCTCGAGGCTAGACTCTGGAACGATGCCTTTAACCTCGCTCAGGACTACATTGGCATGCCCCGCGGCACCATCCGTGGTACCGTCCTGATTGAGACCATCACCGCCGCCTTCGAGATGGACGAGATCATCTACGAGCTGCGGGACCACAGCTCCGGTCTCAACTGCGGCCGTTGGGATTACATCTTCTCCTTCATCAAGAAGTTCCGCAAGCACCCCAACTTTGTCCTCCCCGATCGCTCCGATGTCACCATGACCGTTCCGTTCATGGATTCCTACGTCAAGCTCCTCATCAAGACCTGCCATCGCCGTGGTGTCCACGCTATGGTAAGACCCTAGTTTCTTGTTTTTTTTTTTTTTTATTTTTTATTTTTTATTTTTTATTTTTTTAAAAAAAACTATACTAACAGCAACAGGGTGGTATGGCTGCTCAGATCCCTATCAAGGACAACGCCGCGGCCAACGACAAGGCTATGGAGAACGTCCGTGCCGACAAGCTGCGTGAGGTCCGTGCCGGCCACGACGGTACCTGGGTCGCTCACCCCGCTCTCGCCTCCATTGCCTCCGACGTCTTCAACAAGTACATGCCCACCCCCAATCAGCTCTTCGTCCGCCGCGAGGACGTCAGCATCACCGCCAACGACCTGCTCAACACCAACGTGCCCGGCAAGATTACCGAGGACGGTATCCGCAAGAACCTGAACATCGGTCTCTCCTACATGGAGGGCTGGCTCCGTGGTGTCGGCTGCATCCCCATCAACTACCTGATGGTACGTCTGCCTTCGTTCCCTTTTCGTTTCCCCCCCAGACTAACAAGAAATAGGAGGACGCTGCTACCGCCGAGGTGTCCCGCTCCCAGCTCTGGCAGTGGGTCTACCACCAGGTCACCACCTCCGAGGGCAAGAAGATCGACAAGGCCTACGCCCTGCGTCTGCTGCAGGAGCAGGCCGACAGCCTCGCTGCCAAGGGCCCCAAGGGCAACAAGTTCCAGCTCGCGGCCCGCTACTTCGCCGGCCAGATCACCGGTGAGGCCTATGCGGATTTCCTGACCAGCCTGCTGTACAACGAGATCTCGACCCCCGGCACTGCGTCGAAACTGTGAGCGTGGCGGAGTGAGTTTGCATGATTGATGATTCCCCCTTGTACTGTACATTCGAGTTGCATTAGCATATCAATTCTTGGTTTTCTTCATTACAGACCGTAATGTTTTTTTTTGCTGTAGTATCAGTATTGCTTGCTCGAGTAGTAGTTCCGTCAATGTCTAGCAAAACAATACATTCACAATGATGAAAGAATACACACTCCACCAGAGATAAGTCAACAAAAAGCAACTGGACACAGCCAAAGCCTCATTCATAAAGAACCAACTCCCCTTGTCTTAGCCTGAATCCCATTATTCCCGACAAAGCTCATTATCCTCACAAAGACCCCGTTTCACTCTCCAACAAAAACAAAACGCCATTGTCCCACAATGACCATTAATATATTGCTCTTTCAACCTGTCTCATACGGCAAGACAATTCCTCTTTGTATACTCTCTCTTAGACAGGCTGAATGTCTTGGTTCTTGTGTCTTGTGCTCTCTGTGGGAGACGGTGTGTCTCATTTTGAAGGCATTGTGCTTGATGTCTTGAATGGCTTTGTGATGCTGGTAGAGGGTCTTGTTCTGGGGGTTGAGTGCCTGTATCTTGTCGGTTGCTTTTGGGATATAAAAGGGAGGTGGAAGGGGGGTAGAATGGTTCTTCTTCTTCATCATCATCATCATCATCATTCTCAATCTCCTGCTTCTACAATCCCAACATCACCACTACAAGAACAACTTCCCTTTTACGCTTCTACCACTATCTTCTAAAACCCTCATCAAATTCTACTTCACCACCAATCTCTACTCCGACACCTCTACCTCTCCCGTCTAGAAACCTCAAGAAGCCAACGCAATGGCATACAACGGAAACTTTGTCAACCCAATGACAACCACCGAGCTGGACGAGGACAGCTGTGTCCTGTACCAGACAGGATACCGGCCCAACCAAGAGGGCCAGCGGACCTGGTGGGTCTGGATCCCCCTCGTGGGGACCTTCGGCAGCGACTTCCAGCTGCTGGGCGCGATGATCGAGTCCATCGCGCGGGGGCACGCAAGCCTGGCCCCAAACTGGGACCGGACGTCTGCCGGAGGCGTCTGGTACGACTTTGACTGTGCGTCGGACATCCTTGACGAGAAGACTCTGTTCGGACTGGCTACTGACGATCTGCAGAACCGGTTGGAGAATGAGATGGCCAGCAGTGTTGGCCATGCGGGCCAGAAGCCGGCGATGGGATTCCGGTGAGGGAGGGAGTTCCTGGGGCTTCGTTGTCTGGTTTGGTATGTCCTCCGCTGTTTGAATTTGGAGAGAGAGGGTGTGTGCTGACAAGTTGCGCTTCCGTGTGTGCGTGTGTGTGATGGTTGATTCGGTACCTTGTCTGGTCAGGTATGTTTTCCCTTTTGGTTCGGCTTTTCGCGTTGGGTGAAGTTTCCTTGGGGCATTTGGAGTTGCATAGACAGGGATTTAATGGAGATTCGGTTCGACATGATCTGTTTTATTGTATTCTCACGGAGTAGAGACCTTTCGTAGCGTGCGGTTGTAGCTCCCTAGGGTTGTAGACAGACACGTTCAAGTATCCATCACCTCGACCAGGTCAGAAGGCCCTGATGCATATGTTGAAACATTTAGTAAAGGGTATACAGTCCATATGCTATCCATTCAAACTCGATTGCTGCAGGTCCCTGATCACCTCATTGGCATCCCGGCCCCCAGACCGAATGGTTCGCTTCATGTATCCCTTCCACTCAGTCGACGTCTCCGTCCCCACGAAATGCACGTTCTCATGGGGCTCTCGAAGTGCGCGCGCGCCGAATTCAGTGAGCAGGCCCGGTGGTGACACCGGGCAGGGCGCACCACCGAGGAACTCTGCTTTGGACCCCTCCATCTCAATGACAGACCGCCCCGTTCGAGGATCGCACAGTGAAGAGCCCAGTATTTGGACATTGCTCGATCGACATAACCGGGGTCGAGTGGTAGAGCGATCCCGGCGGAAGCTCCCTGGCCATAGACCGTGCGGACGAATGGGCACCTGGTTTCAGACAGTAGCAACGAAAGTTAGCTGGTGCCTTCTTTGACTCTCCACGACTGGGTGCCTAACCTACCGGCGTCGGAAGAAGAAGTCCGACAAGAGTAAAGCACATTATATCAGATGTACACGCAGCCATTTGACGCGTGATAGGCCCCCTTAGGGACAAAAGGGCCCCTACGCCGAGGGGTCTCTGGCACACCTGCTTCTCAACAGACAGCACTATGGGGGCTCCGTGCCAGAACAGCTCTCCTCAAGGCCTTGAGATTACCGCCACCAATCACTACCTAGAAGCAGGTGATGGCAATCTTCTGTCCGATCTATGCATCATTGCACCGTCTCACTCGATGGCGTCCTTGGACGCCGCTCTCCCGGCCACGGGCTCTGACCCGAGCCTCTAGCATCGTACTATCACATTAGGTTGCCGAGACTGGAGCCCATCTGTCCACTTTACCAGGGGCAGGCAGACAACCCGTTTTTGAATTTGCTATTCCCCTTGGCGATCGACGATGACCTGTTGATGCACTCCTTGCTGGCGTTGAGCGGTACTCATCTGAGCTTCTGGAACCCCACGCCGGATATTCCAGAGAGCTAGCTACCTATCGCCATTACGCAGTGGCAGTGAGGGTTCTTCCGACCACCATTGCTGATATGCAGTCCCTGGGCGTATTGAAGACACTAAGTGGAGGTAATCATCTCAGCCCCCTGGTTGTCCAGATTCAAACACTATCACTCCATTTGCTGTTGTTGAGAAGATGCTACTCCCCCCCCACTTGACCCGTTTCTGGGTAATCTGAGCAACAACGGCCTCCTCATGCGACGGTTTTGGTGCCATCTTCCGGAGGGAGCCACGAGCTATTTGAACTGCTTCCCGCGATTGCACCAGCTCTCTCATCCGACCGGATCACAGAGCAGCATCACTCCGCCTCAAGCAAGAGCTGGGAGCGATATCACCGGTTGCATGATCAGCTTCACTCATAGAAGCCCCCCCCCGCACAGTGGAATCATCGGACTCCGAGTGGCTATCTATCTATCTGTCTTCGAGGAATGAACCCTGCTGCCATCCACTATCGTTGGCGTCCTTGTACCGCCTCCCCGCCCACCGTGGTATGGTGGAGGGCTAGGTTTGCGTCTTTGATTCCCTGGCCTTGAGAGGAAATATAGGTGGTATAATCTCTATATATGATAGTGCCAGGGCAGGCGACTAGATGCGTACTTACCACAGCATCGAATAGGATACCCCTACTCTGTAGTACGCAATAACGCCCTTCAGATACACACCTACACACCCAGGCAAGACCTCAATCCGCGTCACTAATCTTTCTTAATCACCTTTAATTATAAACATACAACTCACAACCGGATGGCAATCGTCCCGCAATCCCACCACTATACACACCCCCCCACCCCCGCTATCTCCTCCTCCTCATCTCACTCCAACCACTCTCCCTCCATTCACATCATTCATCGTTTAGATATACTCCCAAGCAGCAGCGCCGGTAGAGTTGGTCGGCACAGCAAGGGCATCAAAGCCCAGACATCCCTGCGAGGCTGTCACGTTGGCAGCAGAACCATACACCTGCCAGTGGGTGGCGGTGCCATTGCTGCGGGGGCAAGCCAGGAAGCCCGAGGCGCCCTGGCCCGTGTACGAGAACTGGCCGAAGTGCGGGCCAGGAGTGTAGGTGAAGGGACCCATGGACGAGCCGGGGGGAATGTAGGCCGAGTGTGCCTGGGTGAAACGCAGGGCGCCGCGGGGATCGATGTAGATCCGCTGGCCGCCGGGGACGACGACATCCTGGGTTGAGTGTTAGTATGTGGATAGGTGGGAGGGAATGGGGAAGGGGAAGGAAGGCACAGGGACATACCAGTGCGGTCTCGCTGGCGAAACGGGTCGAGGTGCCAGGGGGGCAGGCGCCGAGCTCCTCGATGTTCTCCGGGCAGTAGGTGGAGGGCGACTCGCCGAGCCAGAAGCTACCATGGACAGCGTTCATAGGCAGCAGATGCACGGGGGAGCCAGAGCGAGCGGACATGATGGAGAATTTGCTGTTGGCGTTGGTGCTGCGGGCCGGGATGGAGGCGGCAGAGGCCAGAGGCAGGAGGGCCAGAAGGGCGGAGATCTTCATGGTGATTGGTTGTTTTTTTGATCGAGAGACTTAGAAGACTGATTCAATTGATGGGTTCTGCTGATGTTGTTGTAGGGAAGAAAGTCGAAGACGAGAGGCGATGGAGGTTATATAGGGCGCAGTTCAACTGGATACAACACGGACCAAGGTATCCAAAGATCAAGGTAAACCCAGTCTGATCAGCACAGATAAAACCGAGCATGAAACCATGGGACGATGGGAGAGTGAAGACACGAAGGGGAGAAAAAAAACTTCTCCGTCTCGAGTCTCAAACGCAGCTCCATCGGGGAATCTTCTCAGACAATCCAACTCCACTTCGCTCTGGCCGATCTGAAGTCGCGCAAATCCACCCTCTCCAGAGTCTTCCCCGAGATAAGAGGAGAGGTGATAAACTGACTTTGGCCGGCAGAGGTGCTGAAAGTCTGAAACAGATAGACGGTTGATCCCACTACCACGACCCAGCATCCTTGCCCACGCGGCTTGGTTAAAACACACAGTGATAAACACGAGACTGTTCCAGACGACAAAAATAGGCAGAACAGTCCCAGAGCAGGACTGATCACTGAAGAGTGCGGAACTGCGGACTTCAGAGTCGTGATCGACAGGACTCCACTCCGTGTCTCGGATCAAGCCCTTTTCTGGTCGTGGCGTGAATGGCTTCAGGGTGTACCAGACATTATTGGCGCAGGGTCCGATAGTGTCTCCTGATGCCCCATCAGAGACAATCCACAAGGTCAAGGAAGTAACTAGTTAACTAGTATTCTATCGATTTCGGTGCCGACTTCTGACCGTTCAGCTTGGCAGCGCCACTGATCCACTGGAAGAGTTGCGAGTCAGTAATCATTATTCCTATAGATAGGTAGTTATTCCCATCGCATGCTTTGTGTGTCTATTCCGCGTCATATCTCTGTTTCTACAAGAAGCAAACGGTTTGTAGATAGCTATTATAGATAGGGTTGAGGCTCGCGGTCGAATCTTCTCAGCCCAGCTCAGTACTTCGCCTGTAACGGCAGATCGCGCGAGCTTCGTCCCACCCAGATCTGGAAATCGCCGTCGGGCATCACCCAGTTCTGCTCGCGCACGCTCCAGTAACTCAGATCTTTGCGGCTGAGCGTCATCTGCACCTCGCGTCGCTCGCCGGGCTCCAGCTCGACCTTGGTGAAGTTGCGCAACACGCGTTCCGGGAAATCGATCTTCACCTTCTCCTGCTGCTTCCTCGTGACCTTCTCTCCGTCCTTGGATGGCGCGTCGGGATCTTCCACCTCCACCCAGTCGCCGTCCTCCGTCACGTCCGATGGAAACGAGACATACACCTGCACCACCTCCTGTCCCTTGCGGTCTCCGGTATTCTGCACCTGGACGGAGACGCTGGCCATTTCTTGGAACAGCGCCGGATTGCCGCCTGCACCACCTCCAGCGGGGGAGGGCCCTTGCGTCTGGTTATAATCCTTCGGATAGTAGGAGTAGTTGGCCGGGGCCGTCCCGTCCAAGCTCGGAAGGTAGGGGTAGATGTACTTGTACACAGGCTGGAAGCCAGGCGGGAAAAGCGCCAAGGCAGGATCCGGCAGAGTAGTATTGTACTCGGGCGGCGAAACCGCAGCCGCAGGTCGAGCAGCTGGCGACCGGGACTTCGACTGCAGCGACCGGACATGGAGATCTTTCAGTTTAAACGTGGTGTACGACAGGCCGAACCCGAACTCAAAGCGCGGGGTGATGTTATATTGGTCGAAGTGTCGGTAGTCAATGAACAGCGCATCCAGAAGGTCCACCTGCGGCACGGGCGCGTTGGGCTCATACAGGACCTGCGCTTCGGTCCCATACTCTTCCAGGCTCTTGCCAATGGTATACGGCAGACGTCCGCTCGCATCGACGTCTCCAAAGAGCACGTCCATCAGCGCGTTGCCGCTCTCCTGGCCGGGCAGATTCGCGAGAAGGACAGCATGCACGCCCGGGAGGTCGATCCACGACTCCATGACGACGGGACCGACCGCGTGTATCACGACCACCGTCTTCCCTTGCCCCTCACCACAGTGGCTCGCCACAGTACGGATCAGTGTATCACCTCCCTTCTGCAGGAAGAGGTCGTTGCGGTCGCCGTGGATACCGCCCGCGGAGATGAATCCTTCCCCTGAATCTGCGTTCGCAAAGACGAGGCAGAGATCTTTATCCGCGACGTCTGCGGGCATGACGGCATTGCGCAAAAACGCAGTCATCTCCACCTCCGTCTTCCATGCGGTCTCCAGAGCCTCGAGCGGACTGACGAGGTACGGGAAGTCCACGGTCCCACTACCCCAGCCGGTAGCAAGGGTCCCCTGGTTACAACCCCGATCAGGGCACGCGTTGGGCCCCTGAGCTGGACCAGCATCGTCACCGTAGATCCCAACACGCATGACCCCAGAAGGACCCGATGCGTTACGCGACAGGGGCAGCGTGTGGTCCACATTTTTCAGCAGGACAGTGCCCTCAGCTGCAACCTTTCTAGCAATGATACTATGTGCCTCCGGCCCTGTACCTTGAGCATCTATGTACTGGTTGACAACGGCATACAACCCATCGTTGCTTCCAGCGTGCAGCCAACCAACATCACCGCCGGTCCAGGACGAGAAATTCGGGCCACCATTGCCTTCCGGAGGCGGTCGTTCCCATTCGTCCTGCTCAAATTGGTACCATGCAGCCACAATCCGGGTGACCATGTCGTTCAGTCGCTCCATGGGGATCGATGTATTGAGGACGGCTCTGGTTAACTCCCTGCCCCAAAGCGACTTACCGTCCGTCCAATGCAGACCATCTCCAGGCATGCTCATGTCAAGACCGCCCAGGGCGCTGTTGATGCCAGATCGCTGGGCCAGCCAGTCCGACTGCACAAAACCCTGGAAGCCTAATTCATCCTTGAGAATGCCATTCAAAAGTTTACTGTTCTCGCAGGCGTGGCTGTTATTGACCATTTGGTAAGAGCACATGACACTGGCCACATCCGCTCGAATGCTCTCGGCAAACGGCCATGCGAATACCTCGTGGAGTGCACGGTCGCCGACATTCGAGGACAGTGCGGTCGAAATCCCCCACTCGAAAGGTTGCCGGAAGTGCTCCTGCTCGTTCATCAGGAAATGCTTCGCCGTCGCCATCACCCCGTTGCTCTGGATGCCACGGATGGTTTCCGCCGCCGCAACGCCCTGAAGCACGGGGTCGGAGCCGAAACCTTCCCAATTACGGCCACCAGCGGGCATCATCCCAATGGGGCCGATCGACGGGCCCAGCAGGACATTGACTCCCTTCAACCTAGCTTCCCGTCCCATGGCGATGCCCCGCTCGCGCATAAGTGTTCTGTTCCAGGTAGACCCCGTGGTAATACCCGCCGGAAAGGCGGTCACATGGTCCGCATATCGAAGTCCTTGAGGGCCATCCTGTAAGCACAGCGAGGGGAATTTGACAAGCTCGGCGGGACCTAGAACAATCAGCCATTATCAAATGCAATTCATGGCACGACGCGCATACCAGTATTCCCAACACACATCCCCATTTGCCAGCCCGTCCCCGTGGTAATATTGACCTTCTCAATCAGAGTCATATTCCGCACCAGACTCTGCGCTTTCCTGTAGCTTTCCTCCCAGTGCTTGAGCGTCCCACCCTTCGGTGACGGAAACCACGAATCGGACGGCAACATCGGCTAAAACAAGAGTCAGCACCGTCACTTCTAGCCCCCACCCCCCATTCAAACCCAAACGCGCCAAAGACATTTAAACTCACCCACACCTTCGGCCCCTGCCTCTGCGCCGCCGTAAATCTCAAAAATCCCCAAACCAGCAGGGCCAGCGCAACGATGACAACGACCAGCGTCCGCCGCCAGATGCGCGCGTACTTCACCGGCGTCCACACCTTGGCCTTTAGTCGCTCCCGTCGGCGCCTCTGCTCCTGCTTCTGCACCTTGCGGCGCAGCGCCGCGTCGTCGTCCGAGTCGAAGTCGTCCGAGTCGTCGGCGAAGTCATACTGCTTCGAGAGCGAGAGGAGCTCCTGCTCGGCCTCGGTGATGCTATCGAGGTAGGTCTCGACGTCGTCGCCCTCGTCGCGGATGACGGGGATGTATGCGGTGGAGTAATTGTGGCCGCCGTTGGTGCTGCTGCTGCGTGCGAGGGGCCGGAGCTTGTAGTCATTCCGGCTTTGGTTCTCGAGGTCGGGGTCGAGATCGAAGGAGGAGGATGCGGATGCGGAGCGGGGGGAGGCGATTTCCTCGGGAATGGAGTCGTGGAGGGGTGTGTAGCGCTGTTTGCCTTTTGACGTGGTGGAGCTGTTGTTGTTTTTGTTGTCGTGCTTGAGGTGGTCCCTGAAGCTCCCGGGGTTGGAATCTGGGGGAGGCATGGTGCCTTGGTTCAGGTGAGGGTTGGCATTGATTAGATATTCGGGGCAGTCTGAATAGAGGTAAGGAGGAAAGGAATGACTAGATTAAGATAAAGAGAGTACGGAGGGCGTCGAAAGAAGCAGGAGTTTCGTTTCAGGAGAAAGAAAAGGAGTTGATCAGTTCAGATCGGAATGATTTCATGTTGAACATTGGAGTCCTGAAATCTGAGGCCGACGCGGTGGAGAGTTGCAGCGGGCCAATCAGAAGCCGTGATTGGCAGTGCACACAGTCAATTCCGGGGGTGGACAGACTCTACAGTCTACAGCACTACGCTTGGAGGCATGAATATGATGGCTGCGATGGCGGGCAGAAAGACCCCTAGGATCAATAGAACCCCTGCTAGTGTTGTGCTTGTTTCAGCAGAAGCAGATGGCTCACAGGTTATCTAGTGGTCATCTACACGATCCTGGCTCGAAAATGACAGGACAGGACACCGAAGAGTAGGTACCGAGTATGCCGCATTCTTCGAACCGGCATCTAGGTTTCTTGAGGGGCGTGCGGGTAGTAGTCTAGACACCGGTGACCGTAATACTTGTTCTTCAGGAGCAATGAAACACACTGAACCGTAGTGGGAGCAATTCACCCGAGATACACGTTTGGTCACGCGTCACATATGGTCCCAGCAGATGAGCAAAACACACACACACACACACACACCACGATGTCTTCATTGGCACGGAGGATCATCCTCCGTGGACAATATAGGAGCATACTCTTCAATCGCAGGCTGTCGCGTGGTCTGACCACGGAACTCGTGTCGACCACGAAGAAACCAATCCCCTGCAATGACTATCCCGACCACAGCATACACCACACATACATAGTTCATATCTAAATCTCAATTAGTTATTTAGCTTAGAAAGCGAAAAGGGATACATACTCTCTGCAGTCACCGGATACTCTGCCGGAAAGGAATATACTACCAGGCAGAACGCCGTCCAGAGCAACACTCCATAGTTGCACATCTGGCCGACCCGCCCTAGCCAGAATGGTCCATGCTCAATGCTCTCCCGGCCCCGGTGGAGAAGACACACGATTGGGACCACGTACGAGGCGTACAGAAGCACGATGCACGCGGTAACCATGCTATTGAATGCAGTTGACGAACCCAAATACAGCAGTCCCAGCAGCGCCACGACGGCGCAGCTCGCGCCGTGCGCGTGCAAGGGCACGTCCAGGCGGGGATGTACCCGAGCGAAAATAGTAGACAACGGAAGGCCGTGGTCGCGCGCGAATGACCAGCACAGTCGTGATTGCCAGGTGTGGCAGGCGATCAGGCAGCCGAGTCCGGTGATCAGGACCAGGGACTCGAGGACGATAGCGCCGAGCCTGCTTTGAAGGGCCTGGTAGTACAGCGCCAAGATAGGGACGCGGGTAGGGGTGTTCAGGATCTCATTGAGGCTGCTGACGCTGAAGAACATGGAGATGCAGTAGGTCCAGGACGTCAGGAATCCAATCAGCACCGTGCACAGGATGGCGATGGGGATGCTTCGTTCGGGGTGGATGACTTCCTCCGCAAGGTGGGTCGCCGAGTCCAGGCAGGCGAAGATCCAGTTGGGATTGATCAGGCCGACCAGGAACGCGAGCTCGTCCGAGAGCCATCCGGTCGAGTTGACAAAGTGCCCGAAGACGAAACGCGCCGGTGCGTGCGTCGGCACCGCTGTGGGCACGGTGATGAGGATCACGGCGAACGAGACCAGAGAGACGTACAGGGTCGTCGTGGCGACCGCCGGCAGCACCTTGCCCACGCAGTTGAAGCAGAACGCAAAGAGATTGATTGCTTCGTACGCGACCACCGCATGCCACGGCTGGATCACAAACTCCGGGTGCGAGAGCTGCCACATTCCCACGCACGCGGTGGCCAGGCTCAGCGCTACGCTGGCGCAGGTGAAGATGGCCCCAGACCATGCCAGCCAGCCTGTCAGGTACGCAGCGAAGCTTGCGTACCTCCGCGGAGCCAGCTCGCCGGCCCAGAAGTACTGTCCACCACTGTTTGGCATGGCCGAGGCCAACTCCGACAGTGAGACGCCAACGCATGTCGAAATCACGGCGATCCACGGGATACCATAGATAGTCAACGCCGTCCCGCCGGACTTGATACCCGTGATGAGAGAGGCGGATACACCGAACCACGAGTTCGCCAGGGAGAACGCAACGCCTAACAACGAGAGCACGGAGAAGTTGCGCGCCATGTTCTGGCTGTAGCCCATCTCAGCCAGCCTCCGTGCATCGTTGTTATCACTATCGATGATTGCAGGCGCGAGAGTCACCTGGTTTGCTTTAGATTTTGGCATTTTCAAGTTTGAGATGGGTTCTCTTGCGAGTGTCATGCTAGTAATTGAATTGCGGTCCATCCCATTTGGCCTAGGTTAGTCACCAGGGGTCATTGTGCACAGCAGTAAGAGATATTGAAAACAACAAGGCACCATCAGCATGGGGTCTTTGCTTAGCGGAAATTCTTAAGATGAGATGGAAGCATAAGGCAGAGTCCAGTATCTGCTGGGCATAAAGAGTGATTCTGGAAGCAAGTGAGATGTGAAGTCCTCGTACTCTGTAAGATGGAAGACAGTCTCCTGCCTAAGGCCACCATCTGGCGCTCGCCAACTGGTTTCTTCCGCCAATTCAACTCCTGGAAGAGACCTCTCAGCCATCTGAACTTGCTGGACTGCACTCTCAGAAGCAACATACACAATGCGATTTCAAACCATTATACTCTGTACTCCATTGAGATCTTGGATATATTCCGAGGAGACTCCCAGCATTCCTAACTCCACCCTGGGGTGCTATGCTACGGAAGATCCAGTGATCGATGCGATGCGGAGAAGCTGCATGAACCGAGGATGCACTGAGAGCCCGTCGGCAAAACAGCAGGCTTGTTTTTTTATATTGAATTGGGTGCAGCTCCCACGGCTAGTTTCTACTCTGCTCATGGATCTTGCTTGATACTATCGATATTGGCCCTGTAAGACCTACTCTACTATCAAGATGAGTTTCGGTAAGTCTGATCCGCATCTCCACAGCTGTAGATGTTCCAGAGTAGTAATAAACTAACTCGCGCCAGGCGTCGCAGCAGCAGCCGCAGCCGGTGGAGTTACACTGGCAGCTTACTTGAATGCCAAATTCCACATAGCCAAGGATATCTCGTCTTTGCGCCTCGCGCGGAAGAGCATTCGGTCCTACGAACATGCCGGTACGTGCCTCGCACCCTGCCAACACAGCAAGACTGACCGACAAAAACAGCCGCTCAGGGCCGCGGCAATGTTTGGTTTATCTTTCTGCAGACAGTAAAGAAGTACCCGGATATGGTCTGCCTGTGGACCCGGGAGAAAGTCTATACCTATCGTGACGTGCAGAATCTCGCCTGTCAGTACGCGCATTTCTTCCTCGCCAAGGGGGTGAAGAAGGGTGATCTGGTAGCGTTTTACCTTCAGAATCGGGCCGAGTTTGTTTGTGCGTGGCTCGGTCTTTGGAGCATAGGATGTGCGCCCGCGGCGATCAACTACAATCTCGCTGGAGACGCCTTGGTGCATTGTCTCAAGATCGGCGGCGCCAAGCTGGTCCTGGTCGACGACGATGAGGACTGTCGCGCACGAATTGAGGAGTGCAAGGGGTCTCTTGAAGGACAACTGGGGATGGAACTCATGTATCTAGGGCCGACACTGACATCGCTCCTGTCAACGTTCCCGACCACGAGGCCAGCCAAGGATCTCGCCCTGGACATGTCAGGCGAATATCCCAGCATTCTGCTATACACGTCCGGCACCACCGGCATGCCAAAAGGATGCGCCTTTACCATGTCGCGACTCTACAGCACCCTCTATGTCCGCCGTGGCGCGATGGAAGACACCGAAGGCCCCGGTGGCGATATCTGGTACAGCTGCATGCCGCTGTACCACGGCACCTCCGCGATTGCGATGATGATATGCCTCACGACAGGCGTGGCCATTGCACTCGGGAAAAAGTTCAGCGTGCGCCAGTTCTGGCGCGACATCCGCGACTCCAGAGCCACGACATTCGTCTACGTCGGCGAAGTCGCGCGCTACCTGCTCGCGGCACCGCCCTCCGCCGACGACCGCAACCACAACGTCCGCTGTATGTACGGCAACGGGCTACGGCCGGATATCTGGGAGAGATTCCGCGAGCGGTTCGGGGTCTCCAACGTGGGCGAGTTCTTCAATAGCACCGAGGGAATCTTCGGGCTGTTCAACTACAACAAGGGCCCGTTCACGGCGGGGAGCGTCGGCCACCACGGCCTGGTCATGCGCGCGGTCATGCACAACACCTTCGTGCCAGTGGCCATCGATCCCGACACAGGCGATGTGCTGCGCGATCCGCAGACGGGACTCGCGGTCCGCGCGCCGTACGACAAGGGCGGCGAGATCCTCGTCAGCGTGCCCACCGAGCAGGCCTTCCAGGGCTACTGGCGCAACGCGGACGCCACCTCCAAGAAATTCCTGCGCGACGTCTTCAAAAAGGGTGATCTGTGGTACCGCTCCGGCGACGCACTGCATCGCCAGACCGACGGCCGGTGGTACTTCCTCGACCGGCTGGGCGATACCTTCCGCTGGAAATCAGAAAACGTGTAAGTCTCAACTGCCCTGCAAAAAAAAAAAAAAAAAAAAAAAAAACCCTCCTCGCCAGAGCATCCCCAGGCTAACCAGGCGCGGGCGTTCTCCAGCGCAACCGCCGAAGTCGCCGAGGTCATCGGCCAGTATCCCGGCGTGCAAGAGGCCAACGTCTACGGCGTGCTGATCCCCCACCATGAAGGCCGCGCCGGCTGCGCCGCGCTGCAGCTCACGCCCGAGGCCAAGGGCGCGCTCGACTTCCGCGGGCTCGCGGCGTTCGCGCGTGCGCGGCTGCCCAAGTATGCGGTCCCTGTGTTCCTGCGCATCGTGGACACGTCGACGCACATCCACAACCACAAGCAGGACAAGGTGCCGCTGCGCGAAGAGGGCGTGGATCCGGACAAGATCGGGACGAAGGTGGTGGAGGGGCGAGAGAATCGGTTCTACTGGCTTCCGCCGGGGATGGAGGAGTATGTCGAGTTTGGCCAGGAGGAATGGGAGGAGTTGAGTGCCGGGAGGGCGCGTCTGTGATGGCTGGGATGGGGCTTATTCTTGGATCGATTGTAGCGAATGTAGACGGAGAGGCTGTTGCCGTGTAATGCAGGTCATTGGGAGTGCCATGAATCGAGCATATCCACGCAGCCCGCGCGTACGGAGAGGTTGCAGCCTATCGAGGTCACCTTCTCTGCGGTTACAAGTGTGGGTTCGGAGGAGTGGGCTGTGACTTCGGATGGGCGTTCTCGTTTGTGTTGCATAGATGATACCAGCGAGAGGCGTAGGTTAGCGCAACAGTCAGTAAAGTCATACGTAGTAATACACATCGTCAGACTACAGTATCAGTTACAAGCCAAGCACGTCAAGTCTAATAAATTCTATCTGATCCCTAGTACACACGACATAGCGGCACTTCGTACTCAATACAGCAAAGAGACAAAAAAGCAATGGCAGAGAATATCGGACAAGGTCACGCAATACAGGCCGCTCAAATCAGTTCGTCTCGGTCATAGTCTTGAAATTTTCTTTTTTCTTTTTTCTTTTTTTGTTTTCTTTGTTGAGTCTGGTGCTTATTTCTTCAGACCCAGCAGGTTGATGCTCTTGGGGCGCTCGATGGGCAGACCCAGAGCGCGGTCCCAGATGAGCTGCGCCAGGGGGCCGAGAGCACGGCTGACACCGAAGGTGACGGTGTAGTACAAGGGTTGCTGGAAGCCATAGTGGTAGAACAGAACACCAGAGGCAGCGTCGACGTTGGGGTGAGGGTTCTTCGTCTATAGCCATATTAGTACGGGGATCATGTGTCATTGAAGAAAGGAGAAGGGGTACCTTTCCGTGCTCAGTCAGCACGCCAGGTGCAATCTCCGAGTTCTTCTTGACCAGCTGGAAGACCGGGTTGGCCTGGACGTCAGGGCGGGTGGCAGCAAAGTCCATAAGGGCCTGGAAGCGCGGGTCGGGCTTGCGCAGGACGCCGTGGCCGTAGCCAGGCACCACTCGGCCGGACTTGAGCGTATCCCAGAGGTAGGTACGGACTTCCTCATCCGTGAATTTGGTGCCGATCTTGTCCTGCATGGCCAGGATCCAGCGCAGCACCTCCTGGGCGGCGAGGCCGTGCAGCGGGCCAGCGAGACCCAGCAAGCCGGCGCTGTAGCTGAGGAACGGGTCACTGAGGGCGCTGCCGACCAGGTGAGTAGCGTGCGCGGAGACGTTGCCGCCCTCGTGGTCGCCGTGCAGGGCGAGATAGAGACGCAGCAGGTCGTGGAAGTCCTGGTGCTCCTGGCCACCCTTGCCCAGAAGGACGGCAAAGTTGTGCGACCAATCCTGGGTGGCGTCCAGGGCCTGGGTGCCGACGACGTCGATCTCGTCGGGGCGGAAGACCAGCGCGGCGACACGGGGGATCTTGGCCAGCAGCGAGATGCTGTCGTCAAAGGTCGGCTCCCAGTAGTCGGCCTTGTTGAGGCCCTTCTCATACGCCTTCGCGAACTTGGACTCGGTGTTGAGGGCGGCCACGGCAATGGACAGCTGGGTCATGGGGTGCATGGAGCGGGGGAACGACTTGATCAGGTCCAGGATGTGCTGGGGCAGATGGGACTGCTCAGCCAGCTCCCGCGAGAAGGCACGCACCTGGGCGGTCGACGGCACCTGGCCCGTCAATAGTAGCCAGAACATGGCCTCAGGCAGCATCTCGGTGCCGGAGGTGCCCTTGGGCAGCTCCTTCTGGCAATCCTTGATGGTCTTACCGTGGAAGCGGATGCCCTCTTCCGGGTCCAGCACCGAGCCCTCCCAGACCATGGACTTGAGACCACGCATGCCACCAATGACACTGGCCACCTTGAGCTCGCCAATAACCTCATCCCCACGCTCCTTGACCTGCTTGAACAATTCCCGTTTGGCGGGGATGACCGCCTTGAGGGCCGTCTTGAGATCGGGTTCGGTCGTCGAGTATCTGCGGGCATTGTTCAGAGTCAATGAGCGAGCAGCCTACATCGATACAGGAAGCATTAGTTCATTTCTTTTTGTTTTGTTTTTTTCCTTTTTTTTTTCTTTCTTTCTTTGAATATGAGATGAGGTGAGATGAGATAAATAGACAAGTGTCTGGCCGCATTCAGATGGATTTTTTGCTCACCTGAGCCAGCTTGGAAGCATGGCGTGTTGATCTCATTGCCAAAACCATTGTGTATGCGGGGGAGATTCTAGTGAAAGATAATATGCTTGAGAGGAAGTTGGACAGCGGGTTTTTCACACAGTGAGGATAAATAGAGGAGCAGAAGAGAGGGAGACAGGGACACCGGGAGAAATCAGTAACAGGACGTGTTGATCGTGAACACTACTGATCACGTCGTTCCGGTTGACCGCGGAGGGGAAGACAAGGGGTGAAGGCAACTAGTTGATCTTGATACCGTAGTCAGTCCGTCACACTGGCTAACTCACTCCTGGTCCCTGTCCACTCTGGCTCTCAGACGGTCAACCAAAACGACCGAGGCAAAACAGAGCGGCTGCATGCGGAGTTGGCGGTCGGCGGGATCAGCAGGCGCTGAGAGACACCGATAGTCGGTGAAAAGGATGGTTTGAGTTGGATTTGAGTTGAGTAGGGTGATCCAGAAAGATGAGATAGAGGGTCAATCTACTCTTTTGTCAAAGTCTTCTGAATGGAATGATTGTTTGTGGTCTTTGGACAAACAACGACAGTCGGCTATCCCAGGAGGGGCAACCGGGTATTCGTGGTTACTGCTTAGTTATAGACTTATGAGTTATAGACTTATAGTTAGTACTCCGTAGTCTGGGGTAAGCATCCACTGTTGGAGAGTGGGCGAGTCAACACACCAGAGGAGATTGCACTGCTGAGATATTCTACTATATACAGCTGTAGATATAATACTATATTCTTTACATGTCTTCTTCTATTATTATTAGATCTATTCTTATTACCTCCTGTCATGTTAAGTGTATTAATGTATACAGTATACACTATACAGTGGAGAGGCTGATGGGGCACTGCCAAGCCTTGCGGACCGGGGTAAATGGTGCCTGAGGCAGGATTTAGGATGACTGAGGCAGAAATAACGCCACAGACTGTGTCAGCCACAGTCTATGGCTGGTGTACTGTGGCTGGTTTACGGTGGCTGTTGGTTTATCAGCCACATCAGCCACCCGATAACGCTCATCCAATCACTGCTCCTCCAGTTCAGGCGGTGAATTCTCATTGGCTCCCCCTAGGTCCTCTTCGCCTCAGGCAGAGATTCCATTCTGAGGTGGCTGACAGAAAACGAAATTTTTCTGTTAATCGAAAGAAGTTGGGCGGGGTCTTTTTTTCTTCTCTCGCATCTCATCACCAGCCTTGAATTATTCTCTCGGGCTTCGTCTCCCTTTTCTTTGCTTTCATCGTCGTTGTTGCTTTGATTTCCTTTTGCTATACCCCAAGACCTTGTGCTGGTCTTCTTTTTTTCTTTTTTCTTAGATTCTTAGATTCTCTTGTCCTCCCGGGGAAGGGCAGTCTCCTAATTCACCCGCTCTATATACCCCCCACTATCATCTGAATCAAAAGGGACTCCCAGTACCTGTTCCAGTCGACGAGCGACAGAAGGAAAAAAAGAAAAAGAAATTGTCGTCGTTCGACTCCTCTCCACTCTTCCCCCAAATCCCCACGAGATAATGCCTCATTCCGAAACCGCCGCCATGCCTATCGCCGTTTCGAAGACTCCCTCCGGAGTGCCTCCCACCGTCGAGGAGGTCTCCTCGCTTATGAATACAATTTTCACGGCCGAAACTTCACAGCTGTCCCTCGATGCCTCGTACGCTCTGACCAACCTGCTCATCCAGAGTGTCGGAGCCTTCGGCTTTCGCAGATACAACATCCTCCCCGAGCTGAAAAAGGCGGCGGGAGATAAGAAAGATGGTGCCCGACGGGAAAGCGCTATGTTGATTCTTGGCGCTCTCTTCGAGCGTTTCCCCCAAGAACACCCCCTGAGCGAGGTCGTCTTTCTCCTCCAGGATGGCGGTGTCCTGAACGTTGCCCTTGACGCCTTGGCCGATAAGGGCGCCGTCGTGCGTGATGCCGCGCAGTACGCCATCGATGCTCTGTTCGCTTGCCTGAAGCCCGAGTCGATGGTCAACGCTCTGATTCCCGCCATCTCTGCCTACCTCAACAAGAGCACGGGTAAGTGGCAGGGCTTCGTCGGCGCCTATGCTCTCCTAGAGAAGATGGCTGTCCGCGCCCAGATCGGCCAGGGAACCATGGAGGAGGAGCGTCAGAAGGATCTTCTGCGCAACTCGATGGGCAAGACCCTGAAGGAGCTGATTCCCCTGGTGGAGTCGGGCATGCACGACCTCAAGAACGAGGTCGCCAAGCAGGCCAGCAAGACCATGACCGCGCTCACCACCCTGTTGGATAACGACGACGTGGCTCCCCGGATCCCCCTGCTGATCGAGACCATGGAGAAGCCCTCCGAACAGACTCTGCAGAAAGCGATCCATGCGCTGTCCCAGACCACCTTCGTCGCCATCGTGGCATCTCCCGTGCTCGCCCTTCTGACCCCCCTGCTGGAACGCTCTCTCAATGCCCCCACCACCCCCCAGGAGACTCTTCGCCGTACCGTGGTCGTCGTGGAGAATCTCACGAAACTCGTCCATGACCCTGCCGAAGCGCGCACTTTCCTGCCCAAGCTCAAGCCCGGTGTTCAGGCCGTCAAGGACCGCGCCTCGCTTCCCGAGGTCCGGGAGCTCGCCACCCGTGCCATGGACGTGATCGAGAAAGCGATGGGTGATAGCAGCCTCGCCTCGGGCTCCATCGCGAAGACGACCGCCGAAGAAGTCCTCGCTGTTCTTACCGCGAAGATTCAGGAGAACGGCGGCCTGGCCGTGGCGGACGAAAAGACCCTGTTCGAGCTGAGCAAGAGCTACATTGCCGAGATGGTGCGCGAAGACGTCAACTCCAGAATGCACGACCGCATCCCTGCTTGCATCGGCCCTTATCTCAGTGGGTTCCTCGCGGATGATAAGCACACCGTCGTTGCGTCGGCCGTTCAGGAGCATTTCATCGAGGAGGACCACCGCAAGTTCGGCAAGCCCATCCCCGACGACCCCAACGAGGTGGAAATTGTCAACGCCAACTTCTCCCTGGCCTACGGTGGCATGCTTTTGCTGTCGCACACCAACCTTCGTCTCCTGAAGGGTCACCGCTACGGTCTCTGTGGCCGGAACGGTGCCGGCAAGTCCACTCTGATGCGCAGCATCGCCAACGAGAAGCTGGAAGGATTCCCTCCCCAGGATGTGGTCCGGACCTGCTTCGTAGAGCACAACCAGGGCGAAGATGCCGATCTGAGCATCATCGAGTACGTCTCGAAGGACCCCAAGATTGCCGAGGCTGGGCAGGAGCACATCAGCCAGGTTCTCCTCGAGTTCGGTTTCACCGATGGCCCGGAAGGCAGACAGAACCAGCGGGTTGGCTCGCTGTCGGGTGGTTGGAAGATGAAGCTCGCTTTGGCCCGCGCCATGCTCATGAAGGCCGACGTGTTGCTTCTGGACGAACCTACTAACCATCTGGATGTTGCCAACGTCAAGTGGCTGCAGGAGTATCTGAAGAAGCACACCGACATCACCAGTTTGATCGTCAGTCACGACTCCGGATTCCTAGACGAGGTTTGCACGGATATCTACCATTACGAAGGAAAGAAGCTGGTGAATTACAAGGGCAATCTCGCGGCGTTTGTCAAGCAGAAGCCCGAGGCCAAGAGCTACTACACCCTGTCCGCCAGCATGGTTCAGTTCAAGTTCCCTGCGCCCGGCATTCTCTCCGGTATCAAGTCGAACACCCGCTCCATTCTCCGTATGACGAATTGCTCGTTCACCTATCCTGGCGCGAGCAAGCCGTCTCTGACCGACGCGTCCCTCTCGCTGACGTTATCGTCCCGCGTTGCCATCATCGGTGGCAACGGTGCCGGTAAATCGACCTTCATCAAGATGCTGACCGGCGAAACGGTCCCCCAGACCGGCAAGGTTGAGAAGCATCCCAACCTGCGTATCGGTTATATCAAGCAGCACGCTCTTGAGCACGTGGAGATGCATCTGGAGAAGACCCCCAGTCAGTACCTGCAATGGCGTTATGCGAACGGTGACGACCGGGAGGTCTTCCTGAAGCAGACCCGCATTCTGACCGACGCGGAGAAGGCTCAGATGGAGAAGCCTGTTGACCTTGGGGACGGTAGAGGGCCGCGCCGCATCGAGGCCATCATGGGTCGTCAGAAGTGGAAGAAGACCTTCCAGTACGAGATCAAGTGGGTGGGTCTGCTCCCCAAGCACAACACCATGATTTCGCGGGAGACCATGATCGAGTTGGGCTTCTTCAAGCTCATCCAGGAGTTTGACGATCACGAAGCCTCCCGTGAGGGTCTCGGTTTCCGGATCCTCGACCCCAAGACCATCTCGAAGCATTTTGAGGATATCGGGCTGGACCCTGAGATCGCCAATCACAACCAGATCTCCGGTCTTTCCGGTGGTCAGAAGGTCAAGGTCGTCCTGGCCGGTGCCATGTGGAACAACCCGCATCTGCTGGTGCTGGACGAACCTACCAACTTCTTGGACCGCGACTCCCTCGGCGGTCTCGCCGTGGCCATCCGTGACTTCAAGGGCGGTGTGGTCATGATTTCTCACAACGAAGAGTTCGTGGGCGCCCTGTGCCCGGAGCAGCTCCACATCGCCGACGGTCGCATCGTGGCGCGGACCAACAACGCGGTGGCCCTCGACCGCTTCGAAGACAGCGCAGCCAACTCCCCGCAGCCCGGCAGCACCGTGGCCAACTCGGCCGCCACGAGCGCCGTCCCCTCGGCCGTCAACTCCGGTGCCGAGGACCAGGGCGAGCTGAAGTTCAAGGCCCGCAAGAAGAAGAAGATGACTCGTGCCCAGGTCAAGGAGCGCGAAGTGCGTCGCAGACTGCGTCACCTGGAATGGTAGGCACCCCCCGCCCCCAAATTCCCCAAACTACGTTGTTGCCAACAGAAAAGCTAACTTGCAAATAGGTTGAACTCTCCCAAGGGTACCCCCAAGCCCGTGGACACCGACGACGAGGCCGATTAGAGTGCAGCATGCCCGCCTTGAAATTTGCCATGAAGATGGTTCTCTCATGCATCTACATATGAGCGTTATGATTCGATTTCTATTCATTTTTTTTTTTTTGTTACGTGGGGCATTTTGTCTGTTTGTTTTTGCCATAGATGGTCCGGGTGTTTATTTCGGTTTGGGGAATGCATTGTTTAGTACATAGATGGACAATGAACATAGATGAACTTTTTCCTAAAAGTGTGTTTTTGGCATTGATAATGTTGTCTATGATAGCTTGTCCCATCTTGTATCGCCCGGTCTCAAGTAGGAGTGGTGTTGACATTGTTTTATTTCAGAGCTAGACATTCCGGAATCAAGTGACTTGAGAGCAAAGAGAACCAGAGGTGTGGACTATGAATCTCTCGTGTACTGCCTCAAGCCCTCGACATACACCCATGTTCATCTACGGATACTGAACTGCATCTGCAACTACATCTACAGGGGTTGGAAGGTTGGAAGTGACTAATCATGCTTCATTGGAGATTCTTGTGTATAGAGCTCAATCTCCAACCTTTCCCTTTCCAAGGAGCTATTTACGAGCTCGCTGCGGCCGGCGCAGCAGAAGCAATCTCCTGGGCAACAGACTCGGTCTTGTTGACGGCCTCCTGGGGCTGGGGCTGGAGCTGCGCGGCAGCCTCCTTCTCGAAGCTCCGCATGGGGTAGAAGCCCCAGCGGTCGAACATCTCGCGGTCCTCGTCCCAGCCGTTGCAGTCGGTGGTGAGCATCTTCTCGCCGGTGAAGACGGCGTTGGCGCCGGCCATGAAGCAGGCGACCTGCTGCTCCTCGGAGAGGGAGATGCGGCCGGCGGCGAGGCGGACGATGGTGGCGGGGAGGACGATGCGGGCGGTGGCGACGGTGCGCAGCAGCTTGTCGAAGGAGATCATCTTGCGGTCGCCGAGCGGGGTGCCCTTGATGGGGACGAGGGCGTTGACGGGGAAGGACTCCGGGTGGGCGGGGAGGTTGGCGACGGTGTGGAGGAGGCCGATGCGGTCGGCGTCCGCCTCGCCGAGGCCGAGGATGCCGCCCGAGCAGACGTTGATGCCGGCGTCGCGGACGCGGGCGAGCGTCTGCAGGCGCTCGTCGTAGGAGCGCGTCGAGATGATGGACGGGTAGAACTCGCGCGAGGTGTCGAGGTTGTGGTTGTACGCGGTGAGGCCGGCGTCCTTGAGCTCCTTGGCCTGCGTCTCGTCGATCATGCCCAGCGTCACGCACACCTCCATGCCCATGCCGCGCACGCCCGACACCATCTCTTTGATGTTCTTCAGGCTGGTCTTGCGGCCGCGCATGTCGCGCCAGGCGGCGCCCATGCAGAACCGCGTGCTGCCGTTGTCTTTGGCGATGCGGGCCGCCTTGAGCACTTCGTCGACGGGGCTCATCTTCGTGGCTTTCAGCCCTGTCGTGTACCGCGAGGATTGCGCGCAGTACGAGCAGTCTTCGCTGCAGCCGCCGGTTTTGATGTTCATCAGCGTGCACATTTGGATGGCGGCGGGGTCATGGAAGCGACGGTGGACGATAGCCTAATTTTTTTTTTAAGTCATCAGCTATGATCCAAGTCAAAGTCCAATCCGATGGACGTAAAAAACATGGGGGAACACGCACCGCAGCATAGGTCAATTGGTTCAATGGCGTCTCATAGACTTGCTGCACCTCTTCGCGCGACCAGTTGGTGCGCGGGGCGGTTGCGGCGGTGGCTTCCTGGAGAGCGGGAGAGATACGGTTGGCTGCGAGGGAGGCAGCGCTGGGAGGAGCTTGCACGGTGCCATAGGACCTCTTCAGAAGGGCCCTGGGAAGGGACCGTGAGAGAGACAGCGACATGGTGGAAGTGGAGGTGGGAAGTTGGATGGCGGAGGTGGGATGGTGAGCGAGAGAGAAGCTATCAGAGCTCAGAAATATTATTATTATTATTTTTATCGCCTATCGGTGAGGGATAGATAGAGGACGGGAGGATGAAAACCGGAGGACGAGACGAGAAAAATCGCCCAGCGTCTCTAGTCTCTTCTCTAACTCTTGTGTTTACCTCGGGGAATCGACGACGAAAGCGGGAGAGAGGAGGGGCACCGAGTCACTCGTAGTCGTAGGAGAGTCGAGAGAAGAGAGTCACAAATCACAATAATAATGGGGGAGGAGAGGCTCCGGGTCCAATGAAATGGACGCTAATTGGAATCGGAGTCACTCAAGCTGGATTGAAGCTTCTTTTCCTATTTCTATTCTTATTCTTATTCTTGCTAGTCGTAGTACTAGTACTCCATAGTAATTCTCCATAGTAATACTAAATGATGAGGATTGAGGATGGTTGACCCCAACACACCGCGGGGCCTGAGAACGGGGGCATCAAGGCCTCCACTCCACTGTCTTCGGTCTCTCCTCTCTATCCATACTCTCTACTTTCTACCAAACTGGCTTCATGAAACATCCTCCTGTGTGACGAATCTGCACTCTGCAGCCTTAGCGTGGACCGAACCTAGTCGCCTTTGATGAAGTATCTAACATTCGATGCTGTGCCTGGATTCTAGTCACCATGGGCCAATTGAAGATTGCACCAGAACGAATCGGTCCAACGGAAGCTATCAATCAACCTTCCAGTCAATAATAATGTCAACGATAAGAATCGTTAAAGAGTCAATCTCTTCTTTCAGTGAAATACTACTGGAATCCATTTGATAATGCAGTCAGCAGATTTCCCAGTTCCCACAACCCGCACTCCAATTGGCAGTGGGATTCCCCGTCCGCTTGTCCACGTCTTCTGTTCGGGCCGTCGGTGAAGAACACGACCTTGGCGCGTCATCCATGGCATCCAGCTCCTTTGGAGACTGTCAGTGGTTGGGGGGGGGAAAGGTTAGAGACCCAGTTCAGAGCTTCAGGGTCCTGTGTGAACTGTGAAGAGGAAGAAAAAGGATTGTTGGTTGTTGGATATTGGTTGTTGACATGGTGCTGCTCGGTTCCATGTCTCAGCTTTACTCCAGAATCGAGCCACTAACTACTGGCCCGCTCTCTATCTACGGAGTATCTATCTACTCCGTAGACTAGTTACGGAGGAGCATAAAAGGAAAAAGGAGATCGGACCAATGTTTCCCGAATCCTGCCAGGGTCAAGACATTTCATCATTCATTAGACTAACTAGCCTCTTAGAAGTACTCTGTATATTCTGTAATCCAGACGGAGCACGCGGTGTGCCCCAGTCGAGTTAGTCTTTCTTACTCCTCCTCAGAGCAATGCCGATCGGAGCAATCCTTCCACCTCCCGCAACGATTCGGTCTTCGATGTGACACTCGACATCAGATAGAGCACATTGCCCAGCACACGTGAATGCACGTTGAATCGGGGCCCGCCGGCCGATAATCTTTGTCGCAGACCTTGGGCGGCTGTGGAGGTGTACCCTAGTCGACACGACGTCAATGGTTAGCGGCTAGACTCGGTGAAGAACAGGGCAAAAAAAAAAAAAAAAACGATTAATCAGAGAGAGAGAGAGAGAGAGAGAGAGAGAGAGAGAGATGCGATAGCTGATAGCTTACCTCCGCCCTGGGCATCTTTCAGGGAGATACTCAGCACCGTGCCAATGGCAAATATACTCTCGACGGATTCCGCATAGGACAGGTCGCGCAGCAGATCGTGCGACCACACACTCCAGACTTCTGGACAGTCGTCTTCTCCGGTCACCTTGGCGGTCTTCGATAGAGATTGCGGCTTCCAGTCACGGCGGTACTCATCCCAGGTTCCATTGTTTTCCATCTTCATCATAGCCTGCAGCGAATCCACAGCGACCGTGCAGCCAACTGCGTGAGCAGTATAGCTGTGGCCGTGGAGCAGCGCATCGCTCTTCTCGGGACTGGAGAAAGCTTCAAAAATCTCCTGGCTGGCAAGGGTGGTGCAGAGGGGCACCACGCCACCGGTCAGGAGCTTCGCGTTCACCGCAATATCGGGGTGGACATCGAGGAAGGAGGCGGAAGACTTGCGTCCCAGACGGTAGAGTCCAGTGAAAACCTCGTCAAAGATGACAGGGAGACCGGACCAGTATTTCTCTGCGGTGATGTTGCTGTTGTTCTTTCTAGGGTTGCTAGAGAAGAGTTCGGGGTGACTGCGGACGACGTCCACAAGACACCGCTGAAAGAGAGGGTCGCTGAAACACTCCCGTCAGCAAAAGATCTTCGAGTTTAGTTAAACGGGAAACTCACCAGAAGAGCATTCCACCCGCTCCCAAAATGATAGGCTCCATGATCAGAGAACCGAATTTCATTCCGTGTCGCTGAACAAGGTCTTCGATCGTCTTGTAGATAAACTCGCTGTAGCGCTTGCCCGCGTCCGACTTGACTCGGCTTTCCACATCAAAAACCGAATTCAAGGATGTAAACTCGAGATCCGCGCCCAGAGCGCCCCGCAGAACTTCGGGGATCTCGACCTTCCAGGTGCCCTGAGACAGTTTCACGAGAGGAAAGTCGAACCAGTAGCCGCGGCCACGGTACCACTCCACCTTCTGATTGTAGGTTGAAGGCTCCGAGCAATCCATCACACCGATCGTATCGCCATGATAGCTGCCCTTCAATCCGAGGATACTGATCTGTTCCTTGCTGGCGTCCCATCCGTACCGGTCGCATGCTGCGCGGAGACCCATCTTAATGGCGACTTCCATACCCGTGCTTCCATTATCGGTGTAGAACACTTTGTGGAGCCGAGGGTTCTCCAGAGTCTCAATCAAAAGCTCCGCGAGCGATAGAGCGGGTTCGTGAACATTCCCCGCGAACATGACATGTCCGTACCTACCAGCCGCGTATGCAGCCGACAGGGCAAGCTCTGGATTTCCATGTCCGAGACCCTGTGTCCACCAGGATGCCGAACCGTCAAATGTGGGTTGGAGCTGGCCTTGCTGGTTGGATTGATCGCCGGGAACAAAGGTTTGAAAGTAGTCGTCGTGTGCAGAATCAATCACAGTAATATCCTTGGCGGTCATGCCATGATGCTGCGTAAAGGGATACCAGATCGTATCATGGGCTCGACTGGCCATAGACTCTAACCGGTCAATCCTCTCGGTGTTTCTGGCTGCGAGTTCATCCAACAAGCCATGGACATCCGTTTCCTGTGCGACTTGCTGGTAATAGCCGGCCATGGCTTCTTCGTCCTGCGCCCGAGCCCTTTCATCTTGCGACTGGGGACGCGTCGGCGGCTGGGGCAGTGGTACGAGCGGGATACACTTATTGCGAAAGTAATCGCGCAGATATTCGTGATTCTTGTAGTAGTCATCGCGGAACAGAAGCACCGAGCGCACATCATAACCGCGAAGTAAGAGCGACTCATAGGCAGAGATGGACGAAGAGATCCCTCCGAGACGCGAATCGGCGACAAGCACAACAGGCAACCTGAGTGGCCGATACAGATCTGCCTGCGAGTTCCCATTGGGCCCAGGAGAATGAACTCCGCCCGCAGTCTCTACAAGGGCGAAACTGATCCCGGTGCGAGCCCACTCGGAGAGTGTGTTGTGCACAGAGCCGAGAATATCGTCATCCCGAGGAACTGTGAAGTTCTTCTGCCGCGCAGCAATATGCGGACTGACTGGCTCATCGAATTGATACAGACATTTGGTCAATGTGCCCGCCGCATGGCGCTGGATGTGCCTAGGCTTGAGTCAATTGGCAGCTCTGGGCAATATGTTGTTGTTTTCGAGATTGACACAATAGGCTTACCTATCATCTGCATCGTCCAATGGTCCTGTAGACACCGGCTTCAAGAACGCCGCCCTCTCAGCCTCACGACGTTGTACCGTATTGCACAGGACGGTCGACACGATGGTCTTGCCCACGTCAGTGTTGGCCCCGTACACCTGATGAGCGCGGAGGGAGCGCCACAGGGCCGCTCGAACGGGAGGCATCAGATCAATCCCGTTGTCCGAGTTGGTTGTCTCCTTGTCTCACAGTCAGATCAAGGGGAGAGCGGTAGAGGATCCAGAATTCCAGATAGTAACTTAACAGACTAGCTTCGAGCTTGCATCACTATTAATCTGACCGAGAGCCGGGGAGAGAGTGTGGAAGTGTGGATCACAGCTTGACCGAGGCATCCACGAGGCACCAAGGCACTCTCTCCACCAATCCCCCAACAGCCAAGAACGCGTAGATGAGATATTAGTATTATTCAGGCCAAAAAAAAAAAAAATTAATTTACCCAGCATCCCGATAACCGGTTCACCACAATAAAAACAGTTGAAAAAGACGCTGTTGTTTAATCGTCAAAAGTTCCCGGGCTCCACGTTCCGGTGCGATGATGGATGATTATTATGTCCTTATTTCTCCTAGTCTGCCCCAAAAGGTGGGATTGATTCGACCCTGACATACATTCCCTCTGCATTCTGCCCAACTATCTATCTATCTATCCACTGAACCGTGCCGATGGATCCCTCGCCAAAATCGCTGCGAGACTCCTTGCGTCAAGCGCTCCATCGCAGAGAAGCCAAGTCCTCCCGTCGGCGCCTGACTGTGCTCCCGCAATCGTCAGTGGACTTTTCGTCCAACGACTTCCTATCGCTCTCGACCTCGACAATTTTCCGAGAACGCTTTCTCGAGCTCCTCCATCAGGCGCCCCCGCTGTACCCCTTCGCCAGCGGCGGGTCGCGTCTCCTGGATGGCAACTCAACCTACGCAGAGGACCTGGAGCGATCCATTGCCGACTTCCACGGCGCCCCTAGCGGCCTCCTGTTCAATTCCGGCTTCGATGCCAACGTCGGTGTCTTCTCCTGCATCCCGCAGCCGGGGGACCTGATTGTGTTCGATGAGCTCATCCACGCGAGTGCGCGCGAGGGCATGCGGCTGTCGAGGGCCGGCAAACGCACCCCATTCTCGCATAGCTGCCCCCGGAGTCTGGAAGAGGTACTGCGGGCGCAAATTGCAGAAAATCCATTGATCCAGGATGGCTCGCGGAACGTGTTCATCGCCATTGAGTCCATCTACAGCATGGATGGGGATATTGCGCCCATCGAGGACTTTGTCGGGGTGGTGGATCGGCTGCTTCCCCAGCGCAATGGCTACTTCATCGTGGACGAAGCTCACGCCACGGGGGTGTTTGGGCCTCGGGGCGCGGGGATAGTCCAGGCACTCGGGCTGGAGAAGCGGATGTTTATCCGCGTCCACACGTTCGGCAAAGCGCTGGCGAGTCACGGAGGTATGTTTTCGTCGCCAACCAGGCCCCTCTTTGGAAACCACAGCTGATCTTTTGCAACAGCGATCGTGCTGTGCTGCCCTGACACGAGAGACTACCTCGTCAACTACGCCCGCAGTCTGATCTATACGACCGCCATGGGCTTCCCCTTCCTGGCCTCCATCCGCGCAGCCTACGAGCTCCTATCGGAGGGAGAAACCGAGCAGGTAAGCCATCCACGACCTCTCTATGACAACCCATGCTGATAAGCAATCCTCCCCCAGCACCAGCACAAGCTCCAGCAGCTCATCGTCTATCTCCGTGACCGCCTCGCGGAGATCGATGCCCTAGACCCCGCACTCTTCCAGGTCGATCACTTCCCGACTTCTCCCATCTTCTCCGTGCGTAGCCGATACCCACGCCAATTGGCCGCGGCTTGCCAGGGGAAAGGGTTCGTTGTCCGTGCTATCATGGCCCCGACCGTTCCTGCAGGCAAGGAACGGGTCAGGCTGTGTCTACATGCTGGCAATACCTCGGAGGAGATCGATGGGTTGATTGATACGTTCAAGCTCTGGCTGAGTCAAAATTCAGACAAGAGGGCCGCCAGGTTATAATTCAGAGGGCGCCTGTCGTTCGGACACGCCATCGGGGAAGGTACTGTACATAGGTCATGGGGATTTATCAGGCACATACACAGCGATCTAGGTTTCTCGGACAACTATAGCTTTAAAACTCAATCCTAGGAAGCTCGCTCGCATCTTACTTCACGGATATCGCCAGTAGTCTCATCGATCTTAACCCACTTGAACTGGCCTGCCTCCTAGTCTGAATTTAAATCTGCATCGCAACCGTAGCATGTGACCAGCTTCTTAAAGTAAACATCTGGCATCAAGTCTACCTACCTCCATCCTCTCTATGCCTGTATCAATAATTACCACGACCATCTATATGTCAGTACCCGTAAGCTAAACAACCAAGCCTCGCCTCTCCTTGACCCAGGTTCTGGCAAGCTCAGCCAGCTATCAAGCAAGCAAAAAGGGGAATAGGATTGCACCCTCCATAAACGAAGCAGCAACAACAGGAAGAACAGAACAAGAGAAAGAAAAAAAAAAGATATCCTGACAAGGATGGGATTCGAACCCATGCGGTTTCCCATTACGGCCTAAACGTAACTGGATACTTAATTAGTAAATTGCAAGGAGAACGTTGGATGCAAAGACATGACTCACCGCCTTAACCACTCGGCCACCTTGCCTGTTGATTTTTAACTTCTGGAATACGGGATTGTGTAGGCATGAACACAAGGACTGCGATTGAGGAAGGGATGTGAGTTGGCTTGATGGGTAGTTATTTAGTATTGGATTGTGTGAAGGTTATATACAAAATGCTGGACATTAATCAATATCAGTAACGGATGAAGATCGTGGAAACCGTTGGCTGCGGGTGAACGCCAATATAGAGATATATATCATTGGCGACATGTATATATAGTGTTTAACCGGCGTGGGCTTACTCCAGAAGGTTCTTCAGATGTAGAGGTGATGATATTTACCGTAAAGAATTGCGTCTATCAAATATCAGAAAGTCTATCGACATCGCCCATGAAATAGAATTACAGAAAAAGAGAAAATCGTAATGCCCGAAAAATGTAATCAAAGATTATGTACGGCCCTGACGATATCCAGGTGCAAGCTCCGAAAAGTGGCCATGCCTTCGACTAGACCATGGATTGCTCAACCTTCATATCACCCGTCGCCTGCGTCTCAGATCGGCTCATGGTGGTATAGCGGCTGAAATCCCGCAAGTTCTTCTCGCCAACATCATCCTTCTGACGATGGGCCTGACGCCGGAAATAGATACGCTTGCACCACTTCCACGCCTCGACGCCGAGGAAGAACAAGACTGCTTCGACAAACACCACGCCCCACTCCCAGGAGATGCCGACGTGCTTGAAAACGATATCGTTGATGACGGGGATATAGAGGATAGGGAAAATCGTGACGAAGCCGACCATGATGCCGCTGAAGAGGAACTTGTTGCGCCAGACGTCGAACATCCACTGGGTGAAATAGCGCTTGGAGTCAGGTTGCATGCGGAAGAAGCTGCGGCGCATGTCTATCATCTCCCAGGCGAGGAAGAGGGCGAACCAGGTCATGCAGACGAAGGTGGTTGCGCGGGCGCGGAACACGCCATCGCATTCTTTGCTATAATGGCTGTTGCAGCCGGAGGCGAGGTTGCCGTCGCCCCAGCCGAAGAGGACAAGAGAAAAGGAGGCGAGACAGAGCGCAGCCATCCAGACACCGTAGACAAGAGTGTCGACGATGACTTCCCAGGTGAAAATACCTTGTTTCTGGGGAGATGTTTAGCGACATTGAATTCAGAAGAGAAAGTAGGAGGGACTCACACTCTGGGGTGGACGATTCATAATATCCGGAGCAGCGATTTCCATACCCAGTCCCATGTCAGGGAGACCCGAGGTAATCATGATGATCCACAGAATTTCAACAGGGGCAATGGGAAAAACAGACTGTCCGTTATCATCCTTGAAACACAAGCCAATGAGTAGCGTAAGTGCAAGGCCGACGTTTTCCGCCAGCAGATGCAAGACGAATTTCTGGATGTTATCGAAGATCCTCCGACCCTCTTCAATACCATTGATGATGGATGCGAAGTTATCATCAGTCAGCACCAATTCAGATGCATCCTTGGCCACATCAGATCCAGATTGACCCATTGCAATACCGACGTCTGCCCGTTTCAAGGAAGGAGAGTCGTTAACACCATCACCGGTCATGGCCGCGTAGCGACCCCGGCGATGTAGGGCATCGATCATTCGGACTTTGGTGTTGGGAGCACACCGAGCAATAACAGCGGGGAGGGTAGGCAAATCATCGATTTCTTCATCGGTCAATTTATCGAATTGACTTGCAGTCATGACCATTGCATCGGCAACATCCTTCGGGATGTTATCCATGTTGGCGGGGATAATGCCAACCTGCGCAGCGATGGCTCGCGCAGTGCCGGGGTGATCGCCAGTGACCATATGCACGGAGATTCCAGCGCGGTAACATTCCTCGATAGCACCGGCAGTCTCAGGTCGGGGAGGGTCATATAGACCAACCAGTCCGCAGAAAGTGAGGTCCTTTTCCACCTCCTCACGCGGAGGGACTTCCTCGTCCTTGACAGGAGTGGTGTTTTCACGGCAGGCGAGACACAGAACTCGCAAACCTTCCTTCGCGAGGGCTTCCATGTTTTGCAAAATTTCATCCTTGATTTCCTCAGTCAAAGGAACTGGCTTGGAACCAGCCGTCCAGATGAGGGAAGTACAGCTATCGAGAACGCGTTCGACGGCGCCCTTGGTGAAGATCATCTCACGGCCTTCGGCGCTGTTCTTGAAGATGACCGACATCTTCTTGACGGTAGAATCGAAGGGATACTCGGCCTTCTGGCGCCAGATGGGCTTCTCACCCTTGGTCCAGCGTTCGCGGCCCCAGTTGAAGCGGGAAGCAAAAACTTGAATTGCAATGTCGGTGGGCTCACCACGGGCCTGCCAGCCCTCGCTGGACTTGTGCACATGGGCCAGATTCGCTATGGCAGCCACATTCAGATATGGTTCCAAGATAGGATTGGCATTGAGCAAATCTTCAGGATTAGAGGGTTCACCCCGTGCATCAGCGTCAATCTTTACCGGGGCGTCAGGCAGTAGGCTGACATCGCCCTCTTCGGGATTCAAAGGATCGTTGGAAGATCCCACCGAGAAGGTACCAATAGAAGGGACCCAAGCTCTTTTGGCGACCATGCGCCCTTGGGTAAGAGTACCCGTTTTGTCTGAGCAAATGTTAGTCACGGCGCCGAGAGCCTCAAGGGAATCAAGCTTTCGGACAATGACATGTCTTTGAACCATTTGCTTGGTGCCAACTGCCATGGTGATGGTCAGAACCACAACCAAACAGGCAGGAATCATGGCAAGACCGGTTGCAACAGCGTAGATGATGACCTCGGTGTCATCACGGAAGTCATTGGCTCCCATGACAATGATCGCGAAAATAACGGCAATGAAGAAGAGCGCCAGAGCGAGCTTGGAGAGCTTGCGCTGGAGAGGTGTGCCGACATTGATTCCCAGGAAACGTCCCACGGCATCGGTGCAGGTCAAGGTCCATGCCTGCACATACCACCGTTTCTTGGTTTCTCCCCCAGGACCGCGCTTAACGGGTCGCTTCTTGGAATCACCGGCACGCAGAGCAGCAGCGATAGCACCGATTTCTGTTCTCATTCCTGTTCCAACCACTACTCCCCGAGCGCGGCCTCTAGTAACCGTGGAGGAACTGTATGCGATGTTCAACCGATCTCCGGGTCCAGTGTCTGGGTCGAATATCTCATCAATTTCCTTTTGCACAGGCAACGATTCGCCGGTCAGAAGTGCTTCGTCGGTTTCGAAATTCATAGCGTCGACAAGCCTAGTTCAGTTAGCCATAAGACTCACACTGTGCGAAGATCATCCACATACCGAAGGTCTGCAGGAACAGTATCTCCAACTTTCAACTCAACCATGTCTCCAGGAACAATTTCATTGGCGGGAATAACATTAGTTTTGCCATCCCGTGTGACTGTTCCCGTCGGAGAACTCAATGACCGAAGTGAGTCCATCGTTTTCTCGGCAGCATAGTCTTGGTAGACACCCACCACGATATTCAAACCAATGACAGCGCCAATCACACCACCCTCAATCCAGGACTTGATACCAAAACTGACAGCCATGGCGATGATGAGAACCTGTTGTGGTCAGTATACTTGAGCTTCGTGGACTGGAACAGAATACTAACCAGCATCATTGCATTGGCAATCTGTCTGATAACGATCTTCACCATCGAAACGCTCTCCCCCCCTTCCAGCTCATTGGGACCATACTGCTCCAATCGCTTCTTGGCTTCCGCGGTTGTCAGGCCCTCGTCCGAATCTACGGACAACTCGCGGAGCACATCTTCATAGAGAAGGGAGTGAGCTGGCAGGGACAATGGCTGAGAGGCATCAACAGCTTTCTTCTCGCTGCCCATATCGATCCTTTCCTTCCTTTTCTTTGCTCTGTTGTGTTGTGGTTTACTATGTGTTGAATTGTCGTGACGCCAAGCGTTCTTAGGGAGACTTCATGTATATTGTATCTTCAAGCGAGTGAGAGTCCATTCACAGGAGATGTTGACAAACCGATAAGGTAAAGCTTGATAACGAGATAAGAGATTCATTCTCCTTCACTTCTCCCTGCTTGCGTGGGCATTGCGACATATTTAAGTTGCCCATTTCTCGATTCTCCCCCTCGAGATGACGCGAACAGTGGTTCCGGTCCTGGCATTCTCTCGTATCATGGCCGTACTCGTTTAGCCCGGAAACCCAATCATAGCAGATACCCAAGACCTAACCTTGGCACTTTTCCTTGGGTCGGTGCGCGAGAGATTTTGCCGCTCTTCACCAAATGACGCACACGACCAGGCCAGCCCGCCACGTGAGCTCGGCAACACAAGGGATTTCTCCCATTCTTACAGAAATGTTTCGGCCGGTGGATTACATAGCCTGGTTCGACCACTGGGAGGCGAATAAAAAGCAGCACGTGATTGTAGGTAGACGGCTGATTGGGCGATAAGCCTACCAGTTGGCTCCAGCGGAAAAGCGCCAAGAGTCTCGGCGGGAGCGCGGGAGCCTTGGCATCACACATATTATTTCCCGCCTGGTGACGTGCCGGCCGGTTCTAGGGGTCAGTCCTTGGCACAATGCATGGCTGCGCGGCCTGAGAGCCAGTGACACCCTCTTAATGCAGCCCGGTTCCTCCGTCTGACGGAGCCCAACAGACCACCTAGTATAAAGTGAATGTTCAAGTATTGTGAGTACCTCGAACGAGCATCTGACATCCCCCCACCATTATGACTAGTCTTATGCTCAATATCTGCGGCCAGAACTGCATGAGCATCCATCAACTTTACTGACCGTCCGCAAGAGCTAGCCGAGTTACCCGACCGCATGATGTCGATTGGTCGCTGATCAGACTGATCCTGCTGTTTATCGTTTTTCTCCATCATTTACGCATCTCATGGCTAGCACAGCTGAAGTGGCAGGGCTTGTTGCTGGAGGAGTTGTCCTATTCGTCGCCATTAGCTTGATCCCCATGTGGGTTCTCATTCATACACTCTCTTTTCCCCTCCCCTATCCTGCTTCTGTGGTCGATAATCCCTGTCGCTGGGGAATATTCCATGCCCTTCTATTTCCCCTTGGTATAGGGTCGTCCCGAAAGAAACAGGAGAATAGAATGCGACCATGCCCACATAACACCCAAGGAATGAACATACAATCGGACTAACCAACAGCGAAATAGCATCATCATGTGGCATCACCGCAGGAGAGCAACAGCGAGGAGATCCAGCGAGCTCGAAGCGCTCAGAGAGCACGGTTGCATGCGACAGGTGAGCGTGGAGAACTGGCTGGAAGAGCAGCAGAGAGATACCACTAGCAGCAAGAACAACAGCGCTAGTCCGCACGATCTTGGACGGTACGCCCAAGAACCATGGTGAGTGATGGGATACCTCCTCTCGCCTCCCCTGTTATTTTCTTGGCCTTGGAGGAGACATGTGGGGACAGGGCTGCACTAGTAGCCTTGGCTGCTCTCGACAGTGAGACACCGGCCCTCCGCAAGATTCCTGACGGCTAACGAGAGACCATCTGTGTTGATTCTTGGATAGTTCCATATGCCTCTCGGCCCTGTTGCCCTCACGCTTGCAGCCTTCGCTTCCCTGCTCGGATCCCGAGAGTCTTGGCGCCGCTGGATGTGCCCCAGAATCATCTATGCGAGATCGAAGTTTACTCGTTCTCAGTCGCTGCAACCACGCTTTTCATCATTCTTGCCTTGCGTCATGGTGGGAACGTCATCCGTACAACTGCCCAATATGTCAAAGGTTGTACGCCCCGGAGGGATGATATCTGGAAAAACTTGTCGCATATGTACAGAGTGCTTTTGCTGTAACTTTTTCCCAAGGGGGCTGGACCATCTTGAAGTAATCTTTTGGCGCTTATTTTTTTCTTGCTTCTTGGCTTCGCTGATGCTTTTCATCCTTCTCCACCTCATGTAGTTAATAGACGTAACTTCAAGCTGTGCAGAGGGCACAGCGTCTAGTCACTCTTGGCTTTGGACAGTGGAGGGTGGTAGTCAGATTAGGCTGATTCGACCGTAGGATCACGCGACATAGGTATTCCATGAGAGGCATGGAGTTTCATGGACTCTACTGGTCCCATAGTCAAAATGTAAATGCGGAGTTTCAGCAATTCTGCCGGATTACGAAACAAGCATGACTCGTGATAGAGATCCTTTTCCGTTTCCATGGCGCCAGAATCAATCAAGGTGGGGGGAGAAATCCCCGTCAACCGTAGTTTCCGACCGAGAGGCATGGGGCATACTTGGAACAGCATATTGGCGATTAAGGGTTCAATATCACTGCTGCATAGGTAGAAATTTACCTGTCATAACTAGATGCATTCTGAAGTATCATGTGCCCCAAGTTGTTGGGAACAAGCATCGTGCAGGATGGAGACGTTCGACAAACACCCCCATGTTCTGGGCAATATTCGCCAAGCATCATCGCCAGGCGAGAGCCGTTCTAGAAACTGTCTGTGAAAGAGTGCAATAACAGCGTTGGCCAAGCTTGCGACTAGACTGGCTAAACGCGCGTGGGCCTCGTGTGAATGCGCCGTGAAATTGGGCACCCAGGCTTGCTTTCTGATCGATCAAGATTTTAGGACTCATTCATAACTGCATAGATGATTGCTTTTGAGGGATATGTAGAAGGATCATTTGTCATAAGCAACCTCGCCAAACTGGGCGCTGACACGGCGATGGTCCCGGCCATGGCGGACCCATGCCTCGGAAGCAAACAGACTCACAGTCAAGATCTATCATCCACAGAATGAATGCGAGCTATGAGAAGCGGTCAAGTCATTCAAGCGATAAGGTGCGACCTCCTTAGGCGAAACTCCGAGAGACAGATCTTCCCAAGGGAATTACCTATGTGCGAGAAAGCAGCTAACGTCGGCTGCATGCCTTCCTTTGCTTGGAGAGAAAGATGTAAAAGTCTGCTGGAGTATGCGGTTGATGCCCAGAATACCGTCGGGATTTCGAAATTCAGAGTCTGCAACAAGAGATGTAGCCAAGAGACATCTGTGAATTGCTCCCGAGCCTCTGCAAGTAAATGCTGATGATCCTTGGAAAAACTTCCATCTGCTTCACACAGACAACCATCAGTTATGAGCAAAAATGCCGCATCTCCTGCAACGGTCTTTTCTCTTCAGTTAGAAGCGCAGAGAGTCCAATATGGACCCTGCGGTCGATGCTCGCTGACTTGTTGGCCATCTGATGCACGCATACATGGTTAGAATCATGAAGACTCAGTTGGGAGATTCCGGCAGCAGCCAGATTAAGGATCGTACCCATTATCATATGTTTTTATTACTCCATACTGCAGCTTGAGACTAGCTCGTCCTCCTTGGTAGGAAATACCATCCCGAGCGGACTTCCATGATCGATATTGCCGATCGTGGGCAAGAATAGGGATGAGAGACCTCAGGTAGAAATGAAGCTCCTCTAGCACGTCTTCTTAACCAAGTGAGTCTTTACTATCGACTGCCAGGAAAGAAAAAGGAGGAGAACAAGGTCATGGACGTGGATTGACGTTGTTGAGAAGTCTCATGGAGTAGAAAACAGAGGGATGCTGGAACGGGGAGGCTGATTGGTTGAACTGGCTCAAGCCACGTGATAGAGCGCTTTATCGACCAATCATGACATCTGGTTTCAGGATAGTCCAGATATACTACTACTACTGAGTGAGCAAGTCAACACGTGCCCAGGATGGACTTACAACTTATTTACATTGTCAGAAACGCTTCAGATGTGCCGTGGCAAGTCAATCCAGCATAGTGGTATGATAGCTTCTATTCTTGTAATATCATAACTCAAGGGGTGGGCATGAGGACATACGATCCTCTATATAATGAATATAACATGGCTGAAATCAAAACTCTAATTTTGATACATTTCTTCATGAAACCTCTAGGAAGCAGCAGCGACCATCTTGTCCTTGACATAGAGGTCAACGTACTGGTCGACATCGTAGCTCTCCAGGGAAGCACGGTCCAATCCGACCTTCAGGAGCTCATCAATGCGAGCCTGGTCAAAGTGGGCCTCCAGGTGACGCTTGTACTTGGCCACGATCTCGGGCTTGGCCTCCTCACGTCTGAGGCGGTGACCCAGAGGGGCCTCGACGACAACCTCCTCAAAGACGGTGCCGTCGTTCAAGGTAACGGTCAAAGCGTTGGGGATGGTACGCTTGGAGGGGTCATGGTAGTCGAGGGTGAACTGGGGATCCTCGACGCAGCGGATGCGCTTGCGGAGGTCCTCAACGAGAGGTGAGGTGGCAGCCTCGGAGCCGTCAGCGTAGTCTTCAGCAGTCAGGCGGTTGAAAGCCAGCATGGTGGCAACCATGTACTAAGGATAAGTTAGTATACTTAGCGCTGGCACATTGCAAAGAAGTATCCAACTTACCTGGACGCAGTGGTCACGGTCAGCAAAGTTATCCATGGCCTTGAACTGCTTGTCAATGATACGGATGCAGGCCTCGTGGGTGCGGTTGGTGATCTCCTTGATGTCCTTGGCGGTCTTGCCCATAGCGGCGAGCTTGCGGTTGATAATCTGGGCGGCCTCAATAGCGGTCTGAGAGTGGAACTCGGCTGCGGCAGAGCTTAGTGATGGCATTCTAACGAAGCGGATGAGTCAAAAACTTACCAGGATATGAAACCTTGAAGAGAACATTCTCCATGACATAGCTGCCATAGGGACGCTGGAACTTGAACTTGTTGCCCTTGAACAGGACGTCATAGAAACCCCAGACAGGAGCAGACAGAACAGTAGGGACACCACCCTCGCCGCGCTGGACCTTGAGGACCAGGTTCACAGCACGCTGGCAGGCATCACCGGCGGCCCAGGACTTTCTGGACATGGTGTTGGGGGAGTGTCTGTAAGTACGGAGACTCTGGCCGTCAACCCAAGCCTGAGTGATGGCATCGGCGGTCTGCTTCTCGGTGAGACCGAGCATCTTGGAGACCACGGCGGTGGTGGCGACCTTGACCAGCACAACATGGTCCAGGCCGACCTTGTTGTACGAGTTCTCCAGAGCCAGAACACCTTGGATCTCGTGGGCCTTGATCATCGCCTCCAGCACATCCTTGACCTTTAGGATCTTACCATTGCCGAGCTTGCCTCCTGCACGGTTAGTGCGGGAAATCCAGTCAGCGACAGCGAGGATACCACCAAGGTTGTCCGAAGGATGACCCCACTCAGCAGCAAGCCAGCAGTCATTGTAGTCGAGCCAACGGATCATGGCACCAATGTTGAAGGCACCATTGACAGGGTCGAGCTGGTAGGGAGTACCGGGAACGCGGGTACCGTTAGGGACCACAGTGCCCTCCACAACAGGGCCCAGCAGCTTAGCGCATTCCTTGAATCTCAAAGCTTCCAACCCACATCCGAGGGTGTCGAGGAAGACCAGACGGGCAGTGTCATACTAGATACTCAAAATCAACCAAAATGATGAGTTATTTGTCCAAGAAATATTTGAATGTTGTTAAATTGCGAACCCATTAAGGGGATCGAATTGTGGACAAAGGACTTAGAAGCCAAGCCAAGGGGGCCACTGTACCGCTAGATCCGAATCCACACCATAGTTGTGAACGTAGGCAGCCATGTCCTTGATCTCGGGATCATAGCTTCTCTCCGTGGCAGCAGGAGGAGCGCCGTGCTGAAGGGCAGTCATGGTTGAGAATCGCGAAACGCGAGGAGCGCAAGGGTTGTTGATGATGGTGTTGTTGTTGTTGTTGTTGTTGTTGTTGAAGGAGTTGCGAGCGACAATGCGGGAGGAGACAGACCTGGAGACGATGCGGGACTGCAAAGTGCGGGGAGACCTGTGGGTCAGCCGTCTCAGCGCCGAACATGAGGCAGACATGATTGTGATGAAAAGGAAAAGGAATTGAAGAGAAAGGTGCAATACTCAAGAGGAAAGGATGAGGAAGAGAGAAGGAGAGAGATTGAAGTTAAGGATGTCGCTTAGTGATGGAAGAAGTGAAGAGGAGGAAGGGAGAGAGAACGAAGGAAGAAAGGAGACAGAGACAGAGACAGAGACAGCTTGACTTCCAACACCGACCGCTGTTTGGACTCTGGACCGAGGCCATTTGGTTTGTTGAGGGTGCGGTTACTCCCGGCTATCACTGTCATTATTGTTGCATTAGTGAGTTACAGCCCATCCCACCAGGTACTCTTTTGAGTCTACATACAGAGTAGATACATGGGGATCACTACCAGTGCATTCTCTGTGCTAATGGATATTCTCCGGTCTCGGAAAATCAATTGATGTAGATAAGAGGGGTATGAGCTATTAAGAGCAGTATTGATTCTAGGATACCGATATCCCCAGTACCTTAATGTCTTAATGCCCATGCCGATGATCGTCGTCAACCATCCCATGAAGCGCCCCGCGGTCGGACGGCCTCTTCTCATTTCCGCGGCTATGCACGCCTGTCATCCTCTCGTATGGACAGAGCATGCATGGGCCGATTGGTGTTCTTCTCGAATAGGCACTGCCTTCAAAGTTCAAATGCGGGTACATCTTTTGCTCTGGCGTAACCAACTCTCCTCCATTTGACCGATCGTTCAATGAAGCTGTCCCACCTGACAAGCAACGCAAAAGAATCTACGCAACTAACTGACAAAAAAAACCTGTCGCGAGAACCCCCAAAGCCCCTTTGCTAAGAACTCACATGCTTCTAGATCGAATTTCCTCCTCGTCGGTACGGTGCAATGAATTGATAATCTCGCGATAGACCGCCCATGCCAGCGCAGGCGGCACGGCGTTCCCAATCTGCCTGCGAACATTTGTGGTCCCGAACAAATGTTCCAAAGGGAAGGTCTGCAAGGACGCAAATTCTCGATTTGTGAACCCCCGCGTCCCCGAAGGATGATAATTATTCTCCCCGCCACTGCAGGTTATTGTCTTCGCTTGCTGATTGGGGCTGAAAGGCGCTCTGAGTCCATTCCGCCGCCCACGAATTCTAGCCCCCTCAATATCGTGATCTAGAGCATTTGGCGGGATATTTGAAATCACAGAATTGATGGTGGCGTATGGTAAAAGCCCTGAACCCGGCAGCCCATGCGTTGGCCTTGGGAAAGGCGGCAGGACTTCCCCTGGTCTGGAACAATCAGCCTATTTAATCATTATCAAAGAGCGATGCAAGATACTTACCCGGAGGCAATGATAACAAGCCTTTTTCGTGGTTGCGGAACGCCATAGTCCATACAATTGAGCTTTTTCCACCGAACAGAGTAACCAGCCTCAATGAAATCCAGAATCACGCGGTAGCAAGTTTCCTGGTGTCGATCATATAGACCACTTGTCTCCTCCATGGTATGTACTCGCGGCTTGCAGTGCTGGATCATATCCGCACATGAGAAGATGCAGGCAGAATTCGCGTCGTCATTAGCACTGTTGATAGTATGTGCTGGTGAGAATGTCTGGCATGGAGGAGAACCATGGCTCACATCCACTTTCAGAAAATCTGGCCCGTTCGTCAAGAAACTAAAGATATCGCTTTGTTCGCATAGCGCAGTTTCAAAGTTCATACGATACGTCGCTATCGCATGTTCAGACTGATCAAATGCCCACTTGATATGCAAACCAGCTTTTTGCGCACCAGATGAGACCCCCCCAGCTCCGCAGAATCCATCGCCAAACGTATACTGTCGGCGCATTTTTTGGTCACTAATGCTCTGGTTTTGAGAAGTAAGGTCGATGATGGGTTCCACTCCATCAAGGGTAATGACCGGGGAGCGTGAAATATCCCTCTTAGCATTGCCAAACGGACGAGTTTCACCTCTCCATGATTCTCGCAACGTCGCTGATTCAATCCGGAACTTCTCATCCGAGTCTTCAAAGGAAAGATATTCAACCGAGGCCTTAGTAGGATCAAGGTTTTCTTTTAGGCGACAGAATAAATCGAATGGTTGACTTTTCTTCTGGAAATCATGGTCAACGTGGCAGCAGTTTGTGAAATGGATGTTGACAAAGCGCGTGGCAGCAGCCAAGGGAATTTCTGATGTCTCATTTAAAATCCACACAAGCTCGTTTGACCATTTAGGCATATATGATTCCTTATGGTTCTTAGTTGATATCAGGTGACGGCCTTGAAAGAAGACATTTCCATCTGCATCTTGGAGGATAGTCGTGATGCGAAGATATTTCCCTTTTTCAAGTTCAAGCGACTGTCCAGGCTTGTAGACTATGTCATCAACACAAGCATGCTCGATCGGGTGTCTTCTCAGGATTTCTGTTCTCACTAGTGGCCTATCTGAGCGTGCGGGAGGAGCTGCTCCAGCGGCCTCTGGATGTTCCCAATCGTGTAACAGCCGCTCCAAGCACTCGTCGGTGAGATAGTCCCCATCTGTGACCAAAAGCTCAGGACCAGAAGTAAGATCAATGATCTCTTGGTGAGTATGTGGGCCTAAACGGAAAGGTGTTGGGGTTCGTAGCCTTGTTCCTGGGCGGGTCTCATCGAGGAAGAATGATCTATCTGGGTCATTATCGATGGTAACACTACTCGCTGTATCGCTCTCATCGTCATCGACAACGACTGTGTCCGAGTGTTCGATGCAGCTCGTCTGATTCATATTGACTGCGAGGGGATGGTAGACACAAAGTGAGGTATCCCAGAATGGAGAGAAGAAACTGACTCCGCCTCAATGTAGAGATAGAGTAGATACTGGAGAGAAAGAAGGCAAGAGATTGAGAAGAGATGACAGGACGGTAGAAATGCTATCTGTCAAGAGATGAGAGATGAAGAAGAGATGAACCTGGACATTGCATGGTATAGTTGAAGTCAAGAGTGACACAAGTGAAGTGTTCAGCAGTGAGCTGTAGTTGATTCAATGATGTGGAAATATCATAAAACAAAGAACTAGAAGCTGGAGCAATAACAAGCCAGAAAAAAAGCGGCTCCAAAGAATGGCTCCATCATTCATGAGACTCAGATCTATGAGGCTCTTCATGTTGGATGTAAGGCCTATCCGGACCAGAAAGATGAGAGAAAATTGATAGATCATCGTGTAAGATAGCAAGAGTTGGGGGACATCCCTGACAGCCCCCCTCGCAACGCAGAATCTGCCATCCTCCCATCAGACAAGCATCCATTGTGAGGTTTGGAGGCTGGAGTGTTGTTTTTACCCAGAAGAGTAATCCAGGACGAGGCACGTGTGGGCACGTGTGCCAGGAGAATTCTGATTATGTCATCGCCGGTCTCGGAAAATATCCGGTGACCTGGATGGCCAATCCGGGCTTAGCGGCACCCGCAAAAACTCTGACCGTCCGCTATTTAGTCAGCGGTAGGGAGAGAACAGCGAAGAAATTCAAGAGGAAAAAAAAAAAAAAAAGAATTAAATATGAGGGCGGTCTTGTCCCTCCTTCTTGCTTCCTCCTAACTTTTCCCTCACCATGACATCTGGTCGTTTGATCCCTTCGTGGGCCTTGCTTGACACAGCATCTTGACTTTAGTCACCTTCCAGTGGCTACTGTTATGCCTCAATAAGAGTGAAATACTCAACCCCTCTGTCTCCGCCGACATACCCGATTTTTTTCGCCCTCCCCCGCTATATCTGTGCCGTGTACCGAAATTTTTTTGCCATAGCTGTGAGTATATCCCAGCGATGTCCAATTTGATGCATTCCCTCTTTTTATGATGAATTTCGGTTTTTTTTTATAGATGTTAGACTTCCTAAGCATTATTGCGGAAAATCTCCGATCTGATTTGACCTGTCTTGTTTCAATGTCTTGCTGTTCACTCTGATGTTGCGGCTGCATGCTGATATCCTGAGTATCCTTAGAATAAATTACCATTGACAAGATGTGTGGTATTATTGGTTTAATATTGGCGAACCCCTCGGGCTCTGCCGCCGTCGACCTTCACGAGGCGCTTTACCTTCTTCAGCGTGAGTATTCCTAGCCTGTCTACCTCACACGACCTCTTTCAATGACATCGAGACTAACAATCAGCTCAATTGTGTAGATCGAGGACAGGATGCTGCTGGTATCGCGACTTGTGCGGCAGGTGGTCGCATCTTCCAGCTGAAGGCCAACGGTATGGCGGCCAAGGTCTTCAATGACGGTGCTAGGGTGGCCGATCTTCCAGGCTCGATGGGCATTGGACATCTAAGATACCCCACTGCCGGAAGCAGTGCGAACGCCGAGGCGCAGCCTTTCTACGTGAACAGCCCCTACGGTATCTGCCTGGCCCATAACGGAAATCTCATCAATGCTCCCGAGCTGAAGAAATACCTGGATCTGGAGGCTCATCGTCACATCAACACCGACAGCGATAGCGAGTTGATGTTGAACATCTTCGCCGATGAGGTTAGCAAGACCAAGAAGGCGCGTGTCAACAAGGAAGATCTTTTTGTTAGTCTGAGCCGGGTATACGAGAGATGCCAGGGTGGCTGGGCTTGTACCGCAATGCTGGCTGGTAAGCACACTCGGAATCGTGAAGCATGTTATCTTAAGAAACTAACGGTGATTGTCTAGGCTTTGGTATCCTTGGTTTCCGTGACGCATATGGTATCCGTCCCCTGGTCATTGGCTCCAGGCCCTCATTGGATGGCCCTGGCACGGACTATATGATGGCATCCGAGTCTGTTGCTTTGCAGCAGCTTGGTTTCAGTAACATCCGTGACATCCAGCCTGGTGAAGCCGTCATCATTCAGAAAGGCCAGGAGCCTGTCTTCTGTCAGGTGGCGCCCAAGAAGGCATATGCTCCGGATATCTTCGAATATGTCTACTTTGCTCGTCCTGACTCCGTCATCGATGGTATCAGCGTCTACCGAAGCCGTCAACGCATGGGTGACCACCTCGCTGCTCGGATTCTGGACGTTCTCGGTCCCGAAGTCGTCAAGGATATTGATGTTGTCATTCCCATTCCTGAAACATCGACCACCTCGGCTGCCGCAGTCGCTCGCTTCCTAGACAAGCCTTACTGCCAGGGCTTCGTTAAGAACCGATACGTCTTCCGCACCTTCATCATGCCCGAGCAGAAGACTCGGCAAAAGGGTGTCCGTCGCAAGTTGAACGCCATGCAAGCCGAGTTCAAGGACCGAAATGTCCTTCTGGTTGATGACAGTATCGTGCGTGGAACCACGAGTCGGGAGATTGTCATGATGGCGAGAGAAGCTGGTGCGAAGAAGGTCTACTTCGCCAGTTGCGCGCCGGAAATCACGTAAGTTGAGATTTGTCATATATATGAGATTAGCACACGACTGACAGCTCAACAGACATGCACATGTTTACGGTATCGACCTGGCATCCACCAGCGAGCTTGTCGCGCATAACCGCAGCGTTGAGAGCATTGCTGAACACATCGGTGCCGACAGCGTCATTTACCAGACTCTGGATGACTTGAAGGGTGCTTGTGCCGAGATTACCAAGGAGAACGGACTGAGCGAGCCTGTCAATTTTGAAGTGGGCGTCTTCTGCGGCAACTATGTCACACCTATCTCGGAAGGCTACTTTGAACACCTTGAGAAGATTCGAGGCGAAGGTCGCAAGATCAAGGCCGTTGACCGTGCCAAGGAAGCCGTCGCTCATGGCTTCGCCAATGAAAAGGACTTCCAAATTGCTGCGAACGGCGTCAGGCTCGACCAGGACGGCAAGATCATTCCTGCCAGGTACCCGGGAGAGTCCGAGGTGCCTCAGGTCGGCCTCAACCCTGGCAAGGAGTCTGAGGAACACGAGGAAGAACACCCCCAAGTTAAGGATCGCATGGATATCAGTATCCACAACATTGGTGATCACTGATGATCATGATTCCTTTTTCTATCGAATTGCTATACCAATGGTGTTCTTGTGTGTTTGGTGTTTTGGAGTTTGTTATACGATAGAGAAAACAAAGATCGGGGCGGCTCTGTGTTTGGGGATTCCATTGCATCGCTAAGACCCTGGAGGGGATGAGATACCCCTTTAAGTCATGCAATCGATAGATCTACGATGGAAATATTTCAACATACATGTCATGAGGCTTATGGTGTACGTATATAGAGCTGGATCGGCGATCTGGGACCCGGTCATGTGATATGACGGTTACTGAATTAGAAAATTTGAGGATGTCCTCACCAATCTTTGGTTCTTTTCCCTTTGAATCATTTGAACAGAAATGGGCTCCAAGTAATAGAAGATCTTATTGTCATTGAATCTCGTAATAGTTGCGAGGTCGCTCAGTTTCCTACGAATTAATACCCATGCTGCCCATTCGATTCAGTTTTGTTCTCTGAACTATTGGTGCTTCAGAAAGCTACCTTTATACCCTCCTCATCAATTCCCTTTGTGAGATAACTGTCTCCAATCTGGTATCTATATCCATCATGTATGCGCGTGTCACACGATCCGCCGCAGCTCGAGAGGCAGCTCTGCTTGCAGCCGAGATCCAACATGCCAAGCCTCAGCTAGCCGACTCCAGAGCTCCTTCTACTCAACAGAAGTCTACAAAATCCAGAGCTGGTGGTAGGAACAAACGGCCTGAGCATCCAGAAAATGCACACCAGCCTCCCAAGAGGCGAAAAGCAAAACGCCCCGTGTCAAGCCTTGATGTCAATGATGACATTCCTCACAATCTAGGCTCGGCTGTGACTGTGTTTCAAACGCTCGAGAACATCAATACGGGCCATGGAGTTGCCAAGAAAGAGCCTGAGATCAAAGCAGAGGATTTAGATCAGCTTGCGGGCGAGCTGCAGAACTCCGTAGACAAGGCTATAGAGGTGAAAGAGAAGCCAGCGCAACAAGTGAAAGGGAAAAAGAAAAACACATATGGCCTTACCCCTGGAGCTAGCCCCTTCCCCGAGTGGATTCAACCTACTCCCGAGGAGTGCGAGGAGGTCAATAGGCTTCTTTCCACCGTACACGGGCTAGTCAACCCACCTACCAAGATCCCAGACCCGTCCCTTACTGTTACCGGGTGCGGCGAGGTCCCCTCGGTGCTGGATGCGCTCATTCGCACACTGCTCAGCGGCGCCACGACGGGGAGGAATTCTGCGCTGGCTTTCAGCGGGCTGGTGGAGAGATTTGGTATCCTCGAAGATGGAATCGGCAAAGGAAGCGTGAACTGGGACGCTGTGCGTCAAGCACCGCTCAAAGATGTCTTTGAGGCGATCAAGCGCGGCGGATTGGCAGATGTCAAGAGCAAGAACCTCAAAGCAATCCTTGACATGGTCTACGAGGAGAACCAGGCTCGCAGGAACATCCTTGTGGAAGGCGAGCCTGGAGAATCGGCAAATGTGAAGCTGAAGACTGAGGGGGCGAAAGAGTACGAGATTGCATGTGCTGATCAGAACTTCCTCTCACTCAACCACCTCCATCATCTCAGCACGGAAGAAGCCATGACGGAGCTGGTGAAATATCCGGGAATCGGTCCAAAGACGGCTGCCTGTGTCCTTCTCTTCTGTCTGCAACGCCCATGCTTCGCTGTTGACACCCATATCTTTCGCATCTCCAAGTGGCTCGGCTGGGTGCCTGCAGGCAAAGCTACCGAAGTGACTGCTTTCAGTCACCTTGAGGTACGGATACCTGACCATCTGAAGTACTCCCTTCACCAACTCTTCATTCGTCATGGCAAGACTTGTCCGCGATGTCGAGCTATCACCGGGCAGTCTGCCGCTGGCTGGGAGGATGGGTGTGTGATTGATCATCTTGTTACTCGGACCGGGAAGAGAAAGGAGGGAAACGCGCCGGTACCTGTGACGAGTGGAAAGAAAACGGGGCGTTAGAGCCGTGCAACTTCGGGCAGAAAGTAGTGTTTGAGAAGGTGTTTAGTGATTTGCCTCAGTTTCTACGGTTATATATCTATAGACCAGTGTGTGTTGTGATGAATTATGATAGTGTTAGGAACTATGCAGCGACTATTTTTTTTCTTTAGATACCATGGATTGATAGCTCAGAATCAAATTCTCCCAAGAAGTCTCCACTGTCACCAAATCCATGGAGCCGAAAGCGATTGTCGTTGCTGAATGTCTGTTGAATTTGTTGACGCTGTTCTCCCCCTGATGGTCCGTGCTCTAATCGCGTATCGGAGCTGCCGATAAAAAGATGGTACGACTCTCTTGGCCTCAACTCCAACCAGAGTACCGTCTTAACGGGTGACACAGGACATCCAGGAGGCATTTTGGAATTCGATTGCACATGTACAGAACCCGCCATGGAGTTTCTAGCCTCGCTTGTTCCTCCTGTGTTGGCTCCCTTCATCGAGACCCTAGTGAGCAATGCACAAGTGCTTGGCGTCGCATTGGTCTCAATCGGCGCTCTTTACCTGGGATACGCTTTCGTTCTGAGCAGCAGGGAGGCGGCTGTATCGTTCAATGTGCCCATCCCGGCTGAAGTGCGAACGAATTGGGCTGGAAAGAAATGGGAGGACGTGCAGGGTGAGGAAAAGAAGGTGCTTGAAGGACAGACTAGAGGAGTCAGTTCACCCCCCCTTCTCTTCCCCCTGAGCGTTTGAAGCATTCAAAGAAGGGTTATGCTGATGGCCTTCTGATTGTTTTACATAGCAATGGAACAACAAATTGATCATGAGCTACTGCCCCGCCGATGGACGAGTTCTGGGCACCGGTATTAAACCTGCGACCGCCGAGGATGTCGATCGGGCGATTCAAGCTGCAAAGAATGCACAAGTCGAATGGGCCAAGACTGGGTTTGCTGAGAGGAGGAAAGTTCTGCGGACATTGTTGAAGTATGTGTGTGGCTGGTACATTGATTGACAGCTGTCCAAAATCCGAAGCTGACAAGATGATTGTTGCAACTGGCAGGTATGTTCTCGAGCATCAAGAAGAGATCGTCACGGCATGCTGCTTGGATTCGGGCAAAACCAAGGTCGACGCCTCGTTCGGAGAGATCCTTGTCACGGCGGAGAAGCTGAAGTGGACCATCGACCATGGCGAAACGGCTCTGACGGCTGAATCGCGACCTACCAACTTCCTGATGATGTACAAGAAGAACAAGGTCGTCTATGAGCCCCTCGGCGTCGTTTCTGCTTGCGTGTCCTGGAACTATCCATTCCACAACTTCATCTCCCCGGTCATCAGTGCTATATTCGCAGGAAACGGAATCGTGGTGAAGCCCTCCGAACAGACCGCATGGTGCACCTCGTTTTTCCTAGAGATCATTCGGGGCGCCCTTTCCAGCTGCGGCCACCCGAGAGAGCTGGTGCAAAGCGTCGTATGCCTTCCAGACGTCGCGGATGTCCTGACCTCGCACTCGGATATCTCCCAGATTACGTTCATCGGTTCCCGACCCGTCGCTCACAAAGTGTGTGAATCCGCAGCAAAGGCGCTAACTCCAGTGACCGTGGAATTGGGTGGTAAAGACCCGTCAGTCATTCTCGACGACGCCCGGACCGTAAGCGAAATATCCTCCATTGCCTCTGTACTCATGCGTGGCGTGTTCCAATCCGCCGGACAAAACTGCATCGGCGTCGAACGTGTCATCGCTTTGCCAGGCGTGTACAACAAGCTCCTGGACATCATCAGCCCCCGCATCGCCGCCCTGCGTCTCGGATCCGTTCTACTCGATACCCGGGCCGACGGGTCCCAGCAGAAACCCGGTGCCCCGGATGTCGGCGCGCTCATTTCCCCAGCCTCCTTCGACCGTCTGGAATCCCTCATCGACGACGCAGTCCGACAAGGCGCCCGCCTCATCTGCGGCGGGAAACGCTACAACCACCCCAAATACCCACACGGCCACTACTTCACCCCGACACTCCTCGCCGACGTCACGCCGTCGATGAGAATCGCGCAGATCGAACTCTTTGCCCCCGTCTTCGTCCTCATGCGCGCCGACTCCGTGCCCCACGCCATCAGCATCGCCAACTCAACCATGTACGCCCTGGGCGCCAGCGTCTTCGGCTACAACCAGGCGGACGTCGCAGCGTGCGTGGCCCAGATCAAGGCCGGCATGGTCGCCGTAAACGACTTCGGGACCTTCTACACAGTGCAGTTGCCCTTTGGCGGCGTCAAGGGATCCGGGTATGGTCGGTTCGCGGGCGAAGAGGGACTGCGCGCCGTGAGCAACATCAAGGCAGTCTGCGTGGACCGATTCCCCAAGCTGGTGGGGACGAGGATCCCGCCCCGGCTGGACTACCCGATCCGGAAGGGCGATGATGCTCGGCAGAATGGCACGGGGGCGTGGGAGATGTGCAAGGGTGTCGTGGAGACGGGGTACGAGTTGACGCTGGCGGGCCGGATCCGGGGAATCCTGCGGCTGTTGACGAACATTTGAGGAAGAAAGCGTGTGATGTGATGGAATGGCATTTCTCAACCAATGTATGTAATTTAATTTTTAGATCTATGTACAATATACATATACATAATGATACCATGATCATTCAAGCTCATTCGGCGAGATTTTTGCCTGGGAAAGACCGCAAAGAAGAAAAGCCTATCCCTCCCCGTTTCGAACCATCCACAGACTCGACAAATCAACCGGCGTGCTCTCCATCCAGCTCCCCAGCTCCTCCACCCCCAGCACATCCCGCAGATATCGTCTCGCCATCTCTATATGCCCATTCGCCCGCCCCAGGTAGAATAGCGCCCCTTCCGCCGGATTCGCATGCGCGGTCTCAATCTGCTGCGGCAGCCGCAGCATCAGATCCAGCAGCCAGTGGCCAAAGGCATCGCCCAGATGCATCGCCCACTCCGTGATCTCCGGGTCGTCGGCAGGGACAGATTCGGCGCTGGCGCGGAGCAGCTGCTGGAAGAGCGCGGGGTCGTGCCGGGCGACGCGGACGGCGGTGCGGAAGTGCTCGGCGGGGAGGGTGTATGGCTGGGAGCCGGTGACGGCTGCGGCGCTGCGGAAGACGTACTCGTCGATTTTGAGGAGGGCGGTGAGGGCGAGGAGGTTGTTTTCGACGAGGGCGAGGTGGATGCCGTCTTGGAGGGAATCGCGGGGGATGGCAATATCTGTTTCGAGGTGGTCGGAGCGGTTGAAGCCGCAAGCGAGCCGGAGGATCTCGAGGGAGAGCGTGTGTTCCTCGGTGAAGCCTTCATCGCTACCGCGGAGGAGCTTCTCCGGAAACTGTCTGATGTTGAGGATTCGGTGGGTTTGTTGTTCGTCTGTTTCGTGGCAGGCGATTGCGATTGACACGAACGGGGTGATGGAGAGCGTGTAGTGCTTGCTGTCGGCGTCGGTGCCCTCGTATGTGCACGTGTCCTCCTCGCGCGTCAGGAACCGGTTCAGTGTCGTGTGTTGGTCCCCCGTCATCGTAATCCCAACATTCACCCAATGCCTTTGGATCGTTAAGTTCATCATATCGGGGATGTGACTGAGCAAGCGCGGGATCGTACACCACCGACACCGCAGAATAGAAGCCTGAAAACCGTCCCGCTCGCCATCTTGAACCGGAGCATAAGAATCCAGCGGTCTCAGAATCCTAGCGATAGCCGAGCCCGGCGCCTCTACAGCCTCGGAGGCGGAATCATTCCAGAAAGCAAGCAGGATCAGCACCCGGTAGATGCGCTCGCTCGACATCGCCGCCGCCAGCGCCAGCGATGAACGCGGGAGATTCACATTCAACGAGTACAGGAATATCTTCTCGATTAACTCCACGGGTAGGGCCTCCAACCTCGACAGTCTCTTGCGCGGTTTGCGCGCCCTCGCGACCCACAACCGGGCGCGACTGATACTCCTGGACTGGGAAGAGTGCAATCTCGCGTGCCGGGTCATCAAGGGCCGGCCGCCCTTGCGGCCACTCGGCACTGCTCTGGGCCCGTGACCATGAGTGACTTTCTTTGCCGGGGGGTTCTTTCTGCGGCCGCGGACTCGGATCGGGGTCAGAGCCAGCATGGCGCATGCCCGGCCAACAGAGAGACAGGGGAAGGTAGGTGGAGTCTATCCGCTAGCAGTGGAATTTTTTAAGGTTGTTTTTGCGCCATGACACCTCACCAGCGGGTCTGTAGATTCGCGAGAAACGTACGGGCAACGGGACCCAATTCTAAGACGGTTTGGCCCAGTAGGGCTGAGGTGACAGCACTGCGATGACGATGGTTGTTGCTGGGAGTCTGGGACTGGAGAATGGATCTTCTACTGACAGGCTGGAGGGCGATACAACAAGCCAAACAGCTGCAGCCAATCACGGGGACAGCTGACTGGGGGCTTTACCATAGCAGGCTAGCTAGGGTTTGAAGATCAGCTGATCTACTATCTGCGAACCCTAGTGTTAGTCCAGTTCTGGAATAGTGCAGAAAGTATACAAATATGATATCATGACGTCACCGTCTTCCTGGTATGCCAACTACCAACTACCAACTACCAAACTGCCAACGCCACTGACACACTGTAGATTTGGACTGTCTCAGAACTCACAACGTGCACCACAACAAAACAACGACTTTGTAGACTGTGGAAGAAGCATGCTGACTGGCCTAGAATGTTCCCCCTTGAGTGCCTGAGTGCCTGAGTGCCTGGGGCAGGGGATTGATCCACACGCTCTTTGCCAAATGCGGCCACAGACAATCAGATGAATCAGGAATTCTGGCCGGGACAGCGTCGATATGACGGCATCCAGCTGGTCCCTTTTCCATTTGATCAGGGCGTCTGTGCTATCGGCGTCATCGTCGTGTCTCATTCCTGCAGTGAAGGCAGAAAATCCTCCTCCTACATCATCTCCTGCATCGTGATCCATCCTCCCTTTCGTGGCTTCGTTCCTGCCGTATATATTCCACCCAACGTCTTTGCCCTCTGCCCAGATCCTCTTTACCATCATGCGTCCATACTCTGATACCTCTCTGCATACTACTGCCTCATCCAGTGCAACAGGAAACATCTCCAACAACTCTTCTTCATCCAACTCCAAACCGTGATTCAATCCAAACACACAAATATCATCCCACGATAAAGTCAAAAGTCTCTCATCAAGATGGGTGCTGTCGTTTCTTGCGTATGTGTTTCCGTCCCTTGAAGCAGTAGCTTTCACCTCACCATCACACGAAACGTTTGCTAACCATATCGCAGATCAAAGATGTCTTCCGCTCCATCGGCGCCTGCCTGACGGGCATCGTGAACACAATCGGCGCAGTCCTCAAAGCAATCATCAACGGCGTCATGTCCCTCTGCAACATTCTTATCTCCTGCCTCACCTGTGGCTACTGCGGAAACCGGGGACGCATGCGCAGTTCGAGAACGCGAAGATCACGAGTCTAATGAGTCGCCTCTGGTCGAATCTTGACGAGTCATGATGGATATGATATGAATCGTGTGCATGCGCTTGCTGCTTCTTTCAAAGCTCTGCGTTTGATCTTTGTTTTTTTGTTCCTTTTTGCTCTTTCTTCCATACCCCCAGCAGTGATGCTTTTCTTTCGATTCCCCGGGTGTATTCTAGAACGTACTTAATTCACGACATTTCATCCAATTTTTTTTTTTTTTGCTGTGCAACTCTCCTTTCATCATCATTCGTAGAGTCTTGGAATCGATATCTGAGGAGTTCTCGCCATCAGTTCCTCTTTCAGTTTCGTCTCATGCCAGGGTATGTCGTCCCAGCGCTTCTGCACCAGAAACGCCAGGAAGGGATCATCTGCCGGATTCGCATACTTCAAAGCGGCCTTGAAGTGCATCGGAAGCACAGGCCAGCGGATGGGATACCGGTACACCCGCACCCGGATGAACAGTTCCACCAGGATCTCAAACGTGCCGTAGTCACGGCTTCGGATGAGCTGGCGGAGCACCCGCCCAGAGCGCTCATGCTTCTCGTCGTCATCGACGTAGACCTCTGTGACCAGCAATCTCAGGAGCTCGACCTTTTCGTCCGTCCACGGGTGGCAGAGCAGCTTGTCCGGCATGCGCGAGGGCGATCTACCCGCACAAGACGGGAGTCGGAAGATGTCAAGATCAGTGTGGATCGGACCAGGTGCGCGGATCTGGAAGGCGCCGAAATGGAACCACATCGCGACTCGATACTCCGCGCTTGTATCGCGGTGTCTGGCTCGGATGATCAGATCACCCTTCCCCATCTGGCCGCGGTGGCCCTGGTCGTAGCGGGTGAGGTCGTCGAAGTGATCAGCGATGTTACGGATGACGTGTTCGTCTTCGGGGCTGAACACCATGTCTCGACACTGAGAGCGGATGACATGTTCAATGTATTCTCGTTGACACTTGCGCATCAGCTCCAGGGTGCACCAGCGGCAATTGAGGATGGTGCGTTGGAGCTCCCGTCGCTCTTCAACGGAGAGCGCAAAGAAGTCAAGCGGGGGAGGGAGGAAATCCGGGGTGAAGATGCCGTTCTTGGAGCTCTCGTTCGAGCTGCTGAAGGCAAGGCGGATAAGCCAGGTGTAGAGGATGGGGCTGGATAGAGCCCGGGCCAGATGGATGGAGCTTCTGGGGAGATTGATCTCGAGGCAATGCAGGAAGATCTTCTGTTGTATCTCCACCGGAAGGCTCTCAAGCAGAGACAGTGCTCGAACCCGGGGTGCTTCTTGGGCCATTAGAACAGCTTGCACCTTGGTCTTAACAGGTAGACTGAATTTTTGGTCTGCAATGCGATGTGTATGATGTTGTTGTCCCAGCTGATCGGTATATATTTCGTCTCAATACACCTTATCCTTTCGAGGCAGAAGGGAGATCAAAGTGCAACTCAGCCAGGAAGTTATTTGAATAGATTAATCCATTTTCACTCCTCTATAGTCAAGATCTCTCTTCACTTAGATCATCGCTGCAGGGCGAGGGTTGGGCACTCGCCGCCACGCTATCTTCGAGCCTCAACCGGGATAACGAGGTTTAGCAATATCCACTTTTTAGATTTGTCGTGCATGACCCTGTAAGTGAGACTGATTGACTAACAATAATCACGCCAGCTGCTAAGGTGCAAAGGGAGGTATGAAATAAGCTCGCAATATGCGTGGAAGTGTAGGTATCGGAGTGTGAACATATTTACTAAAACAGGGGGCTGAAGGCGGGTCAGGCCGAGCCCGTATATGGCACTCAACAACCCAGCCAGACATTCGATACGGGTCATGCAATGCAGAGAGCATTTCTATCGTAGTCAATAGATAGCTAGTTGTCACTGTCAAAATACCTGCTATAGCTACAAATGCTCATAATACAGCGGGCCCACACCCAGAGCAGGTCATCAAGCAAATGTCTGGTCTTTGCTCCACGAAGACGACGATATGATCTCGATAGTATCGAATATACTCCAGCATATCAGAGTAGAAATGCCCCAAAGTAAGGATGAAGCTGAATGCTGACTACGTTGGCAAGCAGTCAAGGCACGGGATTGAATGCCGGGCAGGAAAACCATCTTCTAAATTGAACATTGTTTCTATACACATCCAACAACCAAGGACTACACCTTGCCAGGTAATCAGGAATGCAATTCCTTCTGTTAACAGATTTGACAATTGGTAGGATTCGTAGTGTATTTCCACTGGCTGTAGGATAAAAAAATGCGGGAAAAGAGATGCAGATGCTGGTACTTTAAACAGCAGACAGATCGCCGAAGCGCTCCTATTCAAGGTAAAACCATGGTTAGCCACTGGCCTCAGCGCAGAATACAAATGATTATCTGCAGGACTCAAACCCACCTTGTAGCCAGCCGGCATCCATCTGCCCCGGGAGACCAGCGAAGCGGTCTTCTCGTCGATCTCGGGTTGAGCAGCGGCAACCTCATCCTATAAAGAGTCAATCATAATGCTCCGCGAAAGCAAAAATTACCACCCATGTTGAGCCAGAAACATACCACAGTGAGCTCATCGAAGGGACGAGCGGTCTCGATGTTCTCCAGAGTCTTCTCCAGGTTGCGGAGCTCGGACTCAACCTTGCCCTTGGTGTCCTCAGCGCTCTGGACAGCCTGGGCCTCGAAGGCATCGATGGCCTTGAGCTGACGGCTGACGTCGTAGGTGGCGGGCTTGAAGTTTTTGAAGTAACCCTCGATCTCGTTGACAATGGCCTGGTTCTTCAGGACGCTGCGGTAGTGGTCGAAGTTGATGGTCTGGGGCTGCTCGGACAGGACTTGGACCTTGCGACGCGCATCATCGTTACGCTTCTTGAAGGCCTGGAGGGAGGTGGCAGTCTGGCCGCGGAGACCCAGAGAGCCGGTCACCTTGACCCAGTCAATCTTGAGAGCGGCGCTACGCTGTGAGAGTGAGGGTTAGCGGCTCCAATTTCGCTGCTTCAGAAATTGCCCACATAAAGAAAGCAGAGACAACGTACAGCAGCCATTTTGATGTGCGATGTGGTGGAGGGATTGGGGGTGACAAAGGAGTTCAACGTGCGAAACTGGACATTCCGAGATGAGGGTTGTTTCGGCAAGGTTTGGATGGGGATATAGTCACGTGATCTAGAGGTTCCCGTGTTCCGGAGAGTTCATCCACCAAGAGCCTCCAGATGTCAGGGAGTTCATTGGCATCACTGGTGAACAACTGAACTCATTACATGCTTACGATTGTAGAAGTCTTAGTCTCCCAGGATATAGAGAGAATAAATGTCTTGCTAGTGAAAGAATGAATTAAATCGGTTCAATTCTGCTTTTTTGAACTAATTGATTTACACTAAGGGTAAGATGGATCGATTCACGCATCCGAGGGATATCAACCTGACATCGCACCCAAAGTCCATCCTGCCAGCAGGGCTAGGAGACGTCAGCCGCTGATAGCGTGGATTCAATTTGGGGCGGATATCATATGCTGAGGGCCATGATCGAATTGACGATGTCGTTATCATTCTCGCGGAGGGCCTTGACGGCCTTCTTGCGCGACACGTTAGCCTGAGCCATGACAAGCTCGATGTCCTTGGCCTCGAGGCCGGTCTCATCAACCTCCTCTCCATCATCCTCCTCCTCCTCCTTCTTGGCCTCGGTCTCGGGAGCCTTGCCCTTGCCGTGGTCGTGGTCATGGTCGTGACCGGCGTGCTCGCCAGCGGCGGCCTCAGCGGCAGCCAGCTGCTGAGCAGCAGAGGCCTGAGCCTGGGAGTTCAGGTCCTCGATCTTGGCCTCACCGAAGATGCTGTTTGAATTGTGAGTCCATATGTAAACTCAGGTTGGAGGGATCCTTCAGGAAAACACATACATCCAGGTGTTGCTGGTGGGGGAGCGGTAGACATCGGGCTGGTTGATGACGAACAGAATCTACAGAGCTCCAATTAGCCTCCCATGTTGACATCTTGGGCATTGTCGTTCAAAGTTCCGAAATCCTTGCGACCGTCGACCGTCGCACGAAGGAGGGGTCGTATTCCTTACGTTCTTGGGTCTGCGAAGGGTGACACGGGTGATGCCAGGAACGTGCTTCAGGCCGAGCTTGCCAATGGCCTTTCTGGCCTTCTTCTCGTTACGGGAGTGGATGGTGACGGCGGCACCGGAGGGGATGCTGCTCTCCTCGCCAGCCTCGGACTCGGAGTCGCTGCCAGCGTCCTCGACGTTGGTCTTGGGAACCTCCTCATCGGGGAGCTCTTCAACACGGGGATCAGCCATTTTTGCGATTTAAACGAGCCTAAAAACGGGCTTTCAGAGGTTGGCAGTCAGCGATTGGCACTATAGAACCGTCCGGTCGCTTGAATATAATGCTGAAAAATGCCCCACGATGGACCAAAACCTCCACCAAACTGCAGAAAAAACGAATTTCGAGGTAGGGTTCTGGATTATGAGCTGTAAATTCAATTTAAACATACCTAGTTCACAGATAGAGGGCCGTTGGGGATGATGGGGGGTATTTTGGTCTTGTTGTAAGTGGAAAGTCGCAAAGCTGTGTGAATGTCATCCTGCCGAAAATCGTTAGCGAGCATCGTGACCCTCACCCCGGACTCACACAAGCACCACTTCTACAAGCCATGCACATCATACAATGAACCAATTCAACCCCAACTTTTTATATTCTGGTCATTATAACGTTATTATTGATGAGAGTATTACGTCTAAAATGTCCATTTCCCAATTGATGCCTAAGAAAGACGGCCAAAGACCAGATTCATGAACTAATTGGGCGATGCACCACTCTGATGACATAGTAGGATATCCTTTGCCAGGGTATCAAGGTTTCGAATCATTTTTTGGCTGTTATTGTTATGGATACAGCTTAATTTTTTGCTGGAATAAAATAAAACCCTCAGCCATGTAAAACCGTCCCAAGGTACCCCTTCATACTATGCACCGAGCCTCATGAAAACATTTATGACTTAGGAGCAGCCGCCCGGACCTTGGCGTGAGCCTTCTGGACCTCGTAACGAGCCTGTCAAGCGATCAACATGTCAGCATTCCCATCGCAAATCCCATATATCGTAGTCCCATTTCGGCCTGATCCTCGACAAGCGACTGCGGAGTCGCTGAAGCGCTCTTCCCAATCCCATTGCCGATTCACCGGTATATCCGCCCGATTGCACGTACCTGCTTTCTGAGTCTGAGGACCTTGAAGCGCTCGAAGTCGGTCAGGTTCTTCCTCCGCTCGGCACGGTCAGTCTTCTGAGCGATGGAGGTCTTGGCCCACTTTCCATCGATCTCGTTCTTCTCCCAGAGCTTCTTCACGGGGCCAGTGCCGGCAGCGCGGGGGAGTTTGGGAATGACGAAGTGAGTGAGGGTGACGTGAGCGAGAGGAAGGGCGTGACGGGGAACGATCTTGTTCTCCTCGGTGGAAGGGCCGTCAACCAGGACCTATTCGTTGCGACTTTTGTCAATAACTCATCCGACCCAATTTCCCCTAGTCCTTCGGTTGGAAATCCTCCGTTGAAAAACGTACACGCTTGTGGTCGATGATCTCGACAACGGCAGCGAGTTTGCCGGTGAAAGGACCGCTGCGGATCAGCACGACACGGCCAACCTCAACAAGCTTCCATTGAGCAACCTTGACATCGATATCGGCCATGGCGAAGGCTTCCTAGAAAACGACAGAAAACGAGAATTTCAGTTGGCAGTTCACAAATGCGACAGAGGGCGTAGATTCTCAACTCACGGTCGACAGACTCCGGGTGGGCGGTGATGGGAATTTGTTGTCGAAGAGTCGGGGTTGTCGAAGAATCGTCCGAAACGCACAAGTCGCTCTGGACTACGGGATCGCGAATTTCGGTGTTGCGGCCTTTCGCCCACAGAGTCTCGCTTAGCAGCCAGTAGCAGCTCGCCGAACGGGGTTGCGTGCGGCCTAGGGCTGCTTTTTGCTGCGGGCCTTGGCGCCTGGCGGTCGGCCTTGCGCGTTCTTCCGTTCCGCTTAATTTACTTCTTAAGCTCCAACGCAAACCCTCTGCGTAGTTTTTTTCTGCATCTGTGAAGATTTCGCGCTGGACTTTGAGTTCTAAATGCTTTTCTACAGAACAAAATGCAGTTCTGCCATCGTCACTGTTCTTGTCACTCACTACTCGCAGCTGGTTCGCCTGTCATACATGCTGAATCAAAGTACTGGTATGTTCTATTCCCTTTTTCTTTCATGGATTCTGGCACTTCAAATGATGCGGTAATTTGCGATTGACCCGGTGTCTGTGGATCTCCCGCCAGAGATCTATACAGCATTGGCGTATGATATTCATTTCTTACATATTCTGAACGACTTGGGACCCTTACCACATGTTGTCTTCCACGCGCTTTCGGCAAGCAGGAGCTAACATGGCAAAGATATCTAGGTTCACACTTATCATCGACATATCCAATACCCCATCTCTTCAGATTTAATCGGTACGTCGCAGACTGTTTCTTCCACTCCATCATTGTCCGATGATTACAACCTTGCACTGCCTAGATAGTATATGAGCCTTCGGGCCATGAAATTTACAGCATCACCAAGATCTCTGAGGACTTTGATACTCCACTTTGGTTCTGTTATTGCTGTTGTTTTGACACTCGTCTAACTGGAGGCAATTATAGGTTCCAACCAGATACTTAGTTTATCAATACTGCTCAAATGAATAATTTCTTGACATCATTTATTGGTCGTCGTATAACGATAGTCGTAACAGTGGATCCAGAATACTGTGTTGATCCCCTGGGAACTTGTAACTTATGTGTAAACCCGAGAACCGTATTGGCAAACCGAAAGAAATTCATTACTTGTTCTCAATGATACAAACAAGACGCAAAGGAATACTCGCTAAGTAAAGATGATGATGGAGCCCAACTTCCCCGAAATCGCCCACGTTTTTATGAAGTCCTTCTATATCATTATGTGCAACTTCGCTGCTCATCAAAAGCAACTATGACGACCCAGCACCCCGCGCACCAGCAGAGAACACTGCGACTGGACCCTCGCGGCTCAAGACCCACATGAAGATGAACTGAATGATGTACGAATAGATGAACAGGAACTGTGTCCGACGATTGCGCTGCGAGCGGGCAACCGTATGCATTGAGCCGGCGCGCATAGATGCATCACTGGTCGAATCAGGGAGCAGAACGTATTTCAATGATCGCAGCTAGAAACGATTAGTAACGCCAACGGAAATATTCCAATAAGCTTGATTTATGGTGTGCCACACTCACCAGAAAGAATGCATTGGCCAGGAAAGTGTAGATGAACACAACCCAGCCAACCCAGCCGCCAGTTCCTCTTCCTGGGGTCAGGATCTCCGATGTGACCAGGGTTGCGATGATTCCGACAAACTTGTAGCCGGAGTACGCCACAAGATCGAGCAGCTGAGACTCATTGTTGATGCTGAGGATGTACATGGCCAGTTTGAGACAGAGAATCTCGAACACAATGACTGCAATAGCCGTTGTCGTCGTCGAGCCCAGAAGCTCTGGATGGAAGTTCCCTCGGAATCCTGCCAACATCGCGGAAAGGAGAATATAGGTGACAATCGCCATAACAGGGATGTACATGTCCGGAGAGTTCAGATCGTCGCGGGGCGGAAGGAACATGGACGAGTACTGTTGCTGGGAGATCTGGCCATTCGGCCCCGTTGAGGATGTTGTTAGACGTGCTTGCTGACGAGACCATGGCTTGTGGCGCCAAGGAAAGAGCACAAGGACGAGCTTGTTCAGGACGTAGGAGTTCGACACATTGAAGTAGTGTTTGAGAGCCGGAATAGAAACATAGCGGTTGAACTATTGCCAATGAGTAAAGATCATGAAGCGCTTATAGCACCAGAACGCCGCTCAAAAGACTTACATTCTGTTCCATATACTCTTGGCCAGCAGCCATTGCAGTCTTTCCAACCTGGAATCCCATTTGTGCTGTAGGATCATTGATGAAACCGCCGAAGCCAGGAGCGAACGTTCCACTGCCGCCTGGAGCGGGCGCTGGTTGGTAGGGGTTCCCATAGCTGGACGATTGAGGCTGCTGAGAAGTTGGTGGAGGAGGTGAGCGCATCATAGGAACGGTAGAGACATGCTGAGGCACAGGATGATGGAGTGGAGGCGACTGCGCCGGCGGCGGGGCGAACGACTGACGATACATGCTGGCTGAGATATATGCTTATGAGACAAGGATAACGAGATCCCGAGGACTGATCTGCTTTGATCGTGGATGGATGAGGATTGGGGATCCAAGAACTGAGTGAGGTTGAACTTAGTGTTTATACGTGGCTGGAGGGCACCCGATCGCCGAGAGCTCCTCGCCTTTTTCCGCCCGCAGATTCCCCACCACAGCGGGCTACTACTACGACTTGTTTCTTCCCCAGAACAACAGCGGTCACTGCGAAACCACGTACCCAAGAAGAACTTACAACATGTTAGAAGCCTTCGAGATCCTGACCACCTCCGGGTTAGTCCTCTGGTCGAAATCATATGCGCCAGTGGGCGCCCATGTCGTCAACAGCCTTATCAACGATGTGTTTATTGAGGAGAAGGTTCGATCACAAAATCAGGCAACAAGCAGTGTATCACCGGTGTACAAGAAGGAAAAATACACATTGAAATGGAAGCGAGTGAAGGATTTTGATTTGATCTTTGTGGTTTGTTCTGTGCCATCGCTTGATTGTTGGCACTGCTGACTTTGACCCCCTAATCAGGCTGTATATCAATCGCTGCTTCACCTTGGTTGGATTGACAAGCTCTTGGATAACATCGCCACTATATTTATCGATCTATACAAGGATCAGTTGAAGGGTACACGCGCCAGGATAGCCGAATATCCATTCGACAATTACTTCGATCAACAGGTGCGAGAGCTTGAAAACAATGCCGGAGCCCTTCCCTCAGATACGCTCGCGGCCGGTGTTGATGAGAGAAAAAACCCGCTTGTCTCATCGGATAACGGTGGCCCTCCACCACCTCCGATTCCTGGTCTAGTCAAAGGTACTCTACCTTGCTGAAAGTACTCTGCTTGCGTTGGAAATAGCTAACAACCATGAAGCGCAACGCTCAGTTGCGCAGGGCGCGGCGATCTCAGATGAGAGTACGCCGCCCCACTCCCCAGATATCTCTCGATCGTCAACCCCCGTCTCAAGCCATATCCTCACCGCCAAGGGAGGACCTGCTGGTCGCAGCTCTCGCCGCGCGCGCAAAGCGGCCAACGCCAGCGCCAATGCCTCATCCGGAGACGAAAATATTCGGAAGGGGAAGACACCAAAGAGCGGGAAGAAGATGCGCAAGTGGGACGCTGATGGGTATGCTGATGAGGACGATGGCAAGGTGCTCGACTACTCTGCACCTGCACATGGTGATGAGGTGTCCGCCCCAGTAGTGGAGGCTGTCGCGCAAGAGTCGTGGGGACGCAGAACTGGCAAGGGACAGTTCGTCTTGAAGGATCTCGGGGATGAAGTGCACTCCATTCTTGAAAACGCCGACCAGGAAAAGGCGAAGGCTGCCTCGTCCACTGGCTTGGTTGGATCAGGAGTCAACGCGATTGGTGGCTTCTTTCGCAATATTGTTGGCGGCAAAGTCCTCACCGAGGCCGATTTAGAGAAACCTCTGAAAGCGATGGAAGATCATTTGCTTAAGAAGAACGTTGCCCGCGAAGCAGCCGTCCGACTGTGTGAAGGCGTACAGCGTGAACTCGTCGGAAAGAAGACCGGCAACTTCCAGAGCGTGGATGCAGCGCTGCGCTCGGCCATGGAGTCTTCACTGCGCAAGATTTTAACTCCTACGTCCTCTTTAGACCTCCTACGTGAGATTGAGACTGTTAGGTCTCCTTCAAGCAAGGGGCAGGCTCCTCGCCCATATGTCATCTCAATTGTTGGCGTCAATGGTGTCGGCAAGTCAACCAACCTGAGCAAGATCTGTTATTTTCTGCTTCAGAACAACTATCGTGTTCTCATTGCCGCGTGTGATACTTTCCGCTCGGGAGCCGTCGAGCAGCTTCGTGTTCATGCACGAAACTTGAAGGAGCTTAGTGCTCGAGAAACTGCCGGAGAAGTTGAACTCTACGAGAAGGGATATGGAAAGGACGCAGCCAACGTCGCCAAGGATGCGGTAGAATACGGTGCGGCGAACGACTTCGACGTCGTCTTGATTGACACTGCTGGACGTCGGCACAACGACCAGCGTCTTATGTCTTCCCTCGAGAAGTTCGCGAAGTTTGCCAAGCCGGACAAGATCTTCATGGTGGGTGAAGCTCTTGTCGGTACAGATAGTGTGATGCAGGCACGCAATTTCAATCAGGCATTCGGTACTGGAAGAAACCTCGATGGATTCATCATCAGCAAATGCGATACCGTTGGCGACATGGTGGGTACTCTGGTCAGCATGGTGCATGCAACTGGTATTCCCATTGTTTTCCTCGGAGTAGGCCAGCATTACGGTGATTTGAGAGGACTTAGCGTGCCATGGGCTGTCAATCTGTTGATGAAGTGAATACGCAGCGTGTTGTATGTAGTTTACGAGGAGGTCTCATCAATTGAGTAATGATAGAGCATCAGACATAGTATGAAATTGGCATTATCCCTGTTTTTTTCTTTTCTTTTCTTTTCTTATTGGGGAAGGGGGGGGGATCATTTCCACAACGCAAGTAATTAAAAAGAAGTAAGTGCAAGGGAGAAGGGACAAACATCGAGATGCAATTGTGAAACTATCCACTGGAGTGGTGTGGTAAAAAAACAAAAAAGAAATGACCTACGCAGGGATCGAACCTGCAATCTCTTGATTCGTAGTCAAGCGCCTTGCCATTGGGCCAGCAGGCCTTATTGATTATACTAAGTTAATTCTGTTATATATTCAAAACATAACCCCGATCTATTCGGGCGCTGCGGACTGCTTCAAAATACCATGTATGAAGAATCCTGGATAGTTCAGGCCACGAAAGATGCGCCGTATGCTTCGTTCCCACTGCTAGTCTAATACTAACCGCCCAACTGCATTACAATTGCTCATCTCGAAGACGCAGAAACATGACATCATTTGCCCTCAGGATGGGCGTTACAAGCGTACATTTCCTGCATTGTGCTATGCTATTTTCTGTTGGTTCCTGAGAATCCCAGATCTTGGCTCAAAAATGACTTGAGCAAACCTTCAGCCCCCAGAAATCCAACAAAAAGCACTTGCACCAGTGTCATCACTCATCAGTGTCCATTGCCTGGCTAATTGTGGTACTCACATGGCCAACGGCATGACTCAGCTTCTATCCCCGATCGCTTACATCATCAGTTTCTTTCCTACTCTGTGGAAAAAGGCATCTCTTTCGCTGTTGGCCGTTCGCTTCTCGGTATCTATCCTCTGCGGATCGTGATTCTGTCATCGCTACACTCTTTGGGACATGCCTGACTAGCTCAGGTCGAACTAAGCATTCCTAAAGCGACCTCCGCTGTGAGAGCGTTCTAAGCCAGCAACTTTGACCTGTCATCTCACTTGGTCATATCCGGGGTCGTGACCCACGCTTTGCCTTCCCACTGAGTTAACAACACCCGGCAAGACATTGAAACTCACCACAGTTACTTCTGGTACAACAACCGAGCTTTCCTGTCGTATACTCACCCATTCGAAACATCTGCGGTCTCCCGTTGACGAAATACAACAATCCTGCTTCGTGAAGATGAGAGAGCCTGAGCGGTCCTCGCTCAACAGGCGCCATTCTACAACGCAGCACTATCAGACCTTCGATACTCCGCCTCCAAGATCGCGTGGCAGGCCGAATTCTGGTCAATCAGAGTCCTCCGGCGGCGAATCGCATCACCATCATGAACCGCATCATGAGAATGGGTCGGAATCGCCCCTCCCAAAAAAGCAGATGCTAGTGTTGGCAATGATCGCCCTATGCGAGCAGACAGCGCTCAACTCGATCAGCCCGTACTTGCCTGATATGGCCGCGTCGTTTCCCGAAGTTGAACCGCAGTCGGTGGGCGTCTATGTTGGCACAATTGCTTCGGCTTTCGCGGTGGCGCAGTTTATAACGAATTACTTCTGGGGCTGGCTTTCGGATCGGATAGGCCGCAAGCCGGTAATTTTGCTGGGAACCCTCTTGACCGCTGCTTGCTTTGCAGCTTTTGGGTTTTGTAAGACATTGTGGCAGGCAATCGCGGTACAGGCTTTGATGGGCGTTGTCAACGGCAATCAGGGATTGGTGTCAACATGTTTGGGAGAAATCACCGACAGGAGCAATCAGTCGAAAGCTTTCACCTATCTCCCAGTTCTGTACGGCATTGGTGGTATAACAGGGCCCCTCCTTGGTGGACTACTGGTTTTCCGCCAGAACCCTTTCGACAAAAGCAAACCAAACCCGTATCCTTACCTGGGTCCCAATCTGGTATCTGCGGCCATTCTCCTCCTGGACTTTATTTTGACGTGTATTTTCCTGGAGGAGAGTCTTGAAGATGCGGATGTTCTCCCTACCTTTAAGCGGAGAATACGGGCTTTGTTTTCTTGGATCTGGGAATGGACCAGCCAGTCAAAGCGAGCGGCACACATGTGGCCTCCCCATGCATATCGGCCTCTACAACATCATACGGCCGAAGACCATGATCACGACAGTGAATTGGAGTCGGCTTCGGAAACGTCCAGCCGGCATGAAGTCCGCCATGAATCGCTGACTAAAAGTGAAATCTTGAATCGAGATACCGTTTTGCTTCTCTTGACGTATCTGATTTTTGCGCTGGGCAACGTATCCTTCAATTCGCTTTTCCCCATTTTCTCGCAAGCTTCTCCCCCTGCTGGACGTGCTCTTACCCCCGGCGAAATTGGACTCTCTCAGGGGTTTGCCGGAACGGTCACTATTGTCTTTCAGATCTGTATCTTTGGCCAATTGCGGGACCGAATGGGAAACCGCTGGTCTTACCGAGCCGGCCTATTCGGGTTCGTACTATCATTCATCCTCATGCCCTTTATTGGATATAAAGGCGAGGATTCTGGGAGCCGTATAAGCAAGAAGACTGCCCTTATGGCTGCCGAGCTATGCTTCGTACTTCTGATCAAGACTGTGGCAGCTGTAGGCGGCTTGACGAGTGCTCTTTTACTGGTATGCAAATTTATCTGTCAAATATTGGTCCAGTGAGCTAATTTCTAACTCCAGATCACAAACTCTGCTCCGGACCATGCAGTGCTTGGGGCCCTCAATGGCCTGGCGCAAACTCTTTCCGCAGCTGGTCGTGCAGCCGGTCCCTTTCTGTCGGGCGGCCTGTTCTCCTTGGCATCTCGAGTTCAACCGAAGGGCGAGTTGCTGGTCTTCGGGGTCTTTTCTGCTGTTTCCTTCGTTGGGTTCATTCTAAGTTTCGGCATCAAAGGCCGCTCGCTCGAGGCAGACGACTGGGAAAGTGAAAGTGAAGATACATATAAATCCGATGACGAGGACCTATGAGGACCGTGGTTGATGGGCGTTGTCTCGGGTTGGGGAGTACTACCTCCCCTCATTACGATTTGACGATCTTGTATAGTTTGCACTTAGCCTTGACGCTCGGGTTTTATTGTTTCAGTGTTTACATACTTTTTTTTGTTCTTTCTCGGTGTCAGGAGGGATAGATTTTAGCAAGCCCAGCGTTGCAGCGAGTACTGCAGTTGGATCCGTGGAGGCCAACTTTATCCAGACGGGTCGATTATACTGATAAGGAGGTGATGAACAAGATACATGAATTTTCCTCAGAGAAGAGGGGGGGGGGGGAGAGAAAGCGTGTATAGGAAAGTCATCGCCAGAGTGCTACATTCCGATTTTGTATATGCAAGTATAAGATATAGCTGAACGCAAACCAGCATGCGCAAAGAGTAACTATAACTAGCATGTAACAACAGGGAAAGACAGAAATTCAAAAAGAAAGTACAGTCAAGCCATATTCTACCTCCAGTCCCACTCGAACACATACATGAATGCTTCCTCTAGATATCCACTCAGAAGTAATCCCTGCGCATACTCGATGAGTTCATTGTCCGGGAGCGCCAGGGAGCGGAAATGCTCCTTTTCACCATTGGCGCCGCGCACCTTGACTCGCTGATCGACGGTTGACTTGAGCATACCCTTGCCGGGGGTCACGAGGAGGTATTTTCCCTGAGACCCGAACGCTTCGGAGGGGGCGTAGCAGATGGTCTCCTGTCGCTGCGGGGTGAGCCATTGGACAAGATCCCGATGCTCGCTTTCCGGGGTCGAGGAGCCGCTGGTGCTAGCGGAGGAGCGGGTGGATGATGAGCTGCAGTCGAGCGTGGCGAATTGGATGTCCGAGTCGAGCGAGAAGATGATGAGGGTGTTGGTGGTGGAGCTGAGCTTCATGCGGAACGTGGTGAAGTTCCGGGGATCGAAGGAGAAGGTGTAGCTGGCGGTGATGCCGGTGGATCTCGTTCTGTTGAGCTGGTAGAGCTTTGAGAGGGCTTGGTCTTGGACGGAGGCCGGGCAGCGCGGCTTGACTGCGAGGGATTTGGACTCACGGAGGGAGACGGAGGGGATGCAGTGTGGGCGGTGGGTTTGGAGGCTGGATTTGTGGCAGAGTTCGCTGCAGAAGTGGGATATCTTGCATGCTGCGGCTGGTTCAGCTCGGTCTGGATATTGTAGATATGGGATGGGGATCCTTACTGTTGCATAGGATTTTGGTGGAGCATCTGCAGTGCTCGCACTTTCCAGATTCATGCAACCCCCAGTCTTTCCTCTCTGTAGCCAGAACCTCTCGTCGCTGGTTGAGTTCGCCAATTCTCTTCTGTGCATAGCCGATCCTTTTGCGCGAATGATGGTCGTCTGGCGTTGAATATGCCATCTGCACGAGTTGTTGATACGCAAGAATTGCCTTGTCCACGAAGTCGAGGTGTTCGCGCGACACGCAGAGCGCACTCAGAGCGTCAAACGTCTCGGGGGCTTCTGGGCCTTTGACGACTAGGAGATCTTCGAATAGAGTCTCGAATAGTGCAGCGGCATCGCGGTTAAGTCCTGCATCCATGAACGACCTCCCCAGTCGATGGACGACACGAAGGGCCTCTGGGTCCCGAGAATTCTGGTATTGATCAAGTACATCTGTAATCTCAGGCGGGAAGTCAAAATTCTCAGAGCTTTGGATATACCGCAGAACTGCGTCTCTCGTTACAGGATTCGTGAGGCCGAAGGTGGTCCTGCAGTGTGGAATAATCCTGCCGCATATCAGACGAGACTGCTCGTCCAAGCCGAGTTTCTGATACAACAGGGATAGTTTGTTCATTGCATTCAGTGTGGTCTCGTTCTGTAGCCCGAACACCGTATCAAGAGCAGGGACAGCCCTCTCCAACAGGAGAAGTGCGGATTCCATATCGCCCAGTGAGACTTTGAGAGACGCAAGATCTTGCATGCTACTCAATGTCTCGGGGGCATGCTGACCAAGCGTCTTCAACCTCCCTGCGAACGATCGCTCGTACAATGCAGCTGCTTCGGTGGCGTATCCGTCTTTTTCGAAGAGCGCACCCAGATCGTGTAGAACCGTAAAATTAGTGGGATGGTCACGTCCCAGAGAGCGTTTGTAGAGACCGAGAGCCTCTAAATAACATGACCCTGACTCTGTAGGCATATCTAGGTCATGGTATGACTGGCCCATTGAGTGCAGGATGGATGCCCTAGATAATCTATCACTATCAAGTGCCGGGGCGCTCTCCAGGATCCGCAGTGCTTCATGATACTCCACAACTGCCGCGTTCGAATTCCCCTGCTTGGAGGCTGTCTCTGCGCCAAAGCGTGCCATTAGGGCTTTGGAGTAGGTCGTAGCAGCGGAAAGCTCATTCTTCAGCTGTAGGAAAACTCGTGCGACTTCGTCCATCTGAAGAAGTCGTTGACGTCCAGAAGCATCGTGAACCACCGCTCCCCCGGAAAGATGCTGAACATGGACAAACATATTCTGGCTTCCTCGTAGCAAGGACATATACTCGGCTTCGGACACAGTCCCGTGGCTTGCCTCCCTCTTCTGTTGCACTGGTTTGATGATCTCTTTGCAGTTCAAGCTCCCTTCGCTATCTTGGCTGCTTCCACTCTCGTTCTTCGAACCCTTTTGGGTGAAAGAGAACCTCACGGTATTTACCCGCTTGATTAATCTTCTTCCGCGATTAGACGAAGACGTTGTGCGAGACAGACCTGGTCTATGTCAGCCCCGGAACTTCCAGAAGTTTCCCGCGCAGCAAACCTTTCGAACTAGCGCGGCCAAATATCCTCTGAAGGAAGGACTGTCTTCGCGAAACTGGAGCCTCCGTGGCTTGAACGCCTTGAACAAGTTTCCCTCGAGAACCCGTAGAATCGCTACCGCTATTTCCTCCATTCAGCGCGCTCCCTGAATTCTTTGGTCCGACAATATGGATGTTTTCTGGTGCTGGTTCAAGTCGTCAATTTCTCGATCTGAATGAACACTCCGAGGAAGACTCTGAATATATTGTTGAACATACTGCTCGAGTTATAACCAAGATTTGGCTCTCCGGTTGGTTCTTCCGTAAGATCTGCATACTGCTGGAATATGCCGTTCGGCGCATGTACTGCGAAAGATATTAATACCCGCCGTATGTGAGAAGCGGTTCAGCTGACCTTTTTCTAGATCATATAAGCCAGCAAAGCTAATGGCGATGAGCTCGTTTTCGTCACAATGCGAGAGCTCTGTCCGTAGTGGTCAACACGGTCCTCTAGCATGAGGAGTTAAAAGCTTACTTCTAAGTGACCATGAATCCCTCAACTTTCTGGCTTTCTGGGCGAGCGAGTGTTCTTCGCTGACATAGCTCGCTTTCTGAAATTTGGAAGCATTAAAGCTCATCTGCGCAATACTGGGACTTCTGCTATGGGTGACATTTGACCTGTCCTTTTGAAAATCCTGCAGACAAATGTTGTCTCTGGGATCATTTAAAACGGGTTCGTATCTAAATCAGTGGGTAAGATTCCGCTCGCAGGACGATATTAAGGCAATGGCAGATTCAGACTGACGATATGTTGCACTCATCTCCACAGTTTTTGCAGATAACTAACGGCGGTGTATCTGCGTGGTGCGATCAGGATTTGATCGGATGGGAGCAAACAGAGCTATCTCACCTCGCGATCTCTCTACGACTTCGTCCCTATCTCCAGCAGCGAATGAGGATTCACAATGCTCGCAGAAGAACCGGAGTGGGCGAGAGTCAAGAGGTATGAACCGTTTTTCCAAGCGATAACCTTTCGTGATGAGACTTGAAAGAGCATGCATTTAGCTTAACTCAGCATAAGATCCAAAGATCACCATACCGATCCCGCGTCATCATGTAGACTGCCACAGCCGTACCTGGGCAATACCGTGTCAAATAGTGTTGTTTCAGTTCGTCGCTGGTAGTCTCTGTCAACAGGCATTTCGCGCAAGGATATGGGAATGCGGTCGTACGCGGAGAAGACAGCATCACAGTCAGGGCATTTGGCCTCTCCCGCATTGAGTGCGGTCCCGTCGTCATTTCTGAGGGATGGGAAAAGGCGCAGCGTTTCCTGGAAACTTTCGATACCGGCAAATTTCTCAGTTGCTGGAGTCGCCAATATTGCTTGTTAGCCTTGCCGATGGACAATCGTACACCCGCCACATCTCCTGAGACCAAACATACCATCATGCGTCCTGCCAGCCAACGATAGTAGCACATCAGACGCTCGAAGGATCCGGGCACGCGCGCCGAGTCCGCTAGAAGAGTTAGGAGAAGTCGTACTCAAGATGATCTGTTTGTAGTCCCCCTTCGCCTCGCTCTGTAATGGATTGTAACTGTCGAGAACATTCCTGAGTCGAACCATGACATGCAGTTAGTGGAACGGTGATCTGTGCAGTTGTGTAGCTGCTCTTACCGTCCGACAATTGTACCTGTATCAAGACCGTTCTCCATCGTCATTCCGGGATCAGGGGAGCAAGGGGAGGAGAAATAAAACAAATGGAAGCAACTCAAGCGTCAAGAAGACAAGCCCACATGCGATTTGAACGAATGTCAAAGAAGAGAAGTTGGCACCAACGAGGCGGGTGAGGCATCATTTTTCAATGATCTGTCGACATGGCCCAGGTGCATATGTGTCCTGCGGGTCGAGCTTCATGGGATTATGCTCCTCCTGGGGATGCAAGAGGTCAACAACCACATACTTTTCTTGTTTCAAAAGGGGTGAGAGAGTTCGCAGCTTCAATGCTTGGTATCCCTCGCATGATCCTAGCGGGATGCTGCCTTGGAGAAGTGGCGGTTTGACCTCTTAGAGGCCGTTTGAGAGAAGCGAACGACATGTGTTTAGGTTGGTTTCAAGAGAGAAAGACCCAATCAGTGGGAAGTCAAGCGAAACGATGGCATTGCAGAGTTTGTTGTCTCGAACGATCTCGTGAGAGTGGTGGTGGTGGTGTTGATGGGGGTGGGATTATTGGGGACACTTACCGACACTCCCAGCATCCTTTGCACTTCTTTTCTTCTCTCTTCTCTGCAATCCATCTGCAATCAGGGGATGCAGGTATTAAGGACCAATCAACACAGACATTCCATCGATCCAGAGTCCGTTGCTGCTCATCCCTTTAGCAATAAGCCGATTACCCCCTTACATCGACCGTTCGACAGCTTCAACAGCATCTGGATTCCAGGACGATACGTCTCCTTCAGCCACGCGTTTGCGCTCACCGTACGAACACGCCTGATGAGCATCCTTTGTTTAACTTTGATCTACTACTTCCGGTGCTGCCCTCGCATTCGATTGATCTATTCGTCTTCCACCTGTCAGATTTCCTGGTTGAGTTTTAGACTCAACGCACACACCGAGCCGATGGAAGTATGTACGACCCACTTGACTAGCACCATCAACCGATCCACGACAGGACATTCCCCATACAGACCATGGAAAAATGGTCGATATCAGATAGTCAGGCCGATAGTTCCTCAAGCCTAAAGCATGGGAGCAGGAAACATCCTTGACTGAACTCGCAATACAACATCGCATGCTCTGTGCTTCTATCTTTCATAGCACAAATACCTACCATATGAGCTACAGGCCATTCCTGCCTGCGAGGCAAAACCTAGAATTCAAGCCAGAGCTGGCATTACTATGAATTACAACCTCTTTGGTCTGATATCACACGGGGACAGTTCCTCGGTTGTACATCTAGAGGATCACGATTCATGCATCTGAACCGATGCTGGGTTCCATCCATTGCAACCACCGCAACCATCCTGCTCCAGGGACAAAGCAGGCGAGCAGTCCTGAAAGCCTGGAACCCCGAGCATTAATAATGCGGAGTATGTTTCCTGTCAAGTTGTTCATAATGACCGGGAATTTTAGTACGCAACTGTCCAGTTGACGCTTTGAATCTCCGGGTGACGTCCCCCCAACGTCACCTTTTACGTGCGTCGTGGTGCTCCAAATCATCGGCCATTTATTATACAACGATGGACCCGAAAGGACGGGCATTAATTTGAGGTTTGCAGGCTCAATTGAATAGGATCTAAGTGATAATTTGAGAACCCCGGTTATATCGAGATTACTCCGACTTCAGACCAACATGGCTTCCGCAATTGCCGGCGGTCTGCACAAGGTTCAGGATGTGGTGCAAAACACTTCCTCCAAGAACAAGAAGCTGGTAGATCTGGAAAGAGATACTGCCGATGCTCATACTAAGCAGCCATTGACTACCGATCATGGTGTCAAAGTCAGCAACACCGACCAATGGCTGAGAGTCACAAATGACCGTCGGACAGGTCCATCTCTACTGGAAGATCAGATTGCCAGAGAGAAGGTGAGACGAACCGCAAATGAGAGATGGATTGGAAACAAAAATCGATCCTCTTAACACTTACCCAGATTCATCGATTTGACCATGAACGCATTCCTGAGCGAGTGGTACATGCACGAGGCACTGGCGCATTCGGAAACTTCAAGCTCAAGGAGAGCGCCGATGATGTTTCTTGTGCTGGGATCCTGACAGACATGTCAAGGAACACCCCGGTCTTTGTCCGCTTCTCCACAGTTCAGGGAAGCAGAGGTAGTGCTGATACCGTCCGTGATGTTCGTGGATTCGCCGTCAAGTTCTACACGGACGAAGGAAATTGGGATATTGTCGGCAATAACATTCCTGTCTTTTTCATTCAGGATGCAGTAAAGTTCTCTGATTTTGGTATATATTCTCAATTTCTGTGATCTTGAATATGACTACCTGAGCTAACTCTGCAACCAGTTCATGCTGTCAAGCCAGAGCCGCACAACGAGGTGCCTCAGGCCCAGACAGCGCACAACAACTTCTGGGACTTTGTGTACTTGCACCCCGAAGTCACCCACATGTTTATGTGGACCATGTCTGACCGTGCCATTCCACGATCCTATCGGATGATGCAGGGATTCGGCGTAAACACCTATTCCCTCATCAACAATGAAGGCAAACGTCACTTTGTTAAGTTTCACTTTATTCCTCACCTGGGTGTGCACTCTCTTGTCTGGGATGAGAGCTTGAAATTGGCAGGGCAGGACCCTGACTTCCACCGTAAGGATCTGATGGAGGCCATTGACAACAAAGCATACCCCAAATGGGACTTCGCAATCCAGGTGATTCCCGAAGAGAAGCAGGATGATTTCGACTTTGATATCTTGGATGCCACGAAGATCTGGCCGGAAGATCTCGTGCCTCTTCGCGTGGTTGGAGAGCTCGAGCTGAACCGTAACGTCGATGAATTCTTCCCCCAGACCGAGCAAGTGGCATTCTGCACCAGCCACATAGTCCCAGGCATCGACTTCTCCGATGATCCATTGCTCCAGGGCCGCAATTTCTCTTATTTTGATACTCAGATCAGCCGTCTGGGTATCAACTGGGAGGAGCTTCCGATCAACCGTCCCGTATGCCCTGTACTGAACCACAATCGAGACGGTCAGATGCGCCACCGCATCACCAAGGGAACAGTCAACTACTGGCCCAACCGCTTCGAGGCCGTGCCTCCGGCTGGTACCGAGGGCGGCGGTTTCACAACCTACCCGCAGCGCGCGGAGGGTGTCAAGAACCGGGCGCTGAGCGACAAGTTCCGCGAGCACCACAACCAAGCTCAACTCTTCTACAACTCGATGTCGGAACATGAAAAGCTCCACATAAAAAAGGCCTTCAGCTTCGAGCTTGATCACTGCGACGACCCAACCGTCTACGAACGTCTCGCCGGCACCCGCCTCGCCGAGATCGATCTCGCGCTCGCGCAAGAAGTCGCCGAGATGGTCGGCGCGCCCATTCCCGCCAAAGCTCTGAAGCTGAACCACGGCCGGCGCGCCCCGCGCCTCTCGCAGGTTGAATTCGCGCCCAAGACGCCCACCATCGCCAGCCGGCGCATCGCCATCATCATCGGCGACGGCTATGACCCAGTCGCCTTCACGGGCATGAAGACCACTATCAAGGCCGCCAGCGCCCTCCCCTTCATCATCGGCACCAAGCGCTCCGCTATCTTCGCCGAGGGCGAGGACAAGACCTCGTCCAAGGGCGTCATCCCGGACCACCACTACGATGGCCAGCGCTCGACCATGTTCGACGCCACATTCATCCCCGGCGGCTCGCACGTTGCAACGCTGCGCAAGAACGGCCAGATCAAGTACTGGATCACCGAGACATTTGGCCACCTCAAGGCGCTCGGCGCCACGGGCGAGGCGGTTGATCTCGTTAAGGAGACGCTGGGCGGCGCGCTCGATGTCGAGGTGGCGTCGTCAAAGAGCTCGGAGCCCGTGGAGTGGTATGGTGTCGTGACGGCGGGTGGTGTGCAGAAGCCTGAGAGCTTCAAGGAGACGGTGCAGATCCTCAAGGGTGCGACTGACTTTGTCGGGAAGTTCTTCTACCAGATATCGCAGCATCGAAACTACCAGCGGGAACTGGATGGGTTGGCTTCGACTGTTGCCTTCTAAATGATAGTTCGATTATTAATTGATAGTTGCTAGTCTTGTAATGATCCAAAATCAAGGTTATGAATCACATGCGTTTGTCCATTTCTGCATTGTCTTGTAAATATGACACGACTTAAGCACCCTTAGATGGAACTGAGTGAATGATAGCTTTGATTCAACAGTATGTAATCGATATAACCTCTATCTAGACAAGGTCTTTTTGTACAGTATGTCTTTGTAATGAACGGACAAGTCGGGTATCGAAACTCAATAGCACAAAGACGTCCAACAACAAGAAAACAAACTCCAGTCACTAAGAAAGCATCAAAGAGGCAGAGATATGCTGCGCCCAAAATCGCTTCGCCGTATGGAGTAGTACATGATGATATAATAAAACATAGGTTCATTCATCCATATTCATAAAGATCCGACGGAAACTTGCTCACGCCCACCTCCATCCCGAATTCAGCGATTCCTTGCTTTTGATCACCGACTCGAGAACGGTAGGATTCTTCGACCGAAACGAGAAGCGGCTGTTGCGCCGTTTTTCGCACTTGGTATGCTCACGCATGAGCAGCGCGATTGCAGCATTGGCGTCGATGCCTTCGCCGCTGTCAGTGATCTTCAGCGCCCACTTGGCATCTTCTTCGCGGAAGCCGAGCTCGTGGGTCATCATGTGGATGGCTTGGTCGACGGGGTCGAGCACCTGGGGCTGGTGGACGGCGGGGGCGGGCCAGGTGGCGGTTGGTGGAGGCGGGGGAGGAAGAGGTGGGAAATATTGGACGGGTGGGGGGCAGTAACGGGGGATTTGCGCTGTGGAGGAGAATGCCTGGGCCTGGTTGGGGAGAGGTGGGGGCTGCTGCTGCTGCTGCTCGCAAGGGAGGCCCTCGAGGCGTCGCATGATCAATGCGTAGCTGGAGATGGGGCGCTCATCGGCGAAGGTGATGGGGTTGCCGGGGGCATTTTGCTGTTGGGCCCGACGGCTGCGAAGCTGGGCTGCGAAGACGGCTTGTCTGCGACGGTTGCTTTGTTTGCTGTCGGTTGAGTTGGTGTTGGTTTGAGAGCTATTCTCCTGGCTGGAGGAGGATCCGGAGGATCGGGAACTAGCGTTGGAGAGACGAGATGATCGTGAGGATGGCAGAGATAGGTTTCCTTCGCGAGCCTTGTAGGTTCTAGACACGGCCTCTTTGATGAATGTGGAGCGACTGATATCGGAGTCGGAAGGCTCCCATTTTGTCAGACCGACTGAGCGAGCTGTTCGGAATGTAACTTCCGCGTTATCGACTGGGCAGATGGAGCCAATGCTCAGAACTGCGGATGGACCGAGAGTAAGGACATAATATGTCCACTCCTCTAGTATGCTGTTAGTGGAAGAGCTCAAAGAACAATACAGGGTTGGAGATATAAACTTATAAACTCACCGATTGTGGCTTCTTCCTTGACGGTGTCATTCTCCGCAATTCCAAGGCCGTCAAAAATGCCGACTTTGCGAGCCTCCTCGCGTTGACCATGAATAGGTTGAAGCAACACGCCTAGACAGGTCCAAATTTCCGTTATATCGTAGAGCTGACTTTGAGAGAGCCCCCCTGCATTTCCGCGCCCAAATCCAGCTGGTGGCTCGAAGAGGACATTGTTCATGCCAAAGGGTTCAGTGACCGACGTCGATACGATGCTGTTACAGTCCTTGGCTATGATACCGCCATTCAACCAGTCCATCTGCCCCATGATGTCGTTCTCTCGGTTCTTGCCACAGCCGAAGATTCGACAGAAGGTCCAAATTCGCCAGAAAGCGTCGTCGATTTCTGTGGCCCGGGTTTCATCTTTACCCGTAAGGCCGTTGATTGTTTCCTGACGAACGAAGGTGTTGCATCGAGCCAGGATGAGTGATTTTAATTGAGCAAGGGTATAGATGTCTTGAGCATAACGTTGTAGATAGAGAGCTGGGGTATATTCTGGGACTGGAGCGTCAGGATCAACTAGAATCTGCCATTCGCTGTCCCATGGAGGGCTCATCTCCCGCAACTCCCAAGCTGGCGGAGACATTCGAAAGAGTGTATTCCTCATGAGATGCAATTCATGTCTTTTGAAGACGCGATAATATTGCTTGCAGACAGTTGCAAGGTTGAACAGATCATCAAGTGATGAGACGGCTTCCATAATCGACATGACAATGTCGTCTGGCAAATGGCCGGTCATGGCATCACGAGGTAGATGAACGGCGACAGTAACTTTGACTTGTGGAGAAGGCAATCCGGCATCAAGCTCAAAAACCATCTCCTGAGGCAATGTCATCCTCTGGGGCACTGCGCCTTCCAATTCGCAAAGCGAATCCAGCGTGCACGATCGTCCTGGCCTGCTCGACGAAATAAAGATTTTCTCCTCCACATTGTCCGGCCGGCTTCCAGGTGTGTGAACCGGGTTGTCGGTATTTGATTTATCTCCAGCAGAACTGGAACTGGAGATGAGGTCCTCATGGCTGCGCACTTGCTTCGTTTGTAGACGTGGTAACTTTAACCGCAATTCCCTTTCACTGCAGAAGGATGACGGGCGTTGCCTTTGGGAGGGGACCACCAGGCCTGGAAGTTCAGCGACTTCAGACCCGTTCGCTGCGTCATCTTCGATTGTTTCTGAGAAATGGGGGACGCGAAAGGGCTGCGATTCCACGTCGGACTTCAAGGTCGAGCTGCTAAAGGAGCGCAGATGGGGGCTGCTATACTTGCGACTGAAGCTGGGCATAAGCGAAAACGCCCCTTTATTCTTGGGAGACCTCTTCATTGTTCTCCGTAGATCCCGCGGTGATCTTTTGAAAGATTTTTGTTGTGAGATACTGATGGAGCTGGCAGGAGCGATATTGGTCGGAGGCTTTGGAGCTGGTCGAGTCGCGATCATGTCCATATTACCCCGGCTTATCTGTAACGGACTATTGAGAAGGGGTGCAGACTGAGAGGAATGAGACCCATGCTGTCGCTGTCTGGTTATTCCTGCCAAAACATTCTCCAATTCCTCGGCCGCCTGGGAGAGGGTCGGGGGAGGACGAGCATTTTGTACTTTGTCATTGACCAGGGTGCTCGCACCAAAGCCACCACCACAGCGATTGCGCGAGGGGGGCCTGCAACCCTGTAGAGACTGGGCTGGTCTGTGACGAACTGACAGGGGTGCTAGTTCGATGGGGGGTTCTCGCGGGAGGGGCTTGTTTCTGACCTCAGCCAGTGAGGGCTTTTTTACGACTAGCCTGGACGCCGAGCAATGCACGAGCGCTGCATCATCATCAAAGACTCCTGCAGCCGTAGGAGAGTTCACCGAAAATGCATCGGCCGATTTATAGGGGCTCTCGATGGGATCGGAGCCAAAACTGGTCACGGAAGTCCTGCGACTGTAGCACGAGGATGCCGTTTCCACTGCATCCTCCGAGCACGCTGGTGAATGGATTTGGGCCCCAGAGTCGTAAATATTCCGTCGCTCTGCAGGATCTCCGGTCGCGTGCATTTCAGCTATGAGGGAAAAAGGCGTCACCTTGGCAGCTGTCGTGCTGATCGGCGAAACCAGAGAGAAATGTGATGAAAGTTCCGGGAAAAAACGAGTCCAGTGGGTTCCTCTTGGAGGAGTTCTATCGGATAGTGGTGAAATCGGTAAGTCGTCCTCATCCATCCAATACTCATCGTTATCGGATGGCCGGCTTAAGAAGGTATGACAGCGAGTGATCGATGTAACAGATGGTTCTGGTATGGGCGCCGGTCCACCCAGCGATTTTGCCATACTCATTTTCAACGATGATCGCCGTTGAGCTGACCTGACTCGCCGTTCTGTGCGTCTATTCGAATACAGCCCAGATTGGCTGTGTAGTATACGGTTTACCTTTTGTTCATGTGAGATGTACAAAATGCTTCCACTAATCTGAAGGCCTGTATCTCGATTCTCTGGGGGATTCACATCACTGAGCGCATTTACCTTGTTTGGGAATTGGCATGGTTCTGCAAGAGCAATCCGTACTCTCGGGACGTTCTTTGTTCTCTTTGACAATAGCCACTTCTGGCCGTTCTTTGTCCTATCCCCAGGGCCAATGCGCTCCTGATGGAAAGATCGATTTTGCGGATGGTCTCGTGTGGCGATGAAATCCAATAATAAGTCCGGATTCTCTACCAGTTGAGGACGACGCGGACCCGAAGTATATGTCTCTTGATCGTGGCGTCCCTTCCTTTCTTTGATCACCGTGCAGTCAGGATTCTCAACTCGAAGAACGTGCTGTGAGATACAAAGAGACCCGAGTCAGTGATCTGATGCAATCGGTTAGCTTGGGCCTGTCGCACATGACAACCCCGAGTACTCAAAGGAGGAAAATCACGAACCAGTCCAGAGGCAGGTCTACTAGGACAAAGAGGCATCCAGCACCATCATCCGCCAAGAGAGGAAGGGTGCCTCGAGGCCAGGAATGCGCTGTATTATAATATACTGCGCTGTATCACTACGACTGATGAATCGCAGTCCGGCCCCAGATCTCACGGCCTTGTCGCCACGCGCATTCGGTGGGTTGGTTTCCAACTGGAACAAGCTGAGCAGTGTTAGACCCTGAGGGGGCCGAGGGAGACCGTGGACTTCTATTATGCTCCACGTCTTGTTCACACGCGGGTATGTTGTGCGTGTACGTAGTCTGCATGCCGTTTTTTGAGTCATTCTAGACAGAGGGGATGGACACCATAACGCCCTTGCAAGGGGTGATCCCTTCCATAGTCCAATGGCAGTTGATGAAGTCGTAAAGATGAAGCTGATGATACGAAGAATGAGCACCGGGGGCCAAATGGGTAGGATATTACGACCAAATTACTAGCGGTAAAAGTGAGATGTATGGGGAAGTTGGAGTACACTGCCCAGGCGAGTAAAAGGTGGTAATTTCGAATCTGTATTACTGTTACCACCTACGCTATTAATAAACAACAGCTGGGAGAGACCAGACTCCCAAGTACATCTTCACCCTAGACTCTGTTGTATACGAACGATCTCAATAAACCATCTATTTATCCGATTGAAAGGAATCACAACACGAAGCGGCATTCCAAATGTCATATTCGGTCTTTCTTTGGCATCCCTCCATGTGATTTATTCAGCAGTTGATTGTTCAGGAACTAAGTACACCACTAAAGCATGCTCCGCCATCGCACTGACGCTACTACTGCAGTCTGCACTCTGCACATTCACTGCATCACTGCTCGATGATGGTTGGCTATGTGGAATCTGGAGATGCAGGAGATGCAGGCCAGACTGCAAAGAATCCATCGCATTTTTTTCGACCAAGTGATCCAGGTGATTTTCCATGCCGCAGTCAATCCGCCTAACACAATACGATTGTCCAACAACCAACAAAAAGTTCGCTATCATACTGAGAAGGGCATTGCTACCTCTCTTTTATCTTATCTTCTCTCCGAATAATATCATTGGTGTTAACTCTCAAGACCACAAGGCATCTTTTGGATAATCTCCAATATTGGTTTAGCATCATCCCTCTGCTGACATGCAGCTGTCCTGGCATGACTCGGCATGCGCTGTGAACTGCCGCAGAATTCCAGAGTGCTTCCTTTACCTCACAATTGATCGTCTGCGCAGCTGCTACTTGCTATCAAGGTAGTATTTTTGGCTCATTGATTGACACCCAGCCTTGACTGAACATGACACAGTCAGGATGGGGTAACACAGCATTTGACCCCAAGTCTGCAAGTTCCAGTGAGACAAGGTACGATCAATCAAGGTTATAATCACCAATTCAATTCAATGTCTTGCACTGAAGACGTCACAGCCCTACGAATTGACCAAACAATTGCACTGAAACGGCCCACTGCCCCCAAAGATGCCGGAGGTGGTAAAACGCCAATGAGAACACTCCATCCAGTGTTGGTGATCGACCTTGATGGAATAAGCTTAGTATACGGCATCCTCGAACTAGATCGTCAACTACGGGAGCCGGCCGCGGCTCGCGGAACATGTTTGCTGAGAGCCTTGCGCGCAGGAAGGGAGTGCCTTTTTGGCCCCTCTTGGATGATTCAAGTAGGAGGAGCCGAAGTCGCTATTGGGTCGACTGTTAATACAGTAACTACAGGTATAGTTCTATTGATAAGACATGATGGGGCCAGTGGCGGTTGGTTTTGCGAAAATGCCCCAACCACAAACCACTCAAAATGACGACGAATCGATTGCTCCTCGTCAGTACCAACAGAATGATCGTTGCTACGCGCCACCTATTCCTCAGTCCGATTGCTCGATGCTCGGGATTTTGCTGGGTGCTTGCTGTATGCATGAAACCGCTTCGCGGAACGCCTGTCTGGTTTGCGTGGTGGGCGATTCTCAGCCTGTCATTGTCCATATGGTCTGCCTTCCATCCAGTGAATCTAGACCCATCAAGTCCAACAATTGACCAACATTGCTTGCGACAATTTCTACCCTTTGGATCTCACCCTCCCCTGTAACCAAGAACAAGTCTCTTGTCAAGAGACCCTCTCCCAAGCATGAAACGACACGTTGTCTTCTAGATCTCTTCTCTCATCCAGACATGAGACTCAGGTAAACCGCCCAAATGACACCAAACAAACTCCCCACAAGCAACCGCTTATCCGCTGGCACGACGGTGAAGTTCAAAACCGACACAAAAGGCCACAGCTTGAGGCCCGCCAGCATAATAGGCACAAAATCCTATCGATGAAGTCAGACCGTTTTTGTTCATGCAGAAGACATCAAGATCAGTAGTCCAATCGACCTACATCTCGAAGCTGGCCCTTGATCACCTCAAAATCCTGGCCCCGTAATAGCCCCATCGTCATGATAAAGGCCGCGGTGTTGATGGTGGCCCCGATAGTCTGGTCAATAATCACCTTTGCCACAGTGTTCTTGACATTCAGCTTTTGCTTCTTGGGGCCATTCTTCGCCTCAGTCTTCGAGACGTCCTTGTCCTCCGTGAAACCGGGCAGTCGCGCTTCTAGGTTCTCAAGCCAGACGAAAGTCAGTGGCGAGAGAATGAACGCACAGGTCGTAAACTGGAACAGAGCCTGCAGATCAAGCACAAATGGTGTCTATGGGGTGAACACAACGCATTGGCGCCACCATGGGGATTGTCCCCAGGGGTGATTGCGCCCGAGTAAGCGTCTTGCGTTAGTTATCGATTTTCTCCAAGCTCGATTATCGTGAGTTTGATCGTGTTGAGGCGCTGATGGAGACGAGTTCTACGTACCTGGTCTCTCCACGCTTTGATGCCCTGCGCCAGGACATTCGATCCAGCATTCACGAGGGCGGCCTGCAACGTCGCCGTTGCGATTGGAGGTAGAGCCATATCTGGATAGTTTTTAAGATCGGCAATCGTGTAGATCAAGAGATACGAGTTGTGTTCGTATGCCTGGGCTCTCGAGTCCGACTTGGTGTCTATTTTCACATTGCTTAGCATTTCGTGTGGTCATTCTGCATCGGATACGAAGTCATATACCTTTTCGAGGCTCGTCCAGCGAAGCTCGTGTTGATCGTATCGAACCGTTTTGATGGAGGAATTTCGCCAACTAAAAAAATATAATGTTGACGAAGCTCTTACAGCGAGATGAAAGGGACCAGGTGTCTTTTATTTAAGCATTGATGGGTTTAGCTGCTAAGGGCCGAGATAGGTTCTTGGCCTTGGAAGTAGTGGATATTCGGCGATGCGAAAGGGGAAAGTCGACACGTCAAGAAGAGAGAATTCTAGCTGGTCTTGAATCTTGCAAACAAACGCGATGTGATGATGATGATGATGATTATTATTGAATTGTTCTTGAGGGCCAGAACGTTAAATATATCCGATCGTGAGTTGCCAACACATCCAAAAGAAGAATCAAATTCATCCTGCCAATGACCCACACATCAATGTCAACTGGTTTTCAGTTGTCTAATGCCATACATACTTGGGACCATTAGGTCTCATTCGACACTCAAAGTACATACTGCAGCCATCTACTCCGTACCTGTGTCTTTTAAAGCATACTACCAAGCAAGATCTTTGAGCGCGTCGCTAGGACATTCAAGTTCCCTGCAAACTGTGACAGCATGAGCATTAACCATCAAATATATTTCGATGTATGCGTTGGACTTACGCTGCTCCCCTTGGAGAAACTTTGCCGTTGTGATTGAGCGCTTCATGGCAGGATGAATCTCCCTCCTTTCCATTCTCTCAAGTTCGCTATGTGATTTTAACCGCTGGAGAATCTCTTTCTTCGGTTCTACCGTATTGTTAGAATTGTCCCTCAAACCAGGCAGGGCTCAACCACGAACCTGAATCACATAGCTCAATGCAATTCCTTGTATCGAAAAATGCAATCAGTTTTTTTGCCCCATCGAGACTGTGTTGAGAATGTACCTTGAGCTTTTGATATGTGACTGATGCTGCGACTCCAACTCCTGAATTTACTTGCTCATCGCTTCATGAAGCTGGCGTGAGACCTCTTGGGATGTCGACTTGCTGTCTGTACTCCGAGAGCCGTACAGATCATACCGGACGAGAGTCTTCTGCTCACTTGCTGGATGGAAGCTCAGAGAATACCAGTGCCTCGTACCCTTGAATATATGGAACGAAGCATTTGGGAACAGCAGTAAATCAGAGTCGTCTGCACAGACTCCAAAGAGATACTCTTTCATCCTCGCAAATATGGATGTTTGCGCAGTCGGCACCAGTTTGGATTCGAAGCATGCAGGTCCAAATGGCTGCCGCAAATGAACTATTTATCGGACAATTAATGATACACTCTAAAGACAAACACAAGGATGAAAGAACTCACCAGCCATTTTCCAATTAAAGCTCCCTTCCAACGTCTTCCCTTCAACCCAGCGCGACTGAGCCACAAACCCTTGACGCCCTGCGAATTCATCCAGAGCATTGCTCCCTTGCATCTCGTCAGACCCATCAATCGCAAGGCTCACAAAGATAAACCCAGCAGCACTCTGAAACACGCGGATGGCAAATAAACCGTTCTGCTTCCTATAAAACCCGGGCACATCATCAAAGTGAGGAGCCTTGACAAGCTGGCCTTTCGTGTCATAACTCCAGCCGTGATACCGACACCCGAGCACGGTCGAGCTCCCGCATTCTTTCCTGGTGATTGTGTAGGCTCGATGGCGGCAGACGTTGTGAAACGCCCTCACCTCACCGTCTTGCCCGAGGATAAGGAAGATGGGGAAACCGGCTACCTCGAAGGAGTGATAGTCGCCGGCTTTGGTGAATCGGCTGCGGTGGGAGAGGTAGAGCCAGGACTGAGGTGGGTCAAATTACACCTAGATAATTCAAGTTACGAGAGATTTATACTCTACCTTGCTGAAGATCGCCCGTTGCTCAAGCTTGAAGATATCCTTACCCGTCAACAAGTGCTCAGGAAAATCCGACTCCTTGGAGACAGCCAGTGTGTTCTCTGTTGATGAACTCTTCGGATATCCCTCTAAGCACTTCTCCATGTTCATTGCACGCGGCCAGGCTCGGTAGAGGAGAAAGATGACTGTGCATAATGCGGCCAGGATCGGGGTGGGAGAGAAGAGAGACTCCATGGGACCGATCTTCCATATGAGCGCCTCTGGCATGTTTTCCACTGCGCGAGGGAGATTTCAAAAGGTCGCCCCTCACGGAAGTCTTTGGAGCTTTAAAGAACTGTGCTACAATAAAAGAAGGACTGAGCCCGTCTCATGCAACCCAACTGGCAGAAAGCCAAGTCCTATGAATCATTATTATGAAGTGATCTTGCCAGATTGGGTGAAGTTTCCCGGCCTGATGAGATCTGGGTCTGGGAATCTGGACGCAATGATATATTTCATCGTGGTTTTCGTTTATTCGCCTACATTCACTAGGCTGGCAATGGATTGAGGATACTGCAGGTCGGCTATTCTAAAGGTCCAGTTCAGGGGCCCAAAGCTATGATACCTAAATGGTACCACGATAAATATGATTCCAACTATGCAGCAGTTTCCACTCGCTCGGGTTCCACCTCCTCGTTCTCCTTCCTGGGTGCAGTAGAGTCTTGTCTTGCGCTTTCTACGGCGTGTTGTTGGCATACAAGCTCAAACACCCGACTTTGATAGACTATGTTGCATTAGAAAAGCCCTCACCATATTCAAACGTAACGTCAGGGTCATTTGTCAACTCACACGACACCCCATTCTCCTTCATCGGATTCAGAATCCCTTCGCTATACACACCATTTTCGAGGTTGCCCTGCGCTTTCTCGCAGAGCTCATAGTCCTCCATTGCGACCTGCCGAACGAACCGGTAATAATCCTCGAACCGCTCGCCTGATTCCATATGGTAATAATCAAATTCCATTCTCGTCACATTTGGATCTTGCGTCGGACAGACTCGAAACGAGGACATGCCGCCACCGTAGACATTCAGTGTGCAATTCGGGAAGAAATATAGGAATAACCCATCATCTGGCTTTTGGGGATCGGCAATGTGCTGGGAAAAGTTCTGGTGGTTGTTGACGGTGTAGAAGGTCGGTGGGTAGTAGATGGAGAACGAGGGGTGTGTGTATTGGCAATGGAGACATTCTTGGTAGCCATCGACCCTGCAAAGTCTTGGTCAGAAGCATTTTGAGTCCTCATGAATGATGAGCTCACATCGTCTTCCAGTTGAAACGACCTTCGTATTTGATGCTGCGTCGGTATGGAAGTTTGGTGAAGTCCACTCTTTGCAGCAATCGCTCCAAATCTGGGTAGTACTCGTAGAAGTCTGGGGCTTCATCCGATAGTGTACCGAATACAAGACCAGTGGGAGTGACATGAGAGCGAAGCGCTTTCCCCTGACAACCTGACATGAGCCATGCTACCTGGTGATATTGATTTCCAGAAAGAGTAGTGTATGCATACTGAGTTCATACAAACAACTTTGATCTCCTCTGGCCTAGGAAACATGGATTCTCCTGAGCTCCGAATTGCCCGAATCGATTGCTGAGCGATCTCATATTCGATTGTATCTCCGATGGTCAAAAACCTGGTCACTGGACCAAGGAGATACCATGACTATACTGATGATGAGACATATTTTGACACCCGAACAGTGGTTGCACAGTGATTACCTTGAGAAAGATTGCCCGTCGCTCGAGCTCAAACAGCGGTTGGCTACAATACCAGGAAGCCGGTAGAGTGCGTGCTAGATCAGACATCATGTGCAGTTGATGCCGGAATCGTCTCTTCGGGCATTTCCAAGCTCATTATAAATAGGGACAACACCACTGATACTGATGAGCGAGCTAGTGTACCCATTGCATCATGACGCCAAAATTGGTCAGTTGGCTAGGTATATTGTTTCCTGAAGAGGTTATAAGATCCATGGAGACCATTGTATGGCAAGTTTATGTAATTCAGTTCCAGATGGGCGAATGATCGAGGAAACGTGATTCAAGTGCCTAGAAGGGAGGCTGTCTTGACATCCTGATAGGATCAATGCTGCATGTCCATGCATGTCCATGCATTCAAACATGTAACATCATTTGACACCGGTATCCCTGCTTCAAGGGCCGTTGAAACGCTCATGAAGATAATGCTGAACAGTCAAGTGCTTGAAGGCGAAGAAAGAAAATGGGGAGCACACGATAACTCATGAGAGATATATATCATTCTTCTCAAGGAACAGTGCCTGCTCACAACGTTCTTTAGCATTTTCTCTTATTAAAGAAGCGTCCTCAACTTGTCTCTCAAGCTATCCGCTGAGCTTATACAGATAATGGGAAATCTTCAGCAGGTCAATGTTTGTTTTGCTGTTGCCTGCTGGGGGCGTTTGTTTGCGGCGAAGAAGCGCTCGAAAAGAAGGATTCTTTCAATACATCCATCATTTCTTTTTTTGAGTCAGAGACCAGAATCAGTAGCAAATACTTAGATGAGAATGAGACTGAGTTCTGAGTAGAACACAATACTTTGTCTTGTCGTTTTTGAGGTTTTTGGAGACTCCGATCAGGTGCCCCACGATTACGTCGTGACGCTTTCAGCTCCCGCTCAAGCAGATAATCGCCTCTTTGGTCTCTGCTCCTGGTCTTGAGCACAGAAAACCATCAAATCATTCTGTACACCTCGAATGATGAATATTTTGTTCTAGATATCCTTACCTGCAGCCTTCCCTCTGCCATCCAGCATGGCAGCCGCCGGTTCGAGCTCGAAATTCACCCCTCCTCCTTCGCCGCCCTCTCCGACGGCATCCTACTACGATGTCAGCGATGCAGACGAGGACGAATACAACACCATCTCCTCAACATCAGGACGGGGAGTGAAGCTATTGTTTTCCAAAAGCAAGGTTTGTTCATTGTTTGCTGGCTGGAAATCTGGAAGAGCGATCAGTGACTGATTCTGAGGAATACAGGTCTATATCCATCCTACCCCTTCCTCCAAGGATAATATCCCCGGTTTTATCGCCCTCCTACAGCAAAAACCAGCTCCCTCTCCAAATAACAATACTGGACCTATAAACTCCTCAAACAACTCCGCCGCTCTGTCCTCCTATTTACTCGCCTGGGTCCCGGAAGCCTCTCTCGGTGATGCGTACAGCACCTATGTCAAAGTCGACCTTTCTGATGATTCCTCTCCGCCAAAGCAACGGTACTTAGTGCCGGCGCTCCCGACGACAACCACCTACAAAGATCCAATAGGCCTATATGCATTTGCGGTACCTCTGTCCGAGATCTATTCGTTGTTGGTACGACCTCCGAGCCTGGGTTGGTGGTTTGGCAGTCTGGTGATCAATACCCGCGCTGGTGACAGCTTCCCGGCGCTGTTCTTCCACGACAGCGAATGCGAGTCGACAATACTGCAGAAGAAACGACGGACGAGAGAGAGTTTCGACCCGTTTGACGAAAGTGGTGGTCTCTTCTGGGGCGGTGACGAGGTGCTCCGATGGCTTCGGAGATATGTGGAAGTGCAACGCTCGTCGGTTGATAATAGTGTCTACCTGATCAATCCGTCGGAAGAAGATCAGTTATCCTTCGGCATGCCGTTGAGTAGCTATGATGGAACGGTAGCAAAGGGAGGCCAAGATCCAACCGTTGGCCCACATTCTTCCGCCGGCAATGCACAACGGGATGCTGGAATGGATCCCTTCATGAAAGCGCTTAAGGAAACGAGATGGAAAGTTCTTGAACAGCTCAGCAAGATTACCACGTTCACCCGACGGACGGCGAACGACCTTGCCGACAATAGTATGATTCCGCCACAGGTCCGTCGGCTGATGAAGACCCCCGAAATTCAGACATTACAGGATGAATTTGATAGTGCGAGGCTCTACTTGGCCCGGTGGGCCATGAGCATTGCGGAGCAGAGCGAACGAGAAAAATCGCAGCGGATATGGACCGCCCGGGATGTTCTGGATATGGAAAACAGCTCCGTAGGCGATTTCGAGATCTTGGAGCTGGAGACAGGAACCATGGCCATCCATGAACGACGCCGAACTCTTACTCTGAAGGAATGGGAGGGGTTCTTTGATAGCACAACCGGGAGACTACATGTTACAGTTGAGGAAGTGAAGGAGAGGATTTTCCATGGAGGCCTTGATCCAAATGACGGAGTGAGAAAGGAGGCATGGCTTTTCCTTCTGGGCGTTTACCCTTGGGACAGCAGTCGTGATGAGCGTCAAGCCTTGATGAACTCCAAGCGGGATGAATACATCCGCTTGAAGGGTGCATGGTGGGAGAGGATGGTAGAAGGCACTTCTACTCCCGAGCAGTATGAATGGTGGAAAGAACAGAAAAACCGCATCGGTGGGTTTCCTCCTTCAAAGAGAAGATTTTGACAGCTGATTATTTGACCTGCAGAGAAGGATGTCCATCGTACAGACCGCACGATACCGCTATTCGCAGGAGAAGATATCCCTCATCCAGACCCAGACTCCCCATTTGCGGATACTGGTACGAATGTGCATCTGGAACAGATGAAGGATATGCTCCTCACATATAATGAGCACAACCCTGACCTAGGGTATGTTCAAGGAATGAGTGACCTCTTAGCCCCGATCTATGCAGTCATGCAAGATGATGCAGTTGCATTCTGGGCATTCGTTGGATTCATGGACAGAATGGTACTATCTTTTCATCTTTTCTGAATTAGGACCCCTGCTTACAGAAACCAGGAACGGAATTTTCTCCGCGACCAGTCTGGCATGCGAGCCCAGCTTCTCACCTTAGATCACCTGCTCCAGCTCATGGACCCTCAATTATACCTCCACCTCCAATCCGCCGACAGCACAAACTTCTTTTTCTTCTTCCGGATGCTCCTGGTCTGGTACAAGCGCGAGTTCGAATGGGCCGACATTCTCCGCCTCTGGGAAACGCTGTGGACCGACTACCTCTCCAGTAACTTCCACCTTTTCGTCGCCCTGGCAATCCTAGAAAAGCACCGGGACGTAATCATGGAACATCTAAAGCACTTCGACGAAGTCCTGAAATACAGTAAGCTTTCCCCACACCCCACCTCCTCCCCTCGAAATAACAGCGTCCTCAACTAACGGAACCCAGTCAACGAACTCTCAAACACCATGGATCTCGTCCCCCTGCTCACCCGCGCCGAATCCCTCTTCCACCGCTTCGAGCGCACCGTCCAGGCAATCGATAAGAAGAATAACTTCCCACGGCCTGCAGCACACCAGCGCAAACACACGCAGGACTCCGCCTCATCAACCAAGGGCAAATCGCCCCAGCGGCCGCAGAGCGTCGGATACAGCACCGGTACCAGTGCCAGCGTCAGCGCCAGCGCAAGCACACCCAGCGCGGATACAGCCGAGTCGAAGGTCATCTCGCCGGAGCTGAGAGAGCTTCTGAGTAAAGAGATCCTGTGGAAACGGCAGCCGCAGCGTAAGTCGGAATCCCAGTAGTGCCATACCGGGGAGAAGACGGTTGCCTTCCGAGCACTCTGCGCGTGAGATATCCCATGAATGTTGCATTCTGTATGATTTTTGTCATTTTCCTCACTCAGGTTTTACTTCAAGGAATAGTCGGCTTGGTAAGGATTGATCTGGTTTGGTTGGCGTTTGGGTTTCTTGCAGCGATGGCTTTCTTTCTACGATGATGTTACGTATACATATACGATGAACAAACCATCTCAACCTCTTAGCAGAATCTCGATCTATGATACACTACGCTACGCAATGCTCTCAGGGTAGTTGTGTAAATATTCTTCTGCTATTGATTCGAGAAAAAGCCTCGATGGACTATGTAAATATAAGATGACAATCATCGTGCGCCATCCAAACCTCAACGGAGGGTATCTTGTTGCAAAGACAAACAAAACGACGGGATAAAATGCACACAACCGAACCCCATGCAAGATATGCGCCCATGGTTTTTTGGGAAAATGGCAGACAGATAGACAGATGTGGTAAATCGGAAGGCTAAATGGTAGGACTTGTGCGCTAATAGAGAACCGAATGGACCCAGGGATAATGCACGCTTTTGAAGAACCTCCTATGATGTGAACCGCAGAGCAAAGGGAGAAACGCCAGCGCTGAAGGACGGGGAAGAATGCAGAGTGGTGATGAGAAGTCGGGATGCGCGGTAGGGTTCAAGGCAGAGTAAATGGGTTTGTAGAGATTCCAGTTTGCAATTAGGATTTCGGACCGAGTCCGCGTAACGCAACTCGTCGGCTGGATCCGACTTTGCCTAGGTCGTTTATACTACGGGATTTTGATAGAGTCGGGACGCTTGGAACTGCTGTGCCGTCCTGCTCCAGCTCGTGGGGCGGTAGAACATATTTAATCGGTCTCAAGGAGGAGCTCCTTCGGGCTTGTCCCAAGACATCTTCCACCCAGGCTTCGCTCTCTGGGCTGATTGAGACGCGTCGTGAGCGAGGGGTTGGACCCGCCAGGCCTAGCGGCACCGAGGGCGAGTTCGTAAATGATCCATGATGCATGTCGCTTGCAAGCGACGCTCCACCAAAAGAAGCACTGGAACAGACGGAGAGTCGTCGACGGGAGGAGACAACAGACAATGGAGAATACGACGTGATGAATGCATGGCCAGCGCTAGAGGACCGAAAGTCCGGCGCATCCGAGACGTTGGACGTCCGTCGTATTTTGCGGACAGCAAGAGAGGATGAAGGACGGTTACTGAGGACAGATGCGGGACGGGACGGGGTTCTACGCCCAGAGTTGCCCGTCGGGGTGAGTATGTCACCTGGCGATGACCCCGCGGGAGAATGGCGAGAAGAGATGCCCTGGATCTCAACGCGTGGCGTTTCTGACACGGTTCGACAGCCATGATGGATGGCATATTCCCTCAGATATTCGGCCAAATCTGCCCACCCGCCTCCAACCCGTACCATTACACGATCAGCATTTTCTCCCACAGTGCGGATGAAGAGCTTGGTTGGTGCCGCTTTGCCACCTCGGTGTAAATGATACAGCTTCACCGAACCCTCCTCTGGTGCTTGAGAATTTCTTCTGCGTGAGGGAGCGGGTCTTAGCGTTAGGGACGGGGGAGGCGTGCTGCTGCGCGATGATGCTCCTTGTGGTGTCATTGACCGGAACCGTTCTCTCTGTTTCAGAGGTAGAGAAGGTGCCACAGCAGAATCATCGACCTCATGATCATCGGATGAAACCAGCTGGATACGAGCCGGGATACTGGTCAGTATTGAACTGATCTTCTCATCCAAATGATCTTTCTTGGGTCTCCGCATCTGTTTACTTGGGGTGGAGGATCTCGATCCTTCTTCTTTGGAGGCCATAGAATCTTCCTTGAGCTGGGATTTGGGCTTGTGTGCTCCAAGACTGTCCAGGTTAGGATGCGCGATCAGCCGCTTCGGAGGATCAGCGGTTTTCGAAGTGATACTGCGTCCCAGAGTGAGTTTTGGCTGTGGTGAACTCTTCAGGGTAGTGGCTTTGGTATGCTCCCAAGCTTTGGATAGCCGAGGGGTCGCATCGTCAGATTCCAAAGTGGATTTCTTTTCATGGGAAAGTTCCAGGTGCTGACTCGCCAGGCTCTTCAAATCGTTCGTCGGTGTAGACGAGTTTCGCAATTGCGATTTTGGTACTTGTTGTCCAGTCTGGGTGCGCAAATCGACAGATGCATCAGAAGCCCGTCTCCCACTGACTGGAGTGTTCAGATCGGCTCCACCTGAGCTTTCGTATTGTAATTCAAATCTCTCATTGATGAAACGCTGCAAGGGAAGGCTAAGTGTCCGATTGTGTGCAGAAGTGGCACTGGAACCTTTCTGGCCATTCAAGTGTTTTAGCCGTTCCTCGCGTAAAGTATAGTCAAGCCCGGGGGAAGCATTGCCAGACGGCTGGGGAGTGCCCTGGAACCAAGGCGGAGTCTCGAGAGCAAGTGGCGTCGCATTCGACGATGCGGTGCGAGGCTCACGAATCTCGGGACTCGATACAAGCGAAGGATAATCGGAGAGGGAACCCACTGATGCCGTTGACGTTCGTCTGGTCCGTAAGTTTGGATTTCCCTTGTCAAAGTCCAAATTTTGTGGCCTTGTTTTGGAGAGTTTGATGGGACTCTCCAAGCGGGTCTTGCGAGGAATGCTTGTGTCGGGTTCCTTGAGCTGCTCAGACGTAGGAATGATAGATGCGTCCTTCTGGGGAGAGGGAGATGGATCTGCAAGTTCTGGCGAAGGGGTCATGGAGCGAACCGAAGGCGATCCTTCTCTCTTCGATGACATCCAAGAAGCAGGTACCTCGGTCGTCGCAGCCTCAGCTATCACGCTAGCAAGAGTTGCGGCTTCATCTTCAATCGGAGTCGACACGTCGGTACCAAAGATTCTAGCTGTAGGTGTCGTATCCGCTCCGAGATCTCGGCAGCCAGGGAAGTCTGTCTCGAGACTTACAGGTGCGGGTTTATCTCCATTTGATGTGTTGTCTGTGACATTAGAAGCGAGCTGTGCTGCAGGGAGATCCAGCTCAGATGGGTTGGATGGGAATTGGTGATCGAGCGCGGGAGAAGGGGGCGTAAGGATGGATGGCACGCATGGTGACTCGTCTACGTCTTCTTCAGTCGTGCTCTCAGACGAAGCGGGATCTGTTGCTTGCTGATCAGTGTCACAGGCAGGTTCCGAATGCATTTCCAAAATGCTTGCATTGGATACCAATGGAGTTGTCGCCTTTGATGTCTGATGAGAACTGTTTTCTGGAAGGACAGAAGGGGTGTTGCCTGGTAATGATTGTTTGCACTCCGAATGGAGATCGTTTTCTTCTAGGCTTGTGCTACTCAGTTCTGCTTCAGATTCAGATGTTTGCGGGTCACATGGTTTCTCCTGCACCTCAGGGACAGCCGAGGACCCATCCACAGGTCCACTTGGGGCATCCGCAGGGAGGGTTCTTGCGACATCCTTAGTGTTGATTGCGAGTGGAGAAGTCTGACCGTGCACAATAGTGTCGGATGGAGAGTCTAGAAGGTCATCATTGATCCCTTCCTCTATTATATCCAGGGGAGGAGGGGATCCGGACTGTGACGCTGGCTGCTCGGACGGTGCAGGAGCGGGTGATCCAGCGTCTTCCTCTTCAGGGATATTTGACAACCGAATCTGTGGGATCTGCTCGCGCCGGGATTCATCCGCTTTCCTTTTCATTGCCTTCAGACGAAGCCATTCATTCTCAACCGTACGTTTCTCGGCTTCCATGACCCATGTGCTAAAGTCGGACTCAATGGTCTCCAAGTCGTCAATCCAAGCTTCGGGAAGTGAATCTTCGCGGCCATCCAGCGCATCCAGTATATCATCCATCCGTCTGCCTGCGGAGAGTACCATCGCTTCAAGGCCAGCTCGTTTTGCGTGGTAATTTTCTCTGGAGTACAGAGCATCGTGTTCAGTGGGGGGGATAGATGACCTCAACATATCCTGGGCAGAATCTAGCTCGGATCGGGCACGATGTAAAGCACGGAGTAGCCCAGGGATTTGTCGAAGCACCAATAACCGAACATCCCAGGTGGACAAGAGACTGTTCAGGCGGGATAGAAGGGGGAGAGCGCGAAGGATCGTGGCCGTGATCACGGCGGTAAAGTCGCTCAATTGGACGTAGCTGAGTGGGGGCGGTACGGACATGGTGCTGTTGGACGACGAAGGTCGAGACCGGGCTGGGATGTGGGCACTGAGAACATGCTCTTTGAGTTCATCCACATCCAAACTCTCCATCCCATCCCGGATCTCCTCGATCCGAGCTTCATGTTGTATGATGATAGCTGATGGGAGACTGCCATAGTAATCTTGTTCCTCGGCGGTATTGGTGGGCGAAGACGGGGGTATGAATCCTTTGCCTAAGTGGGCATCTGTCCGCTTCGGCCAATCCCATGCTTGCACTTCCTTGTACCATTCGCCGAGTTTTTGAGCTGCTATGGCTGCACGGATGCCCAGGGCGCGCTCGGACGGAGACACTTCAGAGATACTCTTCCAGAGAATCTCATGAGCTGCTTTCTCGTTCTTCGGGACCGCATCGGTGGAGGTTAGCGCCAGGAGGGTAGACTCAGGAGAAAGATTACTCAGAAGCGGATCGATGGTATGGTATTTCGGAGCTGCGGATCGATCAGGCGATCGTGATATTGCGCGAGGATGGTAATGAGAGTCAGTGGGAGAGAAGCGAACGGAAGGGCGAATGGGGCTGTCGCGCCTGGTTGCCATTTTCGGGAAACGGAGAAGGGGATCGGATCACCCGGGGAGAATCGGATAATCGCTCACAAAAGGCCAGGCGGAATCGTGATAGTTTTGAGAAATGAGAGAGGTCGAAAAGTGGTATCGGTAATCGTCGGGGGGAGAGAATACCGCTGAAGAGGGAGCATGCTGAGAGGGGGGAATCCCACAGTAGCTTAGAAGCGAGCGTATGATGAGTAGAAGGGGACGACGGAGAGGTCGACACGAACGAACAGAGGAGGATCGATCCGGTGGGAGAGAAAAGGAGTTTGAAAGAGCAATTCGAAGACACCGAGGGATAGAGAAGGGATAGAAGTAAGAACGGGATTGTTTATAGATAGAGAGATCAAAGAGATGGGAGAGACCAGAGATGTTGGCTGGGGAAGAAAAGAAAGAACAGGACCCCCAAAAAAAAAAGAAAAAAAAAAAAAAGAAAAGAGAGACAGACAAAGACAAAGGCTGGACTGGGAGGTTCGAAACTTCTTTCTCAAGGACTTTCTCGTTCTCACAGCAGCAGCAGCAGCAGCAGCAGTAGTGGTGGTGGTAGTAGTGGTAGTAGCAGGAGTAGCAGCAAGAATAACAAGGAGGGTGGCTGCAGCAGAGGGAAAACGAGTGTGAAGGGTGAGACCAGCTCTAAAATTGGAGAGAGATAGGAGAATTGGGGTCTGAATCGGAAAGAGGACGGACAATAATTCGACCAGCAGATGGAGAGCGCGCGATTATTGCATGCATGCGATGGAGAAGAGACAGCGATCACGATGAGATTGGGAGGAACTGACGGAGAAGGGAGAAGAAGATGAAGAGAAGAATGACTAGAGGATCTACCTAGACTACTCCGTAGCTAGTAGGAACGAACTAACTAGTAGTAAGCCGATGGATTGACGAGTGGAGTCACTATTGAATGCTAAAGAACCCGGGGGGAGTCAAGTCGGTTACTATTATTAAGGTCTGTAGTCTGTACTCCGTAGGACTAGTTAGTTAGTTAGTAGGAACGATGATGTGTATTATATTATTCTTCTATCGGAAGAAGCCAAGGAACCATTTCCACCCCCCTGAGAGCGATAGAGATACTCAAGTCTCAAGGACGGTACAATGGATTCGACATACATACATAGATACCTAGGCTGGAGAAGTGTATAGAGATAGATACCTACCTAAATCACACTTCCTTCCTCCCGGTGGCTGCGGACAAAACCCACCCAGACATGCATCGACAGCTGTGCGTCCACGGAGGATAAAAGCTATCCTCCTCCTCCTCCTCCCCATCAACAGCTCTCTTGACATGTAGATTGCTCATGATGCGCTCAAGATGCCATCATGGATTCTGGCATTCAAAATCCGCCTATCACAGCGATTTCGTCGTCATCACCGGAATACTTTGTGACGACCTACCTATTTGTTAGAGACTTGCCTCCCCGTACTGTCTGACTGTCTGTCTGTCTGTCTGACTGACTGACTGACCCGACTCCAGAGACGCGCCTTTCCCACTAGACAGATCCATCGCGAAATTACTACTATCTGAACCTGCCCCCTTGCATGTCTCTTCCGTTTCTCTCTCCCAGTCGCAGGCACAATGCAAGCCGGTATCCGCTCTCGTCCCGAACTGGTCAGCGGCGTACCCGAGGATCTGGTCGCTGCGCTGGATCTCATCGAGCAATCCTTCAACGTCGATAAATTCTCGTTGAAGAGAATCACCGATCATTTCGCTGCAGAACTGGAAAAAGGTTCGCCATTCCTTGCTTATCACTATGTGTTGTTCATGCTTTTGCCCGTTCTGGCGGTGGGGAATCCCATGGGAACCAAAACTCGGCAGATCATGAGGAAACAGCCAGAAGTCTATCTACAGGATACAGGAAACTATTAGACATGAACTGACAACTGTTTAAAAGGTCTGACCGCGGAAGGGGGCGATATCGTGAGTAGTCGTCCCTCGGCTGGATTTTCAACCACACAAAGGCTGACTGCTGGCGACAGCCAATGTACGTGACCTGGGTCATGGGCTATCCAACAGGTAAGGAGGAAGGGAGATTCCTGATCCTGGATTTGGGAGGCACCAAATTGCGCATCATGGATGCGCGGCTCATTGGCGACGGAGGCGGCATGGACATGACCCAGCAGAGGTTCACAGTACCCGACAATATCAAAGTTGGCATGGCCGATGATCTATGGGATTACGTCGCCCAGTGCGTGCAAATCTTCCTTGAAACCCATCCCTGGAATGATGAACGGTCGGATCCATTGCCGCTGGCCTTCGCATTTTCCTATCCGATAGTCCAGTCCTCCGTCAAAAGCGGAGTGCTCCAGCGCTGGACCAAAGACTTCAGTGTTTCTGGTGTGGAAGGCCATGATGTCGTGGCTCAGTTGGAGTCGGCATTGGAAAGAAAGGTTGGTGTCTGACGCGGAACTCCGAGCTTCCAAGAAAGAAAGACGTGTCCGTCAATTGCTCATTCTACCAGAAAATTCCCGTGAAAGTCGCGGCTTTGACCAACGATGCGACGGGTACGCTCATTGCCTCGGCCTATCAAGACAAAGAGGTCAAAATCGGCTGTATCTCCAGTACGGGCTGCAATGCCGCGTACATGGAGGCGATTGGGTCGATCCCGAAAACCAAAGACTGCGGAGTGCCGGACGATGCCCTCGTCGCGATCAATACCGAATACGGGGCCTTTGACAACACACGCCGCGTTCTCCCGCGGACGGAATACGACAAGAGGCTCGACCGGGGGTCCGCGCATCCCGGCGAGCAACAGTTTGAAAAGATGGTCGCCGGTCTCTATCTCGGAGAGCTGATCCGACTGGTCATCCTGGAGCTGTACAACTCCCAACTATTGTTCGTAGGCCAGAATCTGGGCTGGCTAGCGGAGCCGCGCACCATCGATACTTCTTTCCTCTCGGTCCTGGAAGAGGATATCTCCGAGTCCATGGACGACATCCGTAAGGCCTTGTGGAGCATGGGCATTAATGCTGCGCCGCACGAGCTCAAGGTCTGTCGGTATCTGGCCGAGTTGGTTGGCACGCGAGTGGCCCGTCTGTTTGCCTGCGGAACCGCCGCCATCTGCAAGAAACAGGGCATCGAGCGTTGCCATGTCGGCGTGGATGGCTCGGTCTTCAGCCACTATGCCAGCTATGGAAAGCGAGCAACCCAGGCTCTTCGGGAGATTTTCGACACGCCCGCCGGCAGTGAGGATCCCATCCAGTATAAGTACTACCCGGACGGATCTGGCGTCGGCGCGGCTTTGATTGCCGCGCTAGCTGTGGAGCGATCAGACGGGGTGCTGCTGATGAGAAGATAGTCCACTGAGATAGTAACTAACTCCTTTGATGAAACAATCTGAACCCAAAATAAATTAGACTTCATATGTATGATGTATCATGTATGGGATTTGGAAATATACGTGCATGTGGTTCTATTCCCAGGCTCCCAACCTCCCGCACCCTGCAGCCTAAAATAACCACGCATCGACTGCTGCTCCACAGCGGCCACAGGCTTTGTTTCTTCTTCACCCTTGCCGATCGCTGGGAAAAGACAGAGAGCCTGGATTTAGTTATCAGCATATCCCGCATCAAAAATCTCCCAGCACTCGGGATCAAGCACTGTAGAGAATAAGAATCATAAATAACACAGAAAGAAACTCTCGCCTCGAACGAGATGACCCACGATGCGGTTCCGAAGTCAACTGACGAACATCGTTACCTTCAGCAGTACGTTCTTCCCACCCAACCCAATAACCTCCAACCGCCTTTCATACAGTAGCTAATTCGCCTACCCCAATCATCAACCAGAGCTCACAGCATCCCTCGCATCCCTGGGCAAAGTCTGCTGGATGCGCCTGGAAGATGGCATCGTGCGATTGACCATCATCCCAGACCAGGGCACCCAAGTCTGGGCCCAGCTACCAATTGTACGTTGCCTCCACCTTCCAACAAACACCACAACTCACACCAAGGAAAACCCGCAGGACGCCATCTTCGATGAAGCAAGCTACACCCTACAATCCAACTCCGGCGTGATCAACCTCGAAGTGCCGATCGGCGCGCTCCACCGCGCCCTCCGCTCCGCCACAGGCGCGCACTCCGCCCAACTCCGACTCACGCAGAAAGGCAACATCCCACTGCTCGCGCTCACCATCCTCTCGTCCTCGTGGACAAAGGGCACCAACGCGCTGGGGATCAGCGACGCGGCGCCTGCCCATGGCGGCAACAGCAGCAGCAGCAGCAGCAGCACGCCGTCCGGGCCGCGCGAGCGCGAAACCGTCATCACGCAGGAAGTCCCCGTGAAGGTGCTCCATGAGTCCGCGGTGCGAGGGCTGCACGAGCCGCGGTGCCGCGACCCGGACGTGCACATCATCCTGCCGAGCCTGGTGTCGCTGAAGAACATCTCTGAGCGGTTTGCGAAGCTGGCTGCGGACGCGAAGCCGGCGGCGGGCGGGGTGGTCGGGTCGGTGCTGGCGGCGCCGAAGCTGGAGTTGTCGGCGAACATGCACGGGTCGCTGAAGCTGGCGATTGCGACGGATGCGCTGTGTATCTCGAGTGTGTGGAGTGATTTGGTGAATCCGCCGCTGGACCCGGCGCAGCTGGGTGAGGCGGAGATCGGGGAGTTGCCGAGTGAGAGGATGAGGGCGCTGGGGAGTGACGACGAGGCCGGCTGGGCGAAGGTGCGGATTGATGCGAAGGATTGGGGGCGGGTGTTGAGTGTGGGCAGGTTGAGTCCGAAGGTGGTTGCTTGTGAGTCGACGTGCTTGGGTCCCTGGGTGGTTGGTATCCCTACTCTGTCTCCGTGGCTGACCTGATTTCGCGTGGCAGGTTTCATTCATGATACGGCGCTCATCCTGTACGTGTATCTGCCAGGGAGCTGGAATGCGGAGGATTCGTGTTTGACGGTAAGCTCCCCCATTCTACCCAAAGGTTTGAGCGATCTTGCTGATGACTTCTCGCCAGTACTACATCAATTCTTACGCGGCCTGATGTGCGCGGCCTTCCCCCATATGCAACCAATAATGAGACATGATACAGAGAAGTTTGATTATTAGAACAATTAGTGAACAAATTAAAATCGTTTATCATACACAACATAAGTCACTCTGCCACGAGGGGGTCAAAAGACTGCCCTTCGTGGATCGCGAGAGCTCAACCGAGTTTACAGCCCAAGAATGATCATCCTCGATTCCCACATGAGGTTATCCAGCGCAACAGTGCGCAAATATATATGCAAATGTGTAAGAAAGAAAAGTCAGCCGCGAGCCGTGGGCCAAACCAAAGAAGCAAGTCTTTTGGAATAAACCCAGCAATGAGGTCCCCACCGGACCGAGTGTATATGCGTTTCACATTGTGCAAGAAGAAGTGAAAAAGCAAGAAGAGAAGAGAGGAGCGGGCTTTGTCCACTCATGAAGATGATATTTACCACCGAAGATGCATAAAGATGGCTTACTTGGCCATCACGTCGACATATCTGCCCTTCTTCTTCCCCCTGGCCGCAGGACCCTTACGGGCTTGCGGTGCGCCAAGGAGGTCATCAATCGAACTGGCGTAGCTGAGCGACGTTGCTGGTCGAGGTGGGGCTCCAGCTGAGCCATCTGGAGGCGTCGGCAAAGTAGCGCTTGTTGATACAGATCGCGGGATAGGAGGCGGCGCTCCGAGCGCAGACGGAGCGGGGCTGCTGGTCAATCGCGGAGGAACACCGGCGGACGAGGACGGTCGGCTTCCAGCACCAAGTGCTGCAAGTGGAGGTGTCCCTACAGCAGGCGGTGGTGGTCCGCCAGTGCCGCTCGCCGTTCTGCTAGGAGGAGCGGAACCCCTTGGTGGCGGCGGTGTACCCCGAGCCGGAGTGCTGCTACCAGGATCCTTTTTATTGACCCATTTCTTCAGTTCTTTGTCATAATAGAAGGAATTCTCCTCGCCAAGCTTAGCACGGATGGGACCGCCGCCGCTGTTGTTTTCTTCTTTCTTGCCGCCAAACCATCCAGTAAACCATCCTTTCTTCGCAGTTGTGGGCGGAGGTTTTTGAGCTGCGAATTTGGTTAGTTCAGCGAGAACGGATTTATGAGAGAGCAAGAGCTTACCATCAGCTTCGGCCGCTTTGCGGAAGGCCTCATCTGCCTCGCGGTCTCTTCGCGCCCTCTCTGCCTTTTGAATGGCGGCTGCGCGTGCGGCCATGTCGTCATCGTCATCCTCGTCCATAAATGACTTCTTCTTCGGCTTAGCTCCTTCATTGGATTCATCTTCCACATCATCTGATGCAGACGCCGGGTTTACTTCAACAAAAGGAGGCTCGTAGCCGCCACCGCTTGATGGAGGCATGTAGCCACCCTGCTCGAACTGAGACGTTGCCGATGCATCATTTGTTTCAAATGGCTGACCAAACGACTCTGGTGCATAGTGAGCAGGCTGGTAAGGCGATACGTTGTCGAGTGTTTGTGAAGGCGCAGGTTGCGGGTCCGGTGGTGAGTAGGCGGCAGAGTCTTCCTCCACAGGTGCCAGAGGCATGTAAGAGGTCTGAGGAGGCGTCGATTGGTAACCAGCAGCTGATGGAGAACCATAAGTTGGCATTCCTTGGTAAATATTCATTTCCACGGGGGTGGAAGGCTCCTGAGATCCCCGTCGCTGTGGCGGGGGGAATCCATAGGAGGAAGATCTCTGGGAGTCGAGCGACGATCTACCGCGGAGTTGCTCGGGTGAGGAACTCAGCGCATACTGGTTCACTGGGTGATAGCGAGAAGCACCAGTATTAGGTGCTGACTGCGCCCCACCCATGGGATAAGACCCATATATATCAGAGACTGACGGCGAGCGGCTGACAGTGGGAGTTCCCGAGACCTTGGCAAATGGTCCAATCTCTTCGGCCTTTCCAGACCCTGTGGACGCCGCATCGCTTTCCTCGCCGGCCACAAAGCTATTGAACTTTGCCCACATTGAACCAGACACTTTCTCCATACTCGGCCTCGTAATCCAAGATGACCCAGCGTCGCTGGCGGTCTGCCGAAGGCGTGCTGATAACTCATCAACACCGTAGAACAGGTGCGGGTTGTGGTACCCAGAGGGCTTCGTTGCCGCCTTCAGAGCCGCTGCAATCGCATCACAGTATTGTTGAGCTTCCGACTTGCGTCCCTGGTCTGCAAGGGACCACGCATGGATTAATTTAAATGCCAGCAGATAGGGTAGCGTGTTCATGGGGGAGCCCGCGAGTACAGAGGTCGCATATTCATATGCTTCGGTGAGGAGAATTGAATCATCATTGTGCAAAGGAGCAGAGGAAGCTAGCCGATGATGATCGACTCCCAAAAGGACGATATTTGCTTGAGGATCATCAATGCCGCCGAATACTGCCGCACGAGAAACAATGAAACAGATATGAGCAGCCTCCGTACGGCCATAAGACAATAGTAATTGACCGAGAGCCAATAACGCCCGTTGGTCATCGGGGCTGCGGTTGCTTAGCACCAGACCAAGGGTCTCCCTCCAGCTCTCAAGGCCATCGAGGGTGTTCTTGGCAGGCCCCTGTCCGTCGACTTTGCTAATCATTTGCAGACCAGCCCTGGCGGAAGGAGGGACCAACTCATCAATACTTTCCTCGACGTTCCCAGCAAGAATCTCATAGAACGCTGCCAAGGATTCAGTGCGGCTAGTCGTTGATCTGACTTCGCGCCTCACGAATTCTTGGACGACCTGCTTCCAAACGGATCGATCCATCGTCGAGGCAATGATCATGGCATGGCCCCACAGGCGATTGTCCACTGCTGCCCATACTGCTTTTTCTCGTTCTCCTAGCACAAGACTATCACGGAGTGATTCTATCGAATGGGAGTCTGCGGCATCTGACCGGGCAGACGCATCTATCGCCTGAGGTGTCGCAGCAGGTATAAAGCTGTCGCCCGGCACCTGATCAGTTGTGGATTGCTGGAGATGGGGAAACATCACACTCCGCAAAGACTTTTGGGCTTCAGCCGAGCCCTCCAGCGCACCATCGTGTTCAACCAGAAATCTGACAATCTTCCACAAAAGAATTTTTTCCTCGTGACGCTTGGTTATATCAGGCTGGGTGGGGTCGAAACTCGGATCACCCTCATTCTCAAAAGCGGCAATTTTGCTCGACAGCCAAGCGAGCAGATCCTTCTTCTTCGACTTATTCTTCAGTGGTCCTGGATATTGCACAATGCTTTCCGCAGGCGGCAGCCTGTCGTTCAGAGGACAAATTTTAATTTCACCAGGACAGGACTTGATCATCGGTGCAGCTTGACCAGCAGAATACCGAGGAATATGTTTGGGAAAGCAAGATGTAACAATGCCACCGAAACCAAATTTGACAATCGGCGCCCCTTTCCACCGTTCAAGGGGATCAAGCTGCTGTCCATCTGTAGGGGGAATAAAATCAAGCGATTGGGACAGAGCACGATTGTGGAGAGAGACTTGGGCCGGAGCATAAGGATTGACCGTCTTTGTAGGAGAGGTGGCACCATGCACAGAAGCAGGCCGTTGCAGAGGATCAATCGGGGGAAGAGACAATCGGGGACTCAGCAACTGTTGACTAGGTGACTGAGTTTGGGATCGGCGAGGAGGAACGAACGGCGATTCTCCAACGGGAGGGGCATACGCGACGTTCTGAGTTCCAATGGACGGTAGATCATTCTGTACGGGGGCCACACGCTTCGCAAACTCATTTACATAAGCTGAAGGGGCATATGGATTTCTTGGGGGCGAGTTTGGTTGGGTCACACTCGGTTGCACATTCTCATGGATGCCCGCATCGACAGGACCCTGGCTTTCTGGAATGACCGGCGGTTGGAAGGGCTGCGCGTGACTGGGCGGGGGAAGGCCGGCTGCGGGCTCTGATCGGCGCCGTTCTTCCGAAACACCGGGGGGGTGATATGAAATCTTCTCGTGATGAGCCAAAGGGCTCGATGTGCGCGGTTGGAACGGGAGAACAGCGCCTGGACCAGAGATGCTGGACGGTTGTGAGGCATAACGATTGCGGGGAGGAGGAGCTCCGGCAACAACAGTAGATGCAGGCGGAGCTGGTGAGTATCTGGGAGATGGCAAAGGCTTAGTGCCAGCCTGTAAGCCAGGGGGCTTGGGAGAATATCGCGATTGAGCACCAGGCACAACTGGTGCACCTAGAGCGGCGGGCGCCAATAGACTTGAATATGGGTCTAATTTCTCAGGCTGATGCAGCTCGGGTGGAGACTGAAGGTCGCCAGCGGATTTCGGTGCAAGCGGGATGCTAGCGTACGGATTTGCCGGGGCAGGTATTGACTGCGGCACTGATAGAGGCGCTGGTGGGGGCGCTGAAGTAGGATTTGGCGTATACCTTCCTGAGCTAGCAGGCCTCGATTTGGGCCGAGGAGGCGGTAATGGAAGTTCCTCATAGAAGTTCTTTGGGGTAACAGCAGCGACAGGTTGTTTTGGCGAGGTCCCAAGCACTCCGGCAGGGGCTTTTGATGGCTGTGGAGAGGGTGCAGGTATACTGCTGCTGCGTGGAGGTGGCGGCGGTAGATTACCAGGTTGCGGGATGACTTGCTTACTGACGACAGGGCGACGAGGCCGTGCGAGATCTTCCGGCAGATCATAAGGAGACTTATATCCTTCCTTTGAACGCTCTGCAAAACTCTCCGCTCTCGTTGTAACGGGATTCGGCGGGGCCTGTGCTGTAAAATAATTTGACGTGGGGGCATTATGAGGCTGAGGCACAGGCGCTTGAGCCGGAATTCCTTGGAGCAGGTCCGATGTGGAGGGTTGGTGCGGCGTGTAAGAGATCGGCTGAGCTTTGGGCCTGGCAGGGTTCTCAGGAGTGCCAAACGGGCTCTGGAGGCTTGCAGCAAATCCCGCATTGTGATCCTGGTTGAGCTGGGCGGCCTCTTGATCGTTGTTCGCGGTTGAGGCCTCATCTAAAAGCAAGTCATCATCATCGTCATCCAGTTCAGCTTGCCACCGTGCAGCCAGATCATCTTCAGGCGGCATTGTCTCCTCCGCGTCATCCGATAGTTCAGCCTGCCACCTTGCGGCAAGATCCGCATCAGATGGCTCTTTGGTCTCGTTTTGGGCGCTTGTGTCAGCCAAAATCTGATTGAAATCCTGCGCTGTCGGCGATGTTTCGCTGAAGGGAGAGTCTGGGGTGGTGTCGAGAGTGCTCAGCACCTGAGTGGTGCTCTTGCGCGTGATATGGAAAGGTCCTTCTTCAGGAGTGGACTTTTGAATTTCGTTGAAGAAATCACCCTCATCATCCTCGTCGCCGGCGAAAACATTATCGAGTTGATTATCTCCCCTTTGAGCCTGCTCGACAGGAGTTTGAGGACTGTTGTCCAGTAGCGGGACCCCCTCCTCAAAACGAGATTCTGTTTCTGGTGGCACGTAAATCGGCTTCGTCTGTGTCTTGAGCTGATCGAAAAAATCATCCTCGTTGTCGCGTCCATCATTACCTAGATTACCCCAGAAACCGGGTCGGTCATTGCTTATCTCTCCATGCGGCATCGCATCCTTGTCTTCTTCAACCTCATCGCCATCTATCCATGAAGTATCGCCCTTTACAGCCCTAAAATGAAGACCATTTCCGCTCGTTTCGACGCCAGAGAACTCTTCTGGCGCTGAGAAGTGTGAAGCTTCTGCGACGGAGTTTCCCAGGTGAAGCCCACTTGTGTGCTCATCCTTGTCATGCTCGGCAGACATGCCTTCCGCGACGGTATTCCCTAGATGAAGCCCATTTGCTTGCTCCTTATCATCTTCGGGCTGGGTGGACACATATTCCGCAACATTTTCTGCAACTTGAGTGTCATCGGGGTGTATCGACGAATCGTTTCCATCAATATGTCTGGGTTGTTCAAGCACATCCTTCAATTCAGTTATCGGATCAGCATTCTGTGATGGATCCGAGTCAGTCGCAACGGGGGCAGGAGCGTCTTGTGGTTCGGAGGGTAAAGGTGATTCCAGCACATGAGTTTCGTTCTCAACATCAGCATCGTCGCCAAAGGGCGATGTGTGGACGTCAACAGGAGAAACTTCGGCCGGTCGGCTTTCAGGGTCCAGCACCAACTGGGCCAAATTGTTCGTAATTATACTTTCGTTGTCCTCAGGTCTAAACGCTGGATTCCAGGTTGACAACCCTTCAACCTGTGTCATATTGATTAAAGATCAGAGCTCACCCCAATAAGGGAGCAGCAGCAGCAGCAGCCCACAGTTGGCGAAGCTGACACGTTTTCTTAGACTCAGGACCCTGAGGGCCAAGGCGAAGGTCAACGAAACAGAAAAGTAGAAAATCAGGGAACATTAAAGTAGGTATAAAAAGAAAAAGAAAAACAGGCTTTGCGAAACGAATCACAAGACAAGGTCAGATGGCGAATTCATGGCTGCGTACAGATATGCGGGTTGGGGATGGGATGGGATGTATGTCAGTCAGTATCTCAGCGTCCAACTGCTGCTGTGCTCGACATTCAATAATGATATGATACTCTCCCGTCTCCATTTGCTTGGGAACACGCCCTGTCATGGCGGAGCCGGGCGTATGTTAGTCCGGGCGGAAAAGACACCTTAGCAGTAAGGGGATCACGTGCGTCAGACCGGTTTATGTACATATTTCTTTTAGTGCTGACTACTCCGTATACATTGCACTGCTGACAATGGACTGATGATGATTACTGCCCGATAAGGATAAGGATAAGGATGACGCGCTGGATCATCGCACTCTCTGTACTGTACTATGAAAAGCTCAATCATACCGTTCGATCTTCGAGTACGGGGTAGATAGGTATGATACTGACTTCAATGGTGATACTTCAGAGCTTCCCCAGCCTATGACATCGCTGTTCCACAACCCATTATCCATTATCCCATACCTGAACAATGCGCCACATCTGCATAGCTAGAAGCAGAGCCTAAGGCCCGCGCGAATCATGTGATTGGCCCTTCCTCCGCCTGCAATCAATAATGTGTCCGACTGTACCTACTAGGCTTCCATAATGTTGACTGAGGGAACATTCGGCTTCACTGCTACGACAGTCCGACCTATTCAAGGTGCGCATTTGGAACGATCACTCTTGAACTAATATAGTTTGGTCCGAGATTCTCCAGTGGTCCGTTGTCCTGGGCTGAAAACATCGACTCTTATCAGGCCCTCAAGCACAATAACAATGATCCCGAGGAGGGATCTGAAATGCCACTCGCCGTGACGTGGTTTCAAGTGACACCGTCAGGCAAAGCTTGAAATTTGCCACATTTGACGGCACGATTGATCAAATATATCTCTACGTTATGCCTGCCATGCCTTCATCATCCGACTATCTCCAGCCTCACGATGGCGCGAGCGTTGACTCCGGGTCCGATGACGATCTCGATTTGGAGGAACTAGATCCAACCACAGCCACCTTTCATCAAGCTCCTCACATCCCAAGAGATGAAGCGACGCGGAAGATAAGCTATGGCTCCGGGATTGCTCTGAGGAACCTGCGTATTGGCGGTGGGAGTCGGTGGAAGCACAGTAACAGAGCGTCAGGAGAGGATACGCACGGCTTGCTGGAAGATCGGGACGAAGAGACACTCCGGAGATCGCACGCCAGCTCACACAATTACACTGAGGACGACGCACCGCTCCTTGCCAATCGTCGACGAAGTTCGGCCCGCTCGTTGGTCGGCGACCCGGCAATTCGACAAAGGGTTGGTTCAGCGCGATTCTTTGGTTTCAAGGCGGCGAGTGTTTTTTCAAGGCTCTCGAGCTGGTCTCGTCGGAGCGATAATGACGATAATGCAAATAAACCCCCGCGCGAAGTGTTCGTTGCGCAGACACAAAGGGCCAAGTACCCGCCGAATGTTGTATCGAATGCCAAGTACACCCCATGGTCCTTCCTACCCCGAACCCTCTACAATGAGTTCTCTTTTTTCTTCAACATATATTTCCTCTTGGTGGCTCTCTCACAGATCATCCCCGTGCTCCGAATAGGGTACATGTCTTCTTACATCGCGCCCCTCGCTTTCGTCGTCGCAATATCGCTTGGAAAAGAAGCTCTGGATGATATCGGTCGTCGAAGAAGGGATGCGGAAGCCAATTCTGAGGAGTTTACGGTTGTATCCTTCGATAGTCCTATGGGTAGAAAGGCATACACTGCGACTTCTATTGACAATTCGGAGGCCAGCGATGTATTCGAGATTACGAAGAAATCTAGGGATCTGAAAGTCGGCGATGTTCTCAAAGTTCGCAAGAATCAGCGTTTGCCGGCAGACGTGGTTATCCTCAAAAGCATTTCAAACGATCCCGTGATCGCTCGCGCAAGCTCACTGGCTGAATCACCAGCAGACCCCATGCATCAAGCCTCCGGAGATGTACCGGCTCCCGTTGATACTGAGCCCAGTTCGAGCACAACGGCTAATGAAGATCACCTCTCTTCCGGTAGCGATACATTTATTCGCACTGATCAGCTGGACGGTGAAACCGACTGGAAATTGCGCTTACCCTCAGTGTTATCGCAGTCTCTCAGACTCAATGATTTCACTCGACTTAAGGTTACTGCGAGCGCCCCGGACAAACGGGTAAACGAGTTTGTTGGTACCATTGAACTGGGTTCACGGTCCGGCTTCTACGACCCTCACGTTGACAAAGCACAACCTGGCGGGGAAGCTAGCAACGAAAGTCAGCAAGCTAATTCCGCTCCATTGACGATTGACAACACGGCATGGGCAAACACAGTCCTGGCTTCGAATACGGCTACGTATGCTGTCATTATTTACACTGGCTCGCAAACCCGAGCGGCTCTCTCAACATCACCCTCTCGTTCAAAAGTTGGCCTCCTGGAATATGAAATCAACAACCTTACCAAGATATTGTGCGCCTTGACCCTGACGCTGTCGGTGATATTGGTCGCATTGGAGGGCTTCCAGCCGACAAATGATAAGAAGTGGTACATTGCAATCATGATATACCTCATCCTTTTCTCGACGATCATTCCCATGAGTCTACGGGTCAACCTAGACATGGCAAAATCAGTATACAGCAGGTTCATTCAGCGAGACACTGATATTCCGGGTACTGTTGTCAGAACAAGTACAATACCTGAAGACCTGGGTCGAATCGAGTACCTGCTTTCTGATAAGACAGGTACTCTCACTCAGAACGGTAGGCATTCTAACCATTCAAATGGACGAGCTTTGTAGCTAATTATAGCAGAGATGGAACTGAAGAAGATCCATGTCGGAACCGTTTCGTATGCGAACGATGCAATGGAGGAGGTCGCGTCTTTCGTCCGACAAGGCTTTGCTGGCAACACCTTGACCACCCCTTCTGCGGTGTTTGGAGCCCAGGCAGGATTTGGGGCTGCACCCCGAACCAGAAGGGAAATTGGGTCGCGTGTCCGAGACATCATTCTGGCACTGGCTCTGTGCCACAACGTCACACCCACAATGGATGAAGAAGACGGGGTAACTGTCACGAGTTATCAGGCGTCTTCGCCCGATGAGATTGCAATTGTCAAATACACTGAAGACGTCGGTTTGAAATTGTCATACCGCGATCGGCAAACCATAGTCCTCGAGGCAACAGATACGAGCCATGTGGTCGTTCGTGTCCGCATTCTTGACATTTTCCCCTTTACATCAGAGAGCAAGCGAATGGGGATTATCGTACAATTCGAAACGGATAACACCATCTTGGAGTCCACGAGCGATGACGGTGAGATTTGGTTCTATCAGAAAGGTGCCGACACCGTAATGTCGGCCATTGTTGCGGCGAACGACTGGCTTGACGAGGAGACTGCCAACATGGCCCGAGAGGGACTGCGGACCCTTGTTATCGGTAGAAAACGACTATCCTCGCAACAATTCCAGGCATTTTCTACGAAATACAAACAAGCCGCGCTTGCTCTTCAGGGGCGTGACGTCGGAATGGCCAAGGTTGTGAGCGAGCATCTGGAGCGTGACTTGGAGCTTCTCGGCGTCACTGGTGTTGAGGATCGCCTGCAGAGAGATGTTAAGCCTTCCCTGGAACTGCTTCGCAACGCTGGTGTGAAGATTTGGATGTTGACTGGGGACAAGGTGGAGACGGCGCGTTGCGTTGCGATTTCCGCCAAACTGGTTGCTCGTGGCCAGTATATCCATACAGTCTCCAAAGTGAAGGACCGCGCAGCCGCTCAAGAGGCATTGGACTTTCTGCGCAACAAAACCGATTGCTGTCTGCTCATCGATGGCGAGTCCTTGTCGCTGATGCTTGGTCAATTCCGCTCTTCGTTTATCTCGGTTGCCGTTCTGCTGCCTGCGGTCATCGCTTGTCGGTGTTCACCTACCCAAAAAGCCGAGGTTGCAGACCTGATCCGCCAGTATACGAAAAAACGGGTTTGCTGCATCGGCGATGGTGGCAATGATGTCTCGATGATCCAGGCAGCTGACGTTGGAATTGGTATTGTTGGAAAAGAAGGACGTCAAGCCTCTTTAGCGGCCGACTTTAGCATCACACAATTTCATCACCTCACGAAGCTCCTTGTCTGGCACGGCCGCAATTCATACAAACGGTCTGCCAAACTGGCCCAATTCATCATGCACCGCGGCCTCATCATCAGCGCCTGTCAAACCATGTACAGTATCGCGAGCCACTTTGACCCCAAAGGTCTCTTCATTAACTGGCTGATGGTCGGCTACGCGACGGTATACACCAACGCTCCTGTCTTTTCACTTGTTTTCGACCGCGACGTTGATGAGCACCTGGCCAACCTTTACCCCGAGCTATACAAGGAGCTCAAGTCCGGTCGCAGTCTCAGCTACCGTTCGTTCTTCATTTGGGTGCTGGTCTCCGTTTACCAAGGCGCCGTAATCCAGGGACTCTCGCAGATCTTATTGCATACCATATCAGGACCGCGACTGATTAGCGTCTCATTCACTGCGCTTATCATCAATGAGTTGCTTATGGTTGCCATTGCCATCACCACCTGGCACCCATTAATGATATTCTGCCTGATTGGCACCGCTCTCGTCTATGCTGCCAGTGTTCCGTTCCTCGGTGACTACTTCGACCTCGAGTATGTGATTACTGTTGACTGGGTCTGGCGTGTAATCGCTGTCTGCGCCGTCTCCGTCATTCCTGTATGGGCAGGGAAGCTCATCCAGCAGTCCTGGAAACCCCCCAGCTACCGGAAAGTTCGGGGTTGACCATGTTCTTGTCGTCGCCGTTAATTTCTTGCATTTTGCGTACCACTACCATTGACTCGTGGATAAATGGAGTTGGGGCGGACTTTCCCAGCTTCACATGATATGTATGTTTCTGTACCACCGTTATGAGTAGTTCTTTTCTAGCCTTATATCTCCATTTGTCTCCTATGTCGTTGGTATATAGACCTGCATGAGGAATCTCTTTTGATCCTAACACAATGCATAATTTCATGACACTCAGTCATCGCTGTCAACATGACTAATATCCTTGGAACGTTGGCTACTCGCTTGAAGAACCATAATGTATGTTTAGAAGAATTCTCAGTCATCGGTTCATCTCCAGTTGGTCGAGGGGTGGACCTTTGCAGGGGTGGACGGAAATATATATATAGCGACAAGATGGTGAGACCCTCGCGTAGAACGACCTCACATCGAAACCATTGTTCTCTCTTGAATAATTTGGAATTTACTCTAAGAGATAAATATTGTACAGTTCGTAGGTACATATCTCATCAACATCATCAAAAGGGGACCACATGCGTCATACAAGTACATCTCAGGATCCAAATGAACCGCAATACAACCAAAGAAAAGATGCACGACAGCACAAAACGTCTATGCACTAGGAGTAAAAACCTTCCTGAAGCGGAAGTGGCCGAGATCACGCATGATCTCAACGGTACTCTTCACGTTCTGCCGGACGATGACGGAGGTGGGCTTGGAGAAGAGCTCGTCGATTTCCTCGAGGGACTTGTTCTTGGTCTCGGGCATGAAGAGGACCTGGTAGAACCAGCCGAGGACGGCGATGCCGCCGTAGAAGCCGAGGGTGAGGCCGATGCGGGTCATGGAGTTCATCATGCGGGTGAAGTTGTAGGTGACGATGAAGGAGCACAGGAAGAGGTTTGCGTCGGCGGTGGTCATGCCGTAGCTGCGCAGGTAGGTGGGGAAGACCTCGGCGGGGATGACCCAGGTGAGGCAGGCGTAGGAGCCGAAGAAGCCCATGTAGAGGATGATGCCGGTGAGGTAGAGGCCCTCCGCGGTGGCGGGGTGGGCGGTGTAGTCGACGGTGTAGCCGGCGCCGACGAGGACGAGGCCGAGGAAGAAGCCGGGGAGCATGACGTTGGCCCAGTAGCGGCGGCCGAATTTCTCCATGTACAGGACAGCGGGGATGGTGCCGAGGAGGAGGGAGCCGCCGCCGACGAGCGACATGTAGACGGCGGTGCGGCTGTCGAAGCCGATTTTGGTCATCAGCACACCCATGTAGGTCATGACGGCGTTGACGCCGGTGAACTGGCCCAGGAAAACCATGACGTTGGCGTAGATCATGGCGCGGCGCGCCCGGCTGTCGGTGAAGAAGTCCAGCCAGGCCCATTTCTTGGTATTATGCTGCTCTTCGTTCTCAGCCGCGACGGCATGGCGCATGCCCAGGAACTCGGCTTTGGACTCGTAGGTGCCGAAGCCGCGGATGCGCTTCCAGACACCGTAGGCCTCCACTGGCCGGCTCTTGTGCATCAGGTAGCGGGGACTCTCGGGCATGAAGATCATACCGACAAAGAGGAGAGTCGAAAAGACGAGTGAGGAACCAAGGATGAAGCGCCAGTCACCATGCACCCCAAAGAACATGGCGCCCACCGCGTAGCCTAGAACTTCACCCAGCGCGATGTTCAACTGGTAGAGCGAGACCAGGTTACCGCGAATCCTACTGGGGACTACACAAGATAGGTCAGTGAGAGAACTTTACCAACCATGGCGAGCCGAGGAGACAAGCGCTACATACCAGATTCAGCAACATAGACAGGGACAGTACCTCCCTCGAGACCGACTCCCATACCGAGGACGAAGCGGCCAGCGAACATCATACCAAAACTGATCGCGCCGGCCATCAATCCCGCACCAATTGTGTAGAGGACGCAGGAGACAATGATGGCCATACGTCGACCGAGATACTCGTTGGAAGGACCAAGGATCAGAGCACCCCCCACGGCACCGAGGGACATGCCGGCATTGACCAGACTGGCTTGCGAAGCCGACAGATGGAGTGCCTCCGGCATGGTGAGGTTGGCACCACTAATCAGCGACTGGTCGAGACCAGAAAGCAGGCCACCCAGCGAGGCAAAAGCCACGAGGACGTAGGTAAAGAGCGCAGGATTGGAAAAGCCGAGCTCGAAGCGAGACTTCTTCACACCCTGGAGCTCTTGTTCGAGCTGCTCAAGCTCGGCGTCCATGGCAGCCTCGTTGAGGGCCTCGGCTTTGGGGTCGTTTCGAATATCGTCCATCTCGACAGCGACCTCTTTATGATCCTCATGAGGAACCTCAGCATCTTTGGCAGTCATGATGGGCAAGAGGTGTTGTATGAAGGTGTGATAGACAGGAGCCCAACTACTGGGGGGTGTTTCAGGCGTTTATCAAGGGTACCCTGCTCAGAAGTTCAAGTAGGAAGCACAGGAAAAAGGAATTGTCACTCCCGAGGGCTCTTGCTTCCAATCTAGAGAGATAGGAAGATAAATTGCTTTGAAAGAGGACGATCATTACGAAGAATGGGACAAACCCGGGAGGTATTTATACAAGCACGGCATCCCGGGGTAAACGGACTACTACGTACGAGCGCGGGAGAGAGTTTTCACGGGGAAGTGGAGCAAAGAACGAGCGAAAGACAAGGGAAAGAACCAAGAAGGATCATAGTCTGAGGGCCCGTGGGGGGACTAGAGAATCGACTCTAGACCGGGGCCCAGCACTCGTCAGCTGGCCAGGCCGTAGCACTCGGTGATGGTGGGGGAGGAATGGTCGAAACTTAAAGAATGATGATCATGACCAGCAACCACACGATGGGGGAATACGCCGTGCAGCACGGAGTACACGAGTCCGGGATCATCCTTGTCGATGTGTTTGACTATGGCCTGATCCTTTTCATCGCTCATGCTCAAAGCTGGACTTCGAGAAACGACCCTCGATCTCATCCATATACCCCAGCAATACTCCACGCACGAAGCCTGAGAAACGGCGAACAAGTCCCGAAAGAAGCCCATCGCTGCTTCAATCCTCCAATTCTCCCGCAATTTCCTAGCTCAGGAGTGAAAAGTCACGCAATGCAACCCCAGACACCCCACGATGGAGACCAAGTCTCTCTCCGCAGCCAGTCAGGACGGACGGGGCCAGGCGATGCAGCTCTTCTCACCGTGCAGCCTGTCGCAGGACACATAACGACAATCCGAACCCTCGGCGGCACTTCGGTCGATTTCGCTCCAATCGGGATGGGCTGTGTCATGTGTGGCTTGCAACTGCACCCTCCACGACGATGAGGCATTTGGTGATAAATCCCGTCTGCGAGAATCGGCTTCGGGTGTTGCTCAATTGCCGGATTCGATGCTCCGGTCAGCTCCCGATTTAACACTAGCACTGCTGATTGAACACAACCCGAGACAGAAATAGTGAAAACTGAAGCCAGTTGGTGGCAACTTGGTATCTTGGTAGGTTAGCACCACACGCGAGGTTTTCATTCGTTCTAGTTGGGTTCAAGATTCGGTGCTAAAAGGCTTGGTGTTCCTGTCTTGCGACGAGCAATTTCACTTTTCAGCGACTGCTAGTCTGCTAGTGCTCAATCAACCGTGGGGTGAGACAATCCAGGAATTATTGTTGGGGAAAGTTGGGGACAACCTGGAGAAGATTGCGAGCATGAGCATTGGTCATGTGTTCTCACTTGACCTCTCCTACGCTACACCCTACGAGGCCAAAGCACTCGCCTAACAGATGCTGAAATCGCTAGATAAATATGCATAGCAACTAAAGGAGAAAGTAGATACACAAGGGCCAACGGCGCCCGCATTTGCTTGTATTGTAATCAATGACAGTCACCACCCAGCAATGGCTGTCGTCCGTTCACCCTAATTACTATTACCGACACCACCATTCTCAGCATCTCCAACCAGCAATACCCACGCAAGCACCCTCCCTATCTCCTTCCCGGAGGCATCCCACCAACTGGTTTCCGCGCAATCGGATCCGGCGCACCCGCATAGTACGGCGACCCCGGCCGACTACTACCCGGCGTACTCTGAGCAGGACTCGGCGACCGTCCTCCATGCAAACGCGCCCGAAGCCTCTCCTGCGCTGACGCAGCCCGCTCCAACGACACCTGGCCCGACATAGACTGGTACGATCCCGCACGCTGGCTAGGTAGCGGCCGCGCCCCGGACGGCTGTCCCATCGGAGGTGTAGGCGATGCCGACGGCGGCGTGGCCATCGAGCCGCCGGGTGCGCTGTGCACCATCGACAGCGGAGCGCCCGCGCTCCCCGGTGTCAGGCGTCCGCGTCGCAGACTGGCGGTTTGTGGTGCGGGCGGCTGTGCTGCTCCCGAGTCGCCCCAGAGATCGCTGAGGCCGCCGCCGCGGCCCTGTGCCGAGGTTGCCATGGCAGGGCCTTGGCCGTAGGTGCCGGGTTGGATCTGGGTGGTCGCGATGGTGCGTGACGGGGCGGGGCTCGGGGCTTTAGGATCGGGCGGCAGCCATGCGGGGTAGGGACGGCCCTTTTCGGCGTAGTAGGCGCGTAGCACATTGGAGATGTGAGAGCAGTCTTCGTTGTCCGGGTCGTCGGCTTCGTCGCCGGAGGTGATGGCGCGGCGGAGGGAGTTCAGGCGCGTGCCAAGATTGGAGATGGCAGAGGAGGAAGTGATCGATGAGAAGTAGGAGGCCATCTTGTAAGCGAGCTTGACGAAATTAGGTATGTGTAGGAAGGTAGGAAAAGACCCAAAGTCCAAGTACCAAACGGCAAAGGTGGTGGGGTCACGGCCGTTGCGGAGCGGATTGGGTGGGTGAGTGGACTGTGCGGACGCAGCAGTCAATATTGATTGGGACGAAAGAAGAAATCAGGATCAAGAGGTTCTGGGAGGAGTCAATCATGGAGCAGTCAATCTTGAATCCAGACTCACTGCCAGAGTGACCTATGGTTGAGTGATTGTCACCAGTTCAGTCTATCTCCGCGTTTCACGCTTGGACTCAGTCACCGCGGCACGTGAGCCTTCATTGGGAGGAGAACATACAGAGGAGTAACTGAACAATTGAAAGACCAACAGATTAATTCATTGATGTCCGTATAAACAAATGAAATTGTAAAGCTCCAATCAAACTGACAATTGCCGCATAACTAGATGCAATGACTGGGTATGACAAGCCCGATCGCAGAAAGTTGTAAAAGAGACCACATAACGCCGTGCACGTAAAGAAGCTATAACAGAATACTTTTCTTTTTCTATATCCTCCAGTGTCCGAGCTATCCCACTGACATCTAGGCAAAGACGCTCTCCTTGCCCACGCCTTCGGTCTCGTACTCGATCTCGACCCGAGGGCCCTTCTTCCGGGGCTTGGCTGGTGGTGCAGCACGCTTTCTCTTGGCTCCAGGCTTGGGCTTCTTGACATCCTCCTCCCCGCTGGAATGAGCGCTGGAATCCTCATCATCACTGTCTTCCTCCTCATCGTCATCGTAGTCATCGCTCGAGTCGGCCGAGTCGCCACCCAACCAGTCCTCAATGTCCTCGAGATCCTCATCCTCCTCGAGATCACTAACATATTCGACTTCGCCAACGCCCTCCTCCTCCTCATCCTCAATCTCCTCGCCATCATCGAGGTCCTCATCCCGCTCACCCTCACCCGTGCGCTCCAAGCCACGCAGCACCTTCTTCCAGATCCCCTCCTCGACATTGAGCGGCCGGTCACCATACGCACCGCTGCGCAACCGCTCAATAAGCTCACGCTCAATAGCCCTCTCCACCTTCGCCGCCGACTCCGCCTTGCGCTCCCTCGTCTCCTCCCTCCGCCGGATCTTCGGCGCCAGCTTCGGCACAATCCGCTCGCCCAGCCGCTCCTCCTCCTTGGCGATCTTGCGCATCCGGATCGCCACCTGCGTCAGCCGTGTGAGCCGCTGCTTGCACTTGTGAATGAGGAACTTGGGCCAGTAGATCAGCCGCTCGTCCAGCTGCTCCAGCGCCTTGGCGTAGTTCGACGATAACCGGATCCGCTCCCAGAGCTTGCTGGGCATGTGGGCGCGCTCGATCGTCTTCATGTACAGGTACATCGCGCCCGTTTCGGGATCAGACCGCACCGTGGCGTACCGCGAGTTGGCCAGCGGGCAGGACTGCCGGTTGCAGAGGCCGCTGACATTGTATTCGTTTCGGCAGAAGTTTTGGCCTTTGGTTGTCCTGATTGTTGCTGGTTAGTGAAAAGAATAAAAAAAAAAACCGTTCTATTCTCTTGCTTTTGCTTCTTTTCTTCTTGCTTTTTTTCACTGCTCGATTTGTTTTCGAAGACAATCGAGGAAATCACTTACTTGAGCTTGTAAGAGCAGAACTGCTGGTTGATAACCTGCCAGACAATCTCATCGGAGGACATGTTGATCAATCGTTACCCGGTAAATGTACCGGATACACCACAACCCTGCGCGTTGAGTGGAAGAATGGGTTTCGCTGCGGCTGGAGCAACTCGAAGTTGATTTTCCTCCGCAAGAGAAAGAAAAAAAAAGTTGCGGCAGCGACCAGTCACGTGGACGCTTGCTTATCGATAGCCCCTTATCGTTATCGACTCTTGTATCCAGCGAACAGCAAACAGTTATTGTGGTTTAGTACGGAGTACTTTAGTTTCAATCAAATTATCGTCGAGATACAGACTACAAGGGTATAAGTATTGCAATCAATCATGTACTCCACCTCGGCATGTACATCTACCATCCTTCCATCTGCAATGGAGCTCCGTCCCACTCCGTCCCGTTCATCATCGCGCCATTAGCAGCAGCCATTTCCGCCTCCTCATTCAGAAGCTCCTCGCCCACGAACCCCCAGCCCATCGCCTCCAGCTCTCGAACAAAGAAGTCCCGTTCCTCCTCCATCAAAGATGCGCGTTCCTCACCACCCATCACGTCCTTGTATCTCCGTAGATGCCACCAGTGGGTCAGACCTCGGAGGGCTTGTTCCAGCGGTAGTGCCTCTTCGACTTCTGCGTCAATGTCCGACCCTGCGAGCCAGTCGTCCCGTAGCTCCGGACGGCAGTAGAGATAGATCGCGGTAATCACGCGCATGTTGCTCTGCCGCCACTTGCGGCCGCAGTAGGGGACCTGGGACTTGAATAGCTTCAACGTGTAGAATCGCAGGTGGGGATCGGGGATCTTGAGTCCCTTTCGGAGAATCGTGCTAGATTTGTACTGGACCAGGAGCAAGCATCTGTGGGCCTTGTCCCGCGTGATCTTCTGCATGATATGCAGGTAATTGATGGCGGAGAAGAAGTTGCGGAATGAGAATTCGGTAATCGGTTCTTTCGGCTGCGATGCGATGGGATACCCCAGTTCGTCAACTTCAGGGCGAGCTTGGCCTTCTACAAATTCTGGAAGGGCTTCTTGGGGTGAAGGTCCCCGCACCGAGGAGGTACCGACGTTCGCGTCAGGGCGCTGGCGGAGAATGGGCGGAGGTACAGCCTCGTCTTCGCTAGCTGACGACTCCTCCTCGGAATTCTCTGCCGAGTCTGGGGGATGGTCTGAGTTAAGGTGACAGAAATGGAAGAACCTTTTTCAAGGTTAGCCGAGTCGATAAAGGGATTGTCTGCGAAGAACCTACCCAAGCTCCTCGCGGTCATTCTTCTGCGCTATTGCCTGGTCGATATCTTGATGCGCAAACATCTTCAAGATCAAAGGCAAATAATTGGAATCGAGCAACAACTGAGTCATATACTCAAACTTGAGTATATCTAAAACCTTGTTAACAAATCGTTTTCCAAAGGCGCAGGCTCTAGGCTTACGGGATCTTTTGAACCATTTCAACATGAGCAAAAGTGATCCAGATATCGCTTTCCCGGTGATCTCCCGCAATCGAAGATTATCCAACTCGTCAATCGCAGCGTCGACGTTAAAGCTCTCTGGGAAGCCATTATGACCAGCTGCAAATCCATTGGGAGCACCGTAACCATCACTAGAAACGATGTTAATGTTTTTATTGCTTCTGCTTTGGCTTGGTTCAGTGTTATTGTGCGTACCCCATAGCGTGTCCATTCTGTCCATTTGCTTGATTAACCATAGCACTGACATTGGTCAAGACGATCTTTAAGAAGACGATAGTGACCGACTGTAGATGCACCAGAACCTGGGACTATTAAAGCGTTAGCATGCCATGTTCCTCACCGACTAGAGTGAACATACATAGAAAGATTCGACGGCATCTAGCCGGCGCTGGATATCCTCATTATCGGTCTCTTTGTGTGGAGCACAGTCCTGGCTCCGTTTTCGGGCGCCTGATAATTTGAGATCCTCCAGATCCTGAGCAATCTCATAGGATAAATCTTCCTCCTCATCAGGCGCACCATCATCCAGATACCATCCACGGTCATACTTCATGAAGCGCTCTCGCTCTTCCCAGAGCTGCCGCATTGCTCGGGTCATTTTCACATGCGTAGAAAAGAGCTTCCCGGCCTCAATGACCGATGCCGGCACATCACTGCCTTCCCACTTCTTTCCTACAAGCGTATCCTGTCGTTCAGTCGTGCCCTTCCCGCCAATATCATTGCTGGAATCATCCAGAGGCGGGTACATAAAGGGAAAATTTTGATTCGTCTGATAGTTCTGCTTCTTCCCAGCTTTCCCCCCTGGCCCTATGGGTGATGGAGGAGGAGACGGAGCCGGAGTCGCAATGTGAACAGACTGGTGAAGGATCGAGCCGTTTCCGCTAGCCATGGAGGGACCAACGCCCGAAAAGAGGCCATTGGATGAGTTCACCCGGTTCGAATGTTGAGGCAGAGGGGGAAGGATCGAATTGCTCTCCAGTTCCAGAGGTACCGCGAGAGGGGGCGGGTTATAAGCAGGGTATTTCGATGTAATTTCTTGTCGAAACAGATGATAATCGAGAGGCGATGCAGTCAAAAATGGTGTTCTTCGGTTCGAGGAATTCTCTCGCGCCTCCATCCGAGGCTCCAACTCTTCTTTCGCCTTCTTTAAGCTCTCGGTGCCTCCGAAAAAGAGAAGCAGTGACTTCCAAAGTAAGAGAATAATCCTGGTCAGCGGAATGTTGGCGGAATCATCCCACCGCAACCGGGCGATGACCTCGACAAGGAACACAGGTAAACTTGGCTTCAAGCCCATAAGTGTGTCGCGCACAGATGTATTCCGGGAATCATGCTTCTCTTGACGTCGGCCGATCTCTACGACTACATACAAGGTCGTCAATACCAGATTGGCCTCGTGCTCAGAAGCGGCAATATCGAGGTTCGACACCGGACCATCCGAGTCGGAGCCCGGTGCGGCCCGTGGCTTCCCCAAAGCATTGCAGAGACATTGTAGCAATGGCTCAAGCCCTGAACATTCATTAACAAGGTTGACGTTCCTCTCCATCCAGGTGATCTGGAGCGATCTGGACTTGGGAGTATCTGTGACAGCCTGCGGAGATAGGGTCTCGGGATACTCAGGAACTGCCCGCCCAGCAGTGCTACCCCATTCGCCAGTCACAGTATAGCATATGATTTCTAAGGCTTCATTGCGAACAGGGAGCTCGGTTTCCTGCAAAGCATCGATCATCTGGGCCATGAACGATTTCCGTAAGTCATAAGAGGCATCAATCCACGATAGTCGCACGGATACGGCAGGCTGGTCCTCACAAAAAGCAGCCCACTTCTGCTCGAATGCCGATTTCATGCCACTGAGCATGACCCGGTCAAACTCGCTGTACTGGAACCATTCTTCAATCTCCTCGACAAGCGGTTGCGAGTCAGCATACTCAAATGCATAGGCAGGCTGATCCACTTTCGGCATCTCCTGCACGAGCTGTCTCAACTGCGCCAGACTCAACGAGTCTGGCGGTCTTTCTGAGCTCTGCTGCCCCGGTGCTGGAGGCGGAGGCTGTAAAGGCGGCGGGGGCGCTGATCCATCTCGACGCAATTCTGGGCGCCTGGAGGATTTGGGCTTGTGCTCTTGCAGCCCATTCTGGAGAGGAGCAGCCGCGTTGGAGGCCTGATCTTGACGCAGTCCTTCCGCAACCTCCTCCATCAGCTGTTCATCCGACAGGGTGGTGATGTCGGTTCCAGTTTGGTCGACTTCATCAGCCTTGACGATGTGATGTTCCTCCATCGCGGACCTTTCAGGTGTTCCAGCTTCATCCATTCTTGGAAATTTATTTGTTGGGTTCCCAGTGAGTCACGGGAAGAGAATCGATAGTAGGAAATGTCACTAAGAGAGCAAAAAACAAGGGTATCTTCAAAGCACGACCAATACAACGAAAGAGAAAGGAAAATGATGGGCATAAAATCTAAGAATCGTAAAAGAAAAGAGTTCGTCTTGACATTGTTATCAGTAAGAAAGATTCATCCTGTACGGCAACTCTAACACATTTGCAACAATAATACATGGGAGATGTCAAAAGTATCTCTGGCGGTGGACGAGCCACGATGGGGATCACGTGACAATGTTCTCAACTATGCAAGAAGCACTACGCCGACATATTGTCAGTTGAATCAGAATACGGTGCCTTTCATGATGAAATCAAATTGATAAACCCAGTTCGCTGGGCCCTGGGGGCCTATTTTGAATGTCAAACTACCGGGATGTAGGTCATAGCATGATAGAACAAGCGTAGAGAAGACTACACGGTGGTCTTCTTGATGGCGGTCAGCTAGAAGACTGGAGTATACATGTATTATGAGCATATCATGTGCTTGGGAACGCCAGAAACGGGTATCACAAAATGGACCAGCGAACGAAAAAAATCTCCACCTGTCTGATCGGAGAATGCTTCAAAGAGATACCAAAAGTTGAGGCACGCCAGCCGCTAATCCGACTTGGGTGGCCGACGCTTACTGTGACCCGGCCGCTTTAACTTTCGCTGCGCTTCCCACTGCTGCCATCCGGCTTCTGTGAGATCTTGACTCACCACCAAGTCCCGAAGTCGGGCTAGACGGGATACCCCCAAGTCCAAGGCCCACTCAATGTATCCATTCGCCCGTAAAACCCCCGTCACGAGGTACCAAGATACTGCGCAAAAGACTCCAGCAGCACATCCTGCCAGCACTTGTCGGGGAGTATGATAGTTCAGGTAAATGCGGCTCACGGCCACCGCACTGGCTCCGAGGCACAGGCCGATGGCCAGGACGACCCGCATGAGAAAGTAGGATGTGGAATCGGGATTCGGAACGTGCCGAACGAGGAGAAATAGGCTCAGATAGACGGCGAAGAATGCGACGAATTGGGCATGAGATGATGGCATACCATAACCCTTGCCGAACATCTCTGAGGTCGACCCATTGGTTAGCATCGATCAGGAATCATGACTGCTAAGGTCCTCGCATACGCTTCGGTCGTTCCTCTTTGATGATCCGCTTGAGAACGAAATTCAGTGCCTCACAGCCCAGTTGACCGGCAAACATCAAGCCCACCTCCACTTCCCTCGAGGCCCAGATTAGAGTCACGTAGGCGACGCATAGTGCTTGTGGGACCAGAGCAAGCCAGGCCGATAGGAAGGAAAGGGGATCCTCGGGGTTCTGGTCATCATGGTGTACATGGTCAGTTTCTTGATTCGGTCTCCGCTCTAGTATGAATGAGAGATGACATGACCTACATAATGTACGTGGGTTAATGATAACGAAACTAGCGGAGTTTCTTCCATCTTGGCTTGGTGAAGATTCGGGGGATCTGTTGTTGTGAAGTTTGGATGAGCAAGGGATCGTAGATTCGTTCTTTATACAGATAGATAGAGGATCAAATAGAATTCGAGAAGAACAGCATGATGAAGTGTCAAGATGACCCCAAAAAAACTATTGACACTCAACCCTGGAGCACATTTCCACCGAGGGAGCGACTGCAGGGAAGGTCACTATTCCGATATGATTCCCATCCAGATCGAGAGTTACAACGCCAGGACGCGGGATTGCCGCTTTAAGAATGCTTATCCCATCCGCTTTTATCGAAGCCTCAAACAGCACTGGAAATGAGGGGGAGGGGATGCCTTATAACATACCCAGTACGAATATCAACAACAACAAGAATCAGAGCACTGTGTCTACAGAGTAATAATAGCAGGACAGATTATCAATCGGAATGACCTGGTCAAGTAGACAGAAACGTATAGATAATCAATGCCGCTGGCTTAGTGTAAGAACAGAGAGACAGGATGCAGTGGCAGCAACAAATAACAATGGGCAGCAACAGTTCCTTTTTTTTTTTTTTTTTTTTTTGATGCCCCATTTTTTCAGCTCGTTTTGATTACTTCTGAGTCACTGCGACTGCTACTACTAAATATCTCATCTTCCTGCTTCTTCTCTTCTCTTCTTTTCTTTCTTCCCTGGAGTTCCTCCATCGTCCTCCTGTCGACCTACACTTGCTTGATATCAGCCTCCTTTTCCCGCTACTCGTGTCGGCTTTCTTATCTCTCTCTTTATCATGATGCACTTTCCCCCGCGTTCCTCTCATCCAGAATTTTTATTCTCGTACTCTTACTCTTCTTCTTCTCCTTCTTCCTATACTTCTACTACTACACCTTCATCATCTGCATTGTTGTCGTGGTTATCGTCATCGCCGTTGACAACACAGGCCGCCACTAATCGCGTTTTGGTCACCTTGAATTCTTCTGGTTTGAGGGTGTCGTTACCTCCATGAGCCTGGTGACCTTATTCCTATAACATACACAGTATACCGTAAGTCGCTCCCCTTTCGTTATTGGTCTTTCCTCTAGCCATTTGACTAATCCGTGATTATCCCACATGGATGGATAGGCTTCTCGTTTGTCTCTTTTTTTTCTTTCCCGATAGTTACTATACCCGTCGCCCCTCCCGTCGCTTGCCACCAACTTCATCCTTTCTTAAGAATCCACCACAATTGAGATCTCTTGTGGGGAAGATTATAGACGGCACGAGATTCCCAATTCTTGGTATATACTATGGTCTTGTTTGGAACCACCCCATCCAATCTCCGCCTCGCCACTTGATATATCTTCTTATCACGATACTCTTTTTTTTTTTTTCCTTTACCTCTCGTGCATTCATACACCGTGACTCTTCCGTCGATCCGCTCGCTTCAGGGCCCTCTTCGCAATGACCGAGTCCGATTTCTACTCGGAAGATGAACGCTCCGTCGAGCTTTCATCCATCGCTGCTATCTTCCCAGAGATCAAGGTCGACCCTGCTTTTCCCTTCAGAGCCTCTTTAGATATCCCCGTCAAGCCTTCGATACCTCTACCTGTGTGCTTCCAACAACAAATAGACAGCGGGTTTCCAACCGTCCTGACCCCTCCTACATCCCTAGATGCTAGTGAAGTCGGACTCGGCTTTGCGGCGAAAACCGGACTCGACACATCGGCCGTGGATCTTGACCGCGATGTTCATACCCTCTCACACCTCCCACCACTCAGTCTGGAGATCGATCTCCCGGAGGGCTATCCCTCCCAAAATCCACCAAGGTTCAAACTTGATACCAACCCACCATGGCTTCCGTCCTCGATCAACTCACGGCTAGTGGAAGATGGCAAACGTCTTTGGGAAGAATGCGGGAAGGATCAGGTCGTGTTTACCTACATTGATCACCTTCAACAACTAGCGGATTCAGCATTCGGGATTAGCGACATTGCTGACCATGAAGTGCAGCTTCCCCGCGACCTCAAGATCGCTCTGTTGGATTTCAACAACAAGGCTGAGCGGGAGAAATTCGAGCAAGAGACCTTCGAATGCGGGGTTTGTCTTGAGCCAAAGAAGGGATCCGTTTGCCACCGCCTGCTGTCGTGCGGGCATGTCTTTTGCGTGCCCTGTCTGCAGAATTTCTACAACAGTTGTATCACGGAGGGCGATGTGGACAGTGTCAAATGTCTGGCCCCCAATTGTGCCAAAGGGAAAGACGATGCCCCCGGTCCTAACAGCGGCGGGAAAAAGCGGAAGAAGCATGACCGGACCCTCAACCCCAGTGAGCTACTCCAGATTCCACTGGAGCAGGAAACCGTACAGCGCTATGTTCTTCTGAAACGGAAAAAGAAACTCGAGTCCGATAAATCAACTATTTACTGCCCCCGGCAATGGTGCCAGGGCGCTGCTCGATCCAAGAAGCATCCGAAACCCATTGACCCTCTGGCAATTGATGACTCGTCTGATGATGATGAAGACGAGGTTGTGTTCGATCCCGAGGGAGATGAAACTCAACTGCCTCCCATGGCGGATCGCGTTGCCATCTGCGAGGATTGCAACTATGCCTTCTGCTGTGTGTGCAAAAAGGGGTGGCATGGGGAATTAGTATGGTGCTTCCCTCGCCGAACAGCTGAGCTATCAGCCGAAGAAAAAGCGACGGAGGAATATCTTCGGCTTTATACCTCGCCTTGCCCAACATGCAATGCCCCTTGCCAAAAACGCATGGGCTGCAACCATATGATATGTTTCAAGTGCAACACCCACTTTTGCTATCTCTGTTCGAGCTGGCTGTGCGAAGACGATCCTTATCGACATTTTAACGATACCAACAGCCAATGTTACAACCGGTTGTGGGATCTGGAGGGTGGCGACGGCCTCAACCCCGAAGGAGCCGAAGTTCTCCATCAGGTCCCCAACGAATTATTAGTGTTTGAGGATCCAAGTGACGACGAAGATGGCCCTATCCTGGGCTTCGACGACGGCGATAATGAAGTGAGACGCCGAAGGCGACCACCGCCGCCGGCTCCAGTACCGCCACGAGTCAATCAGGCAGCGGGCGGTGCTGGTCATCGTGAGCCTGGAAATGATGCCAATGGCCTAGATGCGGCAGGCAGGGCCGCCGCCGCGGAACGACAAGCGCAAGCTCGAGCGATGGCCGAGGTGCGAGCACGCCCCGTAGCCGATCGACCCCCGCCCCGGCCCGATGCACAAGCTATAGCCCAACCGCCTCGAGCAGGGCGAGTCCACCGACCAGCTCTCCAACGATTCCTGGACTTGGTCCAAAACGACCGTGAAGACGAATGGGACAGCGATGAACTGGATGATGATTTTTAAAACTCAACTATTGCCACGATATACACGAGAACAAGACTTGTTCCACGACCTTTATACATGCCAGCCTTCACGAATTCAATTCTTGGAAAACGATCCATTGCATCTTGCATTTTCCTTTCTATACCAACGTTACGATGACTTTGATGTTCCATATTTGCATCTCCTGAATCTCTATTATTGTCAGCGGCATCAACTACTTCTAGCATTGCGTGTTTTTTCTCAAAAAGCTATACCTCTGCCACAATATTGTGTAAATATCTTAGATGTACAAATCTCAGAAACTACTTTCAGTTTCCTGTTCAGCTCTAATGAGCACTCGACTCACAAAATGAATTTTCAAACATTGAAAGGTCAATCACAGGCTGGAAGTATAGTAGCAAAATGCAAAGTATATCTTGTCCTATAAACCTCTTGACAAGTCGACATGCTCTTGAGCTCCAAACACCCACTGATCCTTACGGGATACATTGCCCAGTCCAAAGAGATACACTTTTCTGAAGAAGAAGGATATATGAACAAAGGAGTAAAGAGACACAATAGCAAGTGTAAAACTACTACATGTATCAACGTCAATGCGCACGCCATTTTCACTACCAGATACAACCACTCTTCCACAAGCAATAAGGATGAAAGCACGCGCAGATGCAGAAAATCAGACGTATATTTAATAGCTTAGGCAGTGTTTCAAATGATGAGAATTTCATCTTCCTCCATCCCATCTTCCCCGGCCCTTTCTCTCGTGTTCCAGTCGTACCAGAACTCATAGCTCATCACGCTATGATCATCGTACATGAGCAGCAGGCGATAGCGACGCGAAGGGTTCCAACCGCGCCAGGGCTCGTCGGGCTTATAGGCGCGCGTGGCCCTAGCATGGCACTCGGGCAAGGTGAGCGGGTATTGTCGTTCGCGTGCTGCGGCGGAGAGTCTCAAGCCGGGGCCGAAGGGGAATGTCGGGCTCTGTTTCTCGTGGGTAGATGGGTGTCCTGGATTTCCGTCCCGGCTAGAGTGTGGGAATGTGGTGTTGTTGCTGCGGTCGTGGTTTAGACTCCTGAATCTGAAAACTGCGTCTGTGCTGTCGGCCCCGTGGCGGGGGATATATGGTACATCGGAGGGTATCTCGAACCCCTGCATGGGGCTGACGGCCATGCCGAGCAGCGGGACCAGGGGCCGGTCGCCGAATTTCTCTTGGCTCTCGAACGGGACGATCCAATCGACTCTGAGAGACAGCCCAGACTGCTGGGACTGCGTAAGAGCTATCACCGCTGCACGGCCTTTCTGAGAAGCCGCAATCACGATACCGTGCTCGGGGATGTACTTAACCATGTTGAAGCGGTCGCACGCCCGTAGGGACACAATCGGCCGCGTGAATGTTTGCCGTAACGGAGAACCACACATGACACTTGCGTGTGGTGCTAGAGGGTGAGGAAGCAGGCGGATATCTGTTTGCGAAAAATGTAGAATCGGAAAATACAATTGGAAGAGAGCTGGAGCCAGTGATCCGCTGTGTCAGCACACGAGCCTATAGCTTGAAGGGGATCAACAGGGGATCGCATACGATCAGAAATCGGGTATGAAGCTACTTCTGCAGCAGAGAGAGCATCGCTGTCGGAAGAATGGCCCTCAGTATCCTCCATCTCATCGTCGCTATCGTCAACATTATCGGCGTCTTCAATATCGGCGTCTTCAATATCGGAGTAATCCAGGTCGTCATCAAAGTACTCTTCAGCTCCAGGGATATCTCCGCCCAAAGCCTCCAGAAGCGCAAATTGAAGAAATTCTGCGGTTGTGAGAGGACCGTGACCGTGCCGACGGCGGATTTCGTCCATCCCCTGGCCAAATCGGTCCAGAGCATCGTCACCGTGCAGGCCATTGGCATCCTGTCCTGTAGCTTGCTGGTTTCTACCGGACTCCATCCCAGTGCTACGACTGTCGCTATTTTCATCCTCGCGAGCAGAACCATCCACTGCACGGTGGCTGAGAGTGTCGGCTAATTCCGAAGGCCAATTGCTTTGTCGGGCTGATCTCATGCTTTCGGAAGAAGTACTGTAGCTCGAGTGCTGACTTTCATTCATTGCCGGGCCATCTTCGACCATAGAATCGGCGCCGCAATTGCTTGCAAAGCGAGGGAAGCGCGTGCGGTTGTCGATGCGGCAATCTGCTCCGAAGATATCCGGCAAAGTTGGCTGATCAGGCTGAGGCCTAGACGCAGGTGGGAAATAGCTGTAAACATGTGATACGTCTGGTACATGGTTGCTCAGTTTTGTGATATTGAGAAATGCCTGGCCACGCTTCGTCCGGCGCACAGGCTGACCACCACATGCCTTTTCAGTTGATTTGGCTAGGTGAAAACTGCGTGGATCAAGAGCAAGGACTGTCCAACCTCTTTCACTGCTATAGGTCCCAAAGGTTAGCACATAGATTCGAAGCATTAGGAAATCATTTTTTCTCACTCGTTACGCAAGCTTTCAGGGAAGGACCTGAAGCTAGTTTCGTTGAAGTGATACACGTTGAACGGGCCAAGGCTCTCCCATATCTTCCAAACCAGGAGCTTGTTATCAATATCGGTACTGACCATCCACGTTCCATTAGGATCGAGATCAGAATTATAGAATGAGACAGATGGTATGTTTGAGAAGTGGCCTGTGTACGTAAGCTTGATGTTCCTTGTGCGGTGCTTGTCTGGCATCAGCCGTTGTAGCTGCGAAAATTGTTCATTGCTCCTGATATCCAACCAAGTCTGATCGTAGTCTGTAAAATCATACTCCTCCTCAATCTGCTGACTTGAACTGCAGTCATCTTGAGAAGTAGGATTCACTAATGCAAACGCAAAGACAGTGACAAGCCCAGTGTTCGCGCTTACAGCGATGAGCCGCGCGAATTTGTGTATCGCCAGTCCCCAGGCACTGGCTTCCACATATTCAACAAAGAACGGGTCGACTTGGGAGTCATCAAGCGGGCGCTTATTTTTACGTTCCCCAGCCCGCTTTAGAGCCGAGAAGATTGCCTCGACGCGGTAGCCACAAACATTCCCGGAATCAGTGACAAGCAGCAAGACTTCCTCACGACCGAGATCATCCACAAGGATATTATTGATAGCATGCGGGGCGTTTGGTGAGATGTAGCCACTGCCATGGATCTCTTTCATTACTGGAGTTATGATCATCTCGGGTTCAGAGCCGAGCATCTGAAACGAGCCGGCAGGCTCCCAGACGTAGATTTGATGACGGTACGCAACAAACAGTAGGTTACGACGTTGAGACAATGCGGTCTATGGGTACATCAATACGATGATCTGGCAGGGTATACAAATAGAGCTCTGGCTTACAAGATTGTTTCGCCATGTTGCCGTCCGAGGAGGACCGGAATCTGTTCTTCAACGCCACCAGTGTCACTCAAAGTAGTTGCACAAACTGCAGAGGTCAACTTACGCCGAGAACTATGAAAAAAATTAGCCAAAGTCATTCGATATCACAGAAAAGAATAGTATGCGACGCACTCTCTTTGATCCTTTTTCGACATTGAGTGGTCGGAGATGTAGGCCGTCTCCAGGACGAGGCCCTCTATCAGAGCTGTTTTGAGATGCCATGATCGACAAAATACGATAACATTTATTGATATGAGAGTAAATACTGAAACAAAGTTGATGTACCGAGTGTCAGATAAGCACACCAGGCGAGGGGGGAAGACGACGACAGGAAGATGTTATTGTCGTCCCCATAACATGAGGGGTATATGTATCAGATCGAGAACGACATCACCGGGCTATCGGAGTGTGCTGGATCGCGTTAGATACATGAAGAGGGAGCATGTCGGCGGTGTACGACACAATAAATATTCGAAGCCGCCTCCCCAAATGTACGCGATCAGTTGACCCTGAGAGATATATACTTGATCTCTACAGAAATGGCGATCAATGAGGTCAGCCAACAATACTGTTGATGCCTCAGGCGGAGAGTGCACGTGCCATGTTTCCCCTTCACAGCGCGCAGCCAAATCCAATTTGTCAACACGCCTGCAAGAAAGCCGTCGACAAAAAAAGGGTTTGCCAATATGGATCTTGTTGCAGGCGTTCGCAAGGAAGGCAGCCGGTTAGTGCGATTCATAATACCCCTCGGCCACTCTCCCGCAACAAGGATACTGATTTCTACAGTGGCGGCCGCAGCGAGTTCAAATGGTCCGACGTCAAGGATTCGTCGCATCGCGAAAACTACCTCGGCCACTCTTTGATGGCGCCTGTTGGTCGCTGGCAACAGGGCCGTGATCTACAATGGTACGCAAAAGGCGATCAGGACGACGATGAACAAGCTCGGAGAGATCGCGAGGAATTACAACGCGTCAAGCAAGTCGAGCAGGAAGCAATGGCACGAGCATTGGGCCTACCCCCGCCACCATCAAGTGCCGATGGGAACGCCAACCTTACACCTCTAGGTGGGCTGAATGAGCAGAAGGCGCTACATGATTCGGTCGACGAGGATATTGCGGGTAATAAAGTGGCTAAAGGTGCCGGACATGAATCGCAGCGAAGCAGACGTCGCGGCGACTCTGACAGACATAAAGCTGCTCGACCAGACTCGGGTTCGCGGGATAGCAGAAGACGAAGGGGCGAACGGAGTCGGAGTCCGAGAAGGGACCGTGTACGAGATCGTGCAAGTGACCGAGACCGAGACCGAGAGCGCAGGCATCGTAGGGACCGCGATGGGCGCGAACATCGCCATCGGAGTCACCGTCACAGCAGGTCCCGCTCCCGTGATCGAGAACAGCCGCGAAGGCGATCCCGCTCACGGCTAAGGAGCAGGGACAGGAAGGCCGATGACGGCCACCGGAGCCGTAGAGATGACCGTCAGGGAACACACCTTAGAGACCACGAGTCTGACTATCATCGACGGCGTTGATCTTCACCTACACCAAATTTACGTTCTGATTACCACATGGATATTGGCGTTCGGGTGCAAGCGTTACTATACAGTGATTCGATTTTTTCTAAATTACACCAAGATCTTCAAACAACTCATTCTGCAAGGTTACAGCTCGTCGTGGCTTGCGCGCTCAGTGGCAGGCAGATCAGGCATTGTCATGATCTTCACCACCATGCTGGTCCAACCGGTGAAGTGTTGCGTTCGCTGACCTTTACCTGTTTCCGGGTTGTACTGTTCCCAGGCAAACCCGGTATCTTTCCATTGTCTGAAAACATTTTCAACCAGATTTTTCCGCAAACTCGAGTACATTTCACGAGCTTGTCCCTGATGGGGACCAGGTGTCGTTGCAACATCCTAATGGTATGGTCAGATCTCTAGTGTAGGGGAGCTTGATGCTGCATGTACTCACATGGAGGTTCTTGACCACCAAATAATTGATGGGCATCCAGATCGGGCTTCTCCAGTAGTTCTCAGCAGTGCCGTAGAACTCATCCTTCTTGCTCAGACTGCGGATACCGTAATCACTCCAAAGCTCTTCGGGGTCGCTAATCAGATCCAGGACGGCCTTGAGTCGAGGACTATCGGGTCCCAGAATGCCCGTCAAGAATGGGAAGAGCGAGATATAACCCTTGTGGCAAACATGAACACTTTCTTCGTATTCGTCGATGGTGGCGTCGCAGTACGTCTGGGCCTGATCATCCCAATGGAGATCTTCGATGTTTCGTGCAATCGCTGTCTCATAGCCCCTGAATTCTTGGGCATCCTCAGTCTCCCCAACAAACTCGGCGATACGTCGCATAGCACGAGTCATCATTCCCATCCAACTAATTAAATCCACATGAAGCTCTCCAGGGTGGGGAGGCTGTGGGCGAGGATAGTCATCAAGGCCAGATGTCAGGATATGCTGGACAGAACGTCCCCTCCAGCGATACGCTTCCTTTGTGGAAAATGCTTCCCGGTCATACGACTTGATGTCACCCTTTTGTGTGGTTCTGTACCAGAAGTAATGTTTCCTGAGCAATGGGTAAATGGAGCGAATATATGCTTCGCCCAATTCCGGATGCTGCACGTAGGCCGAACGAAGGTTGTCCGAGACACCCTGGCTTGTAGAACTCTGAGATGAGCTATCCCTGCCTGCCTCAAGCTTGTCCAGGAAAGACTCCAAAACCATGAACAAAGTTGGGGGATTGGCATAATGAGGGTACTGAACTGTGAATTCTGGCGGGACTTTGCTTCGAGCTTCAGCACCGAGGATCTGCTCCCGAGCAATCCAGCCGTCGTCATCCATCAAGTGTAACCAGCTCTTGACGATTTCGAGCCTATATCAGAGTCAGCTAGTCATATCCGAGGACCAACGAATTCAATAACAGCCAAGGATGGTGTTGCATACGCAAGATCAGTATCCCATTCGATCACAGGAATCAAGTGGAAGCCTTCATCCCACAGAAATCCTCTGGGAAAGAATGGGCGAGAAGGGACACAGGTGAACAGATCTTTGGGCCCTTCAAGGACAGGCTGTGCTCGTGCTCTTGCCTCGGCTGTTTCCTCCCAGAAACCCTCATTCTCCTCGTCATACTCTGGTGCTCCCGACCGGTCAACAACGTCATCTCCATGGAAAAAGCCAATGCCACCGACAAGATTCGACAACATCGCCTTGGAGAATTCGGAATATTCCGCGGTTTGAAACGGAGATTGTGGTGGAATGACCTTGTCAAAACGCTCAGAGAACAACTCTGAGACGCTTGCGATCTCCTTGGTGAGACTCTCAGCTAAATTGAAGATATTAGCAAACTTTCGGTCAGTGATACTGAAAGAGAATCATACTCGTCACGGGGTTGGAAGAAGATCCGGAATTAAACAAGATATCAAACTGCAGAGAGTGAGTCATGCATCAACAACAGGGGTAAGATACATTACCTCGAAGGGGCCCTTGAAGACCTTCTGGACGAAATGAATGTTTCCCTCACCAGGTGCGTTCTTGATGGTGAAAACTTGCGGTGGTGGGGGAGGGTTCTCTGCGCCATATTTCTGGATGATCTCGTCGACTTCGGACTTCATCTGTCCAAACATAATAGCTATGCATACTGTCAGCATTGTGCTGGTTACTGTTGGACTAACTGGAGAGGTGAACCAACCCTTTGCCTGCCAGAGATTCTCGGGTGCAATGGTTGAGCTTGATACCAGAGTACGATCGAGAGGCTTGTCCTCGTGAGCAGGGTGATCAATTTCAGGATGCCCATTGCTCTCAGGACCCGCAGTCACGTCGATCGAGAAGTCACCAAGCTCAGATGTATAACCTGCCAGTTTCACGTCGCCTGCAAACCCAAGAGGTTCCGATTCTGTTGTGACACCCAGGTTGCCCAACCCCTCCAACGAAGCATAGAAAACGACCGATGTAGGTTGGTCAGGGGGGGCATCGTCCCGGGGAACGCCTTTGACTCTAGCAGCCCAGCTGCCACCATGTTGTCCACCAGGAACTTTGACGAAGTCGATAGTTAAATCTAGGGAGTTGCCAGTATCGTGTATTGTCTGTCGTCCGCCTTTCCGAATATCGTATTCATCCCAACCATAACCAGCCATGCCTTCATTCTGCTCGCAGGTGTGTCGGAAATCTTTGAGGCTTGATTAGCATTGGAGCGCCGTAGCCTAGCCTTCTGACGGAGCGGTAGTGTTGGAGACACATACTATTTTGCGCAGTACTATAATCGTCCACCTTTGCCCACATTAAGCCTGCGGAGAGACTGTTTGGAATACGAGGTCGGACTCCGAAATAGAGATTAGGCTTATAGGGACCCCATAACAGCGAGTCATTGTTGGCTTTCGCCGTCTCTGTAGTCAGGACAGATATATCATCTTCAGCGGAGGCTTGACTGGCAGAAACCACGGCATTGTGAAGCAACGGCGCCGCTAGAAACCATAATTTCAAGAGACGCATAATGAAGAGCACATCGGGTGAATGATGAGAACCTCTAAGCTAGCATCAGGGTAGGAATATGGGGAGATGCTGCAATCGGGATGTCTTGTTATCACTTATCCCGAAGCGGAGAGCTTGCAGTCTCCGCTCCGCATAGATTACGTGGCCCAAGCTCCTTGGTACCATAGAACAGCCAACTGGTGAATAATAACACAGATGACGACACCCAAGGATTCATAAGTCGCTATATAATGAATAGCAAAATTCTAGTCTACATACTGATGGATTCTCAAAGATAATTTCTCGGATCGAGAGACCCAATCTTTGCGCTCTTAGCCTCGCCATCGAAGACAAATTCGCTAATGAGCTTCCCAGTACCCGGAGCATTCTGAATGCCCCAACAGGTGTGCCCAGCAGCGAGATAAAGCCCTTTCGTACCAGTATGGCCAATTAGAGGACCACCCCGTACGGCTGTGACATTGGGCAAGTAGCAAGCTTGGCGTGCGCAGACCTGTCCGTTTCGAAGTAGGTCTGAAACGCTGCCCACTTGATCAATGATATCTTGACAACGCGCCTCATCCACTTCAACATCTGCCGTTGTTTTCGGGAGAGGGACAACTTGGTCACCTTCGCCACAAGCATAGACAGTCTCATCGGGGCGTGCATAGATCTCGGGTGACGCGACAGTGGGTCGAGAGGGCTTCGCCGGGTCGAAGTTGGCTGGTATTTCGATATTCGTGAACAGAGTATAAGCGCTCACCGGCTTTGCCGGTCGAATAACGACACTGTGGGCGCGCATTGCCGAAATGGGGGCTTCCGGCATAACTGCACGAGTCCACGGACCAGCAGCAATGATAACATCCGTTGCCGGGATCGTCCGTGATTCCCCCGATCCCTTATCCGAGAATGTGACGGATTGAACAGCATCATCCGCGTAGCCAATATTCGTGACTGATCCGAGTACAACTTCCGCGCCTTTCTCCTCGGCCAATTTTGCGATTGACGTGGTGAAAAGATAAGGGTGAACCTGGGCGGTCTCGCCAGGGCCACTCATGCTCTCGTAGTCTCTGATCAACTCAGGCTCGATCCAGTCAAGGTCTTGTGGAAATTTGGCCTTTTTAAGCTTCGTAAGAGCAGCTTCACTTCGCTTCTGGAGAGACAACGAACTTCCACGGTCTCCCCCATCCATATCCTTCTTCTCATTTAGTGGACGGCCTCGTGTGACAATTTGCCCACACCCAACCTCTCTGTAACCCCATCTTTCTTGGCCATTATGCTCCTTGGCCAAATCCGCATGGAGCTTGTAGCTCAACGGTACTATATTGCTTGGGTACGCCCATAAGGCCAGGAGCCCACCAGCCTTGCCTGATGCGCCCCCAGCAATCTCTGTCGCCTCGATGAGGGTCACCTTGTGGCGCAACGGGTCATAAGAAGGATGCCTTGTTAAGTAATATGCCGAGCAACAACCGATGATACCACCACCTGTTAAGGAAGTATTAGTTTCGCCAGCAATAACAGGAGGAGCGGGGTAAACTAAGATCATTTCAGATATCATACCGATAATAACAATTTCGCGGCGCTCGCTTGCAGCCGACATTTTAACAGATGTGATGACCTTGAATCTCAAAAGCCTTACAGAAGCTAACGTCGCAGAAGAATTTGGTCCTTGCTGTTAGTGTCTTGTATGCGAGATGTGGGGAAATAAGAACCTTCCAATACGTCACTCAAGTCATCTTGTTCCATTCTGCGTCAAATCCATCGTTTATCGATCTATGAGTCTCGCGCTTTCTATTGTTGAGGGAAAGTGATCAACATGGTATCAAGATTCTGGTTGCTCGTAGCCTAGCTCTTCTCTGATAAAAAAAAAAGAAGAGAAATATGAACACTGATAATATTCCGCCCAAAACTCAAATCCTGTAGAATTTGCTCATAAACAAACCCTGCTCCGAGAAATGCGCACAGCTGCTGATAAATGGAAAAAATAGCCTCGTGGGGAGGGAGAGAGAAAAAAAAAGCAAATTCCATTCAGAAGTCCCGAGGCATTGTTGTAGAATGAAAGTCGAGGTTGCCAAACGGCATCAGGGACTAAGAGGTCGGTTGAAACCGCCTACACGGTTCATGTACTGTCTGTACTCAGTCTTCTTCTCCTTCCGCACACCATAGACGTTATTCCCCGGTACTTTGGTGTTTTTCGTGCTCCGGAATCTTGTGAATCCCATGCTTTTGCGCATCATGACCTCCATATCATCATCTTCAAACGATGTATCCGGGTCCAGCTCCATTTCATCTTTGAATCGTCGCGACGGTGAGTTTGAGGTTCCATTAGGAGGTGGACGGTTTTCTTTGCGATCATCTCTGCGATCCCCTTTAAGACCTCGTGGAGGCGGCGTTCTGGATCTATCCCGGTGGCCGTTGCGATGTGGTGAACGGGAGCGATCACGGAATCTGTCTCGATATCCTTGAAGGCGTGAGGAAGTCTGATTGACCCGATATACCACGATGTTGATATAACATACCTCGTCTATCATGCTGCCTTTCTCGGCTCACGCTTCTGTCCCTCGGTCCTCGTCCATCTCTATCCCTGTCTCTTCTATCGCGGTCGCGGTCGCGGTCGCGCCGGTCGCGAGACCTAGTTCTTTCTCTGCGCCTCTCGGGCCGTTCTCTTGAGCGCGAACGATATCTTCTGTCGTCACGAGGCCCATCGCGCCGCCGATCGTCTTTAGAATATGCTTCACGCCGAGGGCTTCTCCCGATCTCTGAGTTCGGCTCAGGGGAACGTGTTATTCGGTCATCCATATCCCACATTGCCGAGCTATCGACTCGGCGCGCTCTTTTTGCTGGTGGTTCTGCCATTCTCGAATTTTGGTAGGCCGCGGAAATCCTGAGGTAGCGTCTGATAAGGGAGGTGCTTCTTGTTGGTAGGGAAGGCGACTGAAGAGGGGTACAGGTGATAAATTAAGAGGAAAACAAAATATTCATGATTGGTCTTAAAAAAAAATAGGGTATCAAATATCAGGAGATGCTGTTGGCTGAATTCTTTTGCTGAAGCAACCCCAAGACAGATGAGATAGAGAACGTGAAGATATTACGGTTTTCGATAAGTACCAGTTGCGCCACTAAACCAAATCAAGCCCTTCCAACCACCACTGCAACATTCGACGGCAAAAAACCCACAGGACTGTTCAAGACATTCTGCACTTATTTTCTAAATAAAGATCGCAGTCTTTCTCTAATGTTACATGAGATTTGCTCTTCGGTTGAAGTATCTGCAGGGCCTTCAATTCTATCCCTCGTCATTTAAGCGATAAATATATCATATCGTGGATCAGTATAACTTGAATCGCTCTGCTGATCAGTATTGTCATCAGTTGCTCAGCATATTATTTGTACGGTCATACTATATGAGAGATGATAAAATAAATTATACTACCTCTAACCGTATTGGAATTACATTGAGATCCAGATGAAGCTTTAATGTCAACTTGAGAGCATGACTATCTCCCCCAGGACATAAATAATGACATAGCACCAAGTAGGTGATGTTTCAGTCAGGAGCATGTATATCCTTTAACACCATTTCCATGATTATTATTTTCATTGCCCACTATGTACAACGGAAGAGCAGGAAAACGTGTGAGGTATGAGATAAAGGTAGTGGGTTGCCGTAGTTGCGCTACCGATATACGGAGGATGTCGACATCGGATTGCTAATTAGCTGTGACAGTGAAATAATGCAAGCCTAAAGTCAAGTAAGCAGTATGAAAAATGAGTTTGTCCACAACGATCTCTACTAGATATGCCTCGTCTAGGAGTGCTAGGTATGATGGGTTTCCTGAAGGCAGCATCATCGGAACATCACATGGAGCATGAGCTTGTACTGTTTGAAGCTATAAAGAAAGAGTTTGACATCAGTTCCAACACATGACGCTAGGGCGGCATGAGAAACGAGCATCTTGATAGTCAAGACCTAGACAGGAGTCAGGACTTTTGTCTCTAAGAGTCATAGGATGATAGGACAGGTTGTCAGGTTCATAGCCTGAATGGCAAAAGTAGTACCGAAAGCCGATGCAGGTGGCGGCCCGCCCCGCCGAGCCTCAATCTAAGCCAGAAAGAGAAAAGATCAATGACCTTGGGAAATCTTTTTGTTGCGAATTGACTTGATTTCTCCGAACCCCTCCAAATCGACACGACAGTCCCCCGCACCCCGATAATCTGCCTAGACTTCTCGACCGCATATATCGGGCACGCCTACTGCAGGCAGAAGAAATGGCTTCTTCAAATCTATCTCATCGGCAGACACATAATTTACTTCTAATCTCGAAGTTGCTCAGCCTCAGAGATACAGCTTCCCCACTCACGCTGGTTTTGGATTCCTTGGAACAACCAGCAACCCCTTTGATCCATGAGTATATTCGACGCGCAAAAGTAAGTGGCGTGAGATTAATCTATGCGTGTGGATCTAAATTGTATTGCTACTATTAATGCGATGATTATGCTCATCTTGTGCTGCCGCGCATGTCTTGTGAATCCTGCTGACGACCCCCAAAGCTATCGAAAGTCCATGTTACGCTCATAGCTTTTGAGACACTGAAGCCATTTGAAGGTGTCGATGCATTCATCAGGGCTCGACGAAAAACTCCTGCGGAGATCGCGAAAGAAGTAGGCGCAGCCTATCAACCAACATCTAATTCCCCATTGCGCCGTGAGTACTATAAAGTGCTGCTGAGTCTAACATCAGTCTAACTCCGGTCGCCAAAATTTTGCCATAGGTCGATTGATCCTTATTGACTCCATCAATCCACTCCTACGCTCTAAGAAGGCCGATGCGCAGTTCCACTTGCCAACTTTTTTAGGCTCGTTCATTACACCATTAGGGCCACCCCCCACGAAAATTGAAACCTCCCTCGTTGTTACCTTCCACCAAGATGTTCCCAATCCTCATCATGTCATGCCATACGCACCATCACCCCTATCAATGCTGAGCTACCTTGCGACAACAGTCATCAAGCTTCATTCTTTCTCGCACATTCTTGCACAGAAAGCTGCCCGTGATCGAAGCTTGGCGGCTCCAGTTTTTGGGCTTGAGGAAGAACAAGATGGAGTGCTACTTGGCCGACTCGACAAGGCATCGGGTAATGGTTCCACTGAGGGTGTCGTTCTAGAGATGGAGCACCGACGCAAGAGTGGACGTGGGGTTCTGGAATGGTATGTACTACCGCCAGCTTCGCGTTACTCACCCCAGCACGTCAAGGAGGTTGTGATATTACTCGACGATCATCCATTGTATCGTCCACCCGTCAACACCGACTTTAATATGGAGAACGAAGAGCCAGAATCGACGTTCGAACTCCGTCTTACCGAAAGACAGAGAAGAGACAGAGAAGGGGTTGTATTGCCATACTTCGACGCGCAGCAAGGAGATGGTCCTGGCGAAGGCGGCCGCATTCTGTACGATATGGGCGAAGAAGATGACTTCGATGAGGAGGAGGATGAGATATGAGATGCTCAACTTGGCAAGACATAGCGTCTATTGCAGCCACCTACTTGACTATAACCTCTGCTCTCAATGTGGCCTAATCCGAGATTCGCGCCGAACGAGTAGATTACGTGGTACCCCCAACTTCATCTCGCACCATACGAATTGGTTTGAATCTTCCAGTCTTGGGATCATGTGTCTATTCAGAGTCGACAAAGAGGCCAAATACGTGCGGCATGGTGATGTCCTGCATCCACGGAGAATATTAATAAAAACATACATTCAGATAGGCAGCCATTTCGCATTGAGCGCTTGCGCTGAGAATCAGAAGAAGCGAAGCCAGATCAAAAAGAGCACAAGGAAGCCGACACCCGCGAATGGCCCATACTATGACCCGTCAGAAAGCAATTCCACGTGATTAGTGGACATATTGCAGCACTCACCTGCTTCAGCAACAGTTCCCAATTAATGCGCACTGCAGCTTTTCTATATTTCTTGCTGTCCTCGCGCAAACGTCCTGACAGCTCACCCATACGCTCAAGACTATCGCCTCTGTACAAAAGATCCTCGATATTCTTGGTCATCACTTTGGTTACGTCACGAAGCTCGTCATTCAGGCGACCAAGATTCTGTGATGCACGGCTGTCCTGATAAAGCTTCTTGGTACGTTGAATGAATGTGTCGAATTCCACGAAAGCATATGGTCGGAGGGTTGGCGAGTGATATTGTGACGGGGAGTATGTGGTGGTAAATTCCGTGGCTAAATCCGCGAGATAGGTGAACGCAAGCTTCCGGGGGTATGAACGATCGCAAATGCACAGAAAGCAGACATCATCCTTGACAAGATAGCTAAACCCTGCATAAGTAGCTTTCTATGAAATGACGCATTTAAAGACCGTGCGTACTGTAAACTATATTGACCAGATTCAATACTGGCCTGTGGCTCCGAATTGCGACTCATCCGGCGGAAAATCATTTTAGCTTGTGACTTGATTTCGGAGAGTTCTGCTTCAGCCTAGGAAGAATAGTGTCAGTTGCTTTCAGTGAATCTGGCGTGAATGAGTTGCCAACTCACTTGCTCATCGTCCACTGACGCTGCCAACATCAGGCCTTCCTCTCAACATCAGCTATTGCATTGCTTCAACCTCTCCCTTTGCGTTTTATCTTACCGTCCAGCCTTGCGATTTGAGTTGATTTGACCATCCTGAAAGCTGTCGCAATTTGAGCACCTTTCACAGATAGCTGCTTTGCGGTAGAGTGCACTATCTATCTCAAAGTGTTGTCCTCTACAATGGCGCGCAAGCGCAAGGCGGTCGAAAACGGCAATATGAGGAAGCAACCGAAGAGGTACGGTCGCAACGTTCAGGGGACGTGGCATCGCCCTCTACCTATCTGTTGGAGAGGGTTTGCGCTTCTTTTTCAGGGAGCAATATCGGGCTTACAGTGATGATACAGACGTCGCGAAACAGACTCTGCTGATGTAGCAGATCTCAATGACGCAGGCGCGTCCAGCTCCGCGATGTCATCTACAAAAACTAGACCAAAGCGGAATCCTAGAAGGACGGCAAAGGATCCGTGGGAAGAGGAGAAGTTGATGACGAGTACTGCTTCTCAGTTGATCGATATAGATCTTGTGGTGTGTTTTGAAGTTGTTCATGACATACACTGCTATTACAGAGCTAACCTATCTTGCTTATGTTCTAGAAACTGCTTGCACGGCCTGAAGCCTGGGAAAACCTAGAAGAAAAGGAAAAGGAAGAGATTTTGAATCTTTTGCCAGAAGACATACACCCAAATCGCGATGCTGCAGCGGATGATTCTGGTGCAAAAATACCCCCGCTACCGGAGTCTTTCCTACGCTACTCAAACGTCTGGCGAGACAGCATCCGTCAATTTCAGTTAGACCTCCAGCATGGTCGTTATGACCCCGAGTGGCAGCGCCAGGCCCAGGAGGCTATGCGCGAAAGGGAAGCCGGGAAATTCGACAAATTCAAAGAGGATGAATTCGAAGAGTTCTGGGGTCAGAAGCAGAAGATGGATAAGACCATTGCAGCTGGACAGAGCTCCCAAGTCAAACTGAGCACGCTGATCGAACACGGAGTTGTTCGCATAGGCGACGTATGGAAATATTCGCGAGTCTTCGCTAACGGAGGCAACAAAGTATTGGTCGAGAAAGAGGCAAGAGTAAGTGCATGATTTCTTATCCACTTTTGTGCTTCGTCACGGAATTTCGTTGGGCTTACCATAAACAACGTGTAGATCTTGGAAATCAATGATTCGCGTCTAACGTTCGTCATTCCTCCTGGTCAGCGAGTCTTTCTGCTCGCGGCTTCGCGCTCGAAAAACCATAATTCCCAAGAACCTCCGAACACCAAGGACGCCGCAAGTGAGGTCCAACAAAACGGCACGGCCAAAGAGATTGGAGAACTGCAAGAAAATTACGAAAGCACTGCCAAGCGTAGATCTCCCAGGAAGCGGAAATCCGAACCAGAGGTCGGTACTCGCAAAAAGCTTCAACAGGAATCTACGATCGAGGAGGTAGATTCGTCGGACCAGCCAATAGATGACGATGTTGTGCTCATAGCCAATCCCGGAACGATTTCGGTCGAAATTACCAATCCTCGACCAAAAGCAGAAAGACTTTCACCGCCAGTGCTATGCGACGACACCTCCACTGACGCCAAAGATGTTAAAGGCGACGACAATGCACCACCCAAGACCTCGCAAGCTCAATCCACTTCTGGCGCGTTGCCCCAAGAGGAACCAACATCCGAAGGAATGTGTTTCGACGCAGACACGACTCCCGAAATCATCTTACCAAACATTCGCGGACTACAGGCGCTGAGTATGAAGATTCTGGAAGTGGATGGTCGTATTCGGGACGTTCCGAACGGAAATGCTTGGAAAGAATTTCGGTCCTATAGGGACAACCAGGACATGGGAAGTCTGTGGGAGGTTAGACAAGCCTGGTATTTGAGAGCGAAATGAGAGCAGTGCCCTCTGTACAGAATCTCTGTAGAAGATACTACAAGAGCATTTAACAGCGCACTTGTCCTGCGCATGACACAGAAGAGTACTTGGGATGTCAAGTTACGCGCGACTTGCAACAACAGTTGCCATGTTGAGAAAACTTGGAAAGTTGACAGAGTTCAGATATCACACATTTTCATTATTTGAGCCCATGACCATATTATCTTCCTTTGATGGACTCGGCCCGCTATCGGCCGCATAATCAACGGCACAACTTGCCTGGATGAAATCCTCCAATTCTTCACTGACGGTCTTGAGCTTCTCCTTAACACTGGCAACACCTTCTTGCCCCACAATATGCCGCGACGGTGGGTTTTCATGCCCACCAATGGCTGTGATAGCATACACAGTTTCTTCGACCAAGACTTCCATATGCGCAGAACTCAGCGGAGGGTACATTGAAAGAACTTTAGAAGCGGAGAACGGCCCGTCTGCAGCAGAACTGATTTGGTCTGAATCCTGGTGGCCGTTCTCCGTGTTCTCTGCATTCGGCAGCCGAGGAATCATTCTATTCAATATGCCACGGAACAAAGGGGCATGATTCATAGAAGGAGAGTACGCAGGTACTATCGGGGGCACGCTGGTGATCAAATTTGTGAGAATTCCGATCTCGATGCTGCACTGGAAAATCGTGAGCTTCACGTTGAATGGGGCAATCTCGAATGCAAGGCTCTAGATGAATGTTATTATCGGAAATGGAAAATGCGCATTTCGTCAGTAGCTCACGTCGCAAAACCCTTCAAGAGCCCAACCAGCTGCGGAATACATCCCAAGTCCAGGTGTACCAATATGGGCGGCTATGTGTAATTAGCAATCGATGTAGAATCCGAATTTAACTTGAAATGCCCTACTAATTCCGGAAAGAATCATTATATGACCTGACTTTTGCCTCCTCAGGTGCGGCAATGTTGCTTTGATGATATTCAGAGGACCGAAGTAATTGGTTTCGAACTGCTCCCGGACCAGGTTCAAAGTCTGTTGAGAAACTGAGAGCTCTTCCACCGTTCCGATTAAAGCTATGCGATTATTAGAAGTCACAGATTAAACAAATGGTCCTATAACTTGGTCCCCTACCCTGGCTGGTACAGCAGAGTAGAATGTCAACCTTGCCAAAAGTTGCTACTGCCTCGGCGACCACAGCTTGACATTGCCCTATCATTCTGCGAGGGAAAATATAAGCTCCTAAATTGAGGCAGCCAGCTCAAAGCTCATGCCGTAAGATATCCGCACCTTATATCCAGAGGAACGGCCTTGAACCGCTGAACCCATCCTTCGTCGCTGTGGCTCTCGATTTCGGCCAGGAAAGCTTCGAATCCTTCGCGACGGCATGCATCCCGGTCCAGATTTGTGTGCGCGAGTCCGAGTAATGCATAATCGCCGTGCATGAGTATCTGACGAGCAACCGATATCCCAATCGGCGAGTCTCCTGCGGTGATCACCCATACTCGCGGCTCATTATGGGCGGGAAACAGTGGGCGGGAGTAGTCGGGGGAGGGTTGATTGTCCGTCATTAGGTCGAAGCCGATGTTTCACGCGCCAGACATTCCCATTGCGGACGTAAATTCCCCTTAAGGCTGCAGTGATTAGACTGTTGATTGGCGTGAATCTACCTTGAACAATGAATTAACATAGTCTTGAGAGTTGGAGAGGACGACATCATCCCGCGCGGCGAGAACGCTAATGCCCGCCAAGATGGACCGAGCTCGGTTCTCGACCATCGGGCATCGGCAGTCAGAGCACGTATCTTTTCCCCTCTCCTTTTTGTCATCTTTCTTCTTTGTTCATCGTTGAATTTCCAGTCCGCGGATCACGATGCCAGAACAGAGACAGCGCAGGGAGGAGGAGTCTTCAGGCGTGCGTATCCCTTTTTCGTGTCCGATTGATCAAAGCTGACTTGCATGCGCGTTGTAGTCCGGTCTGAAGGGTGCCCTTCAGGGTCTCGCCATTTTCATGCTGACGCAGTTCCTCATCAGTCAATATTTTAACAAGGGACAAACTGCAGATTCTGCCGTGAAGCCTAGTGATACGTCTTCTTTTGAGTCCCGCCCCGCTCGCAGCGAAATCACGAACTACAGCCCGATTCCCGACACTGTTGCTCCTGTTTGGCCTTCTAACAGCGCCGTGGACATCAGCATCTATGTCTCCCCGTCGATCGTACTTCCTGCCCTCAGCTCGCTTCCCGCCGAATCGCTTGTTTTGAATGAAAGAAATTTTACAATTGGAAACTACAGCGACACTAGGGAGGTCGACACCATTATCCCAATTCCAGAGGAAGTTCAACGGAATGGAACGCTTTGGGCACATTTCTATGTTGCGCTCACTGGACACCAGCTCGACCCAACTGCCAAGGACTATGATACCGATAGTGCCGTTCATTTCTTCCGTCCACTGAACCAGTATCTCCCTAAGAAGAAGGCTAAGAAGCTCAAGAATCTGCTTTCCGGGTCCGATGAAGCCGACGACGAGGAGGAAGAAGAAGACAATACGCCCAAAGTTTCTATCGCATCCTACTATCATCCTAACTTCACGGTCTCTTTGATTCCCGACTCTGGCGTCCAGAAATACCGTCAGGTTCACCCTTCGGTTCGTCAGTACATGCAGCTCGAGGCGACTGGCGCCAGAGACGCCTCCGGTCAGAATGGATGGTACTACCCGATTGTATTCCTCAACACTTTCTGGCAACTCCGCAGTCATATGACCGAATTGAACTCGACCGTGAAGGCGATGCCCCTCCGTATCACTCTCAACAATCTGGCCAATTGGAAGTTCAGCATGATGGCAAGCGTTGACGACAGCGCGAAGGCAAATGCTCGTCAAGCAGCTTTTGGAGGTTCTGTTCCTGGAGGCGGTGATGGCTCTGAGTTTGAGATGGTCAAGGAAGTTCTTCTAAATACCAACATTTGGCTGCTTGGTACAACCGGTGTGGTCACAATTCTGCACATGATTTTCGAGACTTTGGCCTTCAAGAACGATATTGTAAGCTGCTTGCTTGATGTTTGCCCTTTGGTGATTTAAAGTCGGCTAACGGTTGCTTTTCTAGTCCCACTGGCGCAAGAAGAAGGACGTTGTTGGAACATCAGTCCGCACTATCCTGGCTAACGTCTTTATGCAAGCGGTCATCTTCCTCTATTTGATGGATAACAGCGAAAACACTTCTTGGATGATCCTTGCTAGTCAAGGGTTTGGTATTCTTTTGGAAGCGTGGAAGATCACCAAAACCGTGGACGTCCGGTTGCGACCACCACCAGCCGGGTCTTTCTACTCGTTCCTTCCGTATGTTGTGGTGTTCGAGGACAAGCACAAACTCTCTGAAACCGAGAAGAAGACCAAGGAATATGACGAAATTGCATTCCGTTGGCTCTATATCATTGCTGTGCCTCTTCTCGGGGCTTACGCAGTCTACAGCCTCCTCTACAACACTCACAAGTCGTGGTATTCATACATCATTGAAACTCTTGTCGGCAGCGTTTACGCGTATGGCTTCTTGATGATGGTCCCCAGTTTGTATATCAACTACCGTCTCAAGGTTGGTACTCCTCTAGCCTGACAAACGGGAGCAAAGCTAACAAACCTACTAGTCGGTTGCTCATATGCCTGGAAAGGCACTGACATACAAGTTCTTGAATACTTTCATTGATGATCTCTTTGCATTCACCGTCAAGATGCCCTGGCTCCATCGACTTGCCACTCTCCGAGACGACGTTATCTTCTTCATCTGGCTTTATCAAAGCTACAAATACAAGGTTGATTACAAGCGTGTCAATGAATTCGGACAGGGTGGCGATAGTGATGAAGAGGAAGAGAAGCCGGCTGAACCAACAAAGCAAAAGGAAGTGGTTTCTGAGGCATCTGGACGGGCCAAGGGCGAATCATCGACTCGGAAAAGAAAGTGATGGTTAGAGGTGCCTCATTGCGATGTCCTTCTTTCATAATATTGAACTAAAGGATTCCCCTATGGCTCTTGACTGATCCTGGGGGCTTCTCTTGGAAATAAATCTAGTTAGATGAAAATTAGGACAAGAAAACTTATGCTCTGGTCTGACTTCTTATACTACATAACAGTTCTCACTTGTATGCGCCTCGGACAAGTGACTACCGAATATTTGTAGAGACTATGCATAGCCTCTCATTACATGCTAGATCACTCAAGTCGCCCAAAGAGAACAAAGCCAAAGCGTCCTTGTTGGCTATCCAAGATATTACTTCCCTGCTGTTGATGCTTCCTGAGTCGTGGTGGTGCTTATGAAGTGTTAACTTGTTAAGACGGATGATCGCCAAATTTGGCTTAAGTCCCCAATTTCCCACTACTGATGGGAATGTACTTGTATTTCAGAATGAGAACCTTCTTTTTTAAGACGAGGCCAACTGAATTTAACCGAGACATAGATGCCTTTTATCTTAGCTAAATCATAGGTCTTCTGCATCTTTGAGAAATCGAGGACATCTGTGCAGTATCCTAAAGTGACGCGACCCGATATCAACAGAACGTGGAGAGGCTCACTTTGACACAACTTTGCCAACGAGACCCAGTCAAGGCGAGCGACACGCAGACATTGCATTGAAATCAACGTATGCGCAGAAAATAAATTATTGATGTCGTCGGATCCCCAATCCAGTGTGTCATGATCCAATTCCCATCAATATCAGTCTTCGCTAACATTGTTTCAGGCCCAGCAGGCATAGAGCCTAGGCCAGCGAGCCTGCTGGATGCGCTCAAGCATCTAGAAGCCGGTATGGTTTTCAACCCTGTCATGCTCTGTTTCAATCGCTCGACATCGCTAATTGTGTGTGCCAGTCGCTTTTGTGCCCTCGAAACAGCGATACACGGATGCTAGTCAACTGGCCAAAACAATCGCCTCACACGCGTATGAAACTGGCATCGACCAGGCTGCGCTTGAGCGACTGATCAAGCTTCTCACGCGCAACAGCCATCTTGATCAGGGCACCATCACTACTTTGATCAAGAATCTGTATCCGATAGACAGGATTTCTCCTAGAGTGGTTACGCAGATTGTCTGTTGCCTGGGCCCCAGCAAAAACAAGCCAAGTCCTGCTACCCAAGCCTCACTTCTTCGATGGTTGATTCTCACCAACGATTTCTGTGATGATCGGTCGCACCTCGCCAAGCTCTATGCAGTACTTTTTAATCACCTTGATATGATTAGTCTTCGCAAGCCTTTGTGTCATTTACTGTCCCTGATCACAAGGCGAAAGCATGTCAAGCCGTTTCGGATTCAAGCACTCATGGAACTAGTGAATAATGCCGGCGCAGAAGAAAGAGAACTCATCAGCCTGCTCAATGTCTTCAAGAATTACTATCCTGATATTGTTGTGGGGGATCTTGGAGCTTTGCGACGCAGAGGGTTGGTCTTCAAACATCCCGATCCCGAGTGGACTAGTCATGCAAGGCTCCTTCAGGATAAAAATCTGGAGAGGTTGCAGGCATCTCAACCTTCGACCTTTCAAGTGGTACACCGTGGAGCTGTGAAAAGGGGGAAGATGGAAGTGGTCGTTCCCAATGTGCAGACATCAAGAGTCTCGTACAATCGTACATCCTTGGAGGAGCTGCGGAGCGTAGATCATTTCGTTGAGAAGATCGAGATGATCGAACCGCCCAATCAGATGATATCTACAATGAAGGACAGTATAGCGCAGAAGTACCTTTATCTGGTACAGCCTGAAGCTGCGATTCTTCGATTAGACGACTGGCTGAAGAGCTTCTTCGATGACCAGTTGGAGCATGTTCAGGAGGAGGAGCTGAGCGATTCGGAGTCACTGGGATACGTGTTGAATCTTATAGTTGATTATGTGCGATATGTGAAGGTATGGTACCTAACCCAATCGCTCCACTGAAGTCAACTCACCAGGTCTTAGGACATCCCTGCCCCGGTTCAGTCCTTTCTGCGTCGATATTTGCTGTCCTGGAATGGCCGAGATAATCAGGAAGAAATTTTGAACCTTCTCGAATATCTTGCTATCCAAGACTTCACTATTCTACGAGAAAAGTTCTTGATACCCCTGGAAAGTGCGCTGCTGGCTAGCGCACCATCTTCAAGCTCATCTATCCTTGACTTGTACTCTTCGCTTATCCGTCAATGGGGAGTTAAGCTGAGAACACTTCCGTCAAACTCTGCGGAATCCGCTCCTTTGACTAGTCTCATCAAGCATGCAGAACTTCTAGCACTGTCAATGTTGGAGACTCCCTCCATCCCGCAGCAGTCTGGCGATGGAGACACGGCGCGCGTTAAACCACCCGCGCAATCTGTCCTTGAGTTTTACTGCGTTTTGGCGGATGTTTTCTCTTATGCGTCTGTCAATGGCAATATTCGATTGACTATTCCTCTGGCCCCAACCGTCTATATACTGGTCTTCACGCCAGTTGTCTCAAGCATATCGATCATGAGCTCCGTTCTTGCCGGATATAAATCATCATTCGAAGCATCCCTCACCTCCGATGTCCTTCAAATATCGAACGCGACATACTCTCTTTATCCTACCGATCTTGTCGGGCAATTCAATGGCTACGTCATGGACGTCTGCAATGTGGTATGGCGAAATAGAGGGCTTAAAGCAGAGGATCCAAATGCTCTGGGATGCTTGTTGCCGGCTGGTACGACCACTGCGTTGTCACAGTACATCCGTGATCTTAACGAAGCATCCAGAGAAAGGAGACGGGAGGCTAGCTTCTTCTACAACCTTTCCTCTATCTTCTCCCTAAGTTACCATGTTGCGCTGTGCAACATGTCCGCCGCTTGCTTTGCTGATATAGAGGATGAGAACAACATAGGTGAGGGCCGCCCGAGATTGAGGAAACCCGTGACTCAGAAAGCTTTGAACGCGCTCGAAAAAGATGGCGGCGTGAAGTTGAACTGGCAAGAGTATAGAGTGCGGATGCTGGATTGGCTCGATGCCACAGGATCCTCCGGAATCGGGAGCTTGATGCGAAGTACGATGAAAGCTCTTCGAAAAGAATGATAGAGGTTACGATTGGCGAGGAGAGAATGAATACCATGATTATTGACTCATCACAAACGTTGTTAGGTTGTTTATTTGAACACCTATCTGTACATATATACATATACATTGGTCTGTCGAAGACCAACTCACCTCCAAGGCTGTCGTGTACCTCGAGGCTGTTTTTATAGACCAAAAGTTTGCGGCATGGAGCAACCAGGCAGTAGACTGGTCATTTCCGGATCAAAACTGTGTGGTTGTGTTCAAGTAGACATCTTGAACACTAGCCTCTTCCCGGATAGTGCTGAGAAGCTCGTCTATCTCCTTCAAATGTTCTTCATCCTTGATCTCGACCATCGTGTCCTTGTTGGGATCCCAGATGATATCAAGCTCTTCGATTGTAAGCCCTGTCACTTTAGTGAGCGTCTCGCCCACATTCTTCGTTTCTGTCGGTTCCGTGAAAACGAGCAGCCGCCCTTCTTCATCTGTAGTGATATCAGTCGCCCCCGCCTCGATGACCTGATCTAGATAGTCGTCCGCGTTCACGCCCTCCTTTTTTTCAAACGCTATCCTGCCCTTCTTCTCAAAAAGGTAGGTTGTCGGAGTGACAGTCCCCCCGGCATCCTTGATCGCAAATCGAAGGTCCTGCAATACACGAGCTTTCTGGTCGGTTTGACACTCAATAACCGCGGCCACGGAATGGGGCAAGATAGCTTCGATCGTGACTGACTCGAGAGCCTCGCCAGTAACGCTTATGCCCTGACCTCTTGCGATGGCTGCTTCGATCACTGTCTTTGGGATACCGGCCCGTTTTGCGTTCGAGAGCGCGAGAGTAAGGCGAGGATTGAACTTTGGATCCGCTCCCCACACTGGGATTCGTTAGTGCTTATCGAGTTTCAGGAGACTCAGCTGAGATCATACTTTGCGTCGCACTGCTGATCTCCTTTCCGATTATCTGACGCTCCCTACTTTTGGCCTTGTCGTTCTTCGCTTTGTCGTGCCGGATCGAGGACCAACGATTATGTCCAGCAAATCGTGCGGGACCGCTAGAGAAACTCCGACAAATCTCGCATATCGACAGACCCGTACGGCGCCGTTGTTTGAATAGACTTTGGCTCACTATTGATGCCATTATAGACCGAATTATCCCCAAGATCCAGAAGCGCATGAAACCATCTCCGGCGATAAATGCAAGTATACGAGGATGCGGAGTCGGCCCGAACTTTTTCCGCCACATAATGAGGCCAGGCGCCCGATTAAGGAGACACCGACGCAATCGAGGGGGCCAGAGCATTGCGGATTCAAGCATATACTAACATTTAATTTGTTCTATTTCTCCAATTTCTCTGTGCTACAAACTCTATGGGTGGTGATCTAGCAGAAACCACCATCTTCAATGTCTTCCTCTGAGAACACAACAGCTTCTCCTTCCTCCGACAATGCGGCCCCTCGTGCGGAACTGGATATCACCAAGCTTCATGCGCTCCCGTCTGAACAGCAAGACCTATACCTCTTGACGTTCACTTCGGATCTAGTACAATATGTTTCAGAGCTAGACTCAGCAACCGTATCGTCACAACAGAAGTTCCTGAAAAAGGAACTTTTCAAAATATTGACGCTTCCGTCGCCAACGATCACTCGTGTTATCCGCAACAATCTGGGCCGATGTTTTGGTGCGATACTCGGCAAAGGAGACCGGGGGGTTTTGTTTGAGACAGTCACCGATCTACTCGCCATCTTAAATGCAGGCAAAAATGACGCAGAGCTCAAAACCAAGTTCGCCGCAGCTCATTGTTTAGGGGAGGTGTTCGCGGTTGCCGGAGAGAGCGCCTTTGCGCAATCAGGCATTGTGATCTCGAGCTTACTCAAATTGCTTAAATCGTCAAGTAACCATACGGGTTTTCGAGGCTCAATCTTTGCGGTGCTACGCAAGGTTGTCGTGGGCGCAGGGGTCCCTGTTGATGAGGCAACTGCCCGTGATCTTTGGAAGCAAGCTCGTAATGCCGCAACCAGTGATAAATCGACCTTTGTTCAGGTCCACGCTTGTCGGTCCATTGAGCAATTGATCAAGACGACACCCTTCTTCGACAACGCCAACGATTTTGATCTTTTGAAGACACTAGTCTGGAAAGTTATTGACAGTAATGTTGCGCCCATCCGACATGCGGCCGCCGCCTGCCTAGCAGAAGCCTTGGTCAAATTGCACGCTACAGAGACGCGAGTTATCTCGACTCCAAAGCCCAAGAAGATGAAGAGGCAATCAAAGAAACCTGCACCACGGCCCGGGGAGGATGAAGAGGAGGCTAATATCTCCGAAGCTTCAATCTCTAAGAAGACAGAACCCGGCCTATTCTTCCTCTTGCCTGACCTCCTTCGCCAATTGTCGATCCAATACGTGAAGAGCACAACGTCCAACCGCGCTAGGGCCGGCATCGCAGTATGCTACAAAAACGTTCTACGTAGTCTCGGCGATAAGATTGTAGAGGAACGTTACGGGCAAATTGCGAATCACCTCCTCTTCGAACTTCTTAATCACCCAACGGTCACTTATAATCGGTTCAGACTTCTTATTACAAGGAGATTCGTCAAGGGCATTCTCCAAGAGACAGTGGGACGCGAGTCTCTCCGAGAGAACAGTCGGCTCAATGCTGCTAGGTGGTTGATCAATGAAGTTCTCAAAGACTACCCCCAGGTTATTCAGGAACGCCGCGAGCCCAGCAAATATACCCTAGCAAGTGCTTTGAGCGCTCTATCATCTTTGATATTGTCACTGGGATCGGCGTTTGGCTCATTGGCAGAAGCGTGTCGCGAGGCCTTGCTTCAGGTTCTTCCTCATCCCAACTATACAGTTCAGATCCATGCAGCACACTGCCTGAGGAACTTTGTTCTGGCTTGTCCGCATCAACTCATATCCTGCGTTACGATCTGCTTGAATAGTCTGAGCCGAGAGATAGGACAGCTTTCCACGCCACGGCAGGCTCCACGACGGTGCCTTGGATATGCTAATGGATTATCAGCGATGCTAAGCACTTCCCGGCTGCAACCACTATATGGCTCAGTTGATGTATACTCTCGCGTGTTCACTCAGGCAACAGATCTTCTCAAGACGAGTAGCAACTCCGAGCTTCGCGCTGCTAGTACTCAGATCCAGGTGGCTTGGATCCTGATCGGAGGATTAATGCCTCTTGGACCAAGCTTTGTCAAGATTCATCTGCCTCAATTGATGTTATTGTGGAAAAACGCGCTTCCAAAACATCTGAGTAAAGAAAACATCGCGCAGCGTGGATATCTGGAGATGAGTTTCCTGACCCATGTAAGGGAGTGTGCTTTGGGAGCGTTACTGGTCTTCATGGAATTCAACAGCAAATTGATCACAGCAGACGGTGCGAGAAGAATTGCTGCAATGCTGCAAAATACCGTAACCTTCCTCGATGATCTGCCGCGGCAAAAACATCCCGTCGATCTCTTGCACCGTCTTCAGCCTTCTCTGCAATTGCATGATCTAGCCACAATGGTCAGGAGACGGGTTTTGCAGTGCTTCCGCAAGCTTATTGAAGTTCATCCCCTCAGCCATTCGGAAGTCATTTCACAAACCACTCTTTTGAGTCTTTCTATTTCCTCGTTTGCCGACCCGGAATATAACCCGTCTGTTCCACTAGAAAGCTCAATTGCAGCAGCTACCGCGCAATTTAATACTCTATGGGATCTTTGTGACAACTCTGGGTTTGGCGTGACAGGATTGGCAAGGCAGCACATTCGTGCGACTCTCACAGGGAAACAGGAGGATGATAATGGCCCCGCCTGGTCTGCTGTTGATTCTGCAGATCCAGACATCGATGATGCTGTAAGTTGAATATATTTACTCAGGATAGAAGCAGCGAAGACTAATTGTAGCAGATGACATTCCCTATTTGCCAGGCTAGTGAACATGATTCTCTTCTTCTGTATTCCTCAAGAGGAAAGGGGGACAGCACTGTGGCGGATCCGCATGCTACTGGCGTAATTAATGCTGCGATCGAATTATTTGCTGTCGCTATTCCCTTGCATGCTCCTAAAGTTCAGGAAAGCAGCATGGAGCAAATTGCAACATTTCTCTCCTCATCTAGTCTTCAGCGCAACCCTGGCCGCAAGGCGGCCATGGTTGTTAACACTGCTGTGGCGCTGCTTCATGCCCTGAAGGCCACGTCCAGAGATAGCGGATCGCAATCCGGCAAACTAAATCCTGTTACCGAGAAGGTCCTACAGGAGCTTCTGCAGGTGAGACATGCTAGTACACCCTGTTCGAACGTCAGCAAACTAATGGATGCAGAAATTTGTTCTCGACGCGGACGCAATTGTCCGTACGATTGGCACTGAAGCACTGGGAAGACTATGCGATGCTGCTGGGAACGCACTTACAACCACACAGGTCACTTGGTTGGTCGACACAATCGTTGAAAACAGGGAACCTAATGCTCGTGCCGGTTGCGCTGCTGCTTTGGGATGCATCCATTCACAGGTTGGTGGCATGGCAGCTGGTCTGCACCTGAAGACGATAGTCGGTGTCTTGATGTCGCTCTGTAATGACCCCCATCCGGTCGTCCATTTCTGGGCGCTTGGGGGCCTGGAGAGAGTAGCTAATTCTGCGGGGTTGACATTTTCACCTTTTGTGTCCAGTGCACTGGGGATGCTAGCCCAGTTGTACAACGCAGACACCCACAATGAGGAAGCAGCAAGCTTGGTGACATCTAATATCGAGATGACCTTCCTTACACCTGTTGTGATCAGTCGCTGCGTCGATTCTCTGATCAATGTCTTGGGTCCCGATCTCCAAGATATCGCCAAGACCAGAAACTTGATTCTTACCCTTCTCCGGCAATTTCAGCTGGAGGATAATCCAGCCTTGGTTACTGAAAGCTCGAAGTGCTTAGATCATCTGTCGCTGTATGCGCCAGGATTTGTGGACTTTTCAGGATATGTGAAGCGTCTCCAGAGTGAACTGTCGGCTGGCAACTTTCTGATGAGGGATGTAGCCATTCGCGGACTAAGCAATCTCATGAAGCGCGATGCTGCTTCCGTCCTCCAAGCAGCCATGCCGGGTCTGGAAGAAGAGATATGGCTCGCTTATGATGACACGCCGGACAACATTGTTCTCAAAAACATGATTGAAGACTGGTTGCAGCAAACTGCTCTCGTAGAAACTGAACAGTGGATCCTGCGCTGCCACAACACCTTGACAAAGACCCGCGTGAAAGTGGAGGAGATACCGCTGACTTCCACTATTAAAACAGCCGTCAATGACATCCCCGATGATGAAGTTGCTGGTTTTGCATCCGCAATTGCTGGGGAAGGGCAAGCAGCGGCTGCAAACGAAGCTGTTGCTGGGCAGGAATTACTGAAATGGCAGACTCGAAACTTTGTCATGTCTTGTTTAAGTCAATTGTTGGCAACGGTTCAGGAAGCAATATTGCCTGATCAGACGATCCCTGCAGAACTTGCGCTTCAGCAGAAAGTTGGCGATATTGTTCGAATGGCGTTCTCAGCATCGACTGCAAACGTGATTGAGTTGAGGGTTTGGGGCTTGAAGATTATCGGCCAGGTTCTCATGGTAAATTGTCTTTTGAAAACATGTTTCTGATATTATTCTGACCCGTATTCGCAGATGTTTGGCAAGACTCCGGATCCAGACTTCGCAGAAGCCTCTCTTCTTGAGCAATATCAAGCTCAAATCGGATCAGCGCTTACACCGGCTTTCGCAGCCGATTCATCGGCGGAGTTGGCGTCTGAAGCTATCAATGTCTCCGCGACTTTCATTGCTACAGGTATTGTAACCAACGTGGAACGGATGGGAAGAATTCTTAAGGTGCTGGTTCTCGGGCTAGAGAACTTCGCGAGTAAGTACACCCCACGATTACAATGGCAAACCTCTAAGACCTCTAGACAATCCAAATACCGCTGAATTCGGCGACCTGAAGGGGCTCAATTCCAACTCCAAGATCATGGTTAAAATGGCCCTTTTCTCCGCGTGGGCACGATTACAGATTGCAAGTGTTGAACAAGAGTACTTGAACGAGGTTGTCCAACCTTATCTTGCGACACTCACGCCCTTGTGGCTTTCCTCGCTTCAAGAATATGCTCGATTGAGGTTTGAACCAGACATCTCCGGGAGCCTGGGAACGGGCCCTTTGAGCAATGACCTAGATGAGGTGTATGCAGCATTGAATCGGGAGACTCTTCTGAAGGTAAGTTGGACTCCACAGTAACTTCTCTTTGTTAGCACTAACTCGGTGGATGATAGTTCTACCAAGACACCTGGTTAAACCTTGTGGATGCGATCGCCGGGCTGGTCGAGAAGGATATCGATTTCGTATTCGATGCACTGGACGGGAAATCGAAAGCGCCACCAGAAAAACCAGAAGAAGAGGAAGCAGATACTTCAAACAGAATAGACGATGTCAAAAAGCACGACATAAACTATCGTGATGAGCCTGTTGCCTTCTTTTTTGTGCTTTTTGGTCTGGCATTTGAAGCTCTTGTTGACCAGGCGACACCACCATCTCAGCGCTTGGAGATCTTACAAGCATTGAAGAGGATATTGAGACCAGTGATCTCGGGTAATGCCATCTACCAGGACGCCATTTTCTCTGAGACGATGGACACTTTTGATCGTCTTGCTCTCACTGAAAGAATACCGATTCAGAATGTCATTGTTGAGATAGCGCGGAATCTTTCCCTAGACCATCCCTCCGCGAAGGAGGGAGATGAGCGCAGCGACCATCTCTCTGATGATATTGAGCAACTCTTCGAGCTCACTCGAAGTATCATTCTAGTCCTTGCAGGGCTACTACCCAACCTGCGCGAGTCTACTCCTATGGTTCGGTTTAACGTGGGATCAGATGATTCCCTGTCGCTGATTCGGTTATCTCTCTCATCCCTCGTCCATGTTGCCTCCATTTTCCCCTCTATCATTCGCAATGACCTCAACGCGTGCATTCTCCACATCTTCACGACCATTCTCGCGACAGGAATATGCCAAGCGGAAGTTGTGCCACAAGCTCTCCCGATCTTTAAACACTTCGTCCATGGCATCAGTCACCCCAAGGGAGCCACGCCAGAGGACCCCCAAGACCTTGCTGTCATGTCTCGGCAGCTGCGTGGATGTCTTGTCCGCTTCCTCACGACTCTGACTATTGCTCAGCGAAGAGAGTCTGAATCCTCCTTGCCTTGCGCCAAAAACACTCTTTTGGCCATCACCATCCTGCTGACAACCGGAGGCCATATTCTCCCTCCCCAAGACCCTGTCATCCCTCGCATCCTCAATGAGCTACTGGACTGTCTTCAGGACGTAGGCCTTGCCAATGTGGCTGCTGGCTGCATCCGCTCGATCCTCCTTACCCCTAATACCAGGTCTCCTGCAGACGAGGTGATTGCCAGATATCTCCTTCCCCGGCTGATCGCGTTCCTGGTTGGTTGTCCCATGGAGAATGGCGAAACGTCAAATGACCCGGAGAACACAAGGAGTATCATCGCACGCACTCTGGTCTCTTGCGTTACGAGTACCACGATTGCTGGAGGCGAATTACCTACGGCGCTCTCGCTGATCATGTCCGTACTTCTTGCACGTGCCACGCGCGAAGGTCACTCGGTGTACAGAGAAACAGCCGGCCATCTACTAGAACTCGCTCGTGTGGACCAGACTACATTCCGGGGACTTGTTGCTTCAATGCAACCAGCGCAGAAAGGTCTCTTGGAGGAGATCCTCAGAAGCTCGGATGCAGGTCTGGGTGGTGAACGAGCAGAACGGAATACTGCTCAGGAAGAAATGCAACAAAGCATGCCGAGTATCGCGCTGAGATTCGATTTCTGATTGTCAGGCTGGCCTGTCCATCATCCTTTTTTTCTTCGTTTGTCAGTCCTTGACATCCTGTTTTGATGTACTTCTCCATGCGTATAGCCCGATGGATCAAGCATGTTTTTCCAAGGTTATAGTTCAGAATATGGATTGATTCGTCCATATTGGAAGCTTATATATAGAATCACAGATAAGTACAGTTGCAATGTTTTATTGATACATGGAATGAATGATGAATCCGCAACCGTCTATCAAATCCACTCTCTATAAAAGCCTCTAGGGTATCCAGCTGATGTTATTCAAATCAAGCACTCGAAGCACCAGTGGCCGAATGGGTAGGTGCACAATGCAGACACATAAGTAGAAAGAAAATGAAGTGAAGTCTAATGTAGTGGAGTCAAAATAAGGTTGCAATGCAGCGAATGAGAATGAGGCAGGAACGGATTGAGAGCATAGGAAAGACGTCGAATGAGAGGCGCTCAGCCCAAAGATTCGCTGATAATAATCTCTGGCATTGATACAGCTGTCGGTGGAGGAGCAGATTCCTGAGTCACTCTCTTCTCAGTACGGTCTTTGACAGGAGCCTCTTTCTTCTTTTCAGCGGCCTCCTGCGCCTTGCGCACAGAGTAATACTTGAGGAAGATGATAATCATGACTAGAGGTTTGTCAGTCTTGTATCCAATGAATATAAGGCCGTTACGCTTGATACAATAAGGGGTACACTTACAAGCACTAGTTGCGATAGCCATTGCGGCCCTTCGAGTCAGGATCCATCTGAGACCCTCAATCTCACTTTTACCGTCACTGTTCAGCGAGACTGTGATCTTATAGTTGAGCTCCTGAACGGAAGTATCTATGCTCCGTTGCTGTTCCCGAGTCGTCATTTTATGGTCGTTGAACATCCCCTTGATATCATCCTTCATCCCCGAAAGCTCCTGATTCAGACGCTGAGACAGTATATCTGCTTCGCGTTGTAATTGAGTCCTGGATGCCCGTTGCCGCTGCATCTCAGAATTCCGCGCAGTCTGGAGAGATGATTGGAGCTCGGAACAAGCCGCTTTGAAGAGGTAGGTTTCATTCTCGACGTCGGATTTCGAAGTAAGGCTTTGCTTCGCGATATTTAGGTTACCTTGCAGGATATTCCTGACTGCTTTCATGATGGTGACTGATTGTTCATCCGAGAAACCGCCTTTGGACAGGTCGCGGACAAGGGAGTAGGTGTCGAAGTGATGAACATACGGCGCAGGAGCAAGATGGGGCGGTCTACCGTCGAAAGGAGGAGTTTCTGTCGGGGTGAGGTTGGAGGAGGGAGATGGCATATGGAGGACCCCTTCAAGAGGATTTTCGTTCAGAGGATTGGGGATGTGCCGCTCTTCTTTCGCACGCTCGGTGGGGATAGGCGGAACTTCCTGGGAGGCGTGAATATCGAGCTCGGGCTCGGATTCATCGTGCGTGGGGGAGTCGTCCAAGGCTTTGCTCTCATGGAGCTGCGCTGCCTTCTCATCCTCGCCCTGAGGCGGGGCCTCTGGGATATGCATGTTGGCGGAATCTTGTGATTGCGACTGCTCCGCGGGGATGTGGTCCCTATTCTCTTTCGCCGCCGATGGTTTCGAAGCTTGTTCACTCGATGACTCGTCTTTGGGTCGCGGTGGAGGAGGCAAGCTGGACTCTACGGCGGGCCCATAGCGTCTATGGTATGCTTCTTGTGAGTGAGGTCGAGTGGCATGGAAGGGACGATTATATGAGGGATTCCGAATTGAGCGATAGGTCGATGGTTCACATGTTCGAATAGCGCGCATAAGATTCGGATACAGGAATGGCAACCGTGGAGCAGTCATAATGATGGGTTCAAAGCTACCAATAGAGCAAGCACAGGAGCATGAATTGGAGCAGGAGCTAGAGATCACCGAGAGATGCTGTCAAAGAGCCAGAGAGAGAGAAAGAAGGGAGTTATGATAGCATCCACTTTCCCGCGGCGAAGTAACTTGCGGGCAGCCGGAGAGTGGAAACGTGACGTGGGCGGTGAGGAAGCTCTGCGGAATAAACAAGCGGAATGGATCAACGGAGTATCAGAATATAATGTCATGAAGATAATAGAGATTTGAAGGAGCATATACTATGGCGCTATATACACAGGGTTGGTATTAAAGAAGAAACCGCTTGTCGGCCATGACTACTCTGTCCCCACTGCCAGCAGCCCGAATAGTAATTGAGTCCGTTTCCAATAGTTGAGAGCCCTTTGCTCTATAGTCTTAGGTGCCTTGGGAATCGAATCAAGACTGCTACGAAGGTTTGCAACTGTGTCTGACAGGGGCTCATCTACCAGCCCTTTGCCCGATAGAGCACTGCTCAAGTAGACGAGGTCGAAAAAGACCTGAATTCTGTAGTCATCCGTCTCCTGGGTTGTCGCTGTACCACTGGTCTCGGACTTCGGTTCTTGATTGTTTCCCTCATTCTCAACCGGTTGTGCGTCGTGTACTACCGTACTCTTCTCGCCATTAGTGGAGAGATCCAACACCTTAAGTGTGGCCATCGCGCTGGCCGACAGCTCTTTTCGCAACTCTCCTTTAAGAGTCTGAACTGTGGATAAGTCCCAGAGCCCTGAGCCATACCCGTCCATGTTATTCACCAAACGGCGGAGAAACCTGAAGATCGTTGGCGACGGCTGGACTGGAAGCTCTGGGTCACCTTCCCAAAGGCTTCGACCGGGCAGCTTTTCGGACGGGTCGAGTTTCGCCGGTAAGTTCAACGTTCCCGTTTGTGCAATCACTTCTTTGGCAAGTGATTGCTGCAGTTCGGGGACGATATCCTTGGAAAACGCGAAGTCGTCCGCAATGAGCTCAGCAGGGAGGTCTCGCCGAACAAGTCTAATGAGTTTGAGCAAGAACGCAGCTTTTTTATGCTGGTTAGACGGTCCGAAGGCTCGGAAAGTGGTTGCAAAGGAGGACTGAAGATGGTCGAAAGATTCCCCGACGGCTTTTCCAAGTGCATCACGAAGAAAGGCAGTATCGTCGTCATTCAAGATGGATGTGATATCCAAATCCGTATCTTCATCGTCACCTTCTTCCAGAACATCAGTCCATCGCACTCGCTTCATTTCATCAATCTGCTCTTTAGATTCTCCAATCGATGCGAGCCAAGCTTCATAGCTCCCCAAAACAACGGATATGTCATCATCGTGGCCAAGTAATCTATCCGCGAGAGTTTGCTTAAAGACGGCAGCACCGTTTGAATAATCGAGGTTGATCAACTCTTCGTCCCACAGAGAAAGTACCTCTGCGTGCTCTCGAGTATCCCAGTTGATGACGACATCCGAAACAACTTGACCAAAATGCTCCAGGCTCTTCGCTTGATCCGACAAAATTGTGCCAAGTCGCTCATTGAACACAGCCCGAATGCCGTCTAGCACACTCAAAGGCGAATGGGTGGGCGTTGAGCCCCAAGAACTTAGCCATTGCTCCAACGCCCTGCGACGAAGCGAAAGCAGTTCAAAAAAGTTCCGCCAATTCGTTAGGGCATGAGAGCACCCTTTGATCAAGGCGTCAAAAGCCTGGTTTGACCATTGCTTGATGGTCTTTTCGGCTTCTTGTTTTGATAGCTCACTTAATTTGATCCAGGGAGTGAAATTCATGACATCCGCAGCTACCCAGCGTCCAAGCACGTCGAGGCTCAGTTCGTCCAAAGAACGAATGTCTGGATCGGCCAGAAGAGGTCGTGCTTTGAGTTTGCTGAGCACATCCGACAGTCGACGGGAATGTAGCGTTTTCGACAGCTGAAGGGTTTGAATGTAGAGTTGTAGAGCGTTAAGGACATTGTCGCCTGATCCATCGGTAGCTTCCAACTGGCTTCCAATAACGTCCAAGCGAACATGGTGAAAATGTCGAATGGCATCATCCGATGACGAGCTGGTTGCTAAACAGTAGGCCGCCAATGCCTCGATGATACCATCAACCTTAGACTTTGCGGATGCAAGGCGCTTGTCTATCCTCTTCAGTAGCGTACGCCTAAGGGATGCCAACTGGGTGCGCAAATTGTCGAGGAATGGGGGAGTTGTTGCCTGTTGTGAGAGTGTCTTGTGGAGCAGTCGAGAAACAACCAGAAGTTTCGCTATAAGCAAAGGCGAACCACGCTTCCTCAGAAGCCGGGCAATGGCCTGCGTACAGCGGTGCAAGAGAGAGAGCTGGCCGCCCAATGTCCGTTTGTCGGTATCTACCGGTCCTCATCAGCAGTCAGACACGACGCAATGGCAATCCAGATTCTGTACCCTTATCCTGAACATCGTCTTTGATTTGATTCATATGCGCATGCATCTTCTCGACCAGTCGTGGGTTGCATCTCCGTCCAATGTCCGCCAAAGTCGAATCCACCTCCTGAATCTCGCCGTTCATCAGGACAATTGTCTCCGCAGTTCCGACAAGTTCACGATATCTCGTCCTGTCGCGAGATCTAATTAGCTCAGCTCGACATAAACGGTTTCCTGTGCGCCTACCCAACAAGAGCTCGGAGCTTCTCCTTGTTGCTTGCAATGTCTCGGCGGAGCTCTTGTTCCACGCGACGAACGGTGGGAATCGGATATTGGAAGGCATCCTGCCATGACTTGAGGCTTTGCGGATCCGGACCGTCCGACGCCATGTTGGAAAGAGCGCAGGAGGCTGGACGAGATGATGCCAGCAACGCAGGAGGGATGATAGCTTATGATAGTAGTTTCCATACGCCGCAAACGATGATCATCGGGGATGCCTCAGGCATAACACGTGGCCTGGCTGGCCTCAGGTATTGACGAATGATACAGGATGTGACGGGAGCTGTAATTGGCTATGCCTGATATGGTAAGTAGCTTGAGTCATTGAAATCTGACCCCGCTGACCAATCTTGCCCCTCATATCCTCACTGTATGTTCCAATTTTTGGCCTTTTTTTTTTTCTTTTTTTTTTTCATTGCTCTTAAATATCACAAGTAATCATGCCGCATCAAGAATCCGAGTCGCAGGCTCAGGCCGAGTCTTCAAACGAGCAACTGGAAAGGCTACCCTTCCCGCCGATCCCGTACTCTCACATCCTCCATTGTTCTTATCATCACTGGCAACCTCGGTAGGTCTGCTTTCTTTGTGAGCTCGGGGATCACAACGCAGTTGCACTAACAAATTTGGTCATAGGTACCGGACGATCACACCCAAATCTCGCCTTATACCCTTGACAGATCCCTTCGTTTCCTATCTGCGCGCCGACGGAATCGTTCTACCACCCGAGAATACCTCCCCCCAGGATGAAGATGACCTCGATACATTTTCAGACGATGGCGCGGACGAGGAGCCAGATCCATCCGTAGAGTGGCAGGATATCCATTCGCAAATCAAGTCTACTATTTCCGAGTTTGGCGGGAAAGTGACACCCAAGTTGAACTGGAGCGCCCCGAAGGATGCGGTGTGGATGTCCGCGACAAACGACCTCCAATGCCGCACGCCGAACGATATATACCTCCTTCTGAAGAGTAGTGACTTCGTCACACACGACCTGGAGCATCCCTTCGACGACTGTGTCCCCGATACCACTGAAACAACGGAGTCGTCTGATGCCCAACCCGAAATCCCTTACCACCTTGTTCTCCGCAAGTATGTCAACTTCAACCCTGCGCTCGAGTTCCGGTGTTTCGTGCGCAACCGTGTACTGCTATGCATGTGCCAGCGAGACCAAAACCATTTCGACTTCCTGTTCGGCTTGCGCGATACTCTTCGATCCCGCATCCAGGCCTTCTTCGATGAGCACCTCAAGGACTCGTTCCCTGACCCCAATTTTGTGTTTGATATGTACATTCCCGCACCTTACCAGCGCGTATGGCTGGTGGACATCAATCCATGGGCACCCAGAACCGACCCCCTTCTCTTCAGCTGGCTAGAGATTCTCCACATGAGAGATCCCATCGGCATCCAGGAAGCGGATGACGACGCCCCGGAGCAGTTCGTTCGATTATCCCTCAATGGCGATAATCTGACTATTCTCGATGTGGGCGGTAATGAGGGATCTGACTCGGGATCAGAATCAGAAGCAGAAGCAGAAGGGGATGCAGAAGACGATGATGACTCGCCGTTCCTCCCTGAATTCCGCCTCATCAAACGCGACGATCCGGAAGCATATGCTTTCACAACGCCGCAGTACTCTGCGCACAAGCTGCCCCGAGAAGTCGTTGACGCTTCTCTTACTGGACCTGGAGGGATGAGTGAATTCCTAGGGAAGTGGCAAGAGATCCTGGCCAAACAGGAGCAGGAGGATACGGAAAGTGAGGATGGACGATAGCTGTATTTATACGAAAGGACTGGGAAAAGCGGCGTTTTGTTTTGCTAGGACCGCAAACCCCATTTTATACTAATACCATATTTGCTTTGGGATCTGCATTTTCCCTGGGATGAATCTTACGACCTCAGGAATCCCGTCGTTTAGTGATTATTGTAAATCCTCGACGTTAAGTGCCGTCTAACACCGTTGGTAAGACAAATTCCACTACCCATATATACAAAGCACCTAACCAAACCATTTACAACTTATGCCTCTTCTCACCGGAGGCCAATCTCCGAAACTCCTCCTGCGGATAGCCCTTGACAAAGCGATCCATGCCCGCAAACACCTCATACGTATTCTGGCGGTCGAGCAGCTCGCGCTCCGGGCGGCGGATCAGCTCCTTGATCTGCAGCATACTCGACTGGTTCAGATGCGTGCCCAGGCGGTCGTCGACCTCCTCGAGTACCTTCTTCAGGAAGCCGGCGGAGTCCTCCGGTTTGCCGGAGGGCGCGGCGATGACTTTGTTCACGAAACCGGTGGCGACAAGCTCGTCGCAGGTGATGCGCTTGCTCATGATGAGGGCCTCGTTTGCCTTTGCGATACCGAGGCGCTCGACGAAGGCGCGGGAGGCACCGCCCTCGGCGACAAGGCCGAGCGAGGCGAACGGGGTCAGGAGGAAGGTGTGCGGGGCGGCGTAGATGAAGTCGGCAAAGGCGACGAGGGCGGCGGAGAGGCCGACGGCGGGGCCGTTGAGAGCAGCCACCAGGATCTTGGGGTGGTTGTAGACGGCGCGGGTGAGGTCGAGGTTGTTGATGACGAAGCTGCGGGTGATTTCACGGCGGGTGTCGCTGTTGAGGTCGCCGCCGGGGCGTGTGGAGGTTACATCTGCTCCGCTAGGAAGAAGTATTAGAAAAAGAAAGATGGAAAGAGAGGGGAGGGGCCTGATTGTTGCGTACGCGGAGAAGAAGCGGCCGGTTCCTGTCAGGATCGTGATGAAGATATCATCTCGTTTCTCGATCTCGCGTAACCGCTCGCCTAGCAGGTAATAGAGGTCCGCATTGAGAGCGTTTAGCTTCTCGGGGCGGTTGAATGTGATGGTCGCGATGCGATCCTGGTAGGTCAGGGTGATGAGGTCCTCGTTCGCCATGTTTTTTCTATCAGATCGAACGCATCAAAGCAGACGATAATACAGATACAATGGAGTAGTGGCTCTCTCAGCAGCATAAGGAGGAATTGAGAGCTATTATTAACGACCCAACATGCGGGGACGAGGGAGATCGACCAGCGTTTCTCAAGATAGATAAATAGCACATTCTCAGCCTTTGCAAGCCATGCTCAGTCCCCCCCATTATTCCCCAACGGTTATGCAAACTGCCTTGTTTATGCGGGGAGGCCGACGGTCCGAATTGCAGCCGAGGCTCGCAGAGACAATCACAAAATGGCAGGTCAGGTGATCAGTACATGGTTTGTTTGCACCGTTTGCAGAGCCCGCCCGCGCTTCCGCTCGCCAAAAGTTCCGTGATGCTGCTGATGGGCCGATTTGAAGTCCGCGGAGTCTTGTCGTCGGCCTCACCAATCATTCCATCTGTCATCAATTAGCGAAAATCGCCCTGGGCTTGGACAACCACAAACTTTCTCGATTCTATCGCTTCCACGTCGCACATCTCCATCTCCTCCATCACCCCAGCCACATCCACATCCACAATGTCCGCCTTCCTCCGCAGATTATCAGGTGGTAACCTGGAAGTCTTCAAGGTACGCCTGCATCCCTCCTCCTCCTCCTCCTCCTCCTCCTCCTCCTCCTCCTCCTCCTCCTCCTCCTCCCCTTAGCATTCCCCCTCACACAGCCTAACCCTGCCCAACTAACCTCTCCCCAGTTCGGCACATACATCATCTTCCCCATCGGCTGGATGTACTACTTCGGCACGAACCTCGACGAGCGCTTCAACGTCCCCGGCTTCTGGCCCACCACCGAACAATCGCACAAGATCCCGCTCGACAAGGAGGAGATCGATCGTGAGATCGCGCGCATGCGGACCGTGGACGCCGTGCGCCGCGAACGGCGGTTGCAGCAGGAGGCGCTGGAGATGCGGGCTCAGATGCAGGCGCAGGCGCAGGCTGTTCCGGCTGCGGAGTAGGTGTTTTGTTTCATGAGGATTGGTTGGGATATGATATGGTGTATATGCTGCTGAGCGGGTGGGTAAAAACAAGGAGCAAGACGAAGAGAAAGGAAGAGGGGAAGAGGTTCTCATTTGGCGGGGTCCAGAATGGCACCCTGGGTCTTTGGTTCGGGATTTTGATTGATGGGAGTTGCACATGTACTATGTGCGGTTGCGCGACTGTATAACACTCTTCTCTGGGCATATTAGGAGTTTTCTGCTTTCGTTTCTTGTCTAAAATGGATACGCAATTGGTTACTACGCATCACTCGATCTATTTTGTTGATCCTGGGTATTCAAAACCATCGTCTGCGAGTTTGGATTCCAGGTCCGTTGCCTGGTTTAAACATCAAGTTTTCGGACTTTTACTGCAAGAACACGAAGATCATACAATATGGGTATCATATCATTGCTGTCTGGGCCAAACGGCCGACCTATGATAAGAATAAAAGCTCAAGAGCGAGAAAAAAGGACTCCAAGCAATCAGATGCTCCAAAGGACAGAAAAACACAGGGTCCCCACAACGCCTTTGCATGCGATGAATCGATGACAAGAATGGCAGAAGAATATGCCTCGTGCTCGTCGTCCAGTAGTGTCATAGAATAAAGGCGGAAGTGAAGCGGAAATAATGACGCAACGCTTTGAGCATTTCGACTGAAGACCAGATCGGCTGTGATAAGATGTCGGTACAGTATTAAGGATAATAACGACTGGTTGCTGCGTCTAATGAACCGCATGGAAAGAAACAATCAGAGCTCTGCAATCGGGTTGGTGGTAGCTGCTGCGGCCGTGTTTGTGACCGTGTCATATACCATCTCTAAGGTCTTGGTTCCATTTTCACGGAAAACAGAGCTGATGGATGACAGATTGGACGAGATGAAGGGTCGTTCGCCCACCCAGTAGTAATAAAGATGGCTGTAAATTGCCCTGATGTGGTCCGGCAGGTAGACGTACATGCCGGTGACAATCATCGTGAGCAGGGTCAGGAGGAGGGAATCTGTCAATAGTAGTGCCTGTTAGCAATATGTTCTTGTAAAGCGCCTTCAGCAAGGTACATCTGCCATAAACACCATGTCCATTCTATCGCAAGGGGAATAACGTACTAAAGATAAATTTTTCGGTAGGGGTGAGCATGTAGATAGCGAAAGTCACCTCATACTGATACACCTTCAAGCGAAACCACCGAGCCAAAGCCGTTGTGAGCCAGAGAAGAGAAGTCATGGCTGGCAGCGAGTTGATTAAATTCACTGGAATCAGTTGAATAATTTGAAGTTTCTGAAGACTCAAATCACAGCAGAGTATTGCTCCCTTTCTTTTTGTCAAATAATAGAACTTTGCTGGGATTTCTTTTCTTTTCTTTTTTTTTTTTTTTGTTTTGCCCCTTATCTGGTAGTTTGGTAGTCCACAAGTTGAAACCGCGGAAGATTCGTTATCGGAGTACTTGGCGCTGAGGAGATAGGAAGAATAGGTGACGGAGAGCTGTACAAGGTCGATAGAGAGAGAATGCAAGAGAAGATTAAGACGAAGTTCAAGTAGTTGTAAGTGATAGAGAGCATGCAGCCCTAGGAGTTAGGATTGCTCTCCCGTCGAAAGTGGAAGGCAGGTTGACTGGGGCGCAGTGGCGTAACAAGCGGGACACCAGTGGAAATTAGAGAATGGGTGGGATTCAGGGGGCTCAGCCAGCGTTGATGTCTGATCAAAAAAGAGGGGAAAAAAAAAAAAAAAAAAAAAAAGGCGTGAGAATAACTATGGATAGAGGGAAGGAAGAAGAATAAATAAATAATACTAATCACTTGGGATGTATGTATGTATGTGGCAGCCTAGTAGGACAACTTAATGGGCCGACCGAGGCCTTTTTTGGTGTAATGCACCAAAAATCAAGTGAGAGAGCGAAGAGCGAAGAAATACAGTCTTGACTCTTGTCAGATAGCTCTCAATAATAATAATAATAATAATAATAATAATACTGATCTTCAACAAAGAAGCAGTGCGGGGACCATTGACCATCAGCTTGTGGAGAGATGCACAGAGGAAAAAAGTGGGTGTGGTTAAAGAAAACAAAAGGTATTGATTGCATTTCATCTATCTGAAAATTGCTTGAATGTACACAGTAGATCTAGATAGTCTTTGACTTTGAGAAAAATATAGATTGTAACATTGAAAGCTAAAGAGTAAAGACAGTCCCCAGATCAATCTAAGAATAATACTCTAGTTATTATTATTCAGAAACCAGCGCAGAGTAAGAAGTGACTACTCCGTAGAATTGACATTGTTTCAGACTTGCAGCTAGAGCTGGCATTATTGACTACTTACTACTTAGAGATAGTAGGTTCCACTCCAGGGCCCAAAATCACTGTTTGGTCGAATGATATTGACTGCATACTCGAAAAAAAATACTTAAAAATAGAGTCTGATGGGAGTTCGAAATGTCTGGAACATTATTGCTACAAACTTACACAAGTAGGATATATACATATTTATGCAGGATAACATTTCTCAGGATAGTTGGTACTTACAAGCCAGAACACAGCCATCGTATGTTACAATGACAATAGGTTGGTAAGTGGTAACAGGGTATACGTCAGCTTCTGCTTGGCATCTGGAAGTCGCTGACGAGGATGAGGATATTCCCTCCTTGCGGTGGATGATCAACTGCACATATGTCATTATTGCACATCCTCAATCTCCAAAGATATGAATAAAGCTGTCCAGACTGATTCCTATAGTGTACATCTCTTGCTCTATTCGCTAACAGACCATCATCAAGAATACCATGTCCATGTCCTCCGCACGAGGATCGGGTTTGCTGCTCTTCTCGAGCTAGTAGTCAAGTATCTTGCTCAAGACAAGAAAGGGAAGACAAAATCAAGCTCATACATTCAGAAGAACCAAATGTTTGAATCCCAGACTCATGAAAAGACACTCTGTAGAAATCTATCAACTCCAGCTTCATGGCGACAGACTAATCCTCACCGCCCTCATCACCACCACATCACAACCACTATCTCTATCTATCTAGAAACACTCACCAGATAAGCAAACAAGCATGCATGCATGAGAAACCATGCTCCAACCCACCCTCGTCCTCATCCACCATACCCTCGCCCACACAAGAACCCCCTTAACCTTCCCCAAACTCCTCCGCCTCTTCTCCCTCACCCCCTACCTCCCAGAAAAGCAACTCCCTCCCCGCCTCAAAATCAACGATGCCGACCTAACCATATCCTACCTGAAGGGCACCGGCCCGGGAGGCCAAAAGATCGTATGTAAGCCCTGCAACCTCCCTTCCCCCGTTCATTCAATCTTTCAAAGAAGAAGAAAAAAACGGAACAGTGCCAACTACGGTATTAACCCAACACATCCAGAATAAAACCAACTCCGCCGTCCAACTCATTCACAAACCCACTGGCCTCGTCGTGAAATCCCAAGCCACACGCTCGCGCTCCCAGAACGAGAAAATCGCCCGCCAGATTCTCGCGGATAAAGTCGAGGAGCTGCAGAAGGGCGATGAGAGTCGCCGGGCCATCAAGGCCGAGCGCGCCCGGAAGAAGAAGGCGAGTAAGGTGAAGAAGAGTCGGAGGAAGTATCGGGAGTTGGAGAGGGAGCAGGGTGAAGATGGTGAGCGGATCGAGGGTGGGGAGGGGGGAGGGGTAGATGAGGTGGAAGGGACAGTTCAGAAAGAAGGACAGGCGCGAGGTACGAAGCCGGAGGGGCGGGGAGAGGAGTTGAGCGCCGATGGCACTCCCCATGCTTCGTTGGACCAACAAAGACGGAGTTGATGAGCTGGAGTACTGTCTCCTTCCGACGCTTTCCATCCATGTACAATAGATCACCATCTACATTCCATTCCAAGATGCTTCTGCTGGTCAGCTCGCATCTCATATTTTCGGAACCCGCTTCAATAATTAGAAAGATGATCTTTGGAAGTCTAATCTTGAGGTACATAAAACAAGCTAGCAACTCCAAGCGTAGGTGAATAGGATAATCATAAAAGGCATACATCGGTGAGCTATCATTTTTTTCTTCAACGCCAAAGCCGAATGCAACTTCATGCGCACTTCGCAACCGCTTAGGCGATGTAGCTGCTCAAAACAGCCTTAGCCTCGGCTCCTAAGCGCTCCTGGACGCAAGCAGAGATCCGTCCGTTGTGCTTCTTGTCAGCCTCCTTCAGATATTTGCCGACCCACACCTTGAGGTCGGCACCCGTCTCCGGCCACGGGTCCCGAGTTTGCGGCCGCACGGTGTTGAGCGCTGTGAAGCCCACTCCAAACGCCATGTCCTCAACGTCTTGCTCGCTGATGACATCGTCCTTGCTGGCGGGGAGGGGAGGAAGTTCCAACAACTTGAGCAAAGCCTCGCATGTGAAAGCCCATCCCTTCTTATAACGGTTGGCAAAGGCTTCCGAGTTTGCCAGCGTCTTGGTGAGCGACAGTACGGCCGTCTTCCGGTCCAACGGACGGGCAAGTTTTTGTGTTTCGGGCAGGATGATGTTCAGATAGATAGGTGTGAAAAGACTAGTTTTGCATCAGTACAATTTTACAATGGACAATGTTTAGGAGATGTCAGCGTCACATACTCTGGTTGCACCTTATCTGTAACCTGGATGAAGTAGTCGGCACTGTAGCCTTTGTCGTCATGGGCGCAGATGAAGTGATAAAAGCGGACAAATCTCATGGTGAGGTGCTCCGTCTTGGAATTCTGCAGTCGGGTGAGGATCACCTGCATGATAGAAACAAAGTATTGTTCCAGTGCCGACCTGTGTAACTGTTAGTGGTATATCCTCACGGCCAATTTTTCAGGCTCATCCACTTACGAGGGGAAGTTGGCAACGACGCTCTCCAGTAGATCAAATCCATATCCCTCGTTCGCTTTGGTGGAGAGCAGCTTTTGGAAAATGCCCAGAATGGGAACAAGCTGCTCGTTTTCCAGGATGAACTGAGAGCCACGAGGAATAATGGAGGACAGAAGGCGAACGAGTGCGGGGATGTTGCCCTTTGACTCCCACATGACAGGCATAAGGATGGGAGCAATCAGGTTCTGGTAGTAATTGGGTAGAGACCCCGAGGGATTGGCCTCCAGGAGAGCTGCAAAGAGTTGGAAGACATATGGCATAAATTCTGCAGATACGTTAGCATTTATTTTTCTCTTGTCTCCGCTTGAAGACGTACCTTGAACATCGTTCTGGAGGATGGTTGCAAATGGGGGGTAGAGGGCTTGCTCGAGCTTCTCAGAATTGGTCGGTGCGGCAAATCTATTTGGGTGTTAAATTCTAAACTGAGCAGAAGACTATTGCAGAGGTCACCATACCTAATGAATGCGCCCAGAGCTTCAAAGTGGAAATAATAGAACCGTGGATTGCTCGGGTTGCTGCTGATCACTTCTGTGATTTTGATTAAGTGCTGAAGCACCATGTCCGTGTAAGGGACCACGCCGTCTTTGATGACAATCAGGACCCGCATGGCACATCTCATCAGGAACTCGTTCTCCTGCACCTTCTCGGGGGCAGCATCTTTCTGAATCAGCGAAAAGATATGCTGCAGCAAATCCTTTGCCAAGGGGGTGATAGTGCTGGGAGCAATAACGGGTTGACCTTGGCTGTCTGTGAGGTAGAGCACTCGCTCAACAGCGATGGCAGCATAAGTGTAGACAACAAAGTTAGGAGAGCCGAGGTGCTTGACTAGCAATGGAAGCACTTCTTGCCACTGCTCTTTTGTGATAATGCTGCGGAAGAGGTAAAGGTACTTGATAGCATCCACCTTGAGGATAGGGTGAACTCCGTCATCGGAGACGAGATCCGCAGCAAGGTTCTTCTGGAAGAAATCGGTGATGCTGACAAGAGGGTTAGTGGCGGTGACACCGTGACTTGCGGTCGGGACACCCTTTGCGGCAATCGCACTGAAGAGATAGACAGCGGTGTCTTTGGGTTTCCAGTTGGATGCAGGGTTCTTTGCGTATTCGGCAAGGTAATGGTCGGTATATCTAAGGACCACCGTGGTGACTGGCCCTTCGAATCGCTCTGCCAGCCGCCTCAAGAAGTCGGTGGCAGCACGCCGCCTAGTCTCACTGTCCGATCCCTCAAGATCCCGTCGAATAAATTCAATGGGTTCGTCTTCAAATAATTCCTCATCTGACTCACGCAGACTAACGTTAGGTAGGACGACTTTCTCCACGATCTCGCCGAGAGTCTCCTCGGCTTGGAAAACAGACGCGTGCTCCGGCATGCCAGCAATCGATGTCAGGAACTGAAGGGCTTTGCTGACCAAGATGTCATATTTTGTTTCCTGGCCAATGGTAGTCAGGAAGCTCCAGGAGCTCTGCACAAATTGTGTCACATGAGGACTGAACACATCCATGTACTTCTGCACATAGAGTGTCAGAACCTCGAAGATACCAGCCCGCACGAATTCCAATTGACCAGCTTCAGTATCGTCATCGGTATGAAGCAGCGGGTTGTCGTAGGTCAGATACTTGAGCAACAGTGAAGCTATCCCTGAAAGGTTTTCCTCAAACATAGGAGGAAGATCATGGCAAGAGAGGTCGTAGAGTAACTTGATCATCAAGTTGAATTGTGTAAACCCTTGAACAAGGTTTTCTTTGTTGGATTTGTTTTGTTCCAGGAAGGAGTCCAGTCCCTAAATCGACATTAGTATAGAGCCATGGCAAATACCAAACAGTTTTGTCCATATTATGTATTATAGTGATACGCTCGGAGGTGGATTCTTACCTCGAAAAGAGCCAAAAATGGTGTTCCGAATTTGTTCAGGACATGGTTAATCTCTGTATAAAGCTCATTCGACTGGAACAGAGGCCTCCATCTTTTGAAAATAGAATGTGCGACTTGGAGTACTCCGATGTTGGTGGCGGGGTTAGTCGGCTGAAGTCTTGAGACAAGATCCTGGCAAGCGTCAACAAAAAAAAGTTCTGAAGAATGAGGAGCCAGATTTGAGAACTAACATCCACCAGTGTATCCCATCGCTCCCAGAAATCGCTATCCGCGATCACACTAACAGCTTCTCCCAGCTGAGATTGGATGCCGGCCGGAACAGTGACCATCAGGCTGATCAGTTCCCGTTTAATGGTCGCAACCTCGTCCACCTGAAGCTTGTAGTTCCCATCTTCATCGGTCCAGTTCCGCTTAATAAAGTTCTTGAAACATAAAGCGCTGGCGAGGCGAGTGTTGTAGGGGTGGGAAGTGGATGCTGTGATCTGGAGGAGCTGGAGAGAAAAGCCTGGCTTCTGTTCCTCCTGACGGAGAGCAAGCTCAGCTGAAAAGAGTTAAATCCATGTATCTTACAGCTGATAGCTTAATAGTAAGAACCTCTCGATATCCCTTACCTTGTTTATTCTGCCTTGGGTCCAAGCTCGCCTCCAGGAGCTGGGCAACAGCTCCGAGATCCGCAGCCATTTTTTGTATAAGTGAGCGGTCGTAATTAAGGGGAAATGGAGATAGATGCCAGTACTAAATTCTTCCCAGAAGAAAAAATTATAATAGGTAAAAAATGAAAGGAGAATATGATTATTCTGGTGTGGGCAGAGGCGTCTTCAATCCACCTATATGAAAAAAAATGCCCTGTTCAAAGCCGTGAGAGCTTAGTTCATATGAGGCAGTTTGTTTAGCGGTTGCTTTGGTTGCTTTGGGAATTTCCCAGGCGGTGAGTGCTGAAGCGGGGTGTTTTTGCCGATCAGGTGACTTACCCGGAATAACCTCCTCCGAGCCTCCGCCAGATCATCATCATTGACCTTGTTGAGGGGGAAAAGTGTCTTGGCGCAGTTTTGCTTGCTTGGATCATTGGATGAGCACTGGGTATCGTTCATTCAGTCAGGCTGCGCTCGGGCAAACTCTGTTCAGGGGTATCTCTTTGGCCATGTGGCTGATATTTCTATTCAGTCTGTGAAGAAGAAAAAGAGCCTTTTCTTGTTTCTTTAAAACAACTGCTTTCTGCAGAACCTCCCCGTCCATTGTTGTCGCTGTGGCTGTCAGTCATATCTTGAATGAAGCTTGGTCTTAGTTTCAAGCACCCCCCGGATGCTGTGAACTCTTGGCTAGACATCCCTCACAAATGGTATGTGGATTTGCTGCGACATTTCTGACGGACACAGAGGATCTGAGTCTATGAGGTTGTGTCTGAATAGCTCTATAACAGCCATGCTAATCAGTTTTTTGTCCAGATATATCATCCGTCCATCTAGGCGCTTGTATATACTTCCCGTCCCTCAGGACGCATGTCTCCCGATGACGCTCCACTCCCGTCTCCCTATAGAACCACTGCCTCGAGTTTCGTCGATGTCTTCAAAACGCTAGGTGTCGCACGCCCCAGATCGCAATCCCCGGTTTCGCCGCACGCACAAGGCAGCAATAATTATTTGTCGCATACAACGGATGGACGGAAAAACAACTTTCTCGTACTTGGATTCGAACCAATGCATCGCGGAAGTGTCGTCTCTAGTTCCTCGGACACATCCGGTGCCCTGGACTTCGAGACGGCTATTAAGAATTTATCACAGAAACAATATCTAGCTCACGCCATCGACGAGGCGGAGCATGTTTCCAGAGGTCTCCAGTCGTTTAATTCAGACCAATCAATCGCTCTATGGGAGGCCGGCTCCTACCTCATACACCATGTGGATTCACCAGACGCTCGACGGAGTGGCTCGCTATTACTCGAGACTGTTGCGGCACGTCAAGACCTGACCCCAGCAGCACGACGTACCATCTTCGAATCGATTTCATCCTCCTCTGAGCCGGACGTCATACCAGCTCGTGTGCAATCATTAATATCTCTTTCGGACCATGGCAGGAAACTGGACTTTACCTCCGTTTCCGTCCTTTCCATCCTCTCGTCTTGCGCTGTTCCACTTTACGAGCTCATTTCATCGGCTAGGTTGAAAGCCCGCAAGGCCAAAGTGGGCAAGGTCAATGGACTCGGATATGAAGAATCGGCGCTGGACAACATGTTGCAATTCGCTGTAGATCTGATCACGCTGCAGCGGAAGCGTCCAAGCAATGAAGAGATTGAGTCGTTGCTTGAGCAGATCTTCATCATTTGCAAAAAGACGAGTGTTGCCGCCGACATCAAAAATTCGCTGGCAGTGTTTGATGCTATTATACTCTATGCAGACGTCCCAGACGGAAGCTTCATTCCAATGCTGGAAGTTTTGTGCAGCATTCACGCTTCAGTGAAATCCTTGTCTGGTCCTACTTCAAGAGCCGTCAGGAATTTAGCGCGGTCAAGACGACAGACTGAGATGATGAACACGCTGGACTCGTTTCTTCTAGAATCCTCAGAAGCGCATAGCCGCAACATCAATGTTTTGCGCGGAGCTGTGTACGTCTTGACGGATCTGATTAGTGCCTATGGTCAAGATGGCATGCCTGAACTTCGCTTCGAGCATTTAATGCATTGCCTCGAGGTTGTCATACAAAAAGATGACAATCGATTGGACGCGGACGTACTGGAGCTTTGTCTTAACATCTTGGATGGGGAATTCGTCCACGTGGCGTTACGGGGTAGCTGGTCGAGCTTCGTTAGGGTTTTGTGTCTGTGTTCTTCCAAAGCCGTTGGCGAACGTGAAGAGCGCGCCCCTTCAATCTCCAGCGCCCAGTCCCCCATTTCCAAAGGCAGCATACCCGAAGAGACAAAGTCTAATATCCTATCTAGCGTTGTACAAATCGCAGCCTCTATCGAATCTCTCTGGGAGCGCTTGAACGGGGAACAAAAACTTGACGCCACACGTTTTTTGATGAATGCTTGTGAGCACATGGAGCCTTCTCAGGCCGAGCTCATCCTCAACATCACAAGAACCGAGAAACTATGTTTCCCTTCTAATTCTGACTGGGTCAATCATTGTCACAAGCTCATCTGGTGCTTCATTCGAACGCGAGATAAGCCATCTGACGTCCGCATCCTGGCCTTGGGTCTTCTTAAAGAGGCTTTCTCCACCTACGAGACCCTGATTCCTTTTGAGGAACATGGATTGCTCCAACTCATACTTGACTGTTTTACTGACGAGGAAGACATACTGTTCCTAGAATCTTTGGTATCTTTTGTCGTCGATGCATCGACCATGATCCCTAACGATTCAACATTCAAATTCTTGGTCGACACGTTGGGCTCACTGATGAAAAAGGATTCCAGCAATACTGAGTCCTTGAGCATTGCAGCCTCTACTGCATCATCTCCTCAACGTCGCCCATCCGCCGACGTCGTACCAATTATGCAGACTAGTGCCAACCAACAGGCGCTGGATTTATCTCTCTCCAGCGTGTGCACCGCGGGGCTCGTCAAAATGTTCCTCAGGTCTCTAACCATGTCGGCTACCAAGGTAGCTGCAATCTTCGAGACACTTTTGAATATTGCGCAATCACTCGAAAGACCTGCGGACTCTCGTTTGACTGTGTTGAAGTTGCTGTTCAGACTCCGATGCGACTCGTCGGGCTCGATTATTGTCGTATCCATGTCCGAGAACGATTTTCTGGCAGATACTTCTGGGCGAGCCGTTGATAGTAGTTCTCGGTCGCAGACATCTTCTGAGATGGTGTTTGGAGATCATGGCACAATAGATGAGAATCTGCGGCCGGCCCCTCAGGGAAGACAGTCAGTGGGTAGAGAATCTCTTGCGAACGTATTATCCAGGTCCGCTAGTCGAAGCATGGCAGCTCATGGCCGACCGTCGATATTAACACCACCCGTTTGGACATTCGCATCTTCCCAAGTTCTTCCTGAAAATCCACCGGATGGATCGAGTCCTTTTGTGTATGCTTACACCACCCCGGATATCTCATCTGATTCGGAAGGTGATGCAACTTCGAAAGTTGCGTTAAAGGCCAACATGTGGTTGGAAACCATTATAACGCTGCTACTCCGAGAGACAAACTGGGAGATCTATAGCTATGTCCTCATTCATCTCGCGCCTCAGCTGAGCAACCGGGACTTTTTCCGCAGTGCTGTCCCGCAGATAAAATTGCTGCGCAGCGTTCTGTGTGATCAAGTTAAAAACGAGTCGTTCCGTGAGCCTCCCGCATCCACGGGCGTCAAGAAAACCGACGTGGCTGGTTACGTGTTCGATTGTCTCTCTGTACTAGTCAGCTACCATGAGTTCTTCGCGAAAAGCGAGCAGGATGAACTTGTGCGGGCATTCATGATGGGAATTATAGGATCTTGGGGAGACACCTCTCGCAGATGCGTACATGCCCTTTCCGTCTGCTGTCACGAGATTCCGCTCTCCGTGACAAAATCGCTGAACGGAATATTCGACAAAATGGCGAAGGTGATCACCATGTCCAATTTGGCTGTCCATATTCTCGAGTTCTTGTCTCTACTTGCACGGCTGCCAGATGTTTACGTCAATCTCCGAGAGGAAGAGATCCGTACCGTTTTTGGCATCTGTATCCGGTTTCTTCAAACCTCCCGTGAGCATCGCCTGAGGGCGGGCGAATCTTCTCATCTGCGCAATCAAGCCTCGGCAAGACTTGGTAGTGGCGTGAGGGAGATTGCGGTGACACCAGCCGAGCTCCCTGACCCATCACAGCAAGATGGGATGTCGACATATATATACACGCTCACCCACCATGTCATGGTCTTCTGGTTCTTGTCGTTGAAGCTTCAGGATCGGGCGAAACATGTCAACTGGATCACTAGTCGACTTATATTCAAGGATGAGCAAGGGCACGAGAGAGTCGAAGAACAGAGCCAGGTGTTCATTGACCTGATGCAAAGATCTGCATTCTCCGACCTCGGAGAGACCATCCCATATGAAACGTTCCCGCCTTCACCTAGCGATGGACCTGTGATTAAAAGGTCGTGGGTGGTGGGGATGAGCATAGTTACTGTGGAGACAGCTGGCGTATCTGGGTTGACTCAGATCGCGAAGCGGCAAGCTTCTGGCACCACCTATGCAATGTATCAACAGCGGACGGCTCCAGTGTTGCCTCATCAGGTTCCTTCCGCGCCGGATGCTCATCTGCATCCTGACGCCATGCGTACTGCCGTGCTTCCAAGCCATGTGCTACTGCAGCTGACCACCACGGCCTTCCCTACGCCTACGGCCATGCAGCCTATTCCGCTCCCCGACGACGACATGACTCGCAGAGCCCTCAGCACTTTTGATCGAAACGACATTGTCGACGGCCACAAAATAGGCGTCGTCTACATTGACAACGGCCAAACAACGGAATCAGAGATCCTCTCTAATACCCATGGCAGCTCGGATTACGAGTCCTTCCTGTCTGGACTGGGGACCAAGGTTCCCCTCCGAGGTGCACAGTTCAATACTCAAGGGTTGCATCCGGATGTTGATGGTGAGTTTGCCTACGCATGGCGTGACAGAGTCACTGAGATCGTTTATCACGTGGCGACTATGATGCCTACCGATTTTGATCGAGATCCTGCCTGCATCAACAAAAAGCGCCACATTGGCAATGACTTTGTCAATATCATCTTCAATCGGTCTAATATGCCTTTCAACTTCAACACAATCGCCTCCCAGTTCAACTTCATCAATATCATCATCAGCCCCGTGTGCCGTATTGCAGGTGACGCTGGTGCCGCGACCCCAGTATCGCACGATCTCGAGAAGAACTTCTACACCGTAAAAGTCATGAGCAAGCCCGGACTCCCCGAGATCTCGCCCGCTTCAGCACCCAAGGTCATTTCAGGGAAAAGCCTCGCAGCCTTTGTCCGCATTCTTGCGCTGAATGCATCCGTGTTCTCCCTAGTTTGGAACAGCCAAGGAGGCGAGCACATTTCCTCGTGGCGCAACCGCTTACGGGAGATCAAGAGACTTCGAGAACGTGCATTGGGCTCCCAATCTCAAGCGTCAGAGACCGCAGAAGGAGCATACCCCGGGCAGCGACGCAACACCAAGGCCAACATCTTCTCCGAAGAGGTGCCCACGCGCGTTGCTCCTGTCCGGAATGACTTTGCCACCGATTGGAATGCCGCGGCGGATGCCAGCATCTTGCAGAATTTGGATTTCTCTCGATGGGGTCGATGAATGATTCCTATCAGTGCATCTTCGCGAATACATTCGAGAAGGAGAATCGAAGGAAGAAGAAAAGCGAAAATCAAAAGCAAAAAGAGTATACGAAATGTGTTATGCCCCCCCCCACCAAAAGATTTTGACGATTTGCTTGGCTCTAAAGCCTTTTTTATTTATGTAGGATGAAAGCCCTTCTGTTTTTCTATGGCTCGCAACACCTGTGTCAATACCCCTCGATCGTCTGATGCAAAAGTTCTGTGATGTACTCTTCTTCTACCTTTTGTCTATGACATGGCTCATTTGGTCTTGTATCACTTGCTTCACCGTTGGCACGAGACTGTCTCGTGGTAATTTCTAGATATGCTCAATCGGTTTTACGAGGAGATCCATTCACTACCATGATTCTAGTAGTGTTCCTCCACTGAGACTAACCTAAGGAGGTAGGTAGTAAGGTACCTATATAGGTAAGGTGTTCTGCAGAGGTGATTGGTGAAATTTCAAGGCACCAACTGGATGGACCTATTATGTATAGATCAATTCCTGCTGTTCTAATTGACATATAAAATTGTAGTAGGTAAATGGGGAACAGAAAGAGTGCTCAGAGTACCTGTCTCCAAAACTCGACTTCGCAGTAGGGCCTTGGGAGAAGCCCAAAAGCAAATACTCGGTGAATCTTCATATATCTTGGGACCTGGGCTTCAAACCAGCAATCGCGATATGCATTACGCATGTACCCCTCGCTTGCCAGGTGGTTGAATTTTATCTGCCAGGAAATCCGAAACTGTAGATGAAGTGGTGGACGACGTTGACATTTGCCGATGTTCAACGACAACTCAAGTTATCAGTTTTCATACAAAAAACATGGCGGAGAGAATGAGAAGAGAGAGGCATTTCCTTTTTGGACGATATCTCAGTAAGAAAGAGAGACATATGTCTCTAAGCCGGCTAGGCTGTGTATATTAGGACGGGGAAACCAATGAAGGGCCCTGAGAAGCGAGGACAGATAGAGTAGCATTTTTTTTCTCTCTCCTGGTTATGGTATATCAGTAGGAGATCCTAAGGAAGAGTAGAAGACGTAGGAGATGTAAAGGAGTGGGACGGTATTTATGCTTGTTGAGCATAGTTGTCTGAGAAATGAATCTATATCTATGCTTAACACTACAGGTCAACACCAAAGTATCGACATAAGAGTCAATGCTCCCTCCCTCCCCTTGATTGATCGACTGGACCTTGATTGATCTGCTACTATTATTCAATCCAGGCTATGCCATAGACTATTCATTCTGGGGAATACTTTGATTAATTGCAGCATATGAAGTTCATTGTCCTATATCTAAAAGAATAAGATGAATAAACTCAACATGATGCTATTAGCAACATATACATCCTATGCCTCGGACCCCATTAAGCTAAAAAGGCGTCTAGATACTCCCCCTACAATAGTAGTGATAATGCATGTTATAGTCATGTTGGACAATATTCATGCAAAGTCAAGGGGAAACACCACATTGACTGCAAATGTGGAAGCGCAAAGGCAGAGCAATCAGACGACGACGACGACGACGACGACAACGACAACGACACTGAAGGCCTTGAGTGGAGGTAAATGAAATGGGTGGACTGGAAGATATTCAGTCAACCGCTGTTACTATTCGCTATGATGTACTAGCTGCTTGCTATGTTCGAAGAGAGGGCTGTGATATGCTATAGAAGTCACTCCCAGCTCTGGCTCCTCTACCACTTCATAGGAAGCTATATCCAGAGAAGAGCCCAATCATATTGATAGGCTGTTTTCACTTCTCTTGACACATTGCACAACGTGTCTGCGGAACTTCCTTAGGAGTAAGTATTGATTATGGAAATCCGTTTGTATCTACGAGACCAGAACCGCGTTCTCATGCGGAACACAGAATCATCTCTTCATATGTGGCATACAGCTGTCGACGGCCACGAACGAAGAATGTTGTATGTGGTTACCAACTAACATAATTGAACTCCGCAGATGAAGTATCTGATTATATGTGGCATTACTTTCAATATACAATTAATTAATGTCATACACCCCCCATCTCCCGCTTGTCATGATCAATGAAGAACTCCACCTGCTTCCGAATCCCATTCCCCAAGGCCTGCGCACTCTCACTCGCCTCAGTGGCCTCAACGCTATTCCGACTCCCAAGAATACGATCGACACTCCCACCCTCCGCAGCATTCGATTTCGAGAGGATATTGCGCAGCCGCGAGTTCGTCCTGCGATGCTGCGTGTTCTGCGCCGTGGTTGAAAGCGACCGCCCGCCAGGAGTGCCCCCGACGGTCGCGGTGAGTTCGTACGAACGCGAGCGCTGGGCGCTACTGACCATGAAGCGGAAACCGGACAGGATCAAGTTGCGCAGGCACGGCAGCGAGGCGGTGATAATCACCAGCCAGGCCTCGATGAAGCCCCAGCGGAGGAGCCCGACGGTGTCGTTGAGCATTTCGTTTTTGAGCTGGGGGACCTGGACGACTTTGGCCAGAGCGGCGGCCATGGCTCTTTAGGGGAAAGAAAAAACGTTAGTATCGTTCACAGTCGGACTGGCGCCCAGAGCCAGGGAGAGGGGGAGAGGTAGGGGGTAAGAAAGATACGTACAGCAACCCGAGGCTCATGAGACCGATCAGACTGATCTTAACCGGAAGTCGCAGGTTGAGATGCCAGAAAATATAGGTTGGAACAACAACGAGATAGAGATCGACGAAGGTGTTGAAGACTTCTGGGGCCTCAGCGACCAGCTCACCGACCAGACAGAAAGAGAAAGAGAGAGAGAGAGATAGGGACAAAACGTACTATTCTGGAAAAATCCAAATCTGACCTGGACCTCATCCGAAATGCAGATCCCATCGATCTGATAGTCCCAGACAGCACTCGCAGGTTTGCACGAGGCGAAAATCAGGATGATAGGAACAGCGTTGACGGCGACTTCCAGGACCGCGAGAGTAATGAGGATGATCCGGTGCCATTTCTTGGTCCCCAGGATGGCCAGCAGATACAACACAAAGGCGGCGCGTCCTGCCGCCGCGCACGCAATCAGGAACACTGTCGTGAACACGTAGAACTTCCGCCCTGCCGCTGCTTCGGAACCGTATTCGTCGTTTGTTGGCTGAGCGTAGCCGTATGTGATGCCGCAGGTTAGGAGGGACGCTGCGATGAGTCCGAAACACTTGAGACGACCACGATTAGCCTTGCGCTCTCTGGCTTGTTGGGAGGGGGAGGTGGAGGAGCGCAGTTTGCTGAAACGAAAGGGCATAAACGTACCAACGCAAGGATCATGACCGCATCATCAAATTTGAACTGGCGAATCTTCACCTTCGCCAGGATGCGCAGCACGACAACCAGCACCGCGAAGCTCCCAAAAACCCAGCTCACCAACAACAGCTCTGTTTGGCGGCTGGAGATCGTCATCTCAATATCATGCGGTGTGAGCTAGAGCAGGCGAAGCGTAGTGAGCGAAAACGACTATACTCAACACCATTGACAGCAAGAAGAGCTCATCCGGAGCAATGTATCGGGGGGGGGGGGAAGGTTTCGGCATCGAGGCACACCGCCACCGACACAAAATTGACCGGGAGAGAAAAGAAGAATTCGTTTGGGGCTCGGACCGCAACAGTCTCCTCCGTACTCGGTACGTGCTGTGTGCTGCATGGCTATATCCAGAGTTTCTGGACCTTCATTTCCCGCTTCCAGCTGAAATTTTCCGATGCTCTGGAGCAAATAGCGCGGTCATTGACCACTTGTGGTACCAATCGAAGTGAAAGTTTGGCCCGTACCAGAGGTTTGGAGCCTCATTAAGCCACTCATCCTTCTTCAGAGTTCAAGCTTCCCCCCCGGGACGGATAAGACTAATGGGTTCCAGAACCATAGTTTTGTAGATAACTAGGTAGATACCCTGTCCCCGAGTCCCTGACCTCTGTAGAATATCTAGTGGATATCAGATAATCTATCGTCCAACTGACTCAGGCAGTGGCAGTATGGTAGGTGGTAATAAATGCTGAGCATCTTCTGGGTCGCCTCTCCTGAAGGATTTCCCTGGTCCTCGCTATCTATCAGCTCTAATAGGGACAGACCAGATCGCGTCCATCAGACCATATGTTCACAGATCCTACTATAAAAAGACACCCTCCGAACTATCTCAGAGGTCCGTATCACCTCCTGAGAAACAAGCCCCATCGCAATCAAAGAAGCGAGACCTGCATTATTAGTCAAAGCCAAGACCGAAAGTGGTGATCAAAAGAGGCCTGTGCGGCTGCCCGCTGATTGGTCGGGTCGAAATAAGGTTGAAGCTACCTTACACGTGCTCGGACTCTGAGTTTTGCTGGATTTTCTGTTTTTCCTGCTCCATGCGTGCCTCAGGCTTGTCAGGCGGTGGCTTAGGGATAATAGTTAGTAAAAGACTCAATAGGTAACAAGAAAATGTGATTGTGGTTTTTTTATTTTTCTATATATGTACATATAACTAGAAATGAAACTATATCAATGAATGGAAACATAGCCCAGCATGACTCAAATCCTTATCATGCAGGACATAAAACCCCTACCTGTTCACAGAACCTTACCACCCGAAAATCTCCGCCACGCTCAGCACACTGAACCGCACCCCGAAGACAGAAAACAGGATCATCACGATGTCCACAACACCCAGAACGATCGCGCCCATCATGAAACGCGGGCTGAAGATCCGGAAGAGCATGAGATGGCGGCGCAGGTGGCCCGCCCACATCGTCGTCGCGAGGTTGATCGTCGCGAAGTAGAGGATATAGGTACATGCTGCCTGCGCGACGTCGGAGAGGATCCGGGTGATGGGGCTGCCGGATTTGCCGGCCGCCGTAGCGCTCTCATGGAGCTGCAGCGGCCGCTTCCAGAGTACCGTCAGGGGCACAGCGATGGCGGTGAGGATCTGCGCGCCGAAGGTGTTCAAGATCACAAGAAGTGGAGACCAAGGATATTGGACGGATGAGAGAGGGATGAAGGCCGTCTCCCACTGGACACTGCTCAGGGTGGCCTGGTGGCCTGTTTTGAAGAAGTAGAAGGAGCCAAGCAGTCCGAGGACGACCGGTCCGATGGCCGAGTTGCCTGTGACGAGGGCGTTGGTGTCGAGGATTTCAAGCAGGGACAGAATCTGCCAGAGGAGCAGGCCGATAGCTCCCTGACCCATGGGCTTCTGCATGAGGATGATGGCCAGGCAGAAGTTGATAACAAGGAAAAAGGCCCGCGTTCCGTACACGTTGCCGAAACCAAGAATCGTCACTGTTCGTCTGCCCGGCTGTTGCACAGGGTCCTTGCCCTCGGTTTCATTGCCCCCTTGGCTGACACTGATACTCACACACGGCTTGGTGTAGATGAACGCGGCGGTTCCCGCGGCGAACGCAATGGCCAGGACTAGTTGAGCTAGGAAGACGCGCAGGGTTTTCAGAGTCTCTTTGCTCAAAAAGCCCCATTCACCGTCATCGGCAGCCTCCAGCATCCAGAACATTGAAGTTATCACAAGACCCAGCCGGAAGGCAAAGCCGATCCACAGCGTTGCGGCTCCTTCATATGATTTTGACCCAGCATAGAAGGATCGGACAACGGCCGGTAGGATGAGAGTAACCAAGCACGGGATGATCAGTTGCCACGGTGCAGATGTCGACGAGGTAGCAGACGCATAGTAGGTGGAACGGCAGAACGGCATTTGCTCCTCACGGCATAGGCGTGCAAAAGACGCGATTCGGCCTAGAATCACAAACAGAATGGAATGATAGACCCCCAGCACTCGGTCGGCTGTGGACTTTTGCCGCATCGAGGAAGCTCCCGCGGCGACTCCAAAGGTAGTCAGGAAAAACAAGAGAATTTCATCCTCCCAGATTGTGTACGAGTTTGACGCGAAACCAATCGATTGAGATATGGTAAAAACGAGAGCGAGCCATCCCCATAGAGTATCGGGAAGAGGCAATGACAGTCGTCCAGGGTGTCCAAATATAGCCCAAAAGCCGCCAATAATGCTGCCTACAGCAGCCAGAAAAACGGATGACTCGACAGCTCGCGAGGTCACAATGTGAGCGTAAGACAGACCGACTCCAGCCACAACACCCAATGCAGAACCCACTCCGACCGAAGAAAGCAGAGGACGTGTGAGCTCCGGTCGAGCAGTTCGAATCCCTCGGGCGTAGAACACTAGGAGAATGATCGCGGCGAACAAGATCCCAATACCCTGCAACATGCTCGTAACATCGAACTTGGCCCACAGACTACGGCAGACTTGTAAGATATGACGTTGGTATTGACGATGCAAGTCGGAAGCCGAGCGCAGAGCAGCCATATTTGACCTACCGGCCTTAGCCACCTTTTGCCAGGCACCATCTGCAGTCTCCCACAGCGCCCCGGACTCAAGTGCCTGTCGGTCATCCGCACCATGCGAGGACGCATATGCCTGCTGATACCTTTTGATTTGGGCAGAAGTCAGTCGGTTCACAGTGGCAAGGTTCTTCCAGTTCTTTCCACCGACACCAATGAAGGCCTCCTCAATCGGGGAACCAAGGTTGTTGAAGGGGATGGCCATGCCAAGAAGGAGCGACAGGGTTGGGACGAGGTCGATTTGAGGCACGAACCGTTCCCGTGCGGTGGCCGGTGGATTAGCAGTTTCAGGACTTGTGCGACCGAAGATGCCTTTCTTCGAGTACATCCAGAGAGCGGCCTCAACTTCGTCGTCTGATTCACCACCGTGGTCGCCCTTAGAGTCCATTCCGTGATCTCCCATCACCACCAAAAGCGTCTTATCGTCGAGCGTCGCGATCAGGTTCCGAATGACTTGATCCATCTCGCGCAGTTTCGCAGCCATTGCGGGATGGTCAGGTCCGTATCTGTGTCCGGCATGATCAACGCCGAGATAGTGTCCAAAGATCACATCCCATTTGGTGGCGTTGGCAGGATGCAGCAGCGGAAAGAGGTGTTCCGTGACGCCATTGTCGACGGTGTGCAGGTCCCAGACGTTAAATGAATCGAACGGCTTCGTGAGATTGGCATCGAAGTACCCTGGGAAGAGAGCCTGCCAAGTATCGTCACCGAGGTGTACCAAGGTCTTGCCCGCCGCATGGAGCTGTGCAACAAGGTTATCCTCATCGATCGCCGTCCCCGCAAAATTGGAGCCAGCATCCACAAAGGTAGGCAAGGTGCCGGTGGTCAACCCCTTGAGTCGTTGTAAAGTTGTGGTAGGCGGATCCGCGATGAAGGGAAGCAAGAAAGCTTTCTCGGGGGTCTTGACAGCCGTCTCGTAGAGGACGGGGATGTTATCATGGAACAGGTGTGCCGTTTCACTCTCCGACCCTGTCGCAAACGGCACCGTAAAGTCATACCGCAGCGCATCGATAATAATCACAATAGCCTTATCGAACGATTTATCATGCCAACACCCTTTATTTCCTTTGCGAGCCGACGATACCGACGAGTCGTCAAATGGTAGAACATCACAAGTCGATTTATTTTCCAATACCATCCGAGTGAGAAGAAAGCCCTTCGTGAAAAAGAATATCCCGGCAACGTGCAGAAACCTAAGCATCCGACCTGTCAGTCAGCCATCGCATATTCCGTGAGACCACCTGTGCCAAAGAAAAAAAACGACTCACAGAATCCACCCCAACACCCCCAGTATCCCAGAATGCATCAATGTGAATTGGCGCTCATATATCTTGTCCTGAATAGGCGGTGTCTTGGTACCCTTCCCCGGTCGCGATGGCAGAGACATTTTCGGCGACTGAGCTCCTCGAGGGTCGGAGGTGGAGTGCGGCGACAGTGTTCCAGGGGAAGCTGCCGTAGGTCGCAACCCACTAGGGCCAGCTTCACGGCCTGTTGCTGAAGCCATCTCGAGCACTGGAATCAAGGTGTGATGGGAGGTGTGTTCATCCGAATGGCCAGGGGGTTCTTTGGTCTGTTTAGGAGGGGTTCAGCTGGCTCAATGCGGTGGTCCCAAGTCCAGCTAGCTACCTTGGGCGATTTAAACGGCACTTGCAAGGAAAGGAGCTCGAGGAACAAATACTTATATTGAAAGAGAGAAAAGAAAATACCGCGGAAGGAGAGGTAGCAGGGTTCAGAAATGATAATCGAATGAATGTCGGATATTCTTTAGTTTCCCTCGTGGAGCTGTCAACAACTGTGCTCTTCTATCGAAGCTTTACTCAGGGCATGCTCATGATCACACTGACAGCTCAAATTCACACGTATAAGGAATCCAATAGAAGCAAATTAAATACCACCAAATCTTGGAGAGCTAGACATAAGAAAAAGGAAACAAAGTGACACTGGAACTGAAGATCGTTCCCAGAATTCCCTTTTTTTTTTTTTCCCCGTGACGTCGGGCGTGTCGGCGCTTTCAGCAGGCTTAAAAGAAAGAACTGGCCGGGTCGGCGCGGAACATTCAAAGCCCTGTGTTGGTGGGCCGTTGCAGCCGCTCTAGGGCAACTGTTTACTCTAGGTTGACCCCCTGGGCCCCTGGTATTGCAGAATTCTGTTTCTGAGAAGAAATGAAATATCATAGCTGAGACTGACTGTCGTGATCTCTGTACATGTAATGACATCCATTGAGGCTCTCGCTCCGAAAGAACGACCACCTAATGTGTAATCGAGCTAGTTACATACATTATCCAGTTGTAGGGCACCCAGGGCAAACCGAGAATTGCAAGGGATGGGAGAAGTAAAAAAAAGGGGGGGATTATAGAGAAAGAAAACAGAAAGGAAGGAAGAGAAAAAAAAAGGGGGTGCTTGGAGAATGTAAAAGGGGAAATCAGATAGAAAAGAGAAACAAACGCGAACATAACATCCCTCAGCCCTAGTGACATGGCAGAGCTGAAGGAACCACGAGTGGCCGAGCACAAGATATGAACGCCAGAAGAAAATATGATAAGTCAAGAACAGAGAGATGCTAAAATGGCAACCAAGAGAGAATAGGACCAGCAACCCTTTGCTATACACCATTCGGTCTCGGTATACCTTTGGAGTGACTACTCTCCAGATGATCCGGCGAGTAGTATCCTTTCCTCCAAGGGGAAAGATAAAATAGAAAGCCGGTGGCCAAATACAACGGATTATTCGCATATGTGCAGGTGGCGGATGAAAAAGGCTAGCAGGAATGATGATGTGCAAACGGTAAGTGTTTTGGGAGGTCGTCGAAAAGCGAGAAGAGGTATGTAGTTGGTTGAGGTGGGTTTCAGTCGGGGCGATCAGAACTAAGACCATCTCTTCATGTCCTCCTTCTCCTTGAGGCCACCCATGCGTTCAATGTCCAGGGACTGGAAGCGTTCCGCATCGCTAGACTGATAAGGGGGAAGCTCCTCGTGGCATGGTTCTAACCCAACCGCACCGGCATCGCTGATTCTCACCACTACCACACGTCCGGATTTGCGCTTTCCAGACTCATCCTCCTCCTCGGGGAAGGTGATGCGGATTTCCGGGACGGGGCTGGGTGGAGGGCTCGACGAATTCTCAATCAGGCTTCGTTTTTCATCGTACACGAGGATGGATTGCGTCTTCGTGTTTGAAGAGGCGGAGATGGTTAGGCGACGATGGTTGGGCGAGCACTGCCCGTTATGGATGGGAAGTTCGGGTTCCGCACGGCTCTGACGCTTGCGACGTAAGATCAGGAGGGTTGCGACCAGGACGATACCGAGAAGAACAAGGACCAAAAGGGAGATCAACAGATCGACCATGGCAGGAGAGAGTCCATCGTCGAGTTTGGTGTTGTCGCGTGAAACAAGTCTGGCGAACATCTTTGCTGACTTGAAGGAATGAAAAGCTTTCTTCGTCGTGAAATGTCAAGCCTAGGCGTGCAAGCTGTATACAGCGTTTCAAGATATCCAATACCAAAGGAGGTTGTATATCCTTTAATTCAAGGGAGTGAAGTCGTTCTATTACCGATCGGGCCTGTTAACGTCCGATCCAACGTCGAGCAACAACTGGCCCATAGCCGAGACTTACACTGCGTCCGAACAAGTTTCAGCCGGGGACAAAATCAGAGAAAAGGTTGTTCGAGAGTCTGTAGTTCGAAAGAGAGAATGTATTGGGTCGGTTGGTTTTGGTCGGATTTCGCGGGTGGATCTGTCGGAATATCGAGACTGACAGGGTCGACGATGATGATGACGACGGTGATGAAAGAACGGATAGCAAAGTGACAGCTGAAAGAGTGAAGCTGACACCTGCTGTGGTTTAGAGAGAGAACGTGATGGGGTGGAAGGAGGAAGAATGAGGGAGGGGTTGGTATGGGGGGGGTGAAAACAACAACAGAAAAGAAGGGAAGGGAAAGACTGAAGGGAGGAGAGCGAGAGGGGAGAGAGAGAGAAGAGAAAAAAGAGAGTGTCAGTCAGCAGTTCAGCCCAGGATTGCCCAGGATTGCCCAGGACCGGCAGCCTCAGGCCAGCGCATAGCAGGCTACTCCATAGTTAGCAGGTGTCTCGCGGCTCGCCAGGAACGAGGCGCAAGGGCCCTTAGACTACTCCGTAGATGGTCTAAGTCACATACAAGTCCAGTCCAGACCAGAACATCCAGCGAACTGTGTGGGGGTCAGTTTGCCCAGCTAGACAGGGCTCTAAACTCTTCCAGGCCTCTTTACGAGTCTAGTTTCTGACTGCTGGGCACTAACCGACTTACAAGGTTCCAAGTCACGAACTGGAAGCGGGTGTAATTTCCCCCATCAGGCCAACATTGGCCCCAATCAGCGCTCGCTCGTCCCTGACGCCAACTGGTCACCCCTCGCTGCCAGCAAGCTTATTCGTTGCGCAACCTGAGGATTGACATGATTCCAGTCCATTTATAGAGCCGCTAACTTAGCTCTCTGTTCTAATAATATTATTCATTATTACGGAATACGGAGTAGTTCACTAGTTCTTGATTCCTGTGATTGTGTGGCTTTTCCACAGTTCCACTCCTAGTTTTCTACCCCTGAAAAACGGCCAAAATTGGAATGCCAAATGCTTGAAGACAGGCAGTTTGTCTTGTGCTTCAATCTTCACGTTGCATATGAGATTACAATCGAATTACGGAGCAATTGGAACCTTTTATCTTTCTTAAATAAAAAGAATATAAAAAAATAAAAATAAAAAAATATAAAAATCTCCGAATATGCACATTGCACTTTATACTCCGTAGCCAATACCTCATTTTCTACTTACGCGATGGAAGTACTCTGTGTTCCTCTTTGATGATCTGACATCGATTCCAGACTCAAGTCCCTCTTATTGTTTGTTTGTCAACATATAATTACGGTGAATCCCATTCTCATGATTCCTATGGCCCTTACGGAACTAGGATCATCAACTCAGCATCCGAGCCTTGAGTTTGACACTTATTCTTTGTTGTCTAACCCACAAGCCCGGAGCAGGAGACTCGTCTATATTCTGTAGATAGATTCAAGCGAACTCCTTCTCGCTCCAAGCCAAGACCCAAGTCTTGCAAGTTTTTATCTCAGAGTGGGGTCCACCACAATCATCATGACATACATCAATTGCTTTCTTCTACTAGTTGGAAGCAGGGAACGTTGGAGGTAGTCTGCAGTCTGTAGTCTGTGCAGTAATGGTATCCATCGATCGGAGATTGAGAGGTCAAGAGATCACTGACGTTGAAGTCATTTCCTGAACTACTATCTAACATGTTCGATTTATATTGGCCGTCTGAGTTTAATGTCCTTAATACTTGGGATATTGTCAGCCCTACAATGGTCACAACTTGTATTTCATCTTGAATCAAAGAATGACATTCGGTGTATTATTTTATGTATTATTGGTTGTTCGTATATATAAGCATCCATGAGAATATACCAGTCTGGGGTATCCTTGTAAATGCTATACTACGAGACCGGAGATATAATCGTGAGTATGGGAGTTTAAGTATATCCAAGTATAAAGGTCTGGATGTTCTGTCTCGACAGTTCTTTCAATAACAACTGGGAGACTCTATGATAACTCAACGTATATATCTCTCGGCAACAGGCTGATTAGATGCCTTTCATCCTGATCTCCAGCTCCAAGGATATATTCGGGCTACAGTACTATCTTAAAGCCTTTCCGAGGAAGGACGACTGGAGCCTCGGTGTTCTAGCATGAAATACAATAGAGATGGAGCAGAGTCGGATCATCTAGGATGAGGAGGCCATAGGCCTGTGAAAACCTGGGGTTAATATCCTGGATAATAAGCAGGGGTCCTGATAGGGCGAGATCAAACGCGCGCATTCCGGAGACGAGCCGAGTCATCAATCATCACACCTGTTTTATGAGTTATCAGTGATGAAGGGAACTCTTATATAGATGCTTTCTCTTTCTAACGATTGCTATTGTCTTTGCAATCAGAATGTCAGACCCACACATCGATCCAGGCGAATAACGCAAGGACCGAGTCTATGACCTTGACCTACTGTCATGGAAGGGATGATAGCTGGAGTCAAACCTAACTATCGAGGCCCTGCTGTTTCTCCTAGGAAGAAGATGCAATACAGGGTAGGGTGATGCGCTGCAGAATCATAGTTGATAGATTGACCATGGTAGAAGACAGCCCAGGCAGCAGGGATAAAGTATAAGGGCCAAAAGAGGCATTCAAACGAGTTCCTTGGATTGCAGCTGTACTCCCCGTCGGGAGAAAACTACAGGAGATGATGATCAGAAACCATGGATGTCACTATTGTGGTGAATGTAAGGGGCCGCTTCAAGGGATCAGAGACAGTAGTGCCGTGTAACTACTAGATAGGTGAGTCAATGAAGACTGATTGTCTATGTTGAGAACTATCTATGGAGTAATAGTACATCAGTAGTTTGTAGGTACCCTGGAGTAAAACTTTCCAAGGCAATATCAATCTCATGCCAGTAAGGTTCTACACAATATATACAAACAGATTGTTCCATAGTGGTAAAGTTGTCAGTTGCAACCATGTATGTCAGGGATCACAAGACAAATCACCCCAACAAACAAACCGTTGCTACATGTACAAGTCACCCTGGGCCTGATAGTGAGGCTGCCAATAACCTACCAAGCTCCAAGTTCCAACGCATCCGGGGAGATAGTAATCAAGAAGAGCCACTAACCAACTGGAGCTGTTTCATGCTGCCTTAGGTAAGGTTGATTCAGCCAGGTACCTCACGGTTAACTAGTTTAGGTCGGTACCTAAGAACGTTGTCCTCTATCCAGACCTTTGTCCGTTTTCGTCTCATTTTGTTTTTGTTTAGTCGGCCATTGTTTTTTGATGTTGATTGCAGGCCATCTAGTTTTCGAAGGGAAACTCCGAGTTGATTGATTAATATCTAGTCTACTAATCAGATATATCAATTAATCGAATTTATCGATAGGAAGAATAGGTAGTTAACAGACTAGTTTAGTGGATCCGATCGGTCGGGCTGAGGGGCTGAACAGAACCTCATCGCCTTGAATTTATGATACAGGTTTAAACACAGCGAAGTGAGGAAAGTCTACAGAGTACAGAGTAATGATGATTAGTCTCAGAATGGAAAGCTTCCAAGTGTCGATATATCCAGTACCCATGGCCGACGACATGTCAACAGTTCACTGGGAAAAGTTAGGAAAACATGTCCGACAGCATATCTGGCAGTGGTGTCCATGAATCCATTCGAATTGTCTCACCATATATACCATAACTAAGGTAAGGTAGACTACACACAGTCAACCAACCAACCATCAAGAACGGCGCTCATTTTATCAAAGATATCGAACCCGAACTTACCTTTGGTTATTAGGTAGATACTGTATGTGTCAATATGCGTTCTCGATTACGCATACATGCCATTACCTTTGGCTGCGATCTGGCGGTCAAACTCAACCCACAAGCCAGTGTTTGAGAATCTCTGCCACTGTGAGTGGTGAGAGCGGGGATTTAGAAGGGGACCTGGAGAAAAACAGAAAGGGGAAAGAAAGAATGATATTCTGTCGTACAAGCCTTGCTAGTATGACTCTTTCCCACCGGTATAGCATTTTTCATTCTAAATAATTAGGCCTTCCTGGTGATAGATAGTTAAGCATAGAAGTCGAATGAACAGGACAGGACCCGCCTGGATTGAAGCCTAAACAAGAGGCGGCGGGAAGTGTAAATTTGGGCGGCCCCAGATCGGGCGGATGTCTGGATTCTGGAAGGGCTGGAATACTAATAATGGTAGAGAATTAGACTACGGTCCATAGAAGTTAGAAAGATAGAAAGAGATACAACAATTAATGCCAGATTGCCTCAGGCTAAAATTACACCCATGGGAACCATCCTTTCAATGACCACAGATGATATAGATCAACTATGAACATCTTATTCTGACTCCAGTATGAGCGCTTGATCTGTACAGTTTACATATGTAGGACGGACCAGGAGAAAGCCACTTGCCAGATGTACCTGTCTTAAGTTCTTAACTAGACTCTTAGGCCTCTTAGGTCTCTCAGATGTGCAAAACGCAGACGGAGCCCTTTGGATCTCTGATCGACAAGATCGCCTGGGCGTCAGGAGCGTATTGTTATTGACGTGTATTGTATCAATCCTTTCCAACAGTTCTCACTTTAAATTCATGATCCATATCACGAAATACCGATACCATACAGCCTCTTTTCGCAGCATCGTTTTTTTTTCTTCCCCTGCTGGATCCTGTCCTTAGTTAAGTTCTAAGGCTCCAAGGCTCTAAGCACGAAAAGCAACGCAGCAGCTTATCTCGGTCTACCTTTAACCCATCCCTAGTTATCGTCCCTGCTGCTGCCAGCAAAAAAAGAACTTCATCATCTATCTACTCTTGCGCTTTTTTTCCCCTTTCCCTTTTCCTCTCTCTCTCTCTCTCTCTTCTTTTATCCTAAACCAAAAACCCCCCCCCTTCGCTTGTTCTGATTACACTCAATATCCTGGGGGTATTCTTCTTACTACTTTACTCGTATTACCATTATTTCTGCACGTTTGATCGGTCTTTTTTTCTTCCTCACTATCTTTTTTTCCGCCCACCAACTCCTCCTCCCCCCAAAGCTATCTATCGCTCTTCAGTCTGGACTCTTATCCTTTCTTCCTCCCTTCGCCAATCTCTTCGATCTGCCCAGATACCTCATCTTTAGCGTCTAATTTATCGTCCGCCGAAGAGATAGACAGGCCACAGATCTTCGAATTCTTACGATACAGATTGACCCGCTCTGAGCAGATTGGCTGTGTTGTGTCATGCTTGCTTCGCCTGTGTGACAGCTGGATTACATTGATGCTGTGCTTTGTCTTTCGTCCACATTCCCATCCTTCGACCCTCCACTAATCACATCTAATCTCCTCGTCCATTTGCGCAACGAGCACATTCCTACCGTACCAGCTGCAATAACACTCGGTGGTGACCTCCACTCCTACCCACCACCCCTTGCCGCTGCGAACCATTCAAGCTCTCTCTCCTCACGCCTGTCTGATTAACATCCACGACCTTTCCTCTTCGGCCCCCTCGTCGCTCCCTCAGCAACAACCCGGGTGTCTCCTCTCCACTGAGCACATGAGGCCGATCTGCGCGATTCGAGGTTCCTGGAGCATGCACGGAGCGTAGCAACGTTCGCGACATACACGAGACACACATCCACACACTGGCAGCTTGGGTTCACGGCTACGTGCTGAGCATCGCGCTAGCAAACGAAAGGGCAGATTCTTCTGCCTTAATTCTTGTCACCTTGCGTTGATTGCCGTTGGCTTGCTCCTCCGCTCCGCATTTCTCGCTCTTTCGCCTGCGGTCAATCTTCCTCCCTTTCGTCTCCCTTCTATCCCGTTGTATAGCCTTGTACATTGCTTGAGCGTGTTGCTGGTGCCGACAACAAAAAAACAAAAAAAAAAATATCATATTTGCCTGTCTTCGCCCCTACTTCATCCCTTCCCTCACCACTTTTCTTCTCCGTTCTTTTTTTCCCCTTGCTCTTGTCTCGGTAAGTTTTCCCCAGGAAATGATCCCTCGTCCAGCGTAGATAGCGGAATGATATCCCGCTTGATCTTTGCAGACCACCTGGCTAACATTTTGACTGCTCCTCGTGCAGGTCTATACCGTTGCGTCCGTCATAATCGGGAGCTCGTGCCCCTTTGCAAATAACAGGACGACACATATTCGGTTTTGTTTTTTTTTTTCCGTTTTACCCTTTCGAACCGTCACCGGGTCAACGTTTCGTCCTTTAAAAACGACAAGAAGGAAGCTGTGCAGAAGTATTGGAAAGAAATATTGCCACTGGCTTGGTGCAAATACTTCACTGCTTGTCTGCATACATAATCGTTCATCTGTGATCTCTCGGGTGACAGTGGAATGGCATCTGCCATGGCAGCAAATTCGACGACAGTACATAATGTAGGTGATTAAGATGGGCTCAAGTGGGACAGATTACTCATTCGCGATGTACAGGTACGATCAAACCGAGCTACGAACATGGGTACATCGAGCATGAACAGCGAGAGATCACGAGGCGCTCATGCGGGGATGAGCAAGGGCTTTGCCGGGGGCAAGTCAAGTTGGAATCCCAATATCTGGGGGGATAGCAACCTAGGCAACGGGTTTGATGGTATGATTGCCGTCGAACTCCCCGAATAGTCATGGTGATTACCTTCAGACGCGTGTAAACTGACATCATTGTTCAGACCAGAATCTTGCGGAGGCTGCATTCGAAGGAAAGTCAGGATCAAGCTCCTTGCTGTCCTCCTCTGAATCCGATGGCTGGAACACCAGACCAAATCTGCCTTGGACTACTGTAAATACAACAGCGGCTGCTTTGTCCAGAGCCCCAAATAACGGCATGGCGACCTCACCTGTTGCAACTAGGGCCAATGACCGGAGCGCACCCGCTTTGGCGGAGACTGCCGATTCCTCATCGTATTTCTCTCTATCAAGATCCGCTGGGATTGGCTCATCCTCGGGAGCGGGCAGTCACAAACCCTACTTGAACAGCGGAACAGAGGGCATCTCGCCATCTGGAGACGGCCTATCCTTCGGCAACTTTGGTGGGCTCCGGAGTGGTGACGGTAGACGGCACGCTGGGGCCTCTGCTTTTGCAGGCAGTCCAGTTGGGACTGGATTCCCCATGAAGCCAGGTTTTACAAGCCCTCTTGACACAACACGCGCCGACGAGGCGGCAGCCATGTCTGGCTTGCCCCAGACACTCCCTGAGACGATGACGCAGCCTCTGGCTCGCAACAGCTATGCGCATGCGTCTCATAACTCTGCCTCGTTTACCTCCCAGCGACCTGGACATTCTTCTCATCCCTCATTTCATTCGGAAAGCCAGGGCTTCCAGGGTCGCTACGGTGCGGCGTCTATGGACTTGAGTGCAGGCCTCAACAAGCTCCAGCTAAACGAGGGTGGCTTTTCTGCTCATTCAGCTGTAGGCCGTCCGGGCTATCTCTCTCATTCCTCCTATGATGCGTCATTGCAACGCCTCAAATACCAAAATTCAGGCGATGAGTCCAACTATGACGCGGTGACTGGTTATTCCGGTGAAGGGGCGCCCGAGTTGCCATTAGCCTATCAGGCTGGTCGGTCCCGCCTTGGGGATGGGTCGATTTCGCCCACGGAATATGCTCGGGTGGAAGCCCCATTTTATGCGGCGCTTGATGCTGGCGCAATCCCCGAGACTCATTATCGCAATGGTTCGGGCGGTCGGCTTACGGAAAGTCAGGCGCTGGCCTTGGAGCGAAAGCTACGTGGCATGCACCAGGATCAGGACCTATCTCAACTTCCCGCGAATCCTCTGCAAAGGATTCCCTTGGCTCCTGCATATGATCTGACCGGATATCAAGCGGCACGGCTCAATGCACTGTCAGGATTCTACCCTGTGGCACATCTGAGTGGACTTGGGCCTGCTGCCATCATTCCTCGAAATCATCGTGAGCAAGATCCTGCCCAGGTGGTTCGAAGCCCGCTTCTAGAAGAATTCCGGGCCAATAGCAAGGGCAATAAGCGATATGAGTTGAAGGTAAGAGTTGTCCCTCTTGGTCGTGATATCCCAAATGTACTAATTTCCTGAAGGACATCTACAATCACATTGTCGAATTCAGTGGCGATCAGCATGGTTCTCGATTCATCCAGCAAAAGCTGGAGACGGCGAACAGCGACGAGAAGGAGCAGGTGTTTCGCGAGATTCAGCCCAACTGCCTGCAGTTGATGACCGATGTTTTCGGCAATTATGTGGTCCAGAAGCTGTTTGAACATGGCAACCAATCGCAGAAGAAGATTCTTGCCAATCAGATGAAGGGACATGTGCTTGCTTTGTCGACCCAGATGTATGGATGCCGTGTAGTCCAGAAGGTAAGGCGCCCACCCAACCCCACCGGAGATGAATCATTTGTAGCTGATGCTAATATGCAAATAGGCACTTGAGCACATCTTGACCGACCAGCAGGCATCGATGGTCAAGGAACTCGAGAATCATGTTCTTAAGTGTGTCCGAGACCAGAATGGTAACCATGTCATTCAGAAGGCGATTGAGAGGGTGCCGTCTCAATATGTGCAGTTTATTATCAACGCTTTCAAAGGCCAAGTGAATCGCCTTGCCGCTCACCCTTATGGATGCCGGGTCATTCAGCGCATGCTTGAGCATTGTGAGGAGGAAGATCGTGAATCCATCCTGGCCGAGCTTCATGCCTGCACCACTCATCTCATCCCCGACCAATTTGGAAATTATGTGATTCAACATGTGATTGAAAACGGCGAGGAGAAAGATCGGTCTCGGATGATCACCATCGTATTGTCGCAATTGCTGGTGTACTCGAAGCACAAATTCGCTAGCAATGTCGTCGAGAAGAGTATTGAGTTCGGTGAAGAGTCTCAGCGTCGGCAAATCATCAGCACTTTGACTTCGCCAAATGACAGAGGGGAGAGTCCTCTGCTTGGGCTGATGCGTGATCAGTATGGAAACTACGTTATTCGTGAGTGTTCCCCCAACCCTATCTTTCTTTCCCCGTAGGAATTTACTAACTCCTCAACAGAGAAAGTCCTTGGTCAACTGAAAGGCGAAGAAAGAGAGGGTCTCATCGAGCAGATCAGGCCTTTGCTTAGCCAGCTGAAAAAGTTCAGCTACGGAAAGCAAATCGTCGCCATCGAGAAGCTCATCTTCGATTCCCCGGCAGCTGCGAGTGCATCACTCTCCCAAGTTGCTTCGTCTACAACGCCACCTCACTCTCACAAATCCTCCCCTCAACCAAGTAAGCGCTTGGTCAGTGATCTTGAGGGCGGCCGAGTCCCTGCCGTCGGTGCAGCGCCGCCCACTCCGCCCCCCACGGACGCGCAGAGCCAAGGTGATGATGGTTCTTCGGATTCCAAAACTCTGGCCAAAAGCACATTGACCCCACTGTCCGAGTCCGAATCGGCTGGGGCTGTGCCGAATGCCTCTATCCAAGTGGCAGGATCGACCTAAAGTTGCTGCACATTAGACTGACTTCCCTTTTTTTTTCTCTTCGTGCTGATACTTTTTCCACTTTTTTTTTTGTCTTTAAAATGTGTTGAGAACCCCCTCCCCCCAAACTTTATTCTTAATCTGGGCGTATACATACAGGGAATCCTCTGAGGGATATATGAGTTACTAGCTTTGTTTGTTCACTCTCCCAGCCATTCTTCTTCATGGTATGACGGCGTCAAACTGCAAGGGTCATGGTGGGAGCTTTACTGGTTCACGCTTGAACGGTCTTCTTCTTTGCTCCCTTTTTCTGCTTCTCAATAACCGTTCTAAGTTTTTAATTGTCTATGCCTTTTGTTTCTTGTCTTTGTGTTTCACCTTTTGATGTGATGAAAATGAGGACATGTCTCGCAAATTTGTCAATGGGTTCTTCTTTGTCCAAATACGAGGGATCGGCGTCTTCATCGGTGAGCTAGGGATTCTGGGATAATCGCGCTTGATTGACCTCACGAAGCTACAAATCGGGGCCGTGGACATACGGGGGAACCTGGAAATAGGGAGAACACATGCGACTTGCCTGGTGCATGGGGTGACTTTGCTCTCTCGATATACAGTTGATTCAATGAAAAGCTTTACTTGTAACTTTTGCTGTCTGTAGTTTATTCTGTGAGGACGATACGAAATTTAGTAGGTACTTGACCAGTTGCTCGTATGCTAAAAGACCGCTTTTACGGGCATGTGTTTGATATCACGTGATCATATCGTGGCGGCAGTCGATTATCATGACCAAGCTAGCAACTTTCTGCCGCCTTGCCACAGCAGACAGATCTCCATCACGCTTGAGGGGTTTACTACCACAACGCGCCCATCCTCACTCAGGGAATCCTTCACGAATTCCCAAACTCTCACCCTTGTCATCCATCATACGCACATTCGACTCGCAACCACCAAACCAGCGAGCAAAGCAACCCACCCACCCCATAACCAGCAAAGACACGCCACATACCATCCCACCCTCACACACCCCAAGATCCACCCACCATGTCCTCCAACGTCGGCCTGACCACTCCCCGCGGAAGCGGCACATCAGGCTACGTGCAGCGCAACTGGGCATTCATGAAGCCGCGTAACGCCGGGTACGGCGCGCCGTACCCGCCCGTGTCGGCCGCGAACGCGGAGACGCGGTCCTTCCGGCAGCGGCAGCCGGACAAGCAGATTCTGGAGCATGACCGGCGGCGGGCGGTGGAGGTGAAGGTGATGGAGGAGCGGGAGCGGCTGGAGGAGGAGAACGAGAGGGTGGAGGAAGAGGGGGAGGGGGCCGGGGGGACGGTGCTGTCGGAGGAGGAGATCGAGGCGCGGTGTGAGGAATTGCGGGGGCGGTTGTTGAGGGAAATGGAGGAGGGAGGGGGAGGGAAGGAGGGGGAGAGGGGGGTAAAGAGGGAGAAGGGAGGAGAGAAGAGGCAGTTCAAGACGTATCAGGTGCATGAGCTTGCGGAGGCGAAGATTGAGGAGAGCGAGCGGTTGCGGAGGGCGCTGGGAATTCGGGAGGATCGGGAGACGGGGGAGATTTCGAGTGGGAGGGGGAATGGGGAGGGGAGGAAGAGGGAGAGCGGGAGAGAGAGGGAGAGGGAGAGGGAGAGGGAAAGGGAAAGAGAGCGGTACTAGGAGGTTTTTGTTTCATGAAGGGTTCGTTCTTTTATGGCTCTGGCGTCGGAGTTTCAAATTTGTGTGGTGCTTGCATTTGGTTCAGTTCGACATGCATGGGCGTGACTCAAGGGCACAGAGATGGGATTACAGCATGTTTTTTTTTCAACATATCTTTTTATTGTCCAGTCGTAAGACGCGTAGAAGTCACGTAGCTATATATACATCAGGCGACAAATTTCTCAATCACCCAACCATCCTTCGGATCCTTTCGTTGGATCACCTTCTTTGCCGGTAGTGGCCAAGCGGTGCCTCCGGCTTCGCCTACAAGCGAAGGAACCACCCAGCAGGACCGTCGCTGCGGGATCCCTTCGATCGTCTCCATCTTACCGATTGGCTTGCCGTATTCGATGAGCGGCGTGCCATGTGCGATGGCCGAGAGCTGCAGTCCGCTCGGTGCCGCAAGGGGATACATTCTGATCCTGGGGACCTGGTCGGACAGCAGCGAGGGGGCAGACTGTTGCAAGTGGGAATAGACGAGATACGGGGGCATCTCCTTTGGTGAGAGATGCGCAAGAACAGAGGACGGGTGCACGTAGACAGCCTTCTCCTGCAACTCTGTCGTCCGTCCGTCGCGAGAGCGGAAGAGCGTCAGGTACGGGACGTCGATCGCCCTCTTCGGTGTACGCTCCATCTCCGGCGGGACCGGCGCCAGATCCGCTCGGATGGCGACGTTGTCGATGAAACCGGCAGTTACAATCTGCTTTAATGCTTTGACCTGCTTGTCTGTCGGCTCCGGTAGACGCGGCTCATATGCCCCGATCAGTCCTGGATTGTTCGCGCGAACAATGTCCGTCAACTGGCGTCGAAGTTGAGTGGCCTCTTTGAACGCCTTCGACCGGAGGAACATCTGGTCACAGAACGCATCACCATCAGAGGCGTACCCGTAAGCACAAATCGCTGACAGGTACTTGAGGGCATCTGATGTGTCATCATGTTTGCTAAACAGACGATGCGCTCTCGCGAAATCCTTGTGGCGCTGTTCCCGCGCGGTGTCCTCCAATCGATCGGAATTCTTATAGACCCTTTTGTCCTTGTCCTTGCCCTCGTCATCCTTGGACGGAGCAGGATCAAGCTGGTTCTCAGGCACGAACAAGTCTCCCACGGCCAGGGCAGACACCAGCGCAATGACATAAGGCATGCAGCCATGCTGATGACCAATATGGATCATCTTACCAAACCGAGGAGACAGGGGATATGTGGACAGGCGTTGACCGATTTGAGTGATTTTACCACTCGCCGATAACGCCCCGAGGTTCTTCAGTAACTTCTCAGCCTTCGCCAGACCCTGCCGACTAGGAGGGGTTGGGAAGGGGAAATTGATCACGTTATGCAGACCCATGCTCTTCATTTGAAGTACGACACCTTCGATCGGCGTCCTTAAGATCTCCGGGTCGGTGTATTCGGAGAATTCGCCCTCATAGATTGCAGAAGAGTAGAGCCGGTAACAGTGACCAGGCCCAGTACGACCTGCTCTTCCTGCTCTTTGGTTTGCACTCGCCTTGCTGATCCAGTCAATCTGGAATTTTTGCACCCCGGTTTCCAAATCGTATTGCTTCTCCTTGGCTCGCCCACAGTCAAACACATACTTGATACCGGGGATTGTAAGACTGGTTTCCGCGACGTTAGTCGCCAAAACAATCAGCCGAGATCCCTCTGGTGGCGGCTCAAAGACCTTCAGCTGCTCCTTGGTAGGAAGCTGAGAGTACAGGGGCAAGACATGGACGCGAGTGGACGAGTCCATTGCTTCCTCACCGAGATTGAACTCTTCGTCTTCTTCAGGGTCCTCATCGAGACCAGTGATCTCCAAATCGTCGTAGTCATCCTCGTCGCCAGGATAGGACATATCGGTGCCGCCGAGATCCAAATCCTCTGCCTCGAGTGGCGCTTCATTTGCCGAGAGTTGGACTTTAGCCTGAATTGCTTCCCCGCGCTGTGTGGGCTTGAAGGCCTGCTTCAACCGTTTAGAAAGATGTTTGATCTCGTTCTGTCCAGTAAGGAACACAAGCATGCCTCCGGGAGGCAGTTTGCGGTGGCCTCTGCAGATCTTTCTGTAAGCCTCTTCAACATAGTCGCGGTGTGTCCGTCTGGCAAAGTGAATGGTTACAGGGTATTGGCGACCCTCTGCTTGAACCAGGGGTGGTGGACCTTGGCGGAATAGGTTTGTATTTTGGGTGAAATCAGATATCCGTAGAGTGGCAGACATGACGACAAGCTTCAGGGGCTTGACAGTCGGGTCTTCTTCGCTCATGGCTTTTCGTAGATCAATGATGCGGCTGACCATACCAATGAGGATATCTGTGTTGACACTTCGTTCGTGGGCCTCGTCAATCACGATAATAGAATATTTGCTAAGAGAGAAGTCTTCTGCAATCTCTCGGATCAGGATACCATCTGTCATAAACTTGATGGCGGTCTTGCTGGAGACATTGCTTTCGAACCGAATCTGATAGGCCACGCGATCGGAATATTGTCCCAATTCATCGCCGACGCGCTTAGCCATACTGACAGCGGCGACTCGACGTGGCTGGGTCACCGCAATCATGCCTGGGTTAGGGCTGTCGGGGTGACCGTAACCGGCTTCAAAGAGGAATTGTGGAAGCTGCGTGGTTTTACCGCTACCAGTAGCTCCCCAGATGACAATAGAAGAATTGTTGTAGATGGCTTCCATGATCTTCTGCTCTTCACCAACCACTGGCAAACCAAGACGTGAATTCTGGATATCCTCCGAACGATCAACCTGCACACTAAAAGCTTTCCTGTTAGGATCGCCCTTCGTGACCTGAAGCTCTAGGGGGAGCGGCTCCTCCTCGGCAACAGTATTTCTAACAGGCCTCTTAGATTCAGGGATGTCAGGCTGTTGCTCGCTTGTGATGGGTCCGGAAGGTTTGAAGCCGACAATTTCGTTGATTTGCTGCTTTGCCCAGGCTTTGAAAGCAGACTGGCGAGGTTTAATTTGCGACTCTGCTGCGCTCTCATCTTCATCCTCATCCTCTTCGTCTTCTTCATCATCTTCGGCATCTTCGGCATCGTCGTCGTCATCATTATCCTCTTCATCACTTCCGCTATCCTCTTCGCCACTCTTGTCACTACCAGAAGATATTTCATCATCTTGTTCGCCCTCTTCTTCCGAATCGTCCATCGAGCGATCCGAGTCTTCGTCTTCAATGTCGTCACCTTTATTTTCATCTGAATCGAAACCTTCCCACGGCACCTCAGGCAACGAAGCGACGACCGGTTTTGCTTTTGGCGCACGTTTCCGCTTCTTCAGGACCGGAAAGCCGTCTGAGCCGAGCTCAAGAGGGCGCTTGAGACCGCCTCCAACAGCCGGAGCGGTAATTGGCGGTGCGATAGCGATCTCTACAGGTCTTGCCTTCAAGTTTGCTCTCGGCCTAATCACTGAATCGTCCGTCTCATCGCCTGACAATTCCGAATCCGGTGCCTGCTTTTGCGTCGTGCTGGGAGCTGGTGTAGTGGCCGCAGTCGTGGTATCTTCATCCCATCTCTTCCGTTTTCCTAACTCCTTCGAGGGCTGGAGGGCAGAGGTATCGACTTTCGATCTTGAGAGTTTTTTCAAGAGCTCGATGTTCTCTTCTTTCTTGAGTTTATTTTCCTGCGCAAGACAATCAGTAAGAAGATCGTAGATTCTTTCGGTCCATGCTCAAAGCCCAAACCACATACAATATATTTATCTAAACGCTTTTGCTTCCTCGCAGAAATTTTTGTGTGTTGCGCTCTCAATTCTTCCCTGAGTTTCTCCTTCTTCGCTTCCTTCTCGCTCTTGGAGATGGGCAGTAGCTCGGCGGCATTTGTGTCGACCGGAGTGCTTGAAGTATCCGTTTGTCTGTGTTTCTGCTTCCGCTGGCGCGGCACAAATTTGGGCTTTGCGGGCATTGTAAATATAGGAAGGCCCTTGTCTCAGCCCAAAGACAAAAGAGGGCAATTCAGCAAGGACAAGCGATGAGGAACGATTTCTGTGATTGTCCCTCTTCTGCTTCTCGAATGAAAAGTCAAAAAGAAAATTAAATGATTCTGCCCGAGAGCGGTGAAACCGAACTCACCGCCTTGAGGGCGGCATCGCAAACATCCCACTGTTCTTGGCCCTATTTGTTTACTCTAAGTAGATACGTCTTGTCTGTCCGTATCACCTTCATCAAGATAATAATAGACTTCGTGAACTGATTTTGGAAGGGGATATCCTGTTTCAATTGCGATACCGCTGCTTTATTGTCTGTTCTAGTCATGTCAGACCCATTTGATCTCAATAGCCTTCAGGAGCCAACCCTGCCCTTCCCCGCTGCCACTAAGCAAGTTGCTGGAATGATAGATGGAGTCGATACAGACGTGACATGCATCAACTTCAATGATAAAATCTTGGTCACTATATCACAAAATGGCCGACTTGGTCACTGGGTCCGTATCTTAGCGCCACAACTTCTGTTCCTCCAGGCTAACCCTCCCACAGCTGCATGTACCATTAGAGAACAGAAATCCGGGGACGCAAGGTCTCCATACTATATCAGAAACAACTGACGATAGTCTCATCCCAATGGGCAACCTGACGGCTACTTCATTGCTTGGCGGTCGAGCTCCTGGGCATGAAACAGTTGGTCAGTTGCTGGCTCGCCAGATAGCAAGTGCGATTGTAACAAAGACACCTGATGAGAAGAGGCTGCTTGTTGTTGGTCTCGGGCTTCAGAAGGCTGAGGTCGATCGCGAGGCCTTTTTCGGGATAGTCGATCTAGTGCTTCAATGCGTTTGAATCCCCAGCCGATCTCCAGCATCGCCGAGGAGCACATAGGCAAGCAGGCATGAATGAAACAACATAAATGCGGCGGAGTAAAGAAAAAACAGCACAAATAAAAAGAAAAAGAACGAAATGAAAATGAAGGGAAGTTGGGGGGGCAGGGTGGGGGGAAGTGACTTACACAGTTGGATAGCAAGTTCTGATCCCTGAAAACTCGCCTTGTCTCGCTCGATCTTGACCGTTGGGAGTCCCAAGGCATGGATGAGTCGTCGCACGCGATCTTTCTCGTCCTTAGCAAGGCCTCTGAAAGTCAGTTTTTTGAGGACTTCAATTGCACCACTAAACAGCGCGCGAACCAGATCTCTCTCATTGAATCCTGATATTTTCCATTGGTCGTACACGACAATCGTCAATTCATGAACTCGAAGGGGCTCTCCCATTCTCAGAGTGGTGATGAACTCGGCAAAAGACCAGCGACGTTGTACTGTCAGCAAATGCTCAGATGCCCCAATCAGGAAGACAATGGACCTGAAAGTTCTTCTCCACACAACCTCCTTGTTGCGGCACGGATATTCGAGCCACTGCTGGAAGAGTTGATTGCGGCAGCATGGCAACGGTATTGGATGGCGCCTGAGGAAATCCGCCGACTGGGAGCCGTAATTCCTAAAGAAAAGAAGGCGATCGCTCAAGGAATGGAATAGCGCGATGGAAGCTTCGTGATAGAACAGATGTGAGGTCCTAAGAATTGCCAGGTTTCCGATCTTATGGTGCCTTGGCCCTCCTACCTCGACCGGGTCGTGCTTCTGACCAAACAACAACTCGTAAATCCTGAATCGGACATGGATTGGCAGCCGGAAAAGATGACAACGCAGATTTCGGTTACCCACGATGAGACAGCCTCTGACTACCTTGCAGCCCTCCTTGACAGCTATGTCCTCGAAGCGGTCCAGTTCTTTTGGTTCCGCAAGATATGATATCCCACGCTGCTCATCCTGGATTTGTCTGAAGAAGCGAACGGATAGTCTAGAATGGAAACGAAATGTGAGAGTCAGCAAAGGCACCCAAGGAGAAGTCATCCCAAGACTGACACATCCGGTTGCTGAGCTCGAGACAGGAGAGCCTGTATCCTGCTCGTTTTTTCGTCTACAACAAGCGCTTGTGGCACCTCCCGGGATCTTGAGTCCATATTCTGCCTTCTGGACTAATCCTTAGCCCACTGAGTATTCAGCGTTAGGATTTGTAGTCAGAGGATGGTGTTGGTGGAGAGAAAAGCGCCCATCTTAGGATGAAAGAAGTGAGGGACATCACAAACGCTCACGCCGAGAGTTGTATGTTGCTGAGGTAGCCTAGGTCCTAATACCTTGGGCTCTGTGATGTACCCAGAACTTTGTTATGGTCCATGAACATCACTGGACTACCAATATGAAGGAGGTTGTTGTACACAAGTTTGCTCTCTAATCCTTCATAGTCTTCCCATCCATTTTCTTTCCAAGCATTGTCCAGGCAAAACAAATATTACTATATACTACCAGCAGCCCAATAAACCATTTTACAGGAACTATTCTACTTGGTAAATTTGTATCTCTCTGGTCTCTCAAGTTTGATCTCGAAGAAACAGACCTACCAGCAAATTTTTAATACCGAGACTTCCCCAGATGATATCCATTGTCCAAACATGCCTTACTCCGGAACTCGACGCTGCCTGAGCCAGTACATATACCCCATGAGTCCTACCATCCCAACCTCAACCACAAAGAGGATGCAGTGGACCTGAAAATCGCACGGTTTACTCGAGCCCCAGTAGCTTGTACAGGTACGATAGTATAGAAACCAGAAAGCATAGATGCCCAGTAAGAGCCTATATATAGATCTGCTATCATAGGGCTTGGACCTGGACCTGAACCTACTTGTAGATGTTCCGTGGGGTTGGGGCTATGATATACCGAGCATAGGGCCTTGGGGAAATTAACTGATAATAGATGGTGAGGTTGTTGATGGGGGTTGTTGGTCTGGTTCTTTGGTAGGGAGGGTTTCAGTTTCGGCCATCATGAGAATTGGGTAGTAGATTGGATCATAAAGAATTAAAGAAGATACTTTTACAAAAAGCAGTTTTTAGCCTATTACAGGTAAATAGAAGCAAGAGAAAAAGAATTCTACTTTCAGTCTTATGGGATGTTGTACTTAGAGCATGGCCACTATGTGGGTTGCAAATGGCTAACACATATTCATGAGCAGCCGTCAACATTCATGACTTAACAACCCATTTAGACTATATCACTATCTGTTTGAGTGTGGTGTCGAGACGCTTTGTCCAGCTGATTGGGGATATTCCACACCATCCAATATCTACCTGCTGAGGGGTTAATATCAGCTACAGCTTATGACATCTTGGTCAATGAGGTAGGATCCTTGACTTCTACCAACAATACGCCTAACCATCGCTAGCTTACAGTAGCTTTCGGACTCGCCGTTCGTTAAACTGGGTTGATACTGAGTGCGATTGCTTGCCCCTACGTTAAATACATCCAGAAAGACATAAACATCACCCCCGAACAGTCGGCCTTACTCATGAGGCAATTGGCGAATCCTGAGCCGACGAGCAAGCGTTCATGGAGCTTCAACTGTGAGCAGGGACCTTGGTGTTCAGTTCAATGGGTTACGCAAGGCCTGGGACTGGCGCTCGAGTAATCCAAGTTTGGTTATGAAGGCATGGATTTCGTCCCTGTGTCTGGGGTGAATCAATCTTGAGAAGCGAGATACAGAGCCCCAATCCAGTCTCTCATGTTATTACTCGCATCATGAAGGACAATGATGACGGCAGGGAGTGTGATGCGATGTCGCGTTCAACCACTATGACAATGGAGATTTCAACATCCATCTCGCTGGCTAGTTCAGAACTCTCCCGTGGGCTGAAAACCTCGCAGTCACGGACGAGTGAGTGGCGCAGAAACGATCTGACGGGGCTGGATCAAGATCTCTCTCTCACCACCCGCCAGAAGCCCCAATTGACTCGCGCCCACTATAACTACATGGCCATTTACGTTGCTTCTGATTGGGCAGTGGCTTCCTATCGGGACCATTCTTGTGACCGCGGTGGACTCGTGAAGACAGAACATACCGCCAACTATTACTTGTGCCTCATCTTGGAGGCTAAGGGCTTGGGTTGAACTATCAGAGTGTGAACATCTGCGGAGAGTTGGACCCTTCCTTGTAGTTCAGCAACGGGAGAGAGCGAGGAGGGATGCTGTATAAAGACGCCAGTGATAACTAATCTGGCAAAAGGCCGCAGACGTGCCTCTGAAGAAAAGCATCATCTGTATCCAGACAGAATATCATATCAACCGAAATAAATCCTGAAGTGCGACGCAAAAGGGCAACTGCTTACCTAGAAGCCATCAACGCAGCAATTAGTTACTCGATGACCACTGCGCAAGGTTATACAGACTTGCTATACTCTGTATATGTTCTCCTTCCAGTTTTTCATTCCTGCAGCCATGGTTCTGTGCCTCTACTCCGTGTGTAACCCGGACCTTCATCCCTCTTCAATATTTCCTGCATAGGTTACCACAACTTTCCACAGTAAAGGGACACAGGCCTTCATCGTCACCACTCCGGTCAACGCTCATCAGCTCTAGTCTAGTAGTCCCCCCCTCCCCCAGAGGACTGCCATGAAGCTTCAAGCACCCTCCTCCCAGCGCTGTTTGAGGACTATGGGACTGCGTTCGAGATTCGAACCAAGTCATTTTGGATGATATTTTGCTATGAAAGGTGCTAAAGCGGCAGGTCGTCATTGACAGGCACCACTAAACAGTAACTATTGAAACAGAAATGGAGAAGAGGAAAGCCATGGCTCGTTGTTGATTGTCTATTGTGAATTTGTGATGCCTGCTGGCTAAGAGTGTGGAGGATAGCATGGACCATATGCTAATTTACTATATAAAGAATTTTAAGATTATGATCAACCGCGCTTTGACGACATACGGAGTATTGACAATATCAGCGCAAAGACCATCTACTACAATGATCACGAAGCTCATTTCTTAGAAATTAACATTCAGAATGAAGATTGGGTCCGTGTATCTACTAGTAATCTACTACTATCTACTTCGTAGCAAGCTTTTTGGCCATGATCTGTGCAGAGTGCAGCAGACTGGAGACTGGAGATAATCGTGGAGGTAATTTAGTTAGTAGGAAAAGGGAGGGACCGCGAAATTAAGGAGTTCTGCGAATCCTTGCAGAATTAAGCTTGCAGCTACGCAGGTTGCAGGAGCTGAGACCTTGGAGCATGGGTACTCTGTAGTCCGTACGGAGTACATGAAATACGGAGTAAATAGTCTACATGCTACAGCAATGGCCACACTGACCTCGCAAGTGGATAGTGTATCCCTTCTGTCCGTGTATGGCAGCACTACTGTGTACTGTGACGAACCTGTCCCTAACTGATGCGAGAGAATGGGATCCACGAGCTCTTTGGAACGTGGTCATAGAACTGTAGGTAGTTTTGTGATTGTTCAACTTCAGGCATATTATCCTATATGTCCATGGCTACGTACGTAGTATATCATTCGATTTTATCTAATTTGAAAGGCCCGTGTTCTCCCTGCTCAAGTGCATGTGTTCAATTTGGCAGGGAAGTGAGGAACATCCCATGGCCCATGGGGGGCCAATCCATGATTCCATCACCCCTAAAATCTACTATTGCATCTTAGTCTACCAACGAGTCCACATCCTTTGCGACCTGTCACATAACTATCACATCACAAACTTGAGACTACCTATTTACAAGGTTGGGCCTAGATAAGTTCAGTGAGTAAGTAGATACTTGGCGGCTCATCTTGAGGATTTCAATTCCCGAAAAAACAAGAACTTTGCAAATATCATATGATGCTTAATCATACATGCGAAGAGTATAACATGAGCATTTACGGAGGATACGGAGTACAATTGTGTATACATAACCCAGGGGCGAGTCCAGCCTCGTGCATCTCGAAGGGACCACGGGGAAATCAATATCAATAGCGAGTATTGGCGCTGCAAACAAAACAGGGATTGAGAAACCATTGAAATCTGGTATGATGGTATCGTTATTCTCGTGTCTTGTCAGTTGTCAGTTGTCACTTGTGTGGCTCAAGGTCAGTGCGGTCCGTCCATCCGTGGAGGATGTTAGATCAAATTGGCACGCCTTGGTGGGAATGGGATAGGGAGGATATCAGGATTCAGGGTAGTAGTGACTAGCAACTAGTAATAGGCTAATTCTCGGGTCCAAGATGGTCTGGCCTGATTCATGCAGCATGATGATTACGGAGTAACTATCTAGATAGATAGATAGATAGAACCACAGTCAACAAGTTGCAAAGATGAGCGGATAAGAGCACGTCTATTAAGCAAAGACCTCCCGTGATCCCTATCAGACTGAAAGCCTTCATCTAATAATAGACTAATAATGATCATAACAGTGACATACGAATAGAAGACTGTAGACCTAAGCATTACCCCTGCTTCATATCAAGCAGAAGTGATAATGCTCCGAGGTCCGAGCTTTGCGATCGTTTAATATTAATCATTAACCCACATTAGAGGGTTCTTCTACGGAGTAATTAGTTCCTCGATAAAAAATTTTTTTTTCTGGTCGCACGGGGCATGGCCATGTGGGATATAATATAATGGGACATAATATTTATATAACATTGAGAGATGATGGATCATGGTAGCTGCGTATGGACTATGGAGGCTCTAGTCAGACAACCCGATTGCCACTGCAGTGCAATCTCAATCCGCCAAGGTTACATATAAATGAGGGTTTCCGAGCAGGATCAGGTGAAAAGGCGATCGATTACCCAAGGGGGTGGTATCGACCAATTTATCCACAGGATTAAAGAATGAACCTGCATGCGCCAGGGAAAATCTTCAAGAATATGGCGGGCGACGATCAAGAATGGACACAGTCAATACAATGTTGAGGAGGAGGAGGAGCATCCAGCATATCTAGAATATAGATAGAATATAGACACTAGATATATAGACACTAAGTAGGTGCTAGGTGTGAAGTTGAGTTATGGTGCAATGGATCGGGGATTTGATTGGGAGGAGTGGTGGTGATGGTGAGGATGTTGGTGTCGCAGATTCCGTCGCCACAGGGAGGAACGAGACAATCGGATCCAAGCTCAAGCCAGGAGGGGCAATGTTTGCGTGTCACTACTACTACTAGATCCGACTAGGTTGACTTGAACGAGTCAATCATGTTTGAGATTTGGGATATTCATTTTCGTTTTCGTGTTCTTTTTTTTTTTTTTTTTTTTTTTTTGGTGGTGGTTGGTGTTGGTAGTCAACTTGGTATCACTAGACTGGTGGATGACAGGAGAACATCAGACAGACATCCCCTTGTTGAGGGATTGTTTATGATTACTAAGACAAGGGACCTCCCTAGAGAATGCTACAAGTGAGCTCCTCGTGTGTCCTCTACACGAAGTCAGATGATTCACTATTGGGGTTTTGGAATGAAATGTATTGTTTGATCATTGAATATTCTCGACGATATGCGATGAATCATGAATCATGAATCATGATGCTAAGATCTAAGACATTTGGATGGGTTTTAATATTCGAAGGTCTCTGACTAACCTTCCCCCCGTCCCCGAGTCCCCGATTAATTGATTGACCACGTCAAAAACCTCCCGGGGAGTTGAGAGTCCAGAATCCAGACAGTCAGACACTCAGACACCAGAGTGACCAGACAGGGTTGATAACCCAGCGATCCATTGTTGGATTCTGAATTGTCTGTCTAATCTGCCTGTGCCCTGATGGTCTGTGGGACTCACTAGCGCCGTCTGGGCTTTTGTTTTAATCTTAGCATCAAGGGTGATTGATCTGGTGCTGGGACTGGGAGCATACCATGGAGTCGTCCTGGTCCTTGGTCCGGATGGCTGGAACTACCTATCTACTATCCATAATGTTAAGGGGTTATGAGAAGAATATGCACCAACCTGTTGATGAATATAGACTATAAAGTGATGAGAGACAGGACTTGAGCTCAGAGTATCTTGTCTAGTCAAGTTACTTGAGTTCATACAGATATTATTATTATTATTATTATATTATTTACTAGGTATTCTGTCACAGAGTCACAGTTGTCACATCATTGACGGGATAAGCCCTGCGCAGAAACAAACCATGTCTCAGATTAGTCCAATCAAAGCCCTTTCCAAATTTCTCATCCAGCATCTCCACTTGTCAGGAGGAATATTAATAAAAATGGAAAATAAATTAAGAAATCGAGAGCTGTTCCAGAGATCTCCAGTTTCTTCTTTTCTCAGTATCATCTTTCTCAGTTCTCACTCTCTATATGGATCACTGGATGAGAATCACTAATTTATCTGGTCATTCTGATTCTATTGAAGAAATCCAGGTAGCCTCAGGTCGAGGTCATCAACTCCACCAACTGCGTGATTCAGAATTGATGATATACCTGGATCCCCAATAATATGAAACACAATCAAGACAGTAGTCCCTTCATCCTCCTCCTGGCCCAGTCTTGGGGACATCATACATTAATTAACATACTACTACTTAGATACTACTCCGTAGTAGGTAGACAGATACTTGTATATTTCTCCCCACATGCTCATTCATCTCCGTACTTCATAGTCTGTCTGTCCTCCTGCTCCTATCAGCCTCTTCAGTAGTCTTCTTACCTTGGAGACTCACGTCAGTCCTATAACCTTAGTACTGTTCCTCAACAGAAGACGCCCCACGAGTCCTCTCTTGTTTCAATCTGATTCTTCTTCTTCTGCTGCTGCTGCTGCTGCTGCTAGCTACCTACTTCATCACTAGTCGTACTCACTACTACTTACATGAACCGATCCACTCGGAACTATTAATTTATGCTCCATATTTCCTTGATCCTCTGATGATTACGGAGTAGACTATTCTTCTTCTTCTTTCGCTTCGTCTGCTTCCTCTCCTCGTTCCCCATCTTCTTCATTGATTTATTCTTCTTCTTTTTCTTCTTTCTGTTTCATCTTGGACCCCTCGTCACACCTCATCTTCCCTTACTCAACTTTCAAGGTACGAAGCAGACGCAGTATAGATACAACCCCAGGCATAAGGAACATCGCCTTCTTCTCTTCCTCCTTATCATCCGTCTTCTATAAATCCTTTTTTTTTTTTTCCTTTTCTTTTTCTGCTCTTCTCCCTTTTCATTGTGACCTGTTCATCCAAAAGACGACCAAAAAAAATTGGCATTCGTTCCCTTTCTAGGCTACGTGCTTTTGCTTGCCTGCATCCCGGGTTGGCCAGACCTGTCGAGATCTCCTCGGTCCATTTCTTTCTCTCGCTTGTCGCTCTGGATCGAATCGAATCTCCCGGTTTGACCGACCCTCTCGACGTTGTCACGCTGCCGCCAGCCAGCCAGCAAGCCTGACTTAACCGCCCTATCCAGAAAACTGTCTGACCACTTCCGTGTCACAGTCCCAACTAAGCAACCTTTTTTTCCCCCCCGATTCGTCTTTGGGTGTCAATTGTCGTGCCCTTCCCCCCTCACGGTGCTGGCAACCAACTCTCTCCTGCTCTCCCTCCTTCTCTCCCTTCCACCCTCCCTCTCTCTATCTCTCTCACACACATATACCCTTGTGTCTGTCTTTGACCAGTGGTGGCGGTGCTTTACGTGTTGGTTGGTTGTGTTTGTGGATTTGCTTCATTCTCGGCACCCGATCAACTGGTCTTATTCCGTAAGCCCAGGCTGTTTTCTCGACCTTCTCCCTCAAAGGAACAAAAAAAAAAAAAAAAAGCATAGCCCAGCATAGCCGCTATCCGCCGCCGAGCTCTTTGATCATATCCGCGCGCGCTTTGATTTCAGTCTTCCCTGTCTATCTCATCAATTTTCACCAACAACAAAAGAAGTTGGTTTCCAAACAGATCCACCCTTAATACCCCAACAATCAACCGCTCGGTCGACCGTCCTACACCTCCCCGATAAGAGCTCCGCCTTTGCAATCATTCAACCCACACCGTTTATATATACGAGGAATAATTGTCTCGATTTGCCTGTTGCAGTACAGAGTGATATCGTGGAGGACTGTTTAAAGTCTTCATCATCGACAAGGATCACATCTCAAACCATTGTCAGATTGTGTCGTCTGCGAAGCTGTGCTATATTGGGACAACATTCGGTGTTTAGGAAATCCCCCTCGCCCTTCCTCCCGTTTCATTGACAACGATCTTTCCTTCGACCTCGGACAATAAACCGTTTTCCATATCCTAACATGTCGACGGCGGTTGCGCATGCTCCAGCCGCTCCATTGCCATCGCCGCATATGAATCGGGATCAAAGTCCAAGAAACTGCCCGACCCTGGCACCAGCAACGACGAGTTCGCAGTCTAGCTTGACACCTCCTCGAATCTCGCACGATGGCTCAACGGCAAAGAGTTCACCATCGGGTCGGAAGCCCACATCACCCTCGTAAGTGCTTCCTGGGCGGCTACACCTATTGCGAGCAGAATTGGGCATAATGTGTTGGATGCTAATACCTTTCCCCAGATCGCAGAACGGCAGCAACCTACCCAAGGTCATCGTGAAAAAGGAACCACCGTCTTCGCCTGCCATGCAAACACAGTCACGCACACAGACCAGCAGTCGGCCTCGACCCCGGAAGTTAGACCTCACCACCAGTCTACCGAATGCGGGCGGTCTGTCCGCACGAGCCCCCGGTGGGCCCATGACAGCTCGGGACGGAGTCAGCATGCACCACGTTGGAATTGCTTGCCTGTCACCAGGATTCCAAACACATGACCCCATAATGAGGGAGCAGTTACAGCGGAGTCTCTCCGTACGAGATCAGCAGAGATCGATCATTGAATCTCGACTACATAAATCGGCCAAGGATGACGGTCCCGATGGTGTGAGACCCTCCGAGTCGAACACGTTTGGTATCCCAAAGACTTCTTCGAAACGGAGGCCGCCCCCTGGTCTATCGATTGTCCCTCCGTCTGCCGCCCAATTTGCCAATGAGCGTGTCATTCAATCTGCACCCTTGAACCAGACGTTTACAGGACGACACCAAGCGCAGCCACTGACCCGTCACGTCATGAATCAAAGCCCGACTCTGGGTTCTAGCTCGCACATCCATCATGTTCCTGCTACACAAACCAACAATCGCCTCCCACCGCTGTCGGACGTCTTTGGGTCTGACGCTCTCGGTTCTCGTGACCGGGACTCCAACCGCGGCCCATTCTACCAGGGCGCTTCGGCCACAAATTCCTCACAGTCCAACAATCTACCCCCACTACCATCCCCAAGAATGCCCGGAAGTGTGACCCAAGCCCCCAGCCGGCCTCGGGAATACCGCTCCGCAGAGGAAGCCGTACATGAGTTGGCCGGAGGCCGAGAGGAACTCCTGCCGCGCATCGTACACTACAATGGTCACCAGCCTCCGACTCCGCCGTCTCCCCGCCTAGGTAACGGTCAACCCAAATCACGTCATTCGAACCCCGAGACGGCACCTTTGGCAGGCGCCCATACGCCCATCCAACCGGTTCTGCACGCTGGCGAAGGAACCGCTCGGCGTCGTACGCGCACTGAATATGAACAGGATAATGGCAGCCCGCCCCTTGGCCATGGCCCCGAACCCCACTACCGACCCAATCCAGCCTTGACCGCTGGTACAAACATCGCCTATGGACCCTTCGGCGCGGGCAGAGACTCTCCCGAAACCCAACGGAAGAAGAAGGAAGAGTTCTTAAGTCTGTGTGCGCGAGCATGGGATCTCTTCCACTCATAAAGCTGGTCTTGATGTGGGTTATAGGGTTTCATCACCACATTCTTTCCTTTCACTTTCTCTTTTTATCTTGCTCCGCCAACTCCTGGGTTCTGTCGTTCGATGCACGATCGTTCGATCCCTTGGGAAGAAGCTGATATCTTAATTATCCATATCTCATGCGCTGATGCAGCTGCATGATGGTCACTTTGTTTGGTCGAATTTTGGCTGGATGGAAAATGAACGGCCCGGGAAACATTTGGCTGAGCTGTTTCAGCACTTTTGGATATGATGAACGTGTGGAATCATGACTACATATACGAACATTTTGGACGGTCTCTATGCCTGCTGTAGAAGCAGGAGGAGACTGTCTTCGACTTCTTCTCTCTTTCTTTCCTTTCATGTCATCATTCCTGAGATCTCTCCTACTGTTCCTTCAAATTTTCCGACGTGATTCTATTGAGTCGGACTCTTTCCCTTGTTTTCTTTTATGGAAAAGATCAAACCTGGTGACAACCATGTTCATAATCTGCGTCTCCTCTTGTGCTTTGATTTTCCGGCACTTCCCATGGACTGGATATCTTGTTGCGATACCATTATTTGTTTGGCATTCTCATTGTTATCCTTCTTCTTCCAGATCGTGGTAAAGCGTTTTCATCGGATAAAACCCCATTGTCTTTCTTTCCAGCCTTCTTCTCTTGTTCTATATTGATGTCATAGTATCCCTGGCGTCTGTTGTTGTTGATGTTCTTGTTGTCAGATGGAAGTTGACGATGCGTTGAGAGATATCCACTTTAGCATTTTCATATGGACCGTTACTTTTAGCCGAGAGAAATCAAGTCGATTTACGACAATCATGAGCCTAAGCGCTAAAATATCAACCATGAATGCACATGGTATGATGAAAGTATTGGAGATTTTAGCTTAAGGCACGGAGTATCTATGCCAGTTTCCTGCGTTTCCTGCCCCCTCCATCATTATTGAAAGGCGCAGCGTCGTTCTCGAACCCTCGTCGCTCCATAGGCATTTCCTTTCTCTCCTTGGCGGTCATCTTCTTCTGTCTCCTCTCCAGCGCCTTCACACGCTGCCGGGAGCCCATGCTCTCATACTTCTTGACCAACACCTGCTTCTTGAGCTCCGACTTCTTCAAGAAGTAAGGATTGCTCTTCTTGCCCTCGAGAATCAGCTGTTTCTCGCGCTTCTTATGCTCCGCCAGCACCTCCTTCTCCCTCCGTCTGTTCTCCGTCGTCCGCAGACGGTCCGTAGTCGCACGAATCGCACGCTTCAAATCCTCCTTCTCCCTCAGATCCTTCGTCTTGGCGAACTTCTCCTTGAGCTCCTTCAGCTCGTTGGCACGGTACTCGTCCAAAAACGCGTAGGCCTTGTTGATGCCGCCGTCACGCGAGCCGCCCTGGCCGCGCACGGCCGGGTCGAAGCGCGGGTCCCGCGACTTGAGCACAGCGGGCGGTTCGATGATCGTGCGCTTGCGCGAGACGGCGTGTTTGGACGACTGCACCATGGGCGCGTGCTTGGAGGAGCGGGACGGCTTCTCGGCATCCCTGGCCTTGGAGGCGGACGGGGCCGAGCCCTGGCGTTTCTGCTCGCGGGCTTCGCGGATGCGCGCGCGGATGTCGTCGAGCGGCGAGGGCGCCGCGGCAGCTTTTTCGTCGTCGTCGTCGGCGGCGTCGGCGGCGGTGCTTGCTTTCGAGTGCTTAAGTTTGCGTTTGGCGTGCGGGCCCAGCGAGGCTTGGGCTTTGGCGAGCGCGCCGAAGGAGATGTGGCTCAGTGAGGCTTGCATGTCGTCCGCTTCGCTGGCATCGCTTTCGTCGTCGTCATCGGCGGCGCTGTCTTCTGAGATGTTGCTATCTTCGTCGGCTTCGTCATCATCGCTCAGTTCCGATCCGTTGCTTCGCTGGCATGGGATTTAGTATTGGCGTGGCTCTGTACAGCACGTTTGTGATAACTCACTGCACCTCCATGATCCTCTAACGACTCGTCGCTGCTGTCGTCTGATCTTGATTCATCGATCTGTTCATCGTTGCTCTCTGCCTCCGATGCTGATTCTCCAGAATAAACCTCTTCGTCCTCTTCCGGTAGCGCCCGTACTCGGCGATTGAGGAGATCTGAAATCGCCATCGTTTCTGACTGATCACCAAAGTCAAAGTAGACAGGAAAGAGCAACTTGTCTCCAGTCTCGAGTATTCTGCGGCGGTGAAAGTCGGCGCAGAAAAAGTTGGCGGATACTGCCACTCCGGCTGGCGGTGAGTAGAGCGGTACCACTCTCTGCTCGCCGCTTTTTCCTCCACGCGGCGATTGTCTGCCAATCCGCCTGGCGATTCTGTTTTGCCTTCGCATTTGTCCGGTCCTTGTTGGTGATTGATCATTTTTCTCCGTCCATCTTCTCCCTGTACTCCCTCAATTATCTTGTCGTCCCCATGCCACTGGGACGCTGGCCCTTTTGGATTAGAAAGCGTCCTTTGTGTATACCGTCTCTTCCCGCGTCAGTGGTCGGCCATCATCACCGCATGCCCCAAGGCGGGGTGTCTCAAACAGTAGATATACACATTTCGAGTGTTGATGATCATTTACTAATTGCATGTGTCTTCTGTACAGTTTTCGTCCTCAAATAAAGCCATACCGCATATTTCTCCTTCGAAGAAACGCCGAAGACCTGCTCTTAGTGACGGCAGTCTCTCACATCGAGCAATGAAACCTCCACGATCCGCTCAGGGCAACACGCTTCAGGCAGGAAATCATCAACAAACCTCCAAAACTCCATCAGACCCTGCACACAACTCGAGGGACCCATGGCGGCCATATCAAGGTCGCTGGAAAACGAACAAGACTTCTGGTAATGCGAGCAAGGTCGTCGCCAACACACCTCAGAACACCATGCCAGTTGAATCGCCGCGAAGTCGTTGGCGCCGCAATTTTGAATCGAACGATAGGAAGTTCAACCCAGAGACGCCATCGTACATTCCACTTCCTTCAGGCTCTCCAGCAGTTGCAGTTCCGATTATGCCTCACCCATCGTCACACCCCTTCGTCCCTCCACAACCTCACTCCCAACCGGGAACGAATCTCAATCCGTTCCCCGTGTTCCCGTTGCTGCCAGGCACCACGGACCCGTTCAATAATACTCCCATGCCCCCGATGTTCTTTCCGCAGACCATGCAGAATCTGCAGCCCTCACAATTGCGACCTCCTTCCGATCAGACCCCGTTCAATCCCCTAGTCTTTCCTCCGGTGCCGAATCTGGACAGCCCAGCGAATTTTATGCCTCTCATGTTCCCTGTGACGAATATGGGAGCTGCGAGCCCGGCGTTGGTGAATCCCATCTTCAACAGCGTTCCGTTCTTTCCCTTTGATCCGATGATCTCGGCACCAGCTGGCTCTGCTGTAGAGAATCCCTCGAATCCCAACGCCCGGGGCTCCTCCCCCATCCATTCACGGGCCAGGTTCTCCAAAAGTCCGGAGCCGCCTGCGCCGATCAAAAGATACCTGACGCAATCGTCCCTGCCGCCTAAACAATCCCCTACCCGCCAACCTCTACTTGTCATTCTCGATCTAAATGGCACTCTAATCTATCGGAAGCATCGACGGCTGCCTCCCTCATTCGCCAAGAGGGCGGGTTTGGATCAATTCCTAGAGGCGTTGTTGCAGAATTACAAGGTCATGATTTGGTCGAGCTCACAACCAGAGACTGTTGGTGCAATCTGTGAGAAGCTGTTTCCTGGCGAGAAGAGAAAGTCGTTGGTGGCGGAATGGGGACGGGATAAACTAAATCTCTCCAAGGCCCAGTACAAATCAAAGGTGCAGGTCTACAAGACACTCAATACAGTCTGGAACGATCCGGCGGTCCAAGCCTCGCATCCCAATTCAAAGCAGAAAGGTCGCCCCAAACCCAAGAATAACTCCGTCAATCCAGCCAGAAGATGGGACCAAACCAATACTGTGCTCATCGACGACAGCAAACTCAAAGCCCTCAGCGAACCATACAACATTCTCGAAATCCCCGAGTTCACCAACGCCTCCTGCAACGACGAGTCACTCATCTTCCCCAAGGTCCTGGAACGGCTCGAGGCGCTGGCCCACCACGACGACGTCAGCAAGCTACTCCAGCTCTGGAACTCCAGGCTCACGGGGAGCGAGACAATCCTCGACCTGGACATTGGCACCGATCAACTCCCACACCCACAAGAAGAAGCACAATCGCAGCCGGTCGGTCCTCCGGCTCCTTCAACCCCGCAGGAGATAGCCCAGGCGCGCAAGGAGAGACGCAAACTCCGCAAACAGGAGCGGAAGGTTGCCCGGAGAGCCGCCACGGCTGCTACTACTGCTACTACTGCTGCTAGTGCTACAAAGGCTGCTGTTGCGCTCGTTACTATTCTTACTTCACCCGCTGCTGTTTCTGCCCTCTCCGCGCCAACTAAGGCAGCCGAGCCCATCGACGACACACCTAGTTCGACAGACGGCCCAGCCAGTCTCGACGGGAACTCTCCGGCAGGTGTGCCGCTGCCGCCGCAGCGGCCCGCGCGGTCCCCGTCGCCTGCGTCCTCGGTACAATCGGAGAATTACCTTCTCGATCGCCTAGAGGAATCTTTGGATGTACGCCATTAGTAAGGTTTGCCGCTGCCGCTTTCTTTAAGTATTCATATCCATAATCGTTGGATAATTGGTTACGTGTAGAGAAAAGACAGGATAGGATAGGATAAGATACCCCGCAATATGCATACGTTGAATTATGAAGATAAGCCATCTGACTTGGTTACATATATACATACAGAGTATAGACAGAATGGCATTATTTGAATAGTTCGTTGGCATCAAGGGCGCTGGACATACAATTACTTGTTTACAACGTATTACATTAGGAGTTCACATAGGAATAAGAACATCAAGATCATGAATGCTTTTTTGCTTGTTTGTTGGCTAGAACTAGCTACTATCATTTGCACATCTCGAGAGATCATTAGCGTGACATAATGTAATGTCTACGCAGATTGGTCTTTAGTGATAAAAAAAGAATCTTTTTTTAAAAGGGGTGACGAATGAAAATACGTAAACCATTCAGTCATGGGAAGCGTGGACATTAAAGGGGCTGTCGATTGGGCGCAGAGGGGGAAGGCGGGAGAGTAATTGAAGGAATGCCTGATCTATCAAACGTTGGGAGATGGGAGGCTTCCAAAGCACACCAAATCTCACAAAGATAACAGTCAAGGCTCGAGTTTATGTGAAGCTAACCCAAGGGCAGGAGGGTAGGGAGAGGTCATGCGTTGGCTGATAGCATTTAGGATATCTTCGTCTATTTGAAGACGTGGCCGTCAACGTGGGGGTACTCCTTGCCGTCGACAGTGACGGGGGCATCCCAAGCCCACATGTCATCAACAAGCTTCTTGTCCTCGGGGTTGGAGGGGTCGAGCTTGCGGAAGTCGTAGCTCTCCCAGTCGGGAGCGACGTTGAAAGCGGGCTCGAACTCCTGGCCGCGGACCAGGAAGACACCGCGGATGACGCAGTCGTAGTTGGTACCGTAGACAGACTGGGCACCGAAGAGGTACTTGCGAGAACCCTCAAGACGGGCGTGGAAACCACCTGCAACAGAGAGTCAGAATTTCAATTTCATGGCGAGGAGCAGCCGTTATTCTTACCGATCAGGTTGTTGGCCATGAAGGTGAGCTTCAGCTCCTTGGGGTACTTGTAGTCAACAGCCCACAGAGAGAACTCCTCGGGCTTGTTGTTGGCCCAGAACCAGGGCAGAGCAACGGGGCGGGTGTCCTCGTTGGAGTACTGGCGCTTCCACTCGTCGAGGACGAAGGTAGGTCTGCCAAGAAGCTCAAGAGGGTGCTTGGGCTTCTTCTCAGCCTCGGGCTTATCCTCAGCAGCGGCAGGAGCAGCGGCAGCGGGGGCAGCCTTGGGCTTCTCCTCCTTCTTGGGGGGAGTGTACTTGATAGCCTCCTCAACGAGGGTGGGCTCAGCAACGGCCTTGAAGGGAGCCTGGTTGATGATGGTGGTAAACCATCTAGCGGTGGCAGGGTTCTCCGAGCGCCAGGCCTTGTCCAGGACGGTGGCGAAGGCACGGGTGAGGAAAGAGGCGGTGAAGTAATCAGCCAGGGTGATGCGCTCGCCAACGAGATAGGTGTTGGCAGTGAGGTGCTGCTCAAGAACGGCAATAGCCTTCAGAGCGGCCTTGGAGGCATCCTCGACGTTCTTCTTGTTGTAGGGGTCGAGGCCAAGCAGGGGGCGGAACCAGCCGCCGACCTTATGGGAGAGCTCAGAGTTGGCATACGAGAGCCAGCGGAGGATAGCAGCATAGTCCTGCTTGGTCTTGCCCAGGAGAGTGGTCTTCTCGTTCTGGGAGGTCACTTTATGGCAGTTAGCCTCATGATCGAATAACCAAATGTCATTTCCGAAAACAGCAAGCGTCAAAATTTCTCCTTGGGAAAAAATTTTTTTGCCAGAAGGCGGGGTAAATCAAAAAAATTTTTTTTCAGAGGTTTGTGTTATCAACAGGGTTGTATAGTTTCTGCCAGGGATAACTAGTAATAAAACTGCTCATCATAAAAAGCAAGGATTGTAGATGCTGAACGCATAGATTCGGAGATGAAAACTCCTTAGGTTTCAAAACATACCGTAGACAGCGATGGCGATGGCCTCAGAGAGAGCGAAGCCATTGGCACCCTCGAAGGCAGGGACCTTGCCGAGAGGCTGGAGCTTCTTGTACTCGGCAGACTGGTTGAAGGCCGCAGCAGAGTTGGCCTCAGTCTCGACCAGCTCAAGCTCAACGTCGTTGCACTTGGCAGCGACGAGGACGGCGAGGGTACGACCGTTGGTCTATTCCAATGAGTCATATTAGCCAGCTGTCCTCATCATGGATGGTAATAACAAGCGACAGAAAGATCTTCCATCCAAGTATGAGGAGAGGAGAGGAGAGAAACACATACGGGAAGACCGTAGAGCTTTCCGAAAGCCATTTTGTGTGATGTGGGATGAAGGAGGGTGATGTGGGAGGAAGAAGGAGAGGAAGACACAGGAGAACTTTTTGAGGGGTTTCGGCGGAAAAGGCGACGAGCGATTGTGCGAATCAGATGTCAGTGTCGGCAGCCGGAGGAACTTTCTGCCGCTCACGTGATGTACCGCCGAAAAACCTCAGGATGCACCATACTGGGGGCTGGTGAACGATAGGCTGAGAGTTCCCACCGGGGCTGCAACACCATCGCAGATTTCTCCTTGTCACCGCTCTCATTCTTTCTCTTTACGCCTCAGTCCTGGTTCCGGCTAGTGAGTCTGTTCCATAATGGCATGGCAGAGGCCCAATTGCATTGTACAGGCGGTCCAGTCCGTCCGGACTGCTCAGCTGCAGTCTCTCCTCCGAAGCACCACAATCCCCTCATGGAGCTCGTTACGACAGCAGCGAAGCGGGCGCAGCTACGCAACAGAGGCCGTGTCTGCTGGTGACAACGCACTCGCGGTTCGCGCCGCCCCCGAGATCGACTTCAGCAACCTCGTCAGCCGTCCTGCCCGGGTTATTCCCGCATCACCCGCCTACTTCTCCGGGAGTCCCAAATTCATCGACCACCTGCTGAAGCTGGAACACATCTGCGCTAAATATGCGTCGCTACCTACGGTGGCTCCGAGTGAAGCTCCTCGGATGGCATGGTTCAAACTTGCACAATTCCGCGATTTCGTCGGCGAGCCCGTACCGACGAAGAAATACAAGAGCCTGATCAAGATCCTGCAACGGCTCAACCGGATCGAACCCGCGCTGCTTCCACTTGAGGTTACACAGACGCTGAAGACATTCCTTCGCCCCGGTAATCCATACGGCAACAAACCGGCACCGGCGACGGTGGATGAGCAGGGCCGCGCGCGCGGCAAGGGAAAGCGCAAGACATCCTCCGCGGTGGTACACCTGGTTGAGGGTGAGGGAGAAGTGATGGTGAACGGGAAGACTCTGGGGGAGGCCTTCCCTCGTCTGCACGACCGTGAGAGTGCAACATGGGCGCTGAGATGCACGTCGAGATTGGACAAATACAACGTGTGGGCGACTGTTCGGGGCGGTGGAGTCACTGGTCAGGCAGAGGCTGTCACATTAGCACTTGGAAGAGCACTGCTCGTCCACGAGCCGGCGCTGAAGCCTATTTTGCGGAAAGGTACGTTGCGGATGGCACTGATTCTCTGCGTGGAATTGAGAAACAATGCTAACGAATCAATTTTTGTTTCAGCTGGTGTCATCACTGTCGATGCTCGTCGGGTCGAGAGAAAGAAGCCCGGCCACGTCAAGGCCCGCAAGATGCCCACCTGGGTCAAGAGATGAAGGCATGCTTTTTTTTTATTCTCTCTTGGTGCCCGGAGTGGCTTTTGTTTCGATTATCTACTACTTTACTATTTCCCCCGGCCTGTATTATCTTCCACCTGCCATTGTGATTCCTGATTGACATATACTTTTGAATTTCCGCAGCATGACCGTCGGTGTGCCATGGGTGATTATGTTTTTCTACCAAGACAAGACACTTAACCTTGCCTGGGTGATTCCGGCGACAAGCAAATGTACCATTAAGAATATGGCGTTGATCCTCCCTAGAATACAAATGAAATGAAACTTGGACATGCTGGACAGACAAGCCAAGGGACCTGCGTATATAACTGGGCTGTACCCTCCTTCTTTTTTTTCTGCACAGCCAGACCAACTCGGATGGAATCGAATGGTCAGATCCGAATCATCTGACAGACACTCTTGACTTCCGAACCACCAGGCGCGAATAGCAACTCTCGCCTTTCCGATATCTCAGTCCGAATTCGAACATGCGTTCCGAAAAGAACAAAGCCAGAAAACGCAGGACGGACCAGCTCCAAAGACACGGACCACCCGAGCATAAGAAAAAGACGCAGGGTTCGCGAGAAAAGTGGCTCTGCCTCTGCACGACGTCGCCCAGGCTCACAGCCTCCCCCAGCTGACGAAGGCCAGCGTTACACGCGTTCACTCGTTCTGGGGGCCCGCCGAGTCAGTCGAGTCTCTTGGTCGGGAGACAAAAGACGCCTTTTACCCTCCAGCGAACATGGCGCTGAGATCAGCGATGATTCCATAGCGCTTTGGGGGGAGGGGGGCGGGGAACCAATTAGTCTGATCAGTCCATGGGCGAGGGTTTGTTTGGTAGGTGCTGGGTTGTTGTACATTCTGGCTTGCGTGACTTGAGGGTTCTGAGCTACTATCGTCATCTGTTGGGTGGGTTTGGAATCTTCTCCCCTATGCTGAGAGGATGGAAGGATGTAAGCCGGGGGGGAGGGGTCTTTTTCTTCTCATTCGTAGGGTACATGTAGGCAGAAGCGAATCGACGATGGTGATTGCTTTGCTTGGGGATGAAGCTGAAACTGCAAGAGTCATGGGAGAGTATCAGATTGGCTCGGAGAGATTGATGCTTCATGATAACACAATGCGTTTCATTGATGTGCTTGGAGATGGATGGGTAATAATAGGAAAAGGACTGCTGACCACGCACGTTGACTTGGTAGTCTGAATATGATATTCCTAACATGAACATGATGTGGAGATGGATGGCTCGCACGAGCTTGTTGAGGTCGAGGTCGAGCCTCGAGGAGCTGTGATAATATATTTTTGGCTTTTGCAGTGTAGAACTCAACCTCCAGTAATATTACAGAACAGGGATGGAATCCCCCATACACTATCGTGTCTGCTCACTGCGACAAGCTACTATTAGTGTTGACTGTACTCCGTACTGTGATTATTTACTCAAATCGCATTATACTTCAATAACAAGGCTACGACGGAGCAGATACTCATGAGTATTTGAAATTCCATGTTCGCCAAGGCGCAATTGGATAGAAGGATCTGCCCCAAGGGCATGGTCCCCTACCGCACTAAGAAACTAGGAGTAAGTGCAAGCAATAGTCCTTGATCGACCGTCTCTTCAAGGAATAAAGTGAGTGACATGTTTGAGGATCGGAGCTAAGGATGATTGAGGGACGATGGTTTTGGTTTTTTTTTTTTTTTTTTTTTCCCACCACCACATCGTCTGAGACACTCCCGATCGGACTGGTTCATTCGCCCTGTCTGCATGACCTTCCCAGTGTTCCGGTCGTTACCATGTCCTTGATCCTGAATGTTTGATGATTGGGAGAGTCTGTCTGGGTTCAAAGAGCTAGGGGTCATCAGCGATGGTCAGCGCTGCATGTCCGCAGCCTGTACAAGATGGACTGTGGTGAAAGGGAGGCAGTAGTAGTAACAATTGACTGTAGATGAGCATCCAAGCTACCACCAGGTATCTAGTAGTAGAGTAAGTACGAAGCACTCAAATCAAAAGAGCAGTGGATACGTACTTTGGCTTCTTCCTGGTCCATGTCTGACAATTTTCCCCTGCAGCAATCCAGGAAGCTAATCGGACAGTTAACTATCTGATGTGGAGCTCATGATGCTCTTGACTTGAGTCTTCCCCAAAGGGCCTTCTCTTGGAGTATAGTTCCCATCTTGCAGAGTAGTTCAGTGCTCATCTGAGCAAGGAGTCTTCTCCCCCCTGTTCTTGTTGAGATGCTCCCACATAGACCTTAGACAGTAGATGGATTGATGCGGGATAGTCTATCCTCGGATAGTCCATTCCAGGATCCAACTCATGTTGACGCTTAGTCCCGAGTCGATCCTCTTGCAAATCCGCCATCTGGAAGCCGCCGAGACACTAGTAAGGGAGAGACCCAGCGCATTGGGCTCTGGAACTAGGAGTATCCCCACGTAGTATCTACGGTATAGTCTATCCAGTTGGCTGGAATTTGTCATTTACACCATCATCATCAATATGAACAAAAAAGAAATAGTGATACTTGCGGCCATACTAGAACTCCCGTAAAGATAGATAGATAGATACCCAGGACACTGGAAACACCGATTAGCTCCGCCTCGGTTTGGTATGGATCGTGAAGGGTATCGACAGTAGTTTCTAATAGTGCGCACTTTCGACTCAGCAATGACAATCACCAGAACCGACCTTCTTTTACTCTTTCGGTCCAATTCCATCCAGAGAATGCAGGTCGGCGATATGTCATTCTTCTTTTTCCTTTCTTTGATGCGCCTCTTCCTTTCCAAGTCGTGCCAGTTCCTCCTCTCCCTCCATCTATGTGTCTGTCTATCTCTCTAGTGCCAATTAAGTAGCTCTTACGGATGGTACTACCCCATGGCGAGGCATATCCCCCTCGATGACAATTGGAGTCAAACGCGATGCACTCCAGTAACAAGCTGAGACCGTCACTGTAAGGCTGGATTGGATAGTTCTGCCCCGACGACTCGGAACAAAAGAAGCCCATACATACGTACAAACCCCAGCAGTCTAGAGTCCAGTCTAAGCAACTAATGGCATCAAAAAGACACCCAGAAGTAGTAAACGAGACTTAGCAGATAGATGGGAATACCTTATTAAATTATCGCACTGGACAAGAAACGATGTAGTTAGATACTGTACTGCCTTGGTCCCCAGTACAGCAGTCACTTTCCATGCTGCTGTCGTCGATCTCTATGCTTTTCCCTGTCTTTTTTTTTCTTTTCTTTTTTCTTTGTTCTCTGTTTTCCCTTCTTTTCTTTTCTTTTTTTCCCTTTTATTTTATTTTTCTTTTCTTTTCCTCTTCCCCTTCTTTTGTTTTGCTGCTTGCTAGTAAGCGCATCAAAATGATTTATTGATACTTCAGCCTATGTCTGTTTCTCTCTATCTCTGTTCCTTCAGTTCCTTTCTGCTACGCTGCTGTGTATGTCACTCGCAGGATCCCAGATCCTCTCTTCTCTAGGATCTTTAAATACATCCCTTGAGTACCCTTCTGTCTTGTCGATTTGTCCCCGTATCCTGAAGTATATCCTCTGTCCACCCCGTCTTGCGCTTCTGTTTCCCCCACTTGCTGGTCTTCCTCCGCTTAAAAGCTGTTGGTTTTGGACTGCAAGTTCCGAGCTTCCAGTCATTCCATCTTACTTCCTGATTGATCGGATATAATTACATTCCTCTTCTTGTGTTTAGTCCTCTCCTTGAATCAAGTATATCCGCCACTCTGTGCGCTTCTCCTCTGTTTGAAGAAAAGGAAGATACAGCTCGAAAGAGTAGCCTGTCAAAGGTATTACTAGTACTTTCTCTGAATGTAAGTGGTCGCCGAATATATGCTATACTTTGCGCACTATTATTCTTGATCAGTGCTGATTGTTCTCAGAGTGCGCCTATCTTTGCGATTCAGAGCAAGTATATCCACCTGGAGACATACCCGCTACATAAAAGATACCCGTCACATCTCTTCGGTTATACATACTTCTTTGAAACTGCTCGTCGACAGACCGATCAGTAGGTCAGGAGAAAAGCAATCAGATCGTGATCGATCACGCACAGACAACATCTTTCCGCCCCGAATTTCGGAATCCCGACAAGCTGGAACCCTACGCGAGCCCTCCGCTGTCCCCTGAAGCGCATTGGTCGTTTGACCTTGATTCAGGGCGTAAGGGGTCTCTGTGGGACCGAGCGCGTGGTATGGATGGCGATAACCGGCGCCTCAAGCACCATGATCCCTCCAGATCTTCGACGAGCTCTGGGGTGACCCGTCGAGGCATCTCCCGATCCGCTGGTGGTGCCGCTGGCCGCTTCAGACAACATGGTCTGCCTGCAACACGTGGAAATCCAACTGGATTGGCACAGGTAACGGAGAGATCGCGAATGTCGACCTACATGGACTATGGATACACAGACACTGCATTCCAGGGCAATCCCCTGCAAGGGGATGAATTGCAACCGTACTCTGTGACGTTGCGCGAGCAGCAGCAGCGCCAGCCGGCAGTGCAGCAACCATTCGCCCCCTATGAATCGGAGATGGTATATAATCTCAGTCAGCAAGGCCCGACACCGAATCCGTACGAGGTCGTGCCACAGTACCCAACACGGCAGTCTGCAGCCATTGACGTCTTGTCCAGCCAATTTGCTGTTCCACAGTACTTCTCAGCTAATGAGCCGACAGCAACAGGGGTCCCTGCAGACGTTTCGCCCTACTTGACCTCGCACCTGTCTTCATCGGCTTATAACCAGCCCGGTCCCATTGGGCGCTCGAGCGCAATGCAGCCCTTTCCCGCAACGATGGCCGAATTTACCGCGGTGGGGGCAACCGCAGGACGTTTAGATCAGCAGCAGCAGCAGCAGCAAGTCGCTTCGGAGTCGACAAATGAAGCGTATGGCCGCTTCCAGCGAGCTTTGCGGGCAACCTTTGATCATACGCGCGCTGGCCGATTGGTAGAGGCTGGTCGATCAATCTTGGAAATTGCCGAGTGGCTTGTCACCAATGCGCGGGAACTTGGTATGTTCTTCCTAGCGTTTCTCAGGTTCCACCCATTATCATCTCGCTCATGTTTTTGTTCACATGGCCTTTTTTCCTTTTTCTTTTTCTTTTTCTCATTTTTTTTTCAGTACACTAACATGATCAATAAGACATACTGCGAGATGATCCAGCGCTATACCCCGAACGACTCCAACTTTGGAATGATTTTAACATCTGCTGGTTGGCCATTTGCCAAAAACAGAAGGACATGACACAAGATCTTCTGCAGACCAGCCGCCAGTCACCCAACACGACAATGCTCACAATCGAGCGCATGGAGGAGATGGGCAAAGACCTCATCCAGCTCTGCGACCAGATGGAGCAGCATGGATTAGTGGATTACCAGATGGGTATTTGGGAGGAGGAGATTCTTGGTGGTAAGAGAAAGAAAACCCATCCCAACCTGGAGGCCAACCCCGTTTCCCCGGCTCTTGGCAATCATATGGGCTACATTCTGATTTGAAACTCTCTCCTAGTTCTCGGCGAATGCCTCGATCTGCTCGAAAGCCGACCTGATGATGTGCAGGCGCATCGAGGGAGCGCAGCCACGGCCACTACTTCGCGATCCTGAAGCAACTGGACCTAGACTCTTGAGATGTCGAAACTTGAAGAGCAAGGCCAAAAGCAACTTCCAGTGGACGGGGGGCTCGCTTCGGATATCCGCGTAGCCGTACTTTTGTGATGGTAGCGCTGCTTGCGGGCCTAATGCAGGAACTAAATTAGTCCTCAGTCCTCAGTCCTCCTCACAGCTCACGAGAAATTTGCTCGCACACGGCTGAGTGGTCACAATGCCTCCCAGAGGACTATCTACTCACTACTGTCCCATCTTTCTGAAAAATGAACCCGGGGCTTTTTTCTTCCTCCTTCCTCGACCAATGGAGGGGTACCTAGAGCCATCTTCTCATTTACGAGTCTACGGCCCCATGATGTATGGGGCATTTCTTCAATCTAAATCTACAGCGGTCAGCGGTCAGCGCGAGCCTGATGAGCCGGGCACGTAGCTCCATGACAAAAGAACAATTGTCATTCTAATCTGGCTTCCGATGAAGTTCGCAATTGAAGTCAATACTGCAGATCCCCACCCAAGGTCTCTCCCCTTGGAATCCTCTTTTCTGGAATCATCAATTGTGTATATATAAATGTGACTTTCTATTGCAAGATCTGAAAGCCACCAGCTGATGAGTGTCGGTGTTTGGATATATCCATATAATATCTCTTAGCGATAGACAATTTACTGCGGATCGAAAGTACACCGTTACCTTACAGCGGGAGCCTGTAGCCTGTAGCCTGTAGTCTGTAGATGGATAGCCTATATAGTGTACATACAGTGACAGTTCTGGAAGGATTCAGCCGTGCCTGCAGCCGCAGCGTGGGGGCGCCGGGGCGCCCGGGGCCCTGGAAACTGGAAACTGGAGACTAGAGACTTGGAGAGGGCCGGTGCGGCCCCTAACGATGTACCTAAGTAGCTAACTAGTGGTCCCGGGTTCCAGGTTCTTCGGGGATGAGCACGATGAGGCGTGCGTGATCCGAGGACTTGGGGCATCGGTCCGATCGCTTACGATCTCGATCTCGATCACGATCACCACCTTGACACCGACATCGACAGCAGGCACTGGCAGTCAATTAAGTCAATTAATACATTATCATTATTAGTGGGCATTAGTTACCATTAACTATTACCATTGCAATTTTGTGATGTGCCGAATCTGCAGGAAGCCTGAACGGGCCATGGCTAGTTATTAAGTGCTCACTAATCTAGACAGTAGATACTATCATACTCCGTAGATAATCTATCTACCTTTTGGGGGGGGGGGGAGATGATGGTTCTTCTGAGGTTAGTTGGTGAAGCAGCCTAGTTTCTAGTTTCCAGACTACTTACATACATACTACATAGTCCTTTCTCGCCTCACTTCTCTGAAAACTGATCTTCAAAAATAGGCCAGTGCTGTGGCAACTGGCAAACTAAGTTACAGTAAACATGATGGTATGATATCCCCCACTTCGAGCTCCTCCTTGACCAACCTCCGGAAGCCCTCATTACTACGTATTCCCCAGTAGTGCTTTCACTCCCCAGACCACACAATACTTCTCCCTATCCAGCACGATCCATGCCATCCCAATCCTCGTGCCCCATTTCCACGAGGCCACGCCCCATCTCACAAGCCACAAATGATTTTGAACGAGGAGGAGGGGGAGAGAAAAAAAAAAAAAGGAAAGAAAGAAAAGAGACGACGACTACTCGACTCCTCACAAATCCTAGTCCCGATGGGCTCGAAGGAATATGATACATCAATCCATTTTACCTCATATCCTCCGATGTACATATGCATACTACGTAGATCGGGGTCCCGTAGGCTGGGACCGGGGAGCCGGTCCCCCAGCCCTGTCCCTGTCCCTGGATTCCGCGGGCGCTAGGGGGTGGGGACTGGCTTTATTAGGATTTAGGAGGTAGTAGTCCGTATGTAGGAGTAGGAGTAGTGTGTAGATACCCAATAATATATTATATTATGGATTACTATCTAGACTAGGGCCACGGAGTGATGACGAGAGATGAATTTGAATATCTATTTAGCCCTAATCAATGGCCGATGCTGGTGTTGAATAGTTCCTTCCTTGGCTTTGGTGGTCGGATCCTTCCATGCAACATTCCACGGAGGATAATCCTGGAATGGATGCGTAGGTATTACGGAGAACTACCTAGTGTACTACATTGGTATTGTAGTGATCGACGGTATCAAGCAATATCTAGACATCATGAACTAGGACGCCTTACACAAACTGTATTGTTGTGCGTGGATCGCCGATTACTGCAACAATCAGGAGTATCACATCAGTGAAATAGTCATAATTGAATCGTAGGATGTATGGTGTAGAACTATATGCATGTCGTCATGGCTCCATGAAGGACTCGAAGGATTCTGAGCCCCAGGATATAAACTACAAAGGGGTCATGATCGATGATCGTGAAAGTCATGTCAAGAATGGAAATGATCGGGGCTGGTGTTCGCATGGCAGACAGAGAGAGAGGGAGAGAGAGAGAAAAAAAAGGCAACGCCAGATGGAAAAGCGAAACCAAGCGTCTCAAGCAAGTATCTTAGATTTGGTCTGTAGGGGAGCATCGTCAGTTCAGTTTCTTCTCCATAAGGTATAGCAGGGAGGGAGAGAGAGAGAGAGAGAGAGAGAAACATACTCAGCGTCATGCTCAGGCTAACATCCGTATTCTCCACCATCTCAGTGAACTCCTCGAAGCTGATCTTGCCGTCGCGGTCCTTGTCCGCCTCCATGATCGTCTTGTCCACGATCTGCTGCAGCTGCACATCCTTCAGGTTGTTGCCCACCATCATCTTCAGCACGATAAACAGCTCGCCGTTAGAAATATAGCCGTCGCGGTCGATATCGTACACCTTGAACGCGAACCGCAGCTTTTCCTCCTTGTTGCCCTTGGAGCTGAACGCCGACAGACCCGACACAAATTCCTGGAAGTCGACATCGCCGCCACCGTCTTCGTCGAAGATCGCGATCATTCTGTTGGCCCATCATCGGTCAGTTCTTGCTTGCCTTCGTCTCTTTGTACCCATAGCCTCAATCTTCTTCTTCTTCTTCTTCTCCTAGCACGTACCTCGTCGCCAGCGGGTTGGACGATACTTGGGGGAGGGAGAGGAACTCGTCACGATCGATGGTGCCGGAGCTATCCTGCGGCAGTCTTCAGCATGTCATTCCGTAATGTTTCATGTCAAATCGGTCGGACCTTGTCTAGTTTCATAAATCGCTTGCGAAGCCGATCCACCTCATCCCTATCGACTGTCCCCAGGAAGAACCACTGTCAGTTGTTTCACTCAGAGATAAAAGGACGAGTGTAAGGCAAGGCTGGAGAACCGACAGTTGGAGGCAGACACGATGTTATCGAGCAGCTGTGATGTGCCCACAGATGCTCTGCGCCTGCGCGCATCATACATGGCAGCGTTGTTGGGCTCACTGGGTTGTTCCATGGTGATCTATTGATGAGGGGGAAAAGAGGGTTTGGTGAAATTAATGATAAAGAACAGTGAGCAAAACAAGATGAAAAAGTGGAAAGAAAAGACTGGTTAATGGTCAATGCTTATTAACTCGCGGATGAATTGCGATATTCAAGTCCACAAGCACAGCCAGTGGCGGATCAGACAAGATTCTGGGGAAGAAGGCGACTAGGTAGCAAGCACTAAGCAGGAGGGACAAGACCACACTGGGATGCGGCTCCGTCCATAACATGCCAAGCACATCACCCGTTCATCAATTTGATATCAGCCAGCCCCGCACTAACCATAAACGGACAGGCAAGCGAACCCCTGAGGCCGTGCGCTGGCCCAAAGCAGGCCACGGTTGGGTCACATTACAACGTCAACTCAACCGCCAGTGCTGTTACTACGAGACTCCAACCGTCAATATCTCCCACCACCCATCGATTTTCATCAAGAAAATACGTTTACGCGCTTTCGCATGACCAGAGCTATCGGCATATCCTAATTTTGCGACCCTTCTCCCATGGTCATTGCCGTATTCGCGCCCCAAAGTTCGCATGACTAGGTACGGGGGGATGGGGAGGACGCGCCCAAAAAAGCTCACCTCAAAGGCCTCAATCCCCATTGTTCGTGAGGATGAGATCGACATCATCGAAGATGAAGTCCAGAATTCCCTACAACAGATAGAGACCGGCGTTGAGAAGGCTGAGGAGTCGGTCAGTTTTTCCCCCCGACTAAATTTTAGCCACCCCTGCATATGTCACGTGACCTAATCCCAACCTCACCTCATGGTGAAAATTTCGTCGTTAGCAATATTGGACCCCAAACAGCGCCTGCTAACACTATTCTGTATAGGAATTCCATCTGCAAGCCGCTATCAACGCGACTGCTCAAGGAAAAGTAAATGAGGCGCACATCCCCACACCAGAAACCGTCCTCAGTAATCTCCGATATGACGAGCTCTACCCCCCAATCTTCTCACAGCCAGCGACGTACATCCGCTTCTCCTCGACAGTCGAGGATTGTTGCGGATGCCCATATAACATGACTGAAGAGGATGATGTCTTCCTCAAGATCAGGAACCAAAAGCGGGATGCGTCAGCTCAGTGCACTGAGGACCAATTCGAGGAAGTTATGTACTTTTTCGAAGAGACAGCGCAGACGAAGCAACCGTTCGCAGCTGTAGATAATCCTCCCGTTCTGAGCTTTGCTGAAATGCAAGAGTCGATGGACGCAACCGTAGAAGAGAGCGTCAAGCGATTCGCCAAGGACATATATGACCACTGGAAGGCGCGAAGGACCACTGCCGGCAACCGATCGCTTCTTCCTAACCTCAAGGTAAGCATCGCGTGGCTTGCGGTATTGTTAAGTAGCTTCGTGGCTGACTTTTAGGACAGTTCGAGACCGGACAAGATACCGATGACACAGACCCATACGTCTGCTTCCGTAGGCGGGAAGTCCGTCAGATTCGGAAAACTCGCGGCAGAGATGCTCAGAGTGCCGATAAACTTCGCAGGCTCAGAAAGGAGTTGGAAGACGCTCGACAGCTGGTTGCCTTGGTGCGCCAGCGCGAGTTGGCAAGGAAGGAGATGCTCACGATGGAGCGCCAGATCTTCTTGCAACGCTCTGAGGTGAAGGAGATGAAGAGGAAACTCAACATCAAAGACGATGATGAAGACCTCATCAACCAGAAGGTAAAGTCCACAAATGCGTCAGTCCAGTACTGGCCCGCTAACTCATCGAGCAGCCAAAGAAGAAACCAACAGAGGCGCCAGCAGTGCAGCGGCCAGCCGCCCCTCAGCTCCGGATGCCACCCAAGCCTGGTACCCAGGCAGCCGAAGATTTGCAACTTCTAGAAGATGTCCAGGCAGAGAAAGAGAACGAAATCTTGCGGGACATCAAACAGAACATTGCCAAGCACATCAAATGGAACGAGGGCTATGTGGACCTCACAAGAGCACCTCTCTCGCCGCCTCCGGAGAAGACCTTCCAGGCTGCATTCCGTCCCGCAATCACCACCCAGTTGCCGACTCCTCCATCTTCGGATTCGTCCGACAACATGATGTTGGACACCGCTTTAGATACTACCAATGCCCTTTCCTTCCGAGATAAGCTAGTCCCTCGTACATGGGAGATGAATGAGGACACCAGCAGGATACCGTCGTTTAGGAGGCGTATTGGGCGTGGCGGTCGCTTATTTATCGATCGTCGAAACCTGGTGTCGCGCTGTAGAGTCGAGATGGATCCGCTGAAGGCTGACCGATTCAAATTCGATCGGGAAGATTCCGATGAGGAGTCAGACTTCGAATGTGATCAGTACGATATCCAGATCATGCAACACCGTGCTATCATGGCGGCTAAAGCGCGAGATCAAGCGGCAGCTGCAGCTCAGGCGCAGGCGGCACATGCACAAGCCCAGGCTCAAGCGCAAAGAAGATTGCAAGCTGAGCAAACCGCGGCTAGTAATGGACCTGCCAACGTGGGGCAGACAATGGGGTCAAATCCAGGGCCTGGTGCCGTGGCCACCACAACGTGAGATATGAGCTGGGCTTTTATTCTTCTCCCTTTCCCTTGATGTTTTCTTTCTCTTTTTTAATCTCTCCCACTCATATCTTGCATTTGGCGGGCGTTTTTGATTCCCTTGTTTTTCTCTCTTATGCCCTTCACCCTCGAGCCTCCCTTGTACTTGTACGTTTACCTCTTTTCCAGCACCTTGGACTCACGAACCGTCACCTCACCACCCTTGCCTCAACCATCCCCCATTTTCAGAATTGTGAGCCTCAAATCACACCAAGATGGCTGCAAACGAAAACTCGTTATGATACAACCCTGGGGTTCGCGCATGTTAGTGTACATAGCCTGTCTTCCTTTTCATTTTTTGCTCTCGAAACCTATCAGTCGATAGACTCATGTACGGATAGCCGATCGATGATGCCAGCAACGAACAAAAACAACAAATAATATCACATCTTAGAAAAAGAGGCCAGAGCTCTTTTATGTCGGCGATGTATAGGTGCGAGTTAGATGCAAGGTTCAGTTCTTGGCTGTCTTGGATCTCCTGGAGTCTCCGTTCTCGTTATCGGCGGGCCGCTTCAGTATAGATGCTCCGTTGGTCTCGGCGGAATTTCCAATGAATTCGTTGAGCATGTTGAATAGAGTTTGTATGATTTCCTTTTCTCCGATGCGGACCTGGATGGCCATCTTCTGTCGGCGAGCGGATGAGTCCAAAGGATGAGAGGCTTCAGACTGGTTCAATCGGGAGAGGATTTCCTGATCTTGCTCGATAGTGGTCGCGTACTGTTTCCCCTTGAGTTGGATACACTTTAAGAACAGGCTTGCCTCTGGTTGGCCGAAGGATGGCTTGGGAGGTTTGCTCTTGGACTGCTGATGCGAAAATTGCTCTGGCGACAGGGTCAGAGTCTTCAAGAGCAGGATTAGCTCATCAGGGAGAATATCTGCCAATGGGTCTCCAGGAGACGGCCTAGGAATAACATAGCCATCGTCAAGGAGTTCCAGGTCCTCTAAAAATTCGAGCTATGTTCAAAGTCAACCATCATGTCACGGATACCGTCGGGATCCAGGAGGTGGAGCAGAGGGTAAATACCCGAGGCTGATTTTCGATATCAGCGTTTTCAAGACCAGCAGAGCGACAGATCTGGTCCAGAGACGCTTCAATCACATCGTATGGAGCATAGTTATCCGTTACATAACCGTAGCGCCTCAGGAGGTCGGAGCGGGGCAATTCTCCGTAGTCATTGAAGATCTCATCTCCCGCCGCGATAGGCTTGATAGCTTTCATGACCAGAGAGTCCTCTTCCTGAAAGAGGCGTGCCTAGGAAGATGATGAATATTATGGCAGAGGGAGTGGTGTTGAAAATGGACGTCCTTACATTATTTCGATCCGCATCCGCGTTGAGGATGTCTGCCAATGGCACCATGCCTTTTGACGACTGGTCCTCTTCCTCATCGGTCATATAACCGTCTTCACCCTCGTTATCTTCATCATCCTCATCATTGACCTTCTCAATGTCAAAAGCATAAGCCATGATAAGGGATCCCATGACGTGAGCGAGACCCAGCAGAGCTTGGGTACCGGCCTCGCCCTCCCATGAGCTGAGACCCTGAATCGGCGGGAAGAGGGAAGGATTCGCCTTTACCACTGGTGCAATCATTTGGAGAATGGACTCTTCAGCACCTTGCCTCCCAATCTTGTCGACAATCGCACTTCCCTGAAGCTCCTGTAGTTCGGCGGGGGACCAAAACATTAGAGTGTCGAAATTCTCTGGGAAGATTCTGTAGTACGGTGCCCAGGCAGACTGCTCTCGTAAGAGATATTCATAGATCATAACCAGCATAAGAGAGAGCCATGGCCCCAACTCTCCCAAATCTTGAGAAAGCAGACTCTTCAGCTTCGAATTTTCCGTCGAGAGAACTAGATCGCGGGGAATGGAGAAAAGTTCTTCGCCTTCGACGATAGCCGATTGTGCCACTGATGATAAAAAGAGAGTCAATCAGAGAAGGTTCAAGATCAACGAGCAATGTTATTCTTCACTCGACAGTTTGGAACGCAATGCATGCAGCAAAATCCTTGCCATGAGTGGGCCACTTACCTACACCTCTCCCGGCAGACTGTGATCTTAAATCAGCGATGCGAATCTTCGGACTGATTCTTACACCCGGTCTCTGAGCCAGCCATGTGATAAACTCATCTGACTGACGCTGGAAGCTGTCGGAATCAGGAAAGTGGGCTGTAGAAGACATTCTGTGACCGATGAAGAATGTTGTGGACTGTGCGTGGGTGGAGTACCCCCCGAGAAAAGAGTAAGACGGAAAGACGATCTTTTAGAAGGAAAATAGTCAGAACAAAACGAGGGAGATGACCGCAGAGTAACCCAAGACGACAATGAAGAGATGAGAGCCGTCAGGACAATAATGTGCTGTTGTGGGAGGAGAAAAGCATGGAGTGGGTTCTTGGTGCTAGTGAGCTGGAGCAGGTGGTTAGTAGTTTAGCAGTATAGTAGCATTTGTTGTATACCCCGTCGGATAAACGCAGCCGCCGTGTCAAGCCGCTACCCGCCCACCAATCGATAACGCTCCTGATAAAAAAAGAAGCGAATGGATTGCCCCTCTACAAGACGAGTTTCCCATAACGATTTGTAGCCGTCGATCTCAAGAAGAAATTGAAGTGTATTTTCAGTGAAGAATTGGAACATTCGGATCCCTTCGCATAATAATCCCCTGCGCCATGATTGCCATCGGACTCGAAGGCTCCGCCAACAAGCTTGGCGTGGGCATCATGTTGCATCCCGAGGATGGCAGCACCCCGCAGGTCCTTGCTAACATTCGTCACACATATGTCTCTCCTCCTGGCGAGGGGTTTCTCCCCAAGGATACTGCCCGGCACCATCGCGCGTGGGTAGTGAAGCTTGTAAAGAGAGCACTCCGAGAAGCTCGCGTGTCTGTTGACGATGTGGATTGCATCTGCTTTACCAAAGGCCCCGGCATGGGTGCTCCTCTCCAAAGTGTCGCTGTGGCTGCCAGGACGCTCAGTCTTTTATGGGGGAAGGAATTGGTCGGCGTGAATCACTGTGTTGGACGTATGTGTCACCGCTGATCCCACTCCCCTGTCACTTCGCTGGATGCTCCCGCTTGTCTAAACGATCCGCTAGCTTTCACCATTCAGGCTTTAATCGTGAGGTCGGCAAGCTAACAAACCACTCAGACATTGAAATGGGCAGACTGATCACGGGCTCGACCAACCCGGTCGTCTTGTACGTCTCGGGAGGCAATACACAGGTCATCGCATACAGCTCGCAAAGGTACCGGATCTTTGGTGAAACGCTCGATATCGCCGTGGGCAACTGCTTGGACAGATTCGCCCGCACATTACACATCTCCAATGACCCTGCACCGGGGTATAACATCGAACAACTAGCCAAGAAGGGTAAACAGTTGGTCGACCTACCGTACACGGTGAAAGGAATGGACTGCTCCTTTTCGGGAATCCTCGCCGCGATTGATGGATTAGCAGCCTCATACGGCCTGAATGGAAAGGAGAAAGAGGAAGAGGAAAAATTAGTGGCTTTATCAGATCCAGCAACATCAGAGGCAGTTGAAAACGTCAAGCCCACTCGCGCGGACCTCTGCTTTTCCCTGCAGGAGACAATCTTCTCCATGCTTGTGGAGATCACTGAGCGCGCGATGGCGCATGTTGGTTCCAAGGAAGTCCTAATAGTAGGCGGTGTGGGTTGCAACGAGCGATTACAGGAGATGATGGGGATCATGGCTCGGGATCGTGGAGGAAGCGTTCATGCGACGGATGAGAGATTCTGTATCGACAACGGAATCATGATCGCCCAGGCGGGCATGCTTGCCTACAAGACAGGTTTCCGTACTCCACTAACAGAGTCAACCTGTACGCAGCGATTCCGAACGGACGGTGTGTTTGTGAAATGGCGAGATTGATCTTAATCATGGACATAATAATGATGCAGATCGCTTTGTCTATGATGTTTATGACTATCAATCAATCATTAATACCCCTGTGCTCTAGTACAGGAATTCTACAATACCTACAAAGCAAATCAAGACTCACGGCAATTCTAGCGGGTGGCTATAGAAAGACAATTTGGTGATTCTATCTTGAGAAAGAGGTTTGCAAATTAGCGATGCTTCGGACAGCGATGGGGGTCGCATAGTCATCGCCTCTAGTTTCGACCAAAGAATTGCGAAAGAAAAGGACCGACAGTACAGACAAGAGAGCCTGATAAAAGGCGCCGCAAGACGATGATTTCCAAAGCCAAATCTAGGAATGAAGTTACAAAATGATCTCGAACATGACAATGGCAATAGATCGCGTCCATGGGAACTGTGAGATACCGGAACGTTCAAAAATACAGTGCATACAATACACAAGTTCGGCCAAACTGTCATTCATCCAAGACTAAACCGTAGCTGTTCTGGAGTGTGATTTCGAAATGATGATCTTGCATATGTGCATCTATCGAGGAATATATGGCCATGAATATTATAGACGTGGGATCGGATTCTTCCATGCCTAAGCAAACTTTTCTGGACGACTCAGCGTGAGTCAAATCGCGCAGAGTATAGGTAAGGATCGCTGACGGGGAGCGCTCAGGGTCTCAGGCCCAACCCCATTGTGCGAAGCTAGCGGTATCACCGAGTATGATTTATGTATGGCATGCAAGACTGTGATGCAGACGGATATTCAATGCTGAGACTAGCCCGTGATATGGCTGGTTGGTTTGTACAAGATTGTCGTAACATACTGCGCGACATTGCGTCAAATACTGGGTTGGCTGAAACATTGGCGGGAAAGCTTACCTTCCGTTTGTACCTAGTTGTGGCACTGGTGGCAAGCACTCCATTTTTGATGCTGCTGGTTGCAAGGTGGTTAAGAACTGTATGGTTAGGATAATTGAGAACACTACTATCGTCCTTCATCGGCGTAGTGCCGTTCAGGATTGACTTTCCAAGGAAGAGAGGGAGACTCGGCGGTGTTGGGGTATCACCGATCACATTAGCAGCTTGCTGATATTCAGGACTGTCTTCCTCCTTATCCAAATCGACAAGAAATTGAGGGATGATGGTTTGAAAGTCCCCAAGAATAATCTCCTCGGGTTCTTCTTTGTCAGACTGGTCCTCAACATTGGTACGCTCAGATCCGATGGGGCCAGGAAGTACTTGAGGAGGATGCACCCCAGAAGGCACCGCACTTTTATTTGTCCGCTCGCTCTCCCTGCGCGATCGGTTGATATCGTCTGCGCTGACTTCAATGTAATTGACCAGGTGATTAGTAAAGTCCACTGCAGTTGGCAAAGTGTCGGAAGCCCGCATCTCGCCATCCACGATGAACTTCAAATGATGTGTACCGGGCCGCAAATTCAACGTTGTCGACATGACCCCTGGGTTATTTTCACTGTCCACAAGTATGTCTGTCAGCACTCGTCGACGGGACATGATCATCTTTCAAGCGGCCGGAGAGAATTGCAATTAAGCAGGCAACAAAACCAAACAGAAAGGCAGAATGCTGGAAGACAACACACAACACAATGATAACAGAGGCTGTTTCAACACTGGCCGTTGTAGGTTTCGCAAGAGACACGACAGCAGACGGAATGTAACGTACTTTCTGTGCAAACGGTACTTCTTTTCCCAATTGACGAAAGTTCCTGTAACGTAGACCTTATCTCCGGGAGCGTTCCACTCTATGGTCGTTGGGACAGCCCTGCCGACACCACTTGGGGTGTACGGCTCGAGCTCGTCCAAAGTCTCCTCATCATCAACGGCCGTATTGCTTATGCCAGGATTGCCTTGGTCAGCCTGCTCTCCAAGTGGACGATCGCCAGAAAGGAAACCAATATGTGAATCTTCCGGTCCGATGATCGGCGAACCCGGAGTAGCTGTCGCATCACCGATGGGGAGGGGCAACCGAGGCGGACGCTGGAGGTGCGTGGATGCACTGTAATATGTATTGAGAGGCGGGGCAGATGGTGCTACAGTCGGATCATCTCTGGAAGCAGCCCGAGCGACTGGTACCTGGACAGGGTTGGACGGGTCTGGGGAAGAGATCTCCCTCGACGAAGGCTCTGTTTTCTTCGCATCATGTCGGTCCTGCCGATCTGGATTTCCTCTGGGCGCGTCCGTGATATTGCGCGATTGCAGGCGTTGTTGAACCGGAGTTTGCGTGGGTGTTGCCGGATGTCCAGTTGCGGTCTCGGTGGAGGGGGTGGGACCAGCCGCAGTCGCTTTTGCTGCGCTGGAGATGGCATTCGTTGAAGTACGGCGATACACCTTTTTATCACCTGCTGAAGCCGTCAAATGCGAAGACCCCGAGTTTGGCGGTCCATCTCCGGAAGGGCCCTTGGAAGGATTGTTGCCCATCTGCGGCGTAGAGCGGACTAAACCGAGGGGCTGTGAACGGGGGGAGAATGAGGGGGAGGAGCAAGAAGCAGCTACTGTAGGTTAGAATGCCAGCATGAAAGCGCCAGCCTCAAGGGGCCGTATGACGATCAAATAAAAAGTAAAAGGGAGTCAAATAGATTGCAGTAGCCAAATGCGATGGGGATGCAAACTGGAAAGATCCACTTCGAATGAGTCCGTCTCAATCTAACATTGAATCAATGGCATCTCACGGCGTTTGATGATGTCGACAACGGTTGCTCCGGAGTTTACCAGAAATGTCTAACTAGGGCTTAGGGCTATTGTTCCTCTCTGGAGAGGCCATCGTAAACGGTATAGCTTTGATGCCGCTACACTCTCTGGGGCTACACTATACTAGATAGGGTATAGTGGGATGATCTTCCAGCACTAAAAGTCTAAAACAGCAACCGGAACTGGGCCTCAGGCTCCACCAGGAGATTACATCAGTTACTTTTGATGTAGTCCATGCCTCCATGGCTCTACGCAACGCAATGTTCTGCTCCCAAAACAAGCATCATCAACAGCAACATCCAAGTCATTATGCTTCCTGATTTTGTGATGTGCTCGTTGATATATTAGAGAAAAATATAATGGCGTGGGCCCCAGCAATTGCGATTCTCCTCTCATGGATTACATATCCGTTCACCTTTCTGCTTTACTTTGTATATGGACTTCTCCAGCTGTTGGTCACGCCATTATTGAAACTGGCGTCTGGGATCACCAAGCTTGCTTTTCTGCCTCTTCGAGTCCTGGCGAGATTTGAGGTATGTATATGGCTGTCGCCTTTTGATGAAATGTCATCGGCCATGCAGCGTATGGACATGGGATGTGAGACTGATTTGGGTTGCAGCCGTTACTCTTCTTTCTCGGGTCGGCTTTGATCGGTGGTCTGGTACTGGGCTCAATCCTGAATTTCTCCTGTGATTTTGTCGTCGAAATATTCAACCAGTCACTAGGATGGACGGGCACTTCAGATAGTCGCTGCGAACCGAGGGGCAAGGCTCCATTGGATCATCCCAACAAGACAGCGAAGAGGATGACCCCCATCCCAGGAGAATCAAGCTCTTCTAGAAAACCCCTGATGGGATGGCCTGAAGTGGAAGATATTACATCAATTGGCAATGGAAGAGACCTTTTCTCATCCACTACTACTATTTTGGAAGAGGAAGAATATAGTCAGGACTCATTTGAACAGTATTAACTTATAGCCCACTTTCGCTTATTCCAATATATATATTAGGCCGTTCACCATAGATGAAATCGACATGGGTAAGCCGGATCGATCCAATTCTGAGAATAAGCAACTGGGGCTATGGGCCTTGAACCCTGTGTGCAGGGACCATCTCATCTGGGGTATACTCACTTAAATCCAACAACCTACAGTGAAAATAAGAATAAGACACAACTGAAAGCTACTGTAGTATATATATCACTTGGTTGATGGACCGCAAAGAGAGTCAATGACAGCAGTCATTCTCTCATCATCGTCAAAGTGGTGGGTCACAGTCAAACTTCCCGCGTCAACCAGTTTTGCAGATCAACGGAATCTTAATATTATCATCATCACTCCTCATTTCAATTTCCCTCGGTCTGATATCTTGTCCCTTGTCACTTTCTGTGTCTCTAGCAACGTTTGACTTTGCATTTTTCATTTTTATGTCTTCTTTATCATCTTCGAATTCATTCGTGTATAGTGTTTGTATATCAAGTTTATTACCTCTATAGTTTGCGCCTGTTCAGTTTGTTACCTGCCCACCACCACTCGACAGTGTTCCGTGATTTGCCTCAAATGCCTCCTTGGTCGTGCTGATTGGGAGCTCTCAGCATGTCAAGCGCTGCCACGGACTATTTCCACAGGTTTCGCGTCTTCTAGGTCTCTCATTCTGTACTACAGCGGGCGTGACCGTATGGGACCAGTGAGGAGTCGCCCTGGAAATCTGCCAGCTGGCGGCCATCCAAGCCCATCTACTACTCACATCTAAGCAACTATGCCGGTACGTCGGATATATTCGCGGGCGCGAACATTACTGCTGGCAGTCTTGCTTGCTTCTGTCCTCACCTGGTCTATTTCGCGCTGGCGACCCATCTCATCTACAAGTTTGGACCCAGCGGATAGCGAAACAACATCCAAGACCTTTGATGAAAGCTCTGCCTACCTCTATAGCGAGAGTATAGGTGTTCCGCACGACAAGAACGGCCATATCCATTTCTGGCGACAATTCCAGCCCCTTTTGGCAAAGTATCAGCCAAAATGTCTTCCGCCCTTGCGACTCGGCAATGCGCCGTCGATACGGTTCGAAGAGGCAAATCCAGAGGACCGCCAGGAGTATCTGGACATGCTACCAGACGAAGTTAAGGACATGAAGGACGCACACAGTGGATTTGTCAGTGATATCACGACCGACCTACCGCAACTACATTATATCCCCCACACGAGAGGTCTGGTTTCCACCGCGGGAGGCTCCTATTTACCTGTGCTGGTGATCTCCCTTCGAATGCTCCGGAAAACAGGATCAAAGCTGCCCGTGGAAGTCTTTCTTGCCAACCAAGAAGAGTATGAAGAGTACATATGCAACGTGGTTCTTCCCTCTCTCAATGCGCGGTGTGTGGTGCTTTCACATGTTCTCGATGCTGTGCCCAAGGTAATGCAGATCGAGAAGTACCAGTTCAAGCTCTTTGCCATGCTGTTTTCGTCGTTCGAAGAGATTCTTTTTCTAGATGCCGACGCCTTTCCGCTTGAAAAGCCGGAAATTCTTTTCAGTAACGAACCTTTTCGGACGAAGAACATGATTACATGGCCCGATTTCTGGGCCGACACTGTTTCGTCGTATTACTATGAAATCGCATCGAATCCAATGCCTCCGCATACCATCCGGCAGTCGAGCGAGTCCGGAGAGGTCCTCATATCGAAAAGGACTCATGCGAGAACCCTCCTTCTCAGTACCTACTACAACATCTGGGGTCCAGAATACTACTATGCTCTGCTGTCGCAGGGAGCGGCTGGAGAGGGGGACAAAGAAACATTTGTCGCTGCGGCTCTGACGATGGAAGAACCCTACTATCAAGTGAGCGAACCCATCGTTGCCATCGGCCACCGTACCAAGGACGGACTTGCCGGCTCTGCAATGGTCCAATTCGATCCCGTGGAGGATTACGCTCTGACACAGAAGGGGACATTCCGTGTCCATGGCTCACAAGCACCCGCGCCGCGCGCTTTCTTCATCCATGCAAACTTCCCCAAATTCAACCCTGCTACAGTCTTTGAGAAACAAGCCGTAAACCCGACATTCAATGATGACGGCAGCTATACGCGCGCCTGGACAATTCCCAAAAAGGTCATTGCGAATTTCAGCAGCGATGTGGAGAAGCAATTCTGGAAGGAGATCCTGTGGACCGCTTGCGAACTCGAAACGAAGTTTAGGTCTTGGAGTGATCGTCAGGGTATCTGCAAAAGAGTAAAGGACTACTGGAATGCGATGTTTCCGACGCAGTCGAAAACGTGACGAAGTGCCAGATTCGTCAAAATAAAGAACTTCAGCTCAGTCTCTTACCTCTCTCCTATGACTGCCGGTTTGCTAGTCGGTCACCGCAGACTCCTCAATTCGCGAGGACGTACATATCACTACAGGTATATAGACCCTAGAATCGACGCTAGAGACCTGATACCTGGGACGGCTATGGCAGGATTGCATGGCATCGAGTGCGGTTCGCCATATATTTACGCATACATAGACTTGGCTACGATTTCAAGATTTCCTCTCACGCAACACCCAAGGACTACGAAATATTGGAATATGCTGTCTGAATAGCATGCTCGCGTCTTCTCTATTGGCCTTGGGGGGGCAGTTTGGATGCCCAGAGACATTATCCTGCAAGTACATCTCAAAATTCCCGCATATAAATAATCTACATATAGCATTTGTAGTTACTATCAATTCGTGATCTTGTATTCGACGTATACATGATCTATTGTACAAGAGTTGATTTTTTTGGTCTTCTACATTATCATACAAAAAAATCGTACAGAGAGGGCGCGAACATCACCGCCTCCAGGCGCTCTACTTCCGAGCCAATCCAACATCAAGACCTGTCTCATCCGCCTTCTTAATGGCATCTGCAAACAGCTCCTTGCATCGGACCTGGCTGCCCAATCTCGCACAGAGCAGGAACGCTCCGCTCAACTTCCGGTGCAGACTGTACGTCTCCTCAGGCGGGGGCACCAGCCGCTCCCGAATCATGACGGGGATTAACTCCCGGACTCGGTCCGTAATAGTCTGGTCGCGGAAATCGTAGACGTCGGGGGAAGAATCCATGAAAGGTTCCGCCAGGGTGAGGATGGAGGCGACGTGGGCGTCAACCATCGCCTTCGATTCGTGGCCGGTTAGATAGCCCAGCTCAATGGAGAGACGGTGGCAGCTGTCGCGGTCATCGCGGGAAGCGGCGATAAGCGTGCGGATGTACTTCGAGATGAAGTCCACGGGATACTCGCGGGACGCACCGAAGTCGAGGAGTTCCAGCCGGTTTGTCTTTCCGTTGTAGAGAAAGTTGGTCCAGTTGGGGTCTGTTTGCATGAACCGGAACTCGGTAATTTCGCGAAGGCACAGGCGTAGGATTTGTGTGCCGATCCAGTCTCGTTGCGCTTGGGTGAAATCCTGGACCTTGGTGACGGCGATGCCCTCCAAGCGCTCCATGGTCAAGACCTGCTTGCTCGAGGCCTCCGGGATTATTTCCGGAACCAAGAAGACGGGGTCATCCTTAACGAGTTCTTTGAAACGATTGCCGCACTCGGCTTCCCGGATGTAGTCGCATTCCCAGCCGAGTTCGGTCCGAGCGTTCGCGATGGTTTTGTCCAAGTAAAGACCGCGAGGGAGAAGGCGCGATGCCGTGAGAAGAATCGACAGGTTGTTCAGGTCGGAGTCGATAGAATCAGCGACACCTGGATACTGGACTTTGACGGCTACTGGCTGACTAGTGCTCTTGAGCACCGCTCCGTGCACCTGTCCTATCGAAGCTGCAGCCATGGGGACCTCATCAAAAGAGCTGAACAAATCCCGCCAATTGGGCCCGAGGTTATCAGCCAGAACCTTATCCCGTTGTGATGCTGGCATATAGTCTGCTCGATCCTGCACTCGCTGGAGTACTTGGTGAATCGCCTCAGGAAGCATTTTGTTGTCTAGAGGACGTTAGCAGCTACTCGAAAGCAAGGATGAAGCCGACCGGAATACACACCCTGGAAGCTTAACATTTGCCCCAGTTTGAGAGCGGCACCCCTCATTTTTGAAAGTTTGGCAACCAGACGTTCCATATTCCCTGCACTGAACATGAGCGATCCAGTGTCTTGCTGACTCCCGGTCACCCTTCGCAGGCTTTCGCCGACAGCACCGAAGGCCATTGAAGTGGCAAGACCACCATACTGCCACAATCTCCCCAAGCGGGAGGACGGAACGCGGGATTCGGTCATCATGTAAGTGTCGCCTCTGTTGAGCTCCGCTGCAAGCTGTTGGTCTTCCTGCATTGGAATGAGTAATGCGTTTGAATTTCCTTGGTGGCTGTGGTACGTACCAGAGTCACATCCTCAGCAATGCTGGCCCCAATCTTCTCCATATCTTCCTTCCCCGCCTGCTTGCTTTTCTCGGTGGGAGCTGAAGCCGTATCGGTGTTGGAAAGGGCTGCCGAAGGACCCTGAAGTCTCCGGTCTGCACGGTTCATACTGGTAGCTGGTTTCTGCGAGAGCATCCGGGCAACCCTGGGACTGTGAAAAATATCCTTCATCACTTCATCTGGCACATCCTGTCGGTCCGTGGCGGTCGCAACTTCGGAGACTGGCCTCTCGGTGTCAATGGGAGAGTGAAACACGTCCGCATTGACAGCCTTGTCAAAATTGACCTCGGTGTTATTGGCAGTTTTCGGCAGCTTCACCCTGGGAAGCCCCGATAACCCAGGAGTCGACTCCCGGGACGGCCGGTAGAATACATCCTGCTGTTTGCTCACATTCAAAGGCGATGCGCTGTCACTTCCAGTATGTTCCGCCGCAGAAGATGGAATTTGAAACTCGGCTTGTCGTTGAGCTTTCTTTGCCTCGTCTGGCGAGAGGGGCACCGAATTCGTTCCCGCATGGGGCTCGGGTGTGGTTGAAGTCTGGGTTTGGGGAGGAGCGGATTGAGGCGGTGAAGCTTCGTTAAACCGCTTTGCCAACGCAGCGGCAGCTTGAGCTGTCAGAATTAGTCCCTCAGTCTGCCTTTGAATCCCCTTGGTGAGGGACGAGGTCCTGGTGAAGACATCTAGTTGCCGTTGACGCAACACCAGATGTTTCGTCGCAACCGATTTAGCGACATCGAAAAATTGGATAGCGTCCAACAGACGCTTGCCTGACATAATATAAGATGTATAAAGTCAGCTGAAGCCTCCTGTCTATCGTGATCGCATGATGGATGTGCAATTGAAGAGTATACTAAGCAGCAAGTACCATGTCCACCAGCGGAAAAGCCATCGGAAGCTTCGCTCGTGACAATTGCCCGATTGGTTCCGTTCTGCCCACCTCCACCGCCGGAGCCGGAGAGCTCCGACAGCTCGCTTAGTTGGGAGTTCTTATCAGTACATCAAAGTTCACTTAGTGTGGAGGGAAGATAAGAAGCCTGCTGGTGACGATGGCGAATCTTGTTTTGACTTCTTCTCCTTCTCCTTCTCCTTCTCCTTCTTCTTCTTCTTTCTCTTCAAGTGCCATGTTCCTGTCGCGTAAAAGAATGCCCGAATGGTCGGAAAGAACAACACCCAAGACTTAGAGAAAGAGATTGCCGATCTCGAGTATCGTTTGCGCGACGCCCAGACCCGCCTCGCATTAGTCTGTCCCCAGGACGACAAGGGGTTGTCCTCAGCAGTGTCCAATGGTCCGTGAATAACAACCCCGCAGATCCTCAACATTCTCATACATGAACTCAACGCTGACCATTCCCAGTAGACATTCCATGCCCTCCACCCAACCATGCGTTGTTTCTACTGTCAGACTCTGCCCTCCCACTGGGCTCGTTTGCGTACTCTAGCGGTCTGGAATCGTACTTGTCCCACCACAAGCCTCTACCTCGCTCGGTGACCACAATCGCCTCCTTCCACCGCTTTCTCAAACTCTCTATCGCATCGATCGCAAGCACTTCCCTGCCGTATGTCCTTGCAGCGTATAGAAACCCCGAGGATCTCGAGACGCTGGACAACGACCTAGATGCATCGACACCCTGTATCGTGGCGCAACGGGCGAGTATCGCTCAAGGAAGGGCATTGCTTGGCGTTTGGGAACGGGCTTTCCGAACCTTCTATGCCTCGGCATCCTCCAGGGGACCGGCTGCCGTGACGGCTGTGAAAGCCATCGAGGATTTCTCCGATGCGCTCAAGTCTTTTATTGGCAATGTGGACGAACTGGGGCCGAAGGGCCATCTTGCACCGCTGTGGGGCATTGTATGCCTGGCTATGGGTGTGGATCTCCAGCAGACGGCGTATATCTTCGTGTTGAACCATGCGAAGGCTATCCTCAGTGCTGCAGTTCGTGCCTCTGTGATGGGACCTTATCAGGCTCAAAGTGTCCTGGCCAGCAAGGCCTTGCAAGACATGATTACCCAACGTATAGACCGAGAATGGCACACGGCAGTCGAAGATGCCGGCCAGGTTGTTCCCCCACTTGACCTCTGGGTAGGTCGACATGAGCTTCTCTATAGCAGAATATTCAATTCATGATATTCTCGAATTTTATACATTGTATTGAAAACAAGGATCTTCCGTAAATTGAGATGGCGTGATGAGGGGCAATGAATGCCCGTTGAGCATGTTGAATTCATTATCCTTTTCACGTCCATAACATCTAACTCATCCTACATCGCCCCTTCCCACCTCCCAGGCGCTATTCGGAACAGAGAAGCGGGTATCCAAGCAGCTTTCTCTCTCTTCGAGAAAAAAAGTATGACACGAATGAAAGGGAATGAAACAAAAATAGGCACATCCGAGACCAGATACCCACCTTGTCTGGTCCGATCGTCATGCAGTGCAAAAATTGCACGGACAAAGTGGTAATATCAAATCAAAACGCCGACCTCTCTGAAACCCTATCCTGCTAAACCTTGAGTAACAAGAACACCACACCATGAGCCATCCATGACTGTATAAAGAGGACAAAAGAAAAAAAGAAAGGAAAAAGGCCAATAAAAAAGTTAGAGAGAAAGAGGTAGATCGAGAAGGGCAAGTGAAGACTATAGTACAAGAATGTAAGTTTCGGTGAGTTCACCATGGTTGAACTGATCAGAGGGTGATATGCATATGGTCAGAGTTTCCAAATGACTTGTTGCAATTGGGACATTTCCGAGATCGAGAAGTGAGGCGTTCTTCGACGCATTCCTTACAGAACACATGGCCGCATGTCTTGATCGCTGTATTCTTGAAGTTTCTGCGACAAACAGTGCAAAGGGCCAGGCTCTAAAGAGGCAAAAGTTAGCTTCACAAACCTCGAAAAAGGTACAAGACAGGGAAACCCATACCCTCAGCATTTCATATTCGGATGACGAATTCCCAAGGCTCTTGTTCTTCCAATTGTCGAGACTTCTCTTGGTTTCCGCAAGTGTCACCTTCAAGCTTTCAATCTCAGTCTCGGCTTTGCGACAGGCGCTTGAAGTGCTTGCCAAAGTTGAATCTTTCGACACTGAGAGTGATTTCAACTCGTTGATCTGGCTTTTGAGGCCATCAATGACAATATTGTTCTCTGTTATCTGCTGCTGCGCAGCGTGATTCTTGCCAACTATAAGGTTTAATGCGTCCTTGGTTTCGCTGGCCTGCTTCTCCATATTTGCGAGTAAAGAACGAGTGGTGGCTTCTGACTCCTTCAGCTGTGAGACAATATCAGAAGTTTTCGAATTTTGTATGCGTAGTGTTCGAACTTCCAGCTCTCGTGCCTCCTTGCTTTTCATTGCAGCGAAGTACTTTTGGTCTGCTTTCGACTTCTCGGCAATCAATCGGGCCACTTTCTCTTCCAATGCGCTGAAATCCGTAACCTTTTGCGACGCTAAAGAGGAGTACTTTTTGCATGCGGTCTGCATCGAGGCCAGCTCAGTATTGAGCATGGAATATTGACGCTCCAAATTCTGGTATTTCGCGCGAAGTTCCTCCATCGGAATGTCGTCAGCCGTCGCCTGTGTGGTCTTCGCGTTGTCGATCTGTAAACGAAGTCTTTCCACCTCACTTTCTAGTGCAGTAATTCGAGCCTGTCCAGCATCCGCAAGTTCCTGAACTTTAGCGGTAGCTGTTTTTTCTTGATCCTGTGCAGCCTTGCGCATCTGCTGGTCGGCGAGAAGTTCATCTCGAGCATTTCGGATTCGAGCAAGATCGGTCTCTGCCCGCATCAACTGCGCTTCCTTCTCAGCAATAACACTCCGTGTTTCCTCATCAATTTGGTTCCTGTATGCGGTTCGTTCGGACCGTAACTTGGCAGCCTCCTCCCGTAACTGTATATTTATGGCCTCCAAATGATTGATACGTTTCACGACGTCATCGTATTGAGACCGCAGCTGCTTGAACAAATCCGTATGGGCATAATCATCGTCGGTAGGTTTGGAGCGCTAAAGTGCGAACAATCAGTAAAGAGTGGCAATACTCAACCTACTAGGAACTGTACCTTGATATTGAGCTCTGTAATCTGGCTGAGCAAACCTGCGTTTTCAGTCTCTAGTTTCTGTAACTGTTCTTTCTGCTTCTCCGAGACAGCAACGAGTCGTTTGTGCGTTTCCTCCAATTCAAGGTTGCGTTCTGCACCAGAGGCACCATTAACAGGGGACTGTTCTTCACGATGTCCGGATGCGCTGTCTCCGCCGGGTCGCTGGGCGCCTAAGATATATTGTTTTTCTAATTTCGCTACCGTCAAACTTCGTGCGCGGTCGAGTTTCTTTTCGGCCACCATGTACCGCAATGATGCGGCCTCCAGGCTTTCTTCTAACTGCTGTTTTTCTGCTAAAGCTTTCTCGAGCTCGGAAATGGTCGTCTTCTCCTGGGCCAATTTCTTCGCCAGCTGATTTTGCAAATCGGTAACCTCGGGTGGAGCCCTTGAAACACTAGATTGCAAACGAGAAATTATGTCACGAATATCATCTGACCGAGATTTAAGATGCTTCTCGAAGCTCTCCATATCTTCGAAGGATAAGGAGCTCTGGAATGAAGACTGCCCTGCAGAGTGGATTAGTCTACTGATCCTAGGGTATTCATGTAGGATAGAACACTGTATACCTCTCTCTTCATCTCCGGGTCCACCCAAAAGGGTTTTAATCTCATCAATTAACTGCCGCAATCAGACCCTGTTGCTGTGATTATGGAGATAAATATATGTGATAAACTCACCTGGTTAAACCAAGAATCAATTACGCGTAAATGGTCATTATGATAGGCCGTAGCTTTCGACATCTCCTTCAGTTTTGTCTCCAAAGAGGTCTTCTCGCGTTTGTATTCTTGCATCTGTCGCCATATTGCATCTTTTTGGAATCGCTGTCACAAAAAAAAGATCGGTTTCAGTAAGCATAGTGAACTTCAGATAGAACACGAGAAGACATGCAAAAAACCCCTTGCGGTGGGGCTGGTCCGCCAGGTATGGCCCCGGAAACTCACCTCTAAGTCGTCTTTCCAAGGCATATCGGCATCTGGATGAGGTTTGCTGCCACCATTGACAGAAGTGGCATGCTTCTTTAATGGTGGAGCGGAATCATTGTGATCATACGTGGCAGGTCTCTTCCGGTCTTCCATCTTGACGATACCAGACTCGGAAGATGCGACGGGGGATGCTTCGGCGGCCGGCATCAGTGGCTAGAAAGACATAAGTCGATGAGGACCGTCACCACTGAGCAGCAACGGACCGGGAACACAAGCCGCAAGCAGAATCCGACCGTGTAGTTGACAGCAAAATTTGGGTGACGTTGTTGAAGGGCGGGAAGTTGGTTGAGATAAGCAAGACTTAAGAAAGCCAGGAGGATTTTCGGCTTGGGAGGTTTAGCGTCGCCCTAGCGCCTCCCACGTGACCACGCCCACTTCCCCCCCCCCAAAGATCAGACGAACACCAGCATCTAGACTTCTGCATGTTATGACCTTCCGGAAGCTCTCGGTTTTCGTCGACTTATCCGATCAGCTTTATCACCGGCCTGCAAATTCTTGGCCCTGTTTCATCTCCAGCTATGACGAGCTGCGAGAATGAAGTCCTTCTCGAGTTCCGTTATCAGTGAGTGTGGCAGCTGGCTTCCCTATTCACAGTATGTTCTGACCGCTTCCGTCTTCCAGATAAATCGGGCAAGAAATTTGCTCCAAAAGCGCCCATTCGGCGCGCTCCTCCGGCTGCCTCTACCACCCCAGCACCACCCAGAAGACCTAGTATCGCTTCACAAGCACAAACTATACAAAATGCCCAATCCGCGATTGATAAAGCTTCTGCGGAGCCCGCGCCCTCTGTCCCAGTCATAGATTCCTCTGTTGCGCCCGCCGCCGATGTCCCACTAGCCGATGCCGAGTCATCCGTTGCCCAAGAACCCGATTCGGTACCACCTAAGTCTGCGGCAGCGATTCCCATTCCTCGTCCAAAGCGCAAGGCGTCCGTTTCTATATCAGTTGCTGGAGTGAGGGCCTCGGAACCTATCACGACCGTCCAACCTGTCCCTCCTGAACCAGAGACTCTCGGCTCCACACACAAACCTACGGGTCCGGTTGTGAATGAAGTTGACAAACAGGGAGAGGTCCTTCCGAGCGTAGAAGAGCCTCAAGGGCTTTCAACTCGCGATGAGATCGCGTTGCCCGAAGTTGTTCCTCAGCCACACACGCGGACCGAAAGTGCTACAGAAACACGCCCATCAAAGCGCCCTAAAGTGAACAAACGGCTATCGACGGTATCTGCAAGCTCTGACCACACACCTCACGTTATTACGCCCCCGTCCACTCAGACTCAGACTCCAGCAGTTGAGGAAGCCACTGGTATTGCGGAAGCACCACTCCCACCCACAACTGCGGATCAGAGTCGAAGAGCGTCTAAGTCGCGAAGTCGGAGACCAAGTCGCATTATCAACTCCGAAGATGCTGGTGATAAATCGAAAAAGAAGCCCCAGCGGTCGCGCAAAAAGCGCGAGCCAACTCCTGAAGGAGCGGATCTCATAGAAATCGCCCCTGCGGTTATCAAGATGTCGGAACTGTGCAAAGACTTACGGACAGGAAAGATGTCTAAGCGAGAAACAGAATTGCGCAATTTGGAGATTGCTGAACAAGAGCGCAAGAGAACACAACAGGATGGCGAAAGTCATGCGCAGACTCCTATCAAACAGAATACCGATGTCACCTCTCCAACAGCAGAAGCCGATATTCTCACTGATAAGAAGCCGCAGGCTGGTCCTGTAATGAGAATTGTGAATGGCGAGATTGTGCTTGACGCCGCCTCTCTTCAGGTTGATCGCCATGCAGACGCGGCAAGGAATGTGGGAGACTTGGAAGATGTCGTTGAAAGCTCTCTGACTCGGAAGATCAACCAGGCTACATATGGAAAACGGTCCAAGACGGAGTCATGGGATGAAGAAATGACGGACCTCTTCTACAGAGGCCTCCGGATGTTTGGTACCGATTTCATGATGATTAGCAAGCTGTTTCCTGGAAGATCGCGACGCCAAATCAAACTTAAATTCAACAACGAAGAACGACGTGCTCCAGAACGGATCAAAGACACGTTACTGGGTCCTCGGGAGTCTATCGACATCATGACCTATTCAGAAATGACTAATACCGTTTATGATGATCCCAAGGAGGTGGAGCAAGAACTCCTAGAAGAGAAGAAACGGATCGAGGAACAGCACGCGAAGGAAAAACAAGCACAGGAGGATTTGCTTCGTAATCCCAACGGGGCGATCGATGGCACTGCTGCGCCAGGCACAGATAACGCGAATAGCGTCCCAATAAAGAGCAAACGAAATAACAGGAAACAGGCGTTGAAGAATATGGGCGGTGGGACGGAAGAGGTTGTCGGCACGATTGATGACTTTCCTTAATTCGCAACTTTGTCGCAAAGGTCGGATATGAGTAGAGTGGATGGGTGTTCATGGCGTTCAGGAGTCTCTAATCACATGGTGATGGGCTGGGAATCAAACCTGTGACAACATTAGATGGGATTTTCTGGTCTTCCCTGCGGTTCCTGTGGTTTTGCTTATCATTGCCACGAAGGCTTTGTGCTATTAGTATCGAGGTTATGCCAGTCATACCATCAAGGTTAACCACTGGTAGAAAATTCTGTAAGAATCAAAAATCAACTATTCAATTGAAACAGCTCGGCCGTCATCTTCGTCTCGTGGAGCCGAATCCGGTGCCGGTGGTAGTAGCTGAGAATCGAGTCGGAGAGCGAGACCGTGAACTGCTTTCACCCCTATCACTCTGATAGTTCCACCGAGAAGACGAAGATCGACCTGCTAACGGAGAGTCATGCTGATTATTTCTCCTGCCCAGCTGATAACCAGCTGCAGCACCACCGAGTGCGCCGGTCCAGAAGCCTGGCCTCCATCCTGGGGCGCTTGCTCGTGCTGAGAACGAGCCACTACTTGGACAGCTACTATACGGAGGAGGAGGACCAGGATAGTTGTCATCACCACCGCCCCCTCCGCCTCCAAATCCGCCAAATCCTCCCCCGCCCCTTCCAGCGTTGGGACCTCTTCGACCTCGTAGACCAAAACAATCCCGAACCATGGGCCACAAAATCAAGATGAAGACGGCGCCCATGAACCCGAAGAAGATGAGGTCGCCCAAGACAGACATGCCCCGACGCCATCCTTTCGTTGAACTGAAACCAGACCACAGATCCTCCTCAATCCCGAATCTCCTCTCTCCGAGCTCAGTCAACAAGAGACGGTACTCGACTCCACAGCTGCCTTTCAGCACCCACTTATCATCCGCGTTCCGGTAACCCTCGCACACCACATCCGTCGAACCCAGCTTGAATTCCGGCGGGAGCGGTGCGGTACAAGTCCACTGGACGTCTTCTTCGTCATAGTCATGACCGGCGTTTGTACAGCGCATTGTGTCAATTGTGTATAAATCGCAAATCCTCTTCGATGGCCCAACGCATTTTAGCTGTGGGATTGGGGAGACGCGGCGAGAGCTTGTGAGACGATTTGCGCGTAGTGTCAGAGACTGCACTCGAGATAGAAGGATGGCATTTCTCGCGGGCGATGATTCTGACGACCTGCCAAATGAGAGTGCTGGCGGTGCGAGACAGAGGAAGCAGAGCAATAGGGACGAAATTCCTGGGTAGTACATCGTGAAAGGAGGAGCTTCCTGCTCAGAGGTAATTTCTGTGGAGTAGTAGCAATCCGATCACTTAGCAACAACAGTCGTAAGCTGCTTCTGGTTATCAAACGGTGTCGGACAGGCCACGGAAAGGTAACAGATATTGTCAAAATCCTCAGATTGTCGGCAAGGAATGCTCCCCAGTCATCTCAAAGCTCAAAGCTCAAAGCTCAACGTGTCCTCAATTCATGCTTATATGGCTCCATGATCTCATGAACAGGGTCTGGCGGGCCCAATCGGTGATAAGCACAGTCTCCGATAAAAAGAGCAGCTAAGGCAGCAAGGCTTGGCCGAGGCAGACGCGATCTACTAAGCCGTAGAACTAGTACTACTACTAGATCTATCATCATTCGTCATTTTCCTGGACTTGAGCTCCAACTTGATATACACACCACACAAAACGAGGCAATGGGGCCTTGGGAATTCAGTGACAACGTCTACAGTAGCTGACAATGTCTTCCCAGCCAGGTGCGAATATCATCTTCTGTCTATTATTATGATTTCTCTCGCTGACCATAATCGCTCTAGGTGACCCCGCGACCCTGCCGGCTCAGTCATCGTACGTCAAGATGAGAACGAATCTCCTACGTTTCATAAATCGTTTTGCAAAGCTAATAAACCGGACTTAGTCTGTCTTTCACACAGGGTTTCCTCCTTGGACAGCTTTCTGTGGTCCTTGTCCTTGCTGCGTTCATCAAATTCTTCATCTTCGGCGAAGCACCCCCACCGCCATCTCGCGGACTCTCCCATCGTTCAGCAACTCATCGACGTTCCAACTCAATATACAGCAACTCACCTCAGGAGGCAGGCTCGAGGTCATTGAGAGAAAAGCCATCCACCTCCAACGTTCTGCGTCCAGTACCGTCATCCTCCACTAACACTCGCTCGATCCTTCGAAAAACATACTATAGTGCTATCCCTACAAATCCCGCGAAACATGGGCGCCTTAGGATACACCATTCTTCGCATCAGCCAGAATCACTGGATTGGTTCAATGTTCTCATTGCGCAAACTATTGCTCAGTATCGACAAACCGCATATTCGCTAAAAGACTCACCGACATCATCAATTCTCAATTCACTTACCGCGGCTCTGAATAATCCGGAGAAGAAGCCAGCGTTCATAGACAAGATCACAGTCACGGATATATCCCTAGGGGAAGAGTTTCCGATATTCAGCAACTGCCGTATCATTGCCGTTGATGACCCGAACTCTGACGGTGGGCGGCTTCAGGCTCTGATGGATGTCGACTTGAGCGACGACAACCTTTCCATTGCCATCGAAACCCAGTTGCTGCTCAACTACCCTAAGCCTTGTTCTGCTATCCTCCCTGTGGCTCTTTCTATCTCCGTTGTTCGTTTTTCTGGGACCTTGTGTATATCCCTGGTCCCAGCATCCACACCTCCTCTGGACACCCCCTCCCATTCCCCGTCTCCTCCCACGGCCGATACAGCAACAAGCGGGCGGTCGAAACCGGGAGACAAGGCGGGGGGAAATCAGCCACGTTCTAATGGTTCTACCGAAGACCCTGCCGGCGGCAATCCACCAAAAACTAGCCCGAAGAGCAACGTTGCATTTTCGTTCCTTCCGGATTATCGACTCGATCTCTCAGTACGGTCGCTAATTGGCTCCCGAAGCAGACTTCAAGATGTGCCTAAAGTTGCTCAGCTCGTCGAAGCTCGCGTTCAAGCGTGGTTCGAAGAGCGTGTCGTTGAGCCTCGGGTCCAGGTTGTGGGACTACCAGATCTTTGGCCTCGCATGGGCAGAACAGGTGTCCGAACGGGCGACGACGCAGAAACAGCTTCCAATGGTCCGCGAAGCACCGTATCTGCTGATATTGGCGGTTCTGCTCGCCACGAGGAGCTAGCTCGGGAGCCAGAAGCTCTGAGATTTCGAGGACTGTTGGGCGCGCGACCACCGTTTGACGTTGCTTCCCGGACAAGTAGCTTCAATGTTGAGACGGGCGATCTTCGCAGTCGCAGCATGACCCGGCAAGAGAGCAGCGGTGATTTGAGTGATCAATTGCATATTCCAGGCTCTCTGCCTGAGGCCGTAACTCCTGGCTAATCCCGGCTGAACTTGACATCAAGGTTCAATATATATCAAAACAAATGAACATAAAAAGAATTCGAGAGGTTATGTTCCTATATCATAAGTAAAAATGACCTTTCTTGACTAGGCCAATGTCATAACTTCTATCAAGTTGCCATCATATATACAAATCATCAGTTTTGAGGGGACATATCACCAATACATTTTTATACAAGGTGTTTCCATCCCCTGTATTGGAAGGTGTCTTGTCCTTCAGCGGGTTGCCTGGCCCAATAGTGGAAATTTGGCATTCAAGGGAAGCAGATACTCTAGGCCAGAGCATTGTTTTGAACCTTTTGAAGATAAGTTTGACGGTGAGAGTTTAAATCGACATCGGCGCCTCGGTTCAAAGGAGTCCACTTGGGTTCCTCTTGGAAGAGACGCATGGCCTTGACATACTGTTGAGCAATCAGCAAACTGTCACTTCAATCGGACACTCAAAAGGTACAAAGTCGAGAAGGTAGGTACTAACGTTATTGTCATCGGTAGTGAACCGATGATAGATACCGGCGGGAAGAATGATCAGGTCATCCTTCTCCAGCTTGATGCGAACCCACTCATCTTCCTGACCACGTACGTCGAAGTATCCCTCGCCGTCACGGATATAACGAATCTCCTCATCTTCGTGCAGGTGTTCATGGAAGAACATCTTCACCTTGTCTTCGTATGCGTCACCCATTGTCTGTGGCGAGACAACGATCTCATCGCGGTTCTTATATCCGCGCTCCTTAGCCAGTGCATCGACTGACTCGATAGAGGGAAGGTGGTGGTACAGGACCCCAATGGATGCCAAATAAGCCAGCGTCACAGGACGGCCAGAGTCATGAGGTTCGCGCTGATCGCCCTGTTTGCAAATAAATCAGTCTGTGTTCCGATAAAACGGGTATCTCGCCCTTGTCCGAGGGCACCATCAACTCGAATTTCAATGTTGAACTTACCGGCTTGTCATCGTACCAGTATGCTTTCATTATGAACGTATAGTCCTGGGCAGCGGCTTAAGAACGAAGTTTCAATGAGTCTCCTCAGAAGTTAATAACTCTAGATTCAAGCAAATAAGATGAACACCCTATCCTATCCGCGCGAAGATATAGAAGATCAGAAAAGGGCTTGCGGGGCGGCATTATGCTGCCCCGCAGTATAGTGATTGCGCAAATCACGGGCAAAATTGCTTATTTACGTTACGTCAGCAGGAACATAACTGCCACAATATCCACCGCCCTCGGAATTAAGCGGCAATAAGATGAAAGTATCCACGTGATTTTGATTGTCTCTGTTTTTTTTCCCTTCGACGATACACTCTTTTGAATTACTACTTATGCTCAAACAGTCATTCTGACTAGCCAACTATAATCATGGCTTTTCGGGCACGATCAGTGGCCCTCTTACGATGGGGCGCTGTCCCTCGCTCCCGTGCACTGGGCCTTGCCCGTGGCATGGCCACAGTCTCTGATGGTGCTCGGTATGGTTTCCCAACAGCTCTTATCGTATCGGCCCTTTTCGCGATACTAATCTTTCTTCCTCAAGCGCGTATGATGTCGTCGTCATTGGAGGTGGTCACGCTGGCTCCGAAGCCAGTGCAGCCGCTGCTCGGTCTGGTGCACGCACCGCATTAGTCACACCCTCGCTCTCGAATATCGGCGTATGCTCGTGCAATCCCAGTTTCGGTGGGATCGGAAAAGGCACAATGATACGCGAAATTGATGCTATGGACGGAGTCGCCGGACGGATCATCGACAGAGCTGGTATCATGTTTCGCGTCCTCAACCGGTCCAAGGGCCCGGCCGTGTGGGGTCCCCGCGCCCAGATCGATCGTGATCTATACAAGACATACATGCAGGAAGAGCTCGTCGCTACGGAAGGGCTGAGTATAGTGGAAGGCAAAGTGGCGGACATCGTGGTGTCGAAAGAGGGGGTGGAGAATGTGCCCGGAGCGCAAGGGAAGATTGTTGGAGTAAGACTCGAATCCGGAGAAGTGATACCCACTGGGCGGGTCGTCATCACAACTGGAACGTTCCTTGGTGGAGAGATTCACATTGGACTTGAGGCGTATCCATCAGGGCGTATGGGTGAAGCTGCCACATTCGGACTCAGCAAATCCCTCCACGAAGCCGGGTTTCAACTTGGTCGCCTAAAGACCGGCACTCCTCCTCGCCTAGATATGAAGACAATTGACTTCTCCTCGCTGGAGGTTCAAAAAGGCGACTCGCCTCCGCAACCATTTTCTTACCTCAACAGCACGGTTGAGGTTGGCGATGAGGGCCAGTTAACGTGCTGGATGACCCATACCAACGAAGCTTCGCACGAGATCATCCGTGCCAACCTCGAAAAGTCGATACACATCCGTGAAACGGTGCGCGGGCCGCGCTACTGTCCTTCGCTAGAGTCTAAAATCATTCGATTCCACGATAAAAAGCAGCATCAGATTTGGCTTGAACCAGAAGGATTCGCGCCAAACGAAGTCATCTACCCGAATGGTATCTCAATGACTGTCCCGGCGGATGCACAGTATGCCATGCTCCGAACCGTTCGCGGGCTTGAAAACGTGCGCATGCTGCAACCCGGCTACGGAGTGGAGTACGACTATATTGATCCTCGAAACCTCCGACCGACTCTGGAAACGAAACTAATTAGTGGTTTGTACCTTGCTGGTCAGATCAATGGCACGACCGGCTATGAAGAGGCTGCCGGACAGGGAATCATTGCCGGGACGAATGCCGGTCTGTCAGCCCAGGGGCGGCAGCCGCTGACCCTCACACGGTCGGACGGCTTCATCGGAATCATGATCGACGATCTCGTCACGAAGGGCGTCTCTGAACCCTACCGTATGTTTACGGCACGGAGCGAATACCGCATTTCCACACGTTCCGACAACGCCGACCTGCGACTCACTCGCATGGCTCGCAATGCAGGCATTGTCACGAACAAACGGTGGCAGCGTTTCACCGACACCGAAGCGCAGATTCAGGAACTTCAAGGTCTCCTCGAGCGCACCAGACTGTCGTCCAGTGTCTGGTCCCGCAAAGGGTTCAAGACCCGAACCGACAGCTCCGTCCGCTCAGCGCTCGACCTCCTCTGCCTCGACGCAGTCGACATTGACACACTGATCCCTCATATCGAGTCACCCTCCGGCACGGCATACACTCCGTCCTCATTCGATCCCGCGATCCGAGCCCGCGTCGCAATCGAAGGTCGCTACGCTCCCTACGTCAAACGGCAGGAGGCGATGGCGAGGAAGTTCCTGCAGGACGAGAGCCTCCTCCTCCCTGCCGATCTGGACTATGCCGAGGTCCAGGGCATCAGTACGGAAGAGCGACAGGCTCTGGAGCGCGTCCGCCCCGTTAGCGTGGGTATGGCGAGACGCATCGAGGGCGTCACTCCGGCAGGTGCTTTGAGGCTGCTCATGCATGTGCGACGAAGCACCGGCATGCGCAAAGATTCCCTTGTCGAGGAAGTGGCTGGAGAATCCGCGGAGAGCGTCTTGCGCGAGTCTATCTGAACATAAAGAAATACCCCCACAGCGAAGAATTTGTACGATTAACACTAGATTTGGATTTGGATTTGGATTTGATTGTATATTTCAACTTTCAAGGTTATATACGGCGCATAGGGGCTGGGTTAGCGACTTGGAATCTTTGGGGTTTCTTATTCATCTGCATCGCAACTTGCATCAATGCTGTAAATATATCACTCCAGCAGCCTTATTGGGAAGAACATGTATTTTTTTATACTACCTATGTACACTAGCCAGCATATACAATGACACATGCAATATTTACCATCTTCTGCAATGTATGCATCGTCTAGGAACGACCCACGCAGAGGTTATGCACCATTCCGTTAGGTTTCAACGTACACAGTGAATGTTCACGAAGACTTCTTTTTCGTCGCGCTGGATCTGGTGAGGCGTCGCTGAATTTCCTCCTTGGTCAAGATCTTGACTGCGTCCTTGGAGAAGACGTAGCTGAGCCCTGACCAGATAGTGGTAGCCGCGACGAGGTATCTGGAAGAATGTTAGACAAGAAGAAGCAGAAAAAAATAAATAAATAAAAATAAAAATAAAGAGAGAGAGAGAAGGGAAACAGCAGCAAGAGATCAAGCTAATTAAAAGCTTGAACAAAAAACATACAACAGCCGGGATTCGCTGGTGGTCACCCACCCAACTACTAACCGGCCGGCGTGTGGCTTAAGTACGGCTGAGCGGACGGGAAGCCCTGTTCTCCACACCCTGTGGTCGTATGTGCTTGTTTCTCCTTTTGCTGGAACCATATCTGCACATGCATTCCTTCATCTCTCCAGACAGAAAAATAGAAGTATGGCAAGGAAAGAAAAAAGTACTTACTGCAATGCGGTCATTCCTTCTCTCAAATTCCATGCATCGAGAACTGCCTCTGGGACAACAGGCAATGCAATTGCAGATCCCACAAGCAAGAGTTGCAGTGCCGTATTGACCTTTGAGATGCCTGTTGGCTTCACTTCAGCAGAGGGCAGCGAGAAATCCCAATACCGTGCCATGGTCTTTGGTGGTGGAAGCGATATCCACCGATAATAGATCGCCGAGAGCGCAAGGCCAACATCCCGGCCAAGGATGATAACAGCCAGCCACACTAGTTGCCATCAGTGATTGTCCGGAAATGACGCATGAAAGGACATCTCCGCAGCGACAGTAAAACAGCATCAAGGATGGATTACACACCAGGAATTGAGCCATTGACTGCTAAGCAAGCAACACCGATAGTCATCAACAGTTTATCGGCCATGGGATCAATGATAGTCCCGACAACGGTCTGAAGATTATATCGCCGGGCAATATAGCCATCAACGAGATCTGTAAGACCAGCATAGACGAATAAAGAAAGGGCAGCCGCATGCTGGTCGTGGACCAGGAAGTAGCCTACCAGGGGTGCAGCAACGAGACGGGAGAATGTAAGGATGTTGGGGATAGTGTAGATATTCTCATGAGTAGGGAGAGGGATTTTGGAAAGAACCGGAGACCTTTTAGGATCCAATGCAGAACTATAGATGATCAGTCGCTCAACGACCAGGGCCACTTGCAAGAGATAGCGAACATATATCGAAGACTCACTTTTGAGGATTATTCTCTACTTGATCATCTGGCTTTTTGGTGCCTGACCACCTTCTTTGCAACATGTGAGTCTGCGTCCATCGGGATTCACCCAGTCTGATCATGCAGCCTGTATGTCTAATGGGCCTGGCGAAAGGTTAACGCCGCACATTTGACCCAACTTATATGACTTCGCACATACCTTTTCTGTACCGATACACATTGAACAGACAATGTAGATATCGTGGCACGGCGCAGATCTCTCATCCCAGAACCGTGCCATTCTCTGTAGGCGGCGGAAGTAGATCCGAGTGGACAAAACATGGTTCTCCACGTGAGACTCGAACACTGCCTCAGTGCACGAGTTGGCACTGGGAGAAGAGCAATAGCGGTCATGATGATCTATATCAACAAATATAACAGGGGAAAAAAGAACGGCAGGAGATAAGATGAGAATGAAGAAACAGGCTTCAATGCATGTATTGAGGTCGCAAACAGGTCTTCAATCAAACAGCTTCTATGGCAATGTCATAGCCAGTGGCCCCTGTTGTTGATACGGTTGTTAATTCAAGTTAAATTCAATGGAGGCGCTCTTTAAAGCAATGATATCAAGTGACAACGATGCCGGTGGCGTCTATTTGGCGATGACAACGGAAGTCGACCGAGTACTCCTCCAATGTGTAATATCAAAGAGTGTAACTCGGATGCAACAAGACAATATCACCGGAATCACGACGATATCTGCATACAACGCCGTGAAATGATAGACTATTCGTTGTATGTGGTAGCGGGTCAATCATCCGCTCTCCGCGAGGGGCGGTCTCGGGTCAGATGGTATCCAGATGGCAACTGGAGCATTCAACGGCCATCCACGACTCAGCTGGAATCCAATTGAACCCGAAAAGCCGCGGTGAGATCCGTGTTGCAGAGAAGGCAAGACAGCCGTCGAAATGTATACAAACCGAACACTCGTGACTTGCTTTTTCTCTCTGGGGAAAGGAAGCGGCTTGCGGCAAAATAGTTGTTCCGGACGCATCATGTGATTTGATTCTTTCCATCCTCGGTATGGAGTCAATGATTGCAATAGTTCGCATAATAGTTCAAATGACATAAATAAGCTGTTTAAGATCTGTCCTGACTGTGTCTGGCTATATCTATGGGCTACTTGGACGAAATGTATGCTGTATGGGCATAGTAGCTTGAACTCGAACACAGCGGAAATATATATTAACAGCCAACGGTCGAGCATAAAAGCAGAGTCGCGAGAAAAAGCAGTAAGCCAACCCGCAAATTATAAGACCTTGAATGGCCTCCTGCCAGGGTACTCAGGAGGAAATTATTAGTATATGCTGCGCAGAGGATACTTAGCATGCCATGGCCCTTGAGATGACAGATTGAGAAAGGCTTCAAATTTCCATAAACCAGTAGTGCCCGTCTGGCTTGAACTGAGAATTCCGAGAGCATCATGGCCTGAACCCTTTTCAAACGGTGTATGTCCCATTCTCATTCCGTGGGAAAGAAAGCGAGTCCGATGCCTGACAGGCACTCGTAACACAGTCGGCCTTGCCTAGGCGAAGGACAAGGGAACCAGTGTCGACTTTTGCCTCCAACTCCTTCAGTTTCTTGACATATAGGCAATCGAAGTATGCACCAAGTAAGATCCAAGTAGATGTCATTGACAGCAACTACTCGAGCTGTGGCTAGTCGCACTGTCAAGGAGCCTTGCTGATAGGGGACTCTCGACTTCACAAGAAGACCTGACTCTAGCGTCCCAAATCTGTCGCAGACGCGTAGGGTCTCGCTCTACCGATTGTTGAGAGCAAGGGAATACGAATATCGACTCCTCGAAAAAAAAAGGGTGGTCAGAAGCCCTGACGGGTATGGACAATTCTCGTTCGATGGCCATTAGTTATCTTCTGAATCTGTTGCGGATCAGCCCGTCAGTTTCCAACTCGAGGTGATTGACGGAGTACTTTCAAGAGTATATCTATCGTTTTCTCAAACCTCGAGCACCAATATCAGTCTATTGCTTAAATCACTCGCATAAAGCTCAGGTACGACTAGCATGCCCCAGAGTATGTACGACATAACATTACCCCAGAGTTCATGACAACTCCACAAACCTTCCACTTACCCCCCCCCTGAGCACCAAAAGGCTAAAAGGAAATGACACAACCTGAGGCCTGGGAATTTCAAAAGACAATTTTAAAAAAAAGTCAAAAGACGAAAAAGAGTCGAACAGCCGCACAGACAGCGGAGATAAACCTTTCACTACGGAGTACTGTCGGTCCCAGGTGAATACCCTGTAGATAGTGGTTGGTTGATTGAAAGAAAGTTTCAAGGGGTTCAAGCGCTTCTTGACAGGTCAGATTGATAGATTCTTATGATAACGTTAAAGAGGAACGAGTCGACATTCGATATCCCTTGATAGAGGACTTCCCCCACCCTCTTTTTTGGAGTGCAATCCTTCCGTCAAAGGATGTATACTGAGTCCTTCATAAATGAATGCTCCCAGGTAATGTTACGCAATCCGGATGACAGAGCGTTGAAATGAGGGTAGATGAGACAAATAGGGAAGAAAGTGCGGATCCGGTACGACAGATTATCGAGAAATAATGTCGGTTGACAGCTTCGACCTGGCTGGTGCGGGAAGAGGTGAACCCCAAGTCCAACCCTTGCATGATTTCTTCATGCCTGAAATCTGGATAACAAACTTTGGTCATCGGAACTAGTCTAGAGGCTTGTTTGACAGTACGGACTATCTAGTATCTACAAAGTCGATGAGTAGGATTGCGATATCATGTCAAAGTTTAACAACCTCTTTAGGCTTTCCTGGGTATATTTGCTTGAAAATGGTATTGATCTGTTGTAATTTTCACTTGATGGTATTGGCCAAGGGACCATCCCATCCACCTCTAAGTAGGGAGCTAAGTAGGTACCTAGTTGAAGGAGGTATGGATGTACCTCTACGGTAATTTATGGCGCCCCTTAAGGCGTCCCTTCGTAATAGCACTAATAATAATAATAATAATAATAAAACCAGTCACATGGATAACAACCAATATACGATTACCGCATGATAATCTACCTGATATCTTGATCGCCGAATAAGACTAGCGAATAGATACCGTAAATAAAGTGGCAGGGAGAACATCAAAGCCCTCAGGCTGTATAGGGTGTTAGAGCTTTAGAGGAATATGAGGCCCACTTGGACGGTGCTGCAATTTCATCATCAGACAAGAGCGATGCAGATCTGCCCCAAGGTGTCGTGTCTGACTGAGCTTCAACCGCATAATCGCTTTGACCTATGGAGATGACCATGCCACTTACTCCTTTTTGACGGTGTTCCTTTTTCAAGTCAAGTCAACGAGTCAAGTAGTCATTCGCAACTTCGCGACTAGAAATCTCCATCCACTCCCCTCTAAGTCTATTTACTACGGGGTAGTATCTACTACTAAATACTCCAACTCACTAAGACTCGCAGGTCAACTCTACGTAGTAGGTCCTTCCTTGGGTCCCTAAACTCCTAGTCCAGATTACCAAATCCACAGTCCTTAATCTCTCAGCCTCTAGTCATCCGCCCCGTAGACTTAACTAGCGGCAAGAGTCGAAGATGCAGCACTGCAGACACCGGCCGCCGCCCGGCGAGAAACTACACAGTACGGAGAAAAGGCTATGGTGAGCTAAACGAGAATGGCTTAGCGGAACCATAGTAAGTGCTGCGCTCTGGATCTATCTAGTCCGTAGAGTAGTTTACATAGATTGCGCCCCGGTTTGCCTATTTCTGGATCGTCATAATCCTCTAGGAATTACTCCGACACACCGTACTTCAAAGCAGTCGTCATGATCCCAGCCCAGTGGTTAACCCGAGGACTAGATAATCGTCCTCACTTCTCAGGATAAAGAACGCGCAGAAAGGAGATCATCGTCGATGTGGGAGGGTTGGCGGTAATGACTCCGAGCTCTCTACCTTAGCAGTCAACCCTTGACAGACGGACAGACTAGTTTAGTCTTGGTGGCCTTTACTCAATATCCCATCCTCCGTGGGATCAAAGGACTTAGTGAGAGGCTTAGAGCACAGCAATTACCAATTACCAAGAGTTAAGGCTGGGTGTCGAAGAAGTTGCCGCAAAAAGGAAAGTGGAGGAGGCGACACGCGCAGACGCCAAAGCCACGTTTTTTTAATTTAATTTGTTTTTCTCATAATTTTAGCTTGGGCGTTCAAGATTTGGACGCTATTTTTTTTTTTCTCTCTACTTGACTAACTAGAAATAAATCTAGTTCCGAACGGAGTAAACTAGATAATATTCCTTCCGAGCTAGACTGTCTGAAACCAGATCCCTGTCAAACACCGAAGTTGGTGTGGAAATGGGAAAGGGGAGTTCCCATTATCTGATCTAGTCTATCTAACTACCTGACCGAGCGTTAGTCTCTTGCGCCCTACGAAAGCAAATGCGACTCAGCCTCAGCTTGGATAATTATATAAAAAAAAAAAAGAAAAAGAAAATAGAGAAGGTGATGGGATAGTGGCTAATGCAAGGGGGGTTGTAGCGGTGCGCTCAAACAGTGTTGATGAGAGGAATAATCTAGAAGCTAGGTCCAGTGACTGACGGACAATCTACGGACTATCTAACTACGTAGTACTGTCTGTTCTCGTCTCTCGAGTTCGCCTCTTCGTGTTTGCAATTTGATAAGCGATAGTAATGGTACGGATATGCTCGCCTTGGACTCGCTCCATGGGTGTGTTGATTGGCTTTCAGCACTAAACGCCAATATCTAGTTGTGATCAACGGTACACGATTTGGATAGACCGCAATTCCGATACTATGACCGTTTATCTATTCCGTAGACTTGGTCTGTGGCCAAGTATGTGGGGGGACAGATGCACTCCGTTCTCTGGTAGCCTGAACTCCCGAAAATCCTGGAGATTGAAGACAAACGAACATCTCACAAATCATTGCTGGACGCGAGTTTCCACGCGAGCTGCAGACACCAGTGTTATCCACTGGATACGAGTACATTTGAAGATCACTCTCTGGGCTCAAATAAGGACTGAGTTAAGGATTGCCTGCGCTTTATGATTAACTCTCCCTCAACTCCGTATATTGTGACCCATAGCCGGAGACAATCTGAATACGAGATATGTTCTAGTTCTCCGCATCAGTAATACTCTCCCAGAGTCCTAGGCATAGAAAGAATGAATTGCCTAGATTATGGATAGACTGCCCCAGCCTCGCCCTCCAAAAGGCCCCGAACGTCTGTGTTGGACACTAACCAGCTCCGGCCGAGAGATGATCGTAAATATAGCTGGAATAAGCGCTAGATAGTTACTTGGAACTATTTGCACTTTGCCATCAGTGGAGTAGTAGTCCACCACTTTTTGCAGGACGGTTGAT